TCTATCCCCTAGATAGGTTCTTGTCTATCTAGCTTCGCTGCTCTTCTAGCTCTCGTTGTAATAATACGTAAAGTAGTCCCTATAGTAGTTCCTTACTAGGCTAGATTAGTATCTTGTAGTCCTATAGTCTATATATAGGTAAGGCTACGAGCCCTGTCTCTTCCTAAAAGAGGCGTTTCTATCGTGTAAACTCTTTAGGGATTCCTAGAGGTGCGTTCTTGTCCTCCTTCGCTCTAACTTGTTAATTCGGTAGATCTATTCCGGCATCTGTCGAGCTTAGGCTACTACGTAGCTCCTGTTTCGGTTGTTAACTAGCTATATATATATGCTGTCGTTCCTTATCTACCGCTGAACTCTGCCGGCGTGTAGGCTCGATATCGATAACGCATACGTATCGCTCAAATGTTAGTACTCTCGTTTTCTACTCTATATGTAGGTTATAACGTTCTAACTAAGGCGTACCTAATACGATATCGTGTCTAGCTATAGGCACGACATCTAGGACTATCGTCTCGTGGTACTATTGCATCGTTAGGGATAGTAGCATCGTTTTACTATCTACGTCGGGTAGGGATGAGCTATCGACGGCCATTAGCTTATACCCGCTATTCTTCTTCCTCCGGGTTGCGATCCCGTGTCGTTGTACGAACTAGGCTAATATAAACGTTCCGTTAGCTCCGGAGTCGATTATTGCTATTATTTCGTGTCCTTATATAATGTATTTGGTGCGTAGGACTGCTGCTAAAGTCTGTTAAACATTCGTGTTGTTGAGTTCCCGTAATCTATTCCTACTAACGGGCTCTCCTAGTTTTTTGTCTCTAGAGCTACTAGAAGCTCGGGGTCCTTAAGGCAGACTTCCTAACTAAGGGGTCTATCCTTAGGCTATAGTATAATTCTTCCTCGTTTAATACTTGTCGATACTAGTCCTTTAGTTAATAGTAATAATTTACTAAAAACCTATCCCTTCTATACTAGTAGTAGTAGGATTTTGTAGGTTGTAGCGTGTAACTACTTATATAACGTAGTCTTATACTACTAGATTATCTCTTGTTCTATAATAAGGTCGTTCTGCTAGTTTTCCTATATTATATAGATCTCGTCGAATCGCTATATAAGCACCTTAACGTAGTCTCGTATGTTCTTGCTAATATAGATCCCGTCTAGGGCGTGATATCCTCTAGACCTATCGAACTTGCTTCCTATCGGGGGTATGTCTCGTATGTAGTAATGTCCTCCGTCGAGGTTGACTTGTCGATAGTCCTAAAACTCCCTCTGTAGGTTATTAAGCAGCAAGTCGAAGTTGTTTCGATATAGTCGTCGTTTCCCTTACACCTTCGGGAAGACTTCCTCGTGTTGTCTAACTATTATAAGAATTATTCGTCTAATTGGTTCTAGTGCGTTAATACTAAAGTTAAGTGTTTCGTTATCGCTATTATTGTCGTCGTCGGTGTATTCGTATTCTAATAACTCGGGCGTGTCCTCGTGACCGTCCTTAGAGTCTAGTATAATAGGGGTTAGCGCGAAGCTTCCCTAATCGTATATTACGACTAGTTATCTTAATTCTTCTTCGTCGTCGGATTCCTTCTCCTAAGGTTGTTGTGTTTCTTATAGGGTTGTATCCTCCTACCTAAGTAGAGGTAGAGACCTTCCTTAGGCGTAAATGCCGTCGTCTCTATCCTGCTATAGTTGCCGTTGTCGAACTAGCACTAGTTCAAATATGGGGGGCTGATACGTAGCACTGTTAGATCTCTATAATTCCGTCGAATTGAACTCTCGACGAGGCTTACTCGGGAACTATCCTAAGTCTGCCTTGCTCGAGTAGTAAGTCGTATAGGAGTCGTTGTAGCACCCTATCTAGTATAATTGTTTGTATTCGTTATCTAGGTCCTTTCCGACGCTTTCTCCGATCCTTATTATCGTGTCGCGGATGACGTAGATATCGTTCGTAGAGACCGTTCCGAGTAGTTCGAGGAACTTGTTCTCCTATTCGATAATTTCGTCCTTACGATTAGGGTGTCGTTTCCTTATTAAGCTTATCGTATTAGTGATTTCGGATTGCGTTTGTCGTATAGCATTGCTGTTAGCTAATTCCTTACTATCGTGCATTCCTAACTAAATAACGTTAATAGCTTCCTAAATATGTTCGGCGAATAGATTACGTCGTTCTATAACGTTGATCTCTATAGCGTTGACCTCCCTAAGATCCGCCCTATAGTTCTGCTATAGTTGCACCTTGCGGCTACAGTAGTCGCGTACGTAGTGTCCTTCCTTTCCGTACGAATAGTACTTTAGTCCTTGCTTCTTACCCTAGGCGTAGTTCTTGCCCTTAGCTCCTGCTCTATTGTTCTTGCCTCCTCCAAACTTACGTTAAGTAGCGTCGAGTTCTATAGCGTTAGGGTCGCGACGTTGCTATCCTCCGGTCCGGCCGTAGGGAGCATAGCTAGTTCGTCCGCGGTCCTAATTAGTATTACGTTTTTCTATATATCGTTTGTAGAGTATATCGTCCACCTTAATTGTAGCCTCCTATAAGTATTCTAAGGTGTCTTAGCGTCCTCCGTATCTTATAAGCTCGTCCTTAACGTTGTCTTTAAGTCCTCGATAGTATATAGATCTTAATATATTGCCGTCCTATCTAGTACGAGTAGAAACCTCTTTAAACTTAGCGGTGTACTAGGATGTAGAGGCCTTCTACGTAACGTGTTAGATATTCCGGATAGCGACTTGCTAGTTATTGCTAAGTCTATAGATTCCCTTAACCTGTTTAGCGAACTCCGAGAAGTCGGCAAAGATCCCGTCTAGGTCTCTATTCTCGAGTAGGACTATAGTTAATTTAGGACGTATCTAGCTTTAAGCTTCGCCTCGAAGGTAGGATGCTGCGATGCGGCAGCGTCGTTGTTTACTTATAATACCTTTAAGGGAGAAGTATAGCATAATCTAGTTTAACTAGTTATCGAGCTTATTACGATCCCTATAGAAGAAGTCCGGCTTAGCGGAATACTTTGTCCTGTCTTTATTAGTAGAGGCACTAGCTCGAGTGGTCGAAGCTATACTAACGTCTCTTTCGTTGTTAGGAGCTATTTGTTTGCTTAGGGTACTTACCTACTATAAGGGTATTTAAAATGTTATGCACCTACGGTATAAGGGGGTTAGAGCTCGTTAGACGAGTGAGTTCTAAGCGATAGGTCGGGTAAGTAACTGCTCTAAGGTTTTGACCTTTCGGCGGGTTAGTAACTTAGGTTAAATACGAACTACCTACATAGGAAACGCCTACTCTATATATATAGGAGATTCGTATATAGTCGTAATTACTAATAGTAATTGCGACCCGATTATAGTTACCTATAGTAATTATAATCCGGATTACTCGATCACCTAGTAATGAAGTGATCCTATATTTAGCCCTAGAATTAGTCTGCTAGCCTTAGGCCTTAGTTCCTAACTCGTTACTAATAATTGAATTCCATGTCCGTAACATATAGTATAATCTAGTTTAACTAGTTATCGAGCTTATTACGATCTCTATAGAAGAAGTCCGGTTTAGAGGAATACTTTATCCTATCTTTATTAGTAGAGGTACTAGCTTAAGTAGTCGAAGCTATACTAACGTCTCTTTTATTATTAGGAGCTATTTATTTACTTAGGGTACTTACCTACTATAAGGGTATTTAAAATATTATATACCTACGGTATAAGGGGGTTAGAGCTCGTTAGACGAGTAAGTTCTAAGCGATAGGTCGGGTAAGTAACTACTCTAAGGTTTAACCTTTTAGTAGGTTAGTAACTTAGGTTAAATACGAACTACCTACGTAGAAAACGTCTATTCTATATATATAGGAGATTCGTATAATAATCGCGATTACCTATAGTATTCGTAACTAGATCGTAGTTACTATAGGTGTTCTTAATCCTAATTACTTAGTTACCTAGTAATAAGCGATCCTCTATACGACGAGGGATTCCTACTAAGTCGGAGATAAGGCATATAGCCGCTATTCTCGCCTTTATAGGATATAGGCCGCTAGCGGCAAAACTACGCCCGACCCTATATACGTGTTTATAATACTAATATAGCTTCTTATTTAAATTACTATAATCTATCGACTAGCTAATAACGAAGCTCGAAGACTATAAGCGCTAGTACTAGTTTACGCCTTATAGTTACTTTAAGGTATATTATAACCTTAGTTAGAAGAAGCTAAATAAGTACTATACCCTTAGCTATAATACTCTAGCCTATTGCGCCTTAATCCTTATTTACTCTTACCTTAAGAAGTAGTAGTTCGATAAGTACTAGTAAGCTAAGAAGCTATAATAGATTACCGCTACTATAGCGATAATCTATAAGATCTACGAGGACTATAAGTACTACTATAGCGAGGAAGCTATTCGACTAGCGAGTTAGTTATTAAATAAGATAGATAAGTTCGAGCTATATAATACTATAGTAGATAATATCAAGGTACTAGATAACTTTAAGCAATACCTCTAAGAGCTAATTAAGAAGAATAGTAATATTAACCCCCTCTACTAGTAGATTAATAACGCCTATCGTTATCTAGTCCTTAGCTATATAGCGTTCGATCTACTCTTAGTACTAGTAAGTAGCTCTATAGATAAGCGCCTATTAAGTATAGTAGATTATATCCTTAATAGCGAAAGATAGAATACTAGTAACGCCTTAGTAGAGATCTATTAGTACCTTAAGAGCTAGTATAAGTAAGGGCTAATAGATCTAGATAGTATAGTAAGGGCAATTATAATAACGCCTCCGCTAAGTAGCTTAATCTTAATACTACCCTCCTATAGTAGTAATTAGTTATATAGTAGGACGAACAGACAAACTAAATAATTGAATAAAACTCTTACTATAAACTTAATAAATATATACCCTACCTTAGCCGAAAATATAAACAGCCCCCTTAGTTTAGTTTAGTTCGTTTATTAACCTCCTTGTTTGCTTCTATGCTTATATTATGAAGCCCCTCGACAAGAGCGTAGAGCTACACCTCGGTTATTGTGAGATCGTAATCCGGCGCTATGTTCGTCGTGGCAAGACCAAGTATGCTAAAGACAGTATCTCTGGGGTCAAGCGATCCTTGCGTGCCAAAAGTGATAAGGGCTTTATATAAAGGATATGTCAAGCTACCGCCGAAGCTGTCTCGGCCAAAAGTACCGTATGCCGTTAGCCAAGAAGCAGGTCGACTGCGTACCGACCAGTACTCCGAGCGCCAGCTGTGGAAGTGATTGCCTTCGGCCCAAGCAGTCACAGACTTCACAGGTACTGTGCTCTGGCCGATCATGATGCGCAAGTCTTTTACAAATAGCACCTCTTGGACAACCCAGAGTCGAGTCCAGTATGGTCGAGACGCTGCTTGTCTGGCAGTCAAGATGTGCTCAAGATCCTCATCATCCATCCTCAGCCATCTGAACAAGTCTCCAAGATCTGCCGTGGGATGCGTCATCCACGCGAAGGCTATACGAGCTCGTATCCAAGATCCTGACTCCGATACCGCATGGTCGGGTCCAAGCCAGGCGATGACAGATTGTGCGCGTGAGTACAAGATACCCATGAGCCGCACTTGCGCGGCTCGCTCATGATGATCTGACTGATTGACGCATATGGCATCTAAGAACCATGCACCGATTAGATCGTCCACTGGCATGGTATGCAAGAAATCGTGGACGCTCTTGCGAATGTAGAAGGCCCGGTCGTCGAATTCTATTGCATGATCTGGAGCTCCAGTACCCAACTGGTAGGAGAGGGCACGATATCGAGGCTTCTTATCGAGTGAGCGTACTTGAAGGCTATATTGTCTGCCAGTCTCCTTGTTACTCCGATTGACGACCAGTAAGCGAATCTGCCGCTTGGTGTCGTGGAGGGGCTGATATGGAAATGTGCTGTTCTCTCCGGAATTGTGCCCAGCCATGACCATCGCGGGCTGGCCAGTGAGGAAGAATACTATTGCGGTCCTTGTCAAGGTCGAATGTCGGACTTACGATGGAAGACAGAACTTTGAGGAGATCGTCCTGCTCTTGTATAGAGGCGGTTATTGAATGTGGCGTGCCCAAGACTACGCCTCCTCCTCGGCGGCCTCATCTTTGCTCATCACATGCCACGCCGATGAAGCCCGCTTCGAGCAGGTTTCAGGCTTGCTCGCACCAGATGCGGGAGAGGTAAGCTTTCGAGAGCTCTCTTTTTAGGTCACAACACATCGTCAACAAAGGGCTGTTGAGAGAGGACGTGCAAGGTGGAAATGATCGAGAACGCCAATCGGGCTTAGCAGCGGGTAGTGCCGAGCCGATCGGCGGAAATCAACCGAGCTTTCGCGACTTTCACGAGCGCGACTTGCATATCCATCAGCTGCTAGCACCACGTACCCTCACATACCCCCCGCCATCACCCTTACACTCCTTCAAGCACCGCCAGAACCTGCATCGCCGACCACTAGCCTTCTCTCCCAGCTGTAGTCACGGCCGCAAGTGACGTCTGACGAGGTGACGTTGCGCGCAAAAGCTTCGGCGGCGACTCCTGACGAAGCACGAACTGATCACCGGGTAAGAGCGCGGTTGTCCAGAGGAAGGCGCGAGGGTCGGGAGACACGGCAGATACCGGTGCGGGTAGTGAGGAGCCGAGGCAGTCGTGAGAGGGTGGACAGCGTGGTGATAGGCAGCGCAGTGCAGGGAGTGTGAGGGCTTGAGTGAGTGAGCGGGCAGGATGGCATATGCAAACGGGGATGCGATGATGGCCGGGCTGGAGGACGAGGGTTACAGCGACGACGCCATCACCTCCGAGGATTGCTGGACGGTCATCCAGTCCTTCTTCGAGTCAAAGGGTCTGGTCTCACAGCAACTCGATTCCTTCGACGAGTTCGCCACCACAACGCTGCAGGAGATCATCAGCGAGAACGACTTCATCTCCGTCGACAAGAACCTGCCGCCGGAAGATGACGGACACGGCGCACAGATCGTCAAGCGGCGGTGGCAGATCGAATTCGGCAAGGCGAAAATCTCCCAGGCAGCCATGACCGAAGGCGATGGTGTCACGCGGCCGCTGTATCCGCAAGAAGCGCGCCTGCGCAACATCACCTACGCCTCGCCACTGTATCTGGACATGCGCAGCCGGGTCATCGTGGCCAAGGAGCGTCCGGCAGGGGCGTGGTATGATGAAGACACCGCCATGTGGACTGCACCCGATGACTGGGATGGACAGGAGTACGAGACGTTCTGGGAGAAGGATGCTGAAGACGCAGCGAACAATCCGGAGAACGAACAGTTCGTGCCCGTCTTCATTGGCAAACTCCCAGTCATGCTCAAGTCCAAGATCTGCACTCTACGGAATCGGACCGAGCAGGAGCTATATGCTTTCCAGGAGTGCCCCTTCGATCAAGGCGGCTACTTTGTCATCAACGGCAGTGAGAAGGTCTTGATCGCACAGGAACGCAGCGCTGCCAATATTGTGCAAGTGTTCCGGAAGAAAGGCTCCAACACGCCAGTCGTGGCGGAAATCCGTAGTGCCATCGAGAAAGGCAGCCGCTTGATCAGCACAATGCAAGTCAAGCTCTTTGATCGCGGTGCTGGCACGAACACCAATCTCGGGCGCACAGTCAAGGCATCGCTCCCGTACGTCAAGCAGGATATCCCGCTTGTGGTCGTCTTCCGTGCCCTCGGTATAGTGTCTGATGAAGACATTCTCATGCACATCTGCAAGCGGTCCGACACGCAGATGCTGGAGATGCTCAAATCGTGTATCGAAGAAGCAGCAGCCATCCAAGAGCGCGAACAGGCACTGGACTTCATCGGCCGTCGTGGCAACATGGCTGGCACGAAAGATCGCCGTATCAAGTACGCTCGTGATATCATGCAGAAGGAGTTCTTGCCGCACATCTCGCAAGAAGAGGGCAGCGAGACGCGGAAAGCCTTCTTTCTGGGCTACATGGTGAACAGACTGCTGCAAGTCCAGCTCGGCCGAGTGGAAGAAGATGACCGTGATCATTTTGGCAAGAAGCGTCTCGATCTCGCCGGTCCGCTCATGGCTCAGGTCTTCCGACTCAAGTTCTCGCAGCTGACGAAGGATATGCGCGGCTACCTCCATCGAATCGTGGAGACGGGCAGAGACTTCAACATCACGCTCGCTGTCAAGCCGTTGATCATAACACAGGGTCTGAAATACTGTCTAGCGACCGGCAATTGGGGTGATCAGAAGAAGGCAGCATCGGCGAAAGCTGGTGTCAGTCAAGTGCTGAACCGATACACATACGCCTCGACCCTCTCGCATCTACGGCGGACAAACACACCCATCGGCAGAGACGGTAAGATTGCGAAGCCTCGTCAATTGCACAACACGCATTGGGGACTGGTATGCCCGGCCGAAACGCCGGAAGGTCAAGCGTGTGGTTTAGTCAAGAACTTGTCGCTGATGTGCTACGTCTCTGTCGGTACGCCTGGCACGCCACTCATCGAGTACTTCAGACATCGTGGTATGGAGCTGCTGGAAGAGTACGATGCGATCATGAATCCGAATGCGACCAAGGTCTTCCTCAACGGTACTTGGGTGGGCGTACACAGCAACGGCAAGCAGCTGACGGATGCACTACGTGATTTGAGACGAAAGGGCACGATTGGCTTCGAAGTCACGATCATTCGTGACGTGCGTGAGCGTGAGATCAAGGTCTTCACGGATGCAGGCCGGGTGATGAGACCGCTGTTTGTGGTCAATACGGACCGTGCGAGTGGTGATTTCGGCAATCTTGCACTCAAGCAGGAGCACGTACAACGTTTGCAGTCAGATCAGCAAGTCCTTTCGGAAATGCAGGATCAAGCAGTCAGTGAAGACGACAAGAGGGATGCGACATTCGGCTGGCATGGCCTGGTGAAGAGTGGTGTGATCGAGTATCTCGACGCGGAAGAAGAAGAGACGGCCATGATCATCATGACCCCCGACGATCTCGAAGACTTCAAAGCGGCGAAGCAAGGCCAAGGGTGGATTGAATCGAAAGAGGATCCCCACCGCCGCATCAAAGCCAAACCCAATACCCAAGTCGCCATGTGGACGCACTGCGAAATTCATCCCGCGATGATCCTTGGCATCTGCGCATCCATCATCCCCTTCCCAGATCACAACCAGAGTCCCCGTAACACTTATCAATGTCTGGCGGCCGACCACGAAGTACTCACCAGTAGTGGCTGGAAACGCATCTCGTCGGTGCAGGTGAATGATGAAGTGATGAGTCTGGATCTTTCGTCTGGTCAGCAGCGCTGGAATGCTGTTGAAGGAGTCACTCGTCTGGCTCATACAGAAGCCCTTTACCGACTCAAGAGTGGCGATATGGACGCCGTCTGCACGCCCGAACATCGCTGGCACCTCAACACGTCTGATGAGCCTGATACGTATACGGCTTATACGACCCAGGAGATGATGGACACCAAACTGGTTGCTCTGAGGTCTCCGTCGTCTGGTAAGAGCGTCGGTCAATGGGACCGCAAGGGCGGGACAACTACGCATGTCAATCACCAGATCCCTACTGTAGGAAAGAACGGCAATGCTATGTACTTGTGGCCGGACTGTTCCTTCCTTCCAAGCAGCTTTGTCACAGATGAAGCGTGCAATCTGGACTGGTGCCGTTTCATTGGATTTGTTATGGGCGATGGTGGAGTCAGCGAGTCGATCTCTGAGACCGGTCGAACCAACTACTACGTCAGGCTGTTCCAGAGTGCTAGTAAGGCACCAGCATTGGCGTATCTTAAGGACCTGTTGGCTCGTCTGGCTGCGAAGATACCAACATTTGTGCTCAATCCACCTACTATTGAGGCAAATGGTATGCACACTTGGAATATCAATCACCCTGGCATGTATCGATTCTTCTTACCTATGGTTCGGGGACCTCAGTCTTATGATCCTTTGGATGACACGATGTGCCGCACTTATCAGGCACCACACTATCTAGCATTATCCAGATCAAGCGGCGAGACTATCTTACCTACGCCTGAAGGCTTAATACGAGGCAAATGGTGGTATCTTAGGCGGTGGTTTTATTACGGCTGGTTATTCTTACTGGCCCGTAATCAAGCTCGAGCGATCATTAAGGGAATTGCCGCTGCAGATGGCGCGTGGTCAGCGTTGGTGAAGGCACGATCAACAAGTAGTGGAACTGGTCGTGGCGGAGGTACCAAGCGCAAGCGCTCAATGGACGACGTCCAAACCAAGGATCTAGCTATTCTCGTCAACAGAGGCTACGTATCGGTCTTCAGCAGCTCGATTCCACTAACGCACGACTTGTCTGTGCTAGGCCATCTAGCTGATACTAGAACTAGCATCGGCGTCAATCACCAGAAAGGTGAATATATGCCGACTATAGGAAGCACGGCTAGAGCTGTAGGATGGCGAATCAGCTTCGCCTTTGCTGAAAGCGAACTTACTGTGGCTGCTCCCAAGCCAGAAGTATATACTAATCCTCACCACGACGGATTTGTGTACTGCTTGACCGTGCCAGATGACAACTTCCTAGCTAGGCGGACGCTCCACTTCACCAACACCACCGACCAGCAAATATCAGGAACAGCAGCGCAGAAACCCTTCTTCACCGGAAACTCCGCAATGGGCAAGCAAGCCATGGGCGTCACCTTGACGAATTTCAATACCCGAATGGACACGATGGCCAATGTCCTCTACTACCCGCAAAAACCATTGGCAACGACACGAAGTATGGAGTTCCTGAAGTTCCGCGAGCTGCCAGCCGGTCAGAACGCGATTGTGGCCATCTCATGTTACTCCGGCTATAACCAGGAAGACTCCGTCATTATGAACCAGAGCTCCATCGATCGAGGTCTGTTCAGGAGTCTGTTCTTCAGAGCTTACTTCGACCTGGAGGAGAAAGTTGGCATGGGCACGTTGCAGCAGTTTGAGAAGCCGACTCGTGCAGATACTCTCAAGATGAAGATGGGCACGTATGACAAGCTGGACGATGATGGGTTAATCCAGCCTGGCTCGCGAGTTTCGGGTGAGGATATTATCATCGGGAAGACTGCACCCATTGCACCCGACGCCGAGGAGTTGGGTCAGAGGACGAAGTTGCATGTTAAACGTGACGTCTCCACCCCACTCCGCAGCACAGAGAACGGTATAGTCGATCAAGTCCTCCTCACAACCAACGCAGACGGTCTCAAATTCGCCAAGATCCGTACACGAACGACCAAGGTGCCGCAGATTGGAGACAAATTCGCTTCTCGTCACGGGCAAAAGGGCACGATTGGCATCACATATCGGCAGGAAGACATGCCATTCACGTCTGATGGTTTGACGCCGGATATCATCATCAACCCGCACGCCATTCCTTCTCGCATGACAATCGCGCATTTGATTGAGTGTTTACTCAGCAAAGTCGGTGCGCTGACGGGTCAGGAGGGTGATGCGACACCCTTCACAGACGTCACTATAACCTCCATCTCCGCGCTCCTCGAGGCTCACGGATTCCAGAAGCGCGGATTCGAGGTCATGTATAACGGCCATACCGGGAAGAAACTGGCCGCGCAGGTGTTTTTAGGTCCGACCTACTACCAACGTCTCCGCCACATGGTCGATGACAAGATCCACGCCCGCGCCCGCGGACCACTGCAAATCCTCACGCGCCAGCCAGTCGAGGGGCGTGCCCGAGACGGTGGTCTCCGGTTCGGAGAGATGGAGCGCGATTGCATGATCGCCCACGGCGCGTCCTCCTTCCTCAAGGAACGACTACTCGACGTTAGCGACGCCTTCCGAGTCCACGTCTGCGAGATCTGTGGCCTCATGACACCTGTTGCTAAGTTGAAGGAAGGGACGGTCGAGTGTCGTCCATGTAGGAACAAGACGAGGATAGCGCAGGTGATCATTCCGTATGCGGCGAAGCTTTTGTTCCAGGAGTTGGCGGCTATGAATGTCGCTACGAGGATGTTTATGGATAGGAGTGGGGTTAGTATCCGGTAAGGCAAGCTCGTGGGTGTGATGCCGGTGGTGGGATGAGGTTCTTGGGGACGGCATTTGGTGATTTGGCAAGATAGTTTGATGCACGAATAGAAAAGATACCTTAGCGGCTTCGCGATGGTGCGAGACTGCAGTTGCGTAGCATTGTACAACAGATTCGCCCAAGCTTCCTTCATTCTTGTCATTTACTGTGGCTATCACTGACTTCCGAGAGCTTGTTCTAGAAGTCAGAAGAGTCTATACGATCCACTACCACTACCCAGGTAGTATCATACTGCCTATGAATGGACATCGACCATCTTTGCACAAAGAAGCTTTCCACACCATGAAAGGTACAACGCATTCAACTTCCCCGGGCGATGGTGCTAGAAGATAAACCCAGGCGTCGACGATGGTACAATTGAATGGCACTTTGCGAGAAGATGGCTATGATGAGGTCACTCAGCGAGTAAAGCCTTGTGTGGCTTGAAAGCCACTGTGATTGCGAAATCGGTATAGCACCACCGTTGAGAGCATACTTCAGGCTGGATCTACTGATAAACTCTGTACAGCTGGTCGAGTCGAGGTGGAGGAGAGGCTGTGTATGTTGATGTGGTGGCGCAACGCTGCCAAGGAAGGCCATGATGTCTCGGAGTCTACGGATCGTGGTGAGAAGAGATTGCCGATACGGGTTGGTTATGCTCGGCCTTTGGCAGGTCACCAGTCGCTTCATTCAAGCGGAATTAGATGCAGAGCTACCTTGTGCAGACTTGTCGCTCGAGTTTGACATACAGCTACTCGTGCGGTTGCCTAACACTGTGAATATGGAGGCATAGAAAAGAAAAGATATGTACATATGTCGAGACGTAGTATATCCTGTCTCACCATAGCCATCGACCTGCCCAGAGTAAAGTGGCACAGCCAAAGCTCATCTTCTTCGCAGTGGTCGCCGAGACACCTCCCCAAGAATTGACTGGCGTATCAAGTTGCCAAGCCATACTTACGTACGGCCAACAGATCGTGCCATTGCTCAAAGTGACCAGATCACCAGCCACATACGAATGTTGATCGATGATAGGCTTACCAATTCTAGTGCCATTCTTATTAACAACTTAGTAATAAGTGCCGGTGAACTTCCCACTGCAGCCCATAGCAATGAAGTCACAGAAGGGATCCGCAATCTCCTCCCAGGTGACAAGAGCATACTCGTCGTCGAAGGCTGCAACATGAGCATTGCTACGATCAGGACCGATCGTAGGAGTGATCCAGTTGATCTGGCTGTCGCCATCTGCGGCACCAACTTCGCTGGTAGCTTGCGGTCCGACTAGAGTTTCTTTGTCGCTAAGCATAGATAGTGCTACACGGCGGCCATTAGTGCGGTTGTTGGAGTGAGTATATCCGCTGCCCATCCAGGTATTCTCGCTAAGGTCCACAGCACCACGGGATATCCAGGCGAGAGCATACGCCGTCGAGTTGATGAATCTAGCAAGCCCAGAGAAAGAGCCAGACATGCCACCAAAGGCCTCATTGCCGGCACCGTTGATTGTGTTTTCGTTGGAGATCTTAGCACCACTGTTGCCCATGCCTTGTGTCTTGGTGTTGAGCCAGATCTCGCCTTGGTCTTCGGAGCATACACTGGCGAACGGTGGAGCATCAGCAGCCTCGAAAGCGATACCGGTATTGTGCGAGCATCCCCACGAGGAGGTGGCGCCGGCATATCTTGAAAAGTGCCATTGTCATTGATGTACTGGATGCTATCGCCGAAATGACCCTTGGTATCGCCGGTATAATCAGTAACGACGAAGTAAGCGCCAAATAGCTCAGCCTCGTCGGACCACACCAGGTCTCCGTTCATGTCTGGAGACATGGCCAAGCCCTGATCGGCATGCACGCCCGGTCCACCAAGAAACGTCTTCCACTGCTAAACGTCATTGATGATTTGATAGATAGCAGGCACTGGCGTACCCTGAGGATAGTCCGTACCGCTTGGTGGAGCATTTGATGTTGTGGATGGGATGGGCTCGTTACCCAGCAGCGCGAAGCCATGATTGTATGCCACAATACCGCCAGCCTCGTACACATTCTCGATCGTTACATCCGGTCCCTTAATATTCATGGTCGACGGCTCAATATGCTGGACATGGACACCCGTGCCATTGGGGTCCAAATAAGCAATGTATCCCGTGTTCCCATCCCGCGAGACAGCGAATGGCGTGCGTCTGTGATGCAGCAGACCGGTCCAGTATGAGGCCTTGACCGGGTCAAAGTCCCACTTTAGCGGCATAACGTCCACAAAGGTCTTGATCTTGAGTGTCGGATCGACGGCGCCGACGACCGCCAGGGTCGAGGCAATCAACGGTATAATCTTCTTGGCCATTGTTGTAATGATCAATGATGCTTTCGTGAATGAGCGCGTAGAGTTGGGCTGGAAAGAGATTCGTGCGCAAGCACACCACGTTGAACGAATGTGATGAAATGAACTTGATTGAACGAAACCTAACCTACCAGGCTACCATGCGTGGACGCAGAGCTTCGCTTTTGTCCAGCAATGAACCCGTAGCCGTCCTTAGTCGCTCAAGGAGGAATTGTAACGACTAAAAGGACATTTGCGAGGAGGATCAAAGCTGTGTCTTGAAACGGGAGACGGAAGAATCGTTGGCGCAACAGGTTTGGGGCCAGCATGCTTCGTAGTGAGCGGATCGGTGTCCAGGATTTTCCTGTCGTTGCACAGCGAGTGATATATAACCTACTACTCGAGTCGTGGCTGAACAATGCTGTTGATTCAGACCCTTACAGAGATACCATGTACGGGAATGCAATCCTTCAAAAGGTGTTGATAGTGCGAGGTGGTGAAGAAAATGGTGGAGATCGGCTTTCCGCAAAATCTACTTGAGACCGGGCGGCAGAAAGAGAGGCTTGGCGGGTGAGATTTCGGAAGAGAGAACACTTTCCTTGTTCTTGTCAAGTACAGCATGAGTAGTATCGATCAAGCGAATCCCATTTCATGCTACGATAAGTCACGCACGCAGTCACTGCTGTTCTACTCTTATGGAAAAAGTGTTGTGTCCTCACCTGAGCCCTTAATATACGTAACGAAAGTAACGATCCTGCTTGTCTGTCAGATTCTGCCACTTTTCCTGCTCACTTTCGATGATGTTATTCACGTAACCGTCAGGCTTCCGATCCCTCTGAGTGTTGACCCAACGATAGTACACCGTCAACACCACTGCAAGCATTGCTGCAGCCGCCTGAGACACCACGACCGTAATTTTGGCCGGATAGTAATCTGGTGCATCGCGAGCTTGAAAGGTCTGCGGCCCGATTATGTTTCCCACTCCGAAGGCGAATGCCAGGAGCGCAGCACCGAACGTCCTCTTCGATGAGCCAGCGACATTGGCCGCTGTCCACTGAAGAGCAATTGGGAAGGTGGCGACAATACAGTTGACCAGGTAGATGCCTGCCAGCAAGCCACCTTCGTTTTTCTTCGACATGAACGACATAAGTGCACCTCCCAAAATCGCTGGTAAGCAGACACCAGCGTACCACAGCCCGCGATTTGATGTAGATCGGGTGCCGTAGCCAGCTATGAGAACGCTGGCTATCGAGATAATGCCAGAGGGCATGTTTAGCAATGCAGCGGTGGTAGTGCGATAGCCGAGCCCCTTGATGAGAGTAGCTGAGTATGTCGAGACGACGCCCGACGGAATGGTGGCCTGCAATTCATCAGCACGAGATACCAAAGCCATAATGTTGGTGCCATACTAGGATGGTCATCAAAGCTAACAACCAAAGCTGAGGGTCAAGCAGACCTTCCTGGATCTGGCGTGGCTTGATATGTCTATTCAATACACCAGTCCTATTGGTCTCGACGTGTTTCAGCACAGCAGCTCTCTCGGGAATGGTCAAGAAGCTGGCACTCATTGGCGAGTCTGGCAAGAACAGAACCGTCGCACCACCGATCAGAACCGTGACGCAACCGAGCACAACGAACATCAGTCTCCAGCCCTGGAAGTCATGCTTGTGAACATGCTGAAAGCCGTAAGAAGCCAGACCTCCCACAATCTGCCCGACGCCCAACCCACAGTACCAAAAGGCGAAGCGAGGACCTTGTTCTGCTTTGGTGTAGTACTGACTACTAAGAAGCATCAGAGACGGCGCAATAGCTGCTTGTAAGATGCCAAGGAAGATTCTAGCCGTCAAAAGGCTGCTGAAGTCGTGCGCGGCCGCCGTGCAGGCTGTTGCTATACCCCAAAGCACGACATTGGCCCCAAGCCATTTGGCCACGGGGACCTTGTTGAGTATGAAAACTATGCCAACATCAGTCTTTATACCACAGCGCATAAATTTGACACACTAGTTGGTATCTCTGCAATCAAGTATGCTGCAAAGAATGCTGTGGCGGTATTGGAGAAGTCGTTACCACGAAGCTTCAAGTCGTTGGTCAAGCCCATGACTGCTGCATACTACAGTACATGATTATTATATGGTTGGACTTGTAGAAAAGCGTACAGTGAGTCTCACATTGAGCGAAACTTTATCAACGAAGCTGACGGCGTAGCACAAGAACATTATTGGCACAATACGCCAATCGATCTTTGCAAGTAGCTTTCTCCGGTCGGCACCGCTCAGAGCCAATCCATTCTCATTGACACTGCTAAGAAATAGGTAGGCTTGGTCGACATTTCCATCATCGCGAGCTGATACTCGAGCTTCGACTTCCGCAGTCGAGCCACTGGACTTAGTACGGTCATTAAGAGAGGACATGTCTCCGAGCTTTTGGCAAAGTGGAGCTGAGGCTAAGAGAGTAGACAACGATACAGGCGGAAGACTTGACTTATGACAACAAGTGTCCCGAGGATCGCTGAGAAAGGGGCTGCATTTACTCGATCACGATCTATGCAGGTTGTACATCCCATCGATATTTCTTCGACGAACCCGGCATTGATCTTCACCACAATCCTGAATGATAGGCGAGGAGCTCTGTTGGGGGCTGCATTGCATGTACTCGGTATTTCAGCCCCAGGCTCCCCAGTCAAGTATTGTCCAATCAAAGTGTTGTGCATAGATCTACAGGTCTACCTCAGTTCCAGGGCTTTCAGCCTTACGACCTAGATGGGGTACGACATCGAAGAGCCTTTCTTCTCCCTTCGAGAGCATGCAAGTAGAATATTGGATTGCATTGTCAATACATCAACACAATTCGTAGAAAGGATATCTTGAGCAGCACACATTGCGATTCTCAGGAAACCCCACCCATCACTTTCGACGCTGCTTATGCACGACTACATTGGGGATCAGCTGGTGAAGACAATGTTTCGCAACAGCGATCGCAAGCTCGACAAAGAGTGGATGTTCGAAGATGTCGTGTCAATGTTCCGAGGCTCTGACAGTACAGAAGAAGGGATGGTGTTGCATCGGGAATGAGGCTGACTTCATACGGCTTCGCAGTTCGGCCTCGGTCAATCCATGCCTGAAAATTGTCGGCCGTAGCGTAATTCCATCGACCAAGAGTATGGGTATCAGAAAGCCACTAACGTAGTCGTTGCCTCTGTTAGCAAGACGTAGTGGTATTAGCGGACATAAGATGTGATGTCCGGCTCCCACAGTCTTGGCCATGAAGTCCGTCGATGTTAAGTGTTCTCGTGCTGCACTCATACGAGCCTCGAACCCTGGCATCTCGCCTTGAGATCACCACAGTATGGCTTCCACACTCCCATCTGAGCACAAAGCCCTCGTCGTTCAGTCTCACGGCACTCTCAACCTCAAAGTCAAAACTATCCCAACTGCCCAACCAACCAATGGTGCAGCCACCGTCCGCATCGAAGCGGCGGGCGTGTTGTCCTACCACCACGACATCTATAACGGCGACCGAAACTACAGCTACCCAACCCCTATGGTCGGCGGGCTCAGCGCCATTGGCCGCATCGCTGCTCTTGGTCCCGATGCCGTAGCTTTGAAAGTGGGACAGCTGATATACGTCGACTGTGTGATCCACGGCCGCGACGATCCGGACTCCGTCTTTCTGACAGCCATCCACGAAGGCATGACAGAAGGAAGTAAGAAAATGATGAGGGATACCTGGCGTGATGGATACTGGGCCGAGTACGCCAAGGTCCCGCTAGAGAACTGCATCCCACTGAATGAGAACCGATTGTGCGAGGAGCTGGGTTATGCGATTCCCGATCTCGTCTACATGAACTGCCTCATGGTGCCCTTCGGCGGCTTCCGGGACATCGACCTCAAGCCCGGGGAAACCGTAGTTATCTCCCCGGCGACGGGAGCTTACGGTGGCGCGGCTGTGATGGTAGCCATAGCCATGGGATGCCGCGTGGTAGCATTCGGGCGGAACGAGATCGAACTCGCTCGAATTCGGATGCACGTTCTGGGCTACAAACCCGAGGCAGCAATCGAGATTCTGAAGATGACGGGCGATGAAATGGCGGATGCGGCCTCAATCAAGGAGTTCGGACAAATTGATGCAGTTGTCGACTTCTCTCCTCCGCAAGTTGCGCAGTCGCCACATGTGCGGTCCGCCGTGTGGGCTCTTCGACGAGGTGGACGCGTGAGCCTCATGGGTTTCAACGAGAACCCTGTGGCTCCTATCGTAACAGGTCGTAATATTACCTTGAAAGGGAAGCTGATGTATGATCGGGAAGATATGGTGCTGTTTGTGAAAATGCTGGAGGCTGGCTTGTTTCCCAAGGGCCAAGACTTCGTAAAGACTAAGATGTATAAGTTGGAGCAGTGGCGCGAAGCGCTTGAAGAGGCCAAGACATGGATGGGGATTAGGAAGTACGTGGTGCTGATCCCGTGAATGTTCGGAGGTCTTGTATCAGTGGTGTTGGTAGTAGCCAGAAGTGTCTTACAGGCATGCTACCAGCCTGTCTTTATCGAGAACCTTCAACGACGTCAAGTGGTTCTTGCTCTGCCGCGCGCGTAAAGTGTCCTACTCATATCGAACGGCCATATCATCAGGTACGTAGCCCAGCACATACCACGTTTCCAGCGACAGCCGCAGACATAGGAAACTGCCGGCCGAAATCGTCCAGCATAGACTCTACAGCCATGCGAGAGTCCATCCCACATATCACAAACGGAGCCAATCCAGAACGTATCCTTCAGAGCCAACCCAGCGCCCAGTAGCCCCCAAAGACCTACAGACATACCTCAATCACACCTCCACCCAACCTTCATTCCTTTTCTCCGGCCGCCAATACACCACCTCCTCCTCTTCCTCCTCCTCCTCCTCACTGCCACTTCCGAACATTCGACTTTGCGGCCTTCCAGGTTCCATCGGCGTACTAGGCACAACCTCATCCACTCCTTGGACTTCCATTAGCAGCGGCAATTTCGCCGCCCGTTGGCTCTGGAAGTGCATGATGATATGATCGTAACGCTTATGCTCGCCCTTCGTGTACCCCCGCAAAAGCAAGAATTCCAGACTCGGCGGAAGTCGAGCAGCGAGATCGTACTCGACATCCATCTCCGACGGGCCGAGAAGAAGTTGTATGCCGATACTCAGATGCGTCAACTTCTCGTAGTCGTGCAAGGAGCCAATACTCCCGCCATAGTCCCCCGTATCCGGCAGATCAAAGACCAATAACGGTCCTTCGGAGATTTCCTCGTCAAGCTTAAACCATTGGTCACGATAGTAAGGCTCGTCACTCTCAGAATAGTCCTCGAGAATCATTCGTGCATCCTCCACGTCGCGCTCATATCCTTGATCACCATCATCACTCATTATATTGTCAACGTCCAGATCCAGCTTCCTAAGACTCGTGCGCTGACTCCAGAGCGCCTTGCCCATTGTCTTGCTGCAGACGCTATAGAAGCCTCCATCTCTCGTATGACGACCGCCAATAGAGTAGGTGAATGCCTCCAGGGCTTTGGATGTGAGGATGAGTTCAGCGTAGTTGTCCAGGATGGAATGACTGACATGGATGTGTTTGATGTTAGAGGAGTGAGGAGGGAAGTATTCCACTGCGCCCGCGCCGCCGTGGCCTTCGACCCCTTCAATCGACACACTCTCGATGTTCGGTAGGCGGTGGAAGAGGCGGAGCTCGCCAAGGATGTCCATGTGAGAGTAGGTATCTCCGTCCTCATACCAGATTCCTCGCTCGGGCAGCAAGCGAACATGCTTCAACTTCCGGAGATGTGGCTCGGGGAGTAGACCATAATTATTGCGTAGAAGTACTGTTCGAAGTATATGCTCCCGGTAAGGGTCGGAATGGTCGGCATCGGATTGGCGATAGGGAAGTGGGCAAGCGCTGTAGGTCAAAGTCTCAAGATTCGGGGAGTGGAGGAGGAGTAGCGCGGCGGCATTATGGGCGAACTGTCCATCTTGTACGCTGGTCCAGATTGAAAGGTCCGGGCGCTTTGATTCTTGTTGAAGGTGATGATTGCGATTGGCTTGGACGGAGGGATCGTGCCAGGTGAGGTACTTAACCATCTCATCTAGCGCAACATAATGAGCGGAGGAGCCCTCGGTAGGTCCGAGAATTGTAAGGACGTGGCGAACGGGATGATCTTCAGGCACGGTACGTTGGGCCTCACGTTCCACGTACGGTTTCGTGACATCCGTGTGGGTTGGGAGACAGGAGCCATCTTTGACCTCTTCGAGCTTGATGACCGCTTCTCGTACGCTGTCTAATACGGCAGGGTCTGTGTGGACAGAGTCCAAAAGATGGTAGATCTTGTCGTTGTCGTTGGTTCGACGCTTTCCTACGTTGATGCGTGAGTAGCTAGGCCGAGTAGAGGCATGCTGAGTCTCAGCGGAGGCAACGTTGGCGGTCGTTCCAAATGGGTGGGCTCGAAGACACACACCACCAGCGTAGGGTTTACTGCCTAGCACTGGTCTGGTCCAAGAGAATGTCAAGCCCAAGGAGAAGTGTCGGAGTGCCAGCTTCATCTCCCAATATTATGGCCCCGCTAATCATGCTGCTCATGCACACTGTATGCGAGGCTTTCTGACAACCATCTCTTGTCTACGCCACGTTCATGTCTTTACTGTACTTCAAGGGTAGTAGTGGCGTTCGTGAGACTAGCCCGAGTCACGAGACTTGGCTGACATGAGCCAAGCTTTGTGTGAAGCCTCTCGCTCCACTCTTTCCTCCAACTCTGCCAACAACAACACCAAGCGCTCCTCCCATACATACCAGATATAACATAAACGGTGATTATAGCCTCGCACCATGACGCGCTGGCAGGCCGGTAGTATGCTACAAATGTGTAAGGAGAAGTATATCTCCATCTCCATCTCCATATCCATCTCTCTTGGCTCCCACTCCCAAGCAATTCTCCTTCCCACCACCAAGCCTCCGTCGTGATCATGGATCTATTATCATTCACCGTGCTGCTCTCAGCATCCTTGACCCTGGCGCAGAATCAACAGCCTCTGTACTCCACCTACGCCTTCAACCCTCTCCAACACCTCGCAGGCATAGCCCCCTACTTCGAGCCCGCCGATCCACCACGTGACCCTTCACCACCACAGGGCTGCAGCGTCACGCGAGCAGCCTATCTCGTCCGTCATGCCGCCATCAACGCCAATGACTTTGACTATGAGGAGTACCTCGAACCATTCGGCAAGAAGCTCGCAAACACTACTGTAGATTGGAGTAAGATTCCCTAATTGAGCTTCTTGGCAAAATGGTCGCCGCCTGAGCTGGAGGAAGAAGAGAGGCTGACCAGGACGGGAAAGCTGGAGGCGAGTCAGTTGGGCGTGCAATTGAGCTATCGATATCCTAAGCTACGTCTACCCAAGCGCGTGTGGACTTCGAGTGCAGAGCGCACCACCATCTCCGCCCAAAGCTTTATCCACGGACTGGAGATGATAGACGATGAGATCGAAATGGTCACCATCTCCGAGAGTAAGAAAGCTGGCGCAGACAGCTTGACACCCTACTCCTCCTGCCCGGGGTACTCTTCTTCCGCCGGGTCGAAACAATCAAGCACATACGTCAAGACTTACACCGCTCCCATCTTGGCCCGCTTCAAGAGCCTCGCCCCAGCCTTCAACTGGACAAGCGACGATGTCGTGGGAATGCAAGAATGGTGCGGCTACGACACCGTCATCCGCGGCTCCTCCCCTTTCTGCTCACCCAGCCTCTTCCGCGCCGATGAATGGCTACAGTTTGAGTATTCTCAAGACATAATGTACCACTATAACACCGGCTACGGTCAACCACTGAGCGGGACGATTGGATTCCCATGGTTGAACGCTACGCTGAACACCCTTAGCGCGCCACCCAGTGAGGATGATCAGGATATATACGTCTCCTTCACGCATCGAGAACTCCCGCCCACCGTCCTTGTCGCCCTAGGCATCTTCAACAACTCCGAGTCCACCGGGATCAACAACCCCAACGCCACTATGCCTCTCGACCGCATCAACTACCACCGCCAATGGGTATCCTCCTACATCCTTCCCTTCTTGACCAACGTCGCAATAGAGCAGATGAATTGCTCAGCTTCTTACGGGTATGAGAATGTGACAGACCCGACATTCTATCGTGTAGTAGTCAATCAGTCCCCGCAGACACTACCTGACTGCTACGACGGTCCACTAGAGAGTTGTTCGGCCAGTGGTATGCAGAAGCTTGTGCAGAAGCGAGGGGAGATGTTTGGGAATTTCAGCGCTGCGTGCGGCGTGACGTACGATAATACTACGGATGTGCTGAGTATATACAGCCGGAACTTGACCGGGCGGAGTGTTGGGAAATGAAGAAAGCATTGTTAGCACAGTAACCGTAATTTGTACGAACTACCAATGCACATCATACCAAACGTTCTACCAAATCGCGCCTCTTACAAACGCAGCCAGGAATGTCACTACTACCCCTTCTTCAATCGAAAGTCTTTGCCAATAGAGCATTGCGTATGCATTCTAGGCAGTGCAGCGCACATGATGCGCGCTCTGGACTTCTTGACTGTTCAGGCCAAGCTGCTGGGCAACGAACAAGCAGATGGGTCCTGAGAGCCAAGCGAGCGGTATGCACGAACAAGAGTTTCTTGGCGTCCATATCAGTTTAGATTTCGTTGACAGTTCGGTATCTGCCGAACCACAGTCGAGAACCAAAGACAGAGCCAAGGGACAAGTCGGAAGATGCGACGTCCGCTGCCAGTTTGAAGGCGGCGAAGATTGCGAGACCAAAGTCTCCATCTCCAAGCCATCTGGCGGCCGGAGATATCTGGGCCTCACACAATTATATTGAAGATCATTTGGGTATTCAAAAGCAACGAGGTCACTACAGTCGTTCGCTGAGGCGAGCGTCTTGCGATCACGCGCGTCGACGACGAGGATACTAATGTCGACGCTGGATGACGCGACGATGTCGTTGGCAGCGGAGACGCCAAGGCATAGAGCATGGGGTAGGTCATCAGTCGACAGTGGTCATAGTTTGACCAGTACCACTTTCTATCAGCCCTCATGTACTTGGCGCCCGGATATTTGTCAGGCCAAGCGTATGCATAGGATTTACGCTTACCTTCGATAGTCATCTTCTTCGCTGCTTCGCCTATGCTTGGCTGGGACACATTTAGATCACCTGTTTGTCTACCACGTAGGCGTTCAGGTACATTCTGTACTAGGGCATCTTTCGATTTCTAATATACTTCCACGTGGACGGTTTTAATCCATGGCGCTGGAGATGAGACATTGCATATGGTCCCTCGGCAATAAGAGATTCTTGGTGCCTGGGTGAGTCGAGGCTCTTCTTATCATGAAAGAGTTGTTACTGCGCCTCCCTCTTCATCCCCTAGTCTTCGTCTTGGCTTCTGTACAGCGTGCAGCCTGACAGGAATAAGACAGGAGATGCTGTCTGGCACGCTTGGGATCGTGCTCGGCGTACGTACGAGGGTGATGTTGTCCAGAATAGCAACATCATCTCATCTACAATTGAGGACATATAAGTCAGGCTTCCATCAATTTTTACTTCCAATCCCATCATCACATCCACATCTCATCTTATCAGACCAACACAAAACCACCATCAGATACATCACAGCAGACCATATCTCTCCACCACCAAGTACATCCCTCCAATAACACTTAAGCAATCATGCTCTTCTCCACTACCATCTTGAGCCTCGCCGCTCTCTCCACCACCGTCCTGGCCGCACCAAGCCCTTGGAACAACAACGGTAAGGGCAATGGCAGGAACTGGGGCAAAGACCGCGACTGCAAGAATGGTCCTTTCGAATTCACTTCGACCTACAACATCGTTGCCACTCCCGATCAGGTCGTCAACGGTACCACGCCTACGGGCGGTCTTCCCGTAAGCACCATATCCACTCACTCTACTTTCACCAGTACCACTGCTAACGTATCCAATCCCAGGGCGCCATCGGCTACTACAACTTCGGCATCAACAGCGACAAAGACCTGATCTGCTGGTCTATCACCCTTAACGGCTTCCGTGGAAACTACCAGTCTCCCGCCAGGACAGCAACCCACATCCACCAAGCTGCAAAGGGAGCTAGTGGGCCCCCTCGTCTCGCTTTCCCAAATCCTGTGGGCGACGAGAAGGAAGCCATCAGTGTCGGCTGTATGACTGGCCCATTCACCACGGGCGTTTCGACCAATGGCGTGGACTCAGGCGCAGGGTTCAAGGTGAAGCAGATTGAGGATGATCCCGCTGCTTTCTTCGCAGACGTGCACTCCAGTCTGGCTGTTCCTGGTGCTGTACGTGGGCAGCTTGCTTAGAGCTGAGGCTCGTCATGAGAAGCTCTCGCCAGGAAGAAGAAGCTGCGTTCGTAACTAGTCTTTGGTTCTTATGGTAGTCCTTTTGGTATCCTTGATCTAATGTGTCGTCGACAAATTCGCTTGTTTCACCTCTCAAACTCTCATGGTCGTAATACAGTGCAGTTGACACAAGCGGTGCTGTGGTAAGTCATAATCCAAAGATTTTACAAGGTCACAGCCGCATTTCCAGAACTTCTCCAGGCCAGTCGTCAAGCTTGTTGACACCAAAGGAACCCAAAGACGTAAAGCCTTGCCGTTCGTAATACCTGAAAGCCAGGGTTAGTACCGAACAAGCAATATAGCCATGGAGATTGTAAGAGTCTGAGGGAAGGACGTACTGCACAAGTTTACCACCATTGCCACTCCAGCAGTCCATACAGATGCGGCTCAAGCCAAGCCGCCTAGCTTCCACCTTGGTATGTAATATCAGTGCAGCTCCAGCTCCTTTGCCGAGATCTCCTGCCGTGCGATCGGTCAGGAGATAAGCCAGATACAGGAATGGATCCTTTTTGTCTTGCTCGAGAAGTACAGGGCGAACGTAATCAGCTGACTTGGCTTCTAGGATCAATGCCGCGACAGGCACAACTTCTGCTTCACGATCCTTGGGGTTGCTCAAGGCCTGCTTCCGCTCTGCGATATAGACCCCGGTCCACTGCGGGCTCCACTGTTGCTGCTCAGAAACTTCACTTTGGTTGACTTTCGTATGATACTTGGCCTTTTTTGCAGGGTCATCTCGTATGAAGGAGGAGCCCCATTGGTCACCACTCCCTATAGACTGAAGCCAGGGTAGCTGGCTGTCGAACATCTGGATCAGCAGCTCGCCGTCGCCACGGGTAGTCCTACTTCGTCGGATGGTGATTTCCGACATGATGTGGCGCTACTGTGGGTATGGCAGTCGGTACCACGTGGCCGTGGACAAGGTTGGCCGCTAGGATAATGTCAGGTCGTAGCCAGACTTGAGGAATAGACGTGCTTCGGGAAAACAGCATCCATCATCATTCATGATGTGACTAACCACTTAGGAACAGCCCGTGGTGCAACTCACGACTACGACTCTGGCTGCGCTCACGTCCTCTAGTGCCTAACACTGCACGTTGTGGTTCGTGCCTTGCATTGTTCCACTTGCATGTGTAGGAGACGACGAAGAAGAACAAGCCCTTGAATTTGAATGATGCCGAGCGTGTGTGGCCCGTGCAGATTTTGTTAAGCCATCACAACTTGACAACTCGTACCTTGTGACCAACTCGTGCTGGCCTACCATAATCATATTCCGTCTGTGAGTCATCGAGACATAGCGGGAGCAAATCGACAAGCGACGCTTGACGAGCCGTATGGCCCCTAATTCGACGTCGGAGGTTGCGGAGGTTACAGGCATGCCACCTTCGCGCTTTTCTACTGCCCGAAGGCGTCTAGGGTCGCGTGGTTGTAACATAATATAAGACCATGATGTCCCACATCAACATGAGGCCACACTTAACATTGAGAGGTACAAAACAACGAGTAGCTCCGATCCACGAGCATTCGACATGGCTGCCAAGCCACTCAACGTGCTCATATCCGGGTCCGGCATCGCTGGCAGCGTCTTCTCTTCCTGGCTTCTGGAGCCTTCCCAAATGCCAAGATTACGATCGTCGAACGAGCACCATCTCTTCGCCTGACTGGCGCGAGCGTGGACATTCGCAGCTCAGCAGTCGACATCATCAAGTGGATGGGAGCCGAGGCCGAAATACGAAAGCACAGCACCAAGGAGAAAGGCATGCAATGGGTCAATGGTCAAGGAAAGCCGTTTGCTACACTTGGGGCTACTGGACGCACCGATGTCCAGAGCATCACTTCCGAGTTCGAGATCTTCCGCGGTGAGCTTGGTAAGATATTTATCGAGCCGAGCCTCGACAAGATCCATCTGGTCTTCGACGAGTCAATCGACCACTACGAGGAGCGATCAGAAGGTGTTACGGTCCACTTCAAAAATGGGAAGCCTGCCAGCACGTACGACCTCCTCGTGGCAGCCGACGGCTTCGGTTCACGGATCCGTGGCACTATGCTCGGCACCAATCCTCGAGAACAGATCCACGACGAAGGTGTACATGTTGCGTACTTTACAATTAAGAAGGATTTACTGAAAGGCTCTCAATACGCTCAATGGCACAACGAGCTCGGCGGGAGAGTCGTCTGTCTGCGACCGGACCCATCACCCAAGGGTCAGGTACGAGCAATGCTCATAAATATCACTACCAAAAGTCAAACGGCGGAAAAGGCGCGGCTCAATCAGGCTTTGACTGAGGGTAATGAAAGCTACATGGCTCTAATGGAGGAGATGTTCAAGGATGCTGGCTGGCTTGCGCCCGAAGTTCTGAAAGGCATGCGAAAGAGTGATGACTTCTACTGCTCGCTTTTCGCACAGACTCGATCACCGAAATTGCAAAATGGTCAGCGTGTGGTCTTGCTTGGCGATGCAGGGTACGCCACACCAGGCATGGGCACAAGTCTTGCCATTATGGGAGCCTATGTACTGGCTGGCGAACTCCTTCGAAACGACTGCAAAATCCCTCGTGCGATGCAAGAATACGAGAACCTGCTCCATCCCTTTGTTAAGAGTCAACAGGGCGGTGCTATCGGTGAGATTGCGATGCAGCTGCTGAATCCGCAGACGAGGTGGGGATGCTGGATCCGGGACCTGGTCATGATGACTCTGACTGGTCTGAAGATTGACCAGATTGCCATCACTCTCAGTGCATGGCTGGGGTTCACAGAGCCGAAGCTACCAATGCCAGAGTATGCATGGCCTGCGGTAAAGTCGTAGGACGAGATGAGTCAAGACGTTTTCCATAAGCTTACTACTTACAAATCCCTCCATTCTTCGTTCTGGCAATACTGTAAGCATGCGCGGATAGCTCTTGCACCGTTACTGTCAATGTATCCGATGTCGTTACAAGGACCACTGATAACCTTTGTGCCATTCCTGTGCCGACCAGCCGGCATCGTAGTCTACGTCACTGGACATAGACACGATTGGACTGATGATCAGTGATCAGCTGGCATTGTGGTCAAATTACCGATGCATGCCGTCGTACGGCGGACCTGGCTCCCTATCGCCGCAGAAGCCGCACGAGAAGTTGAGATTTGTGCCGCAGCCGCCGCAGAAGCCGCACAACAATACGGCCGTCATGACCAGCCTCTTTCTACAGCCAAACTTGACTGGAGCATATATATACCTTACGTGTCTTCGCGACAATGCCACACCAACAAACGTCTCCACGCGACATCTAGCAGATACGGACCAGCCATGGCAAGCACAGAAACGTCTGCGGATATGTCATTACAATAATACTCTCAATGCTCGTCCCGGACTGGATACAACATCCTCGCAATTCGCTGGACCCACCAAAGCAGAGTTGAACCTCGCCAGCAAGCATGACGAAGCCCCTCTACAACTCCCAGATACCTTCGGCAAAGAAGTTCTATTCCTGTCCGTCATCTGTTCATCACAGCTACTCACACAAGCTGGATTGGCAATGAGCATTGTCCCCTCCCATATCATCGGCGCCTCCTTCGACATACAGGACGAGTCCGAGCTGAGCTGGTTTTCGGCCGCGTACTCCCTGACAATTGGGACTTTCATCCTTGTCGCCGGCCGGCTAGGTGATGTGTTCGGTCAGAAACCTTTCTTCATCGGTGGCTACCTATGGTTTGGGATCTGGTCTGCGCTTGCTGGGATTGCAGTCCATGGCGGACCCTGTCATGTTTGCTTTCTGCCGAGCTATGCAAGGGATTGGACCGGCGTTTCTACTCCCAAACGCTATTGTCATTCTTGCTCGCTACTATGAGCCTGGTCAACGGCAAATTATCATCTTCAGTCTCTTCGGAACCACCGCGCCAAGTGGCTTCGTACTAGGTGCTGTCTTCTCGAGCTTATTGGCACAACGTGCTTGGCGGCCTGGACTTTCTGGATCCTCTGCATCGTCTGTGTTGTACTGGCAGGCTAATCAATCGTGATTGTCCCACACACTCCAGCATTGAACGACCCAGAGGACGATGAGGCGAGCAGATGGCAGCGAGTTGATCCGTGGGGTTCTGTCACTGGTGTGGCTAGCTTAGTCCTATTCAACTTTGCTTGGAATCAGGGTCCTACCATCGGCTAGCAGACACCTTACACATATATCGTCATGATCATCGGCATTGCTTTCCTCGCCGGTTTTGTTCTCATTGAGCGAAGGGTGAGCTACCCACTTATTCCGAAAACAGTTCTCAGACTGGATTCGGGTTTCACCATGGCCTGCATAGCAGCCGGCTGGGCGAGTTTTGGCATCTACACCTTTTATAGCCTGGGATTTCTGGAGGTCCAGCGAGGTCATGGTCCGCTGCTGGCAACAGCTATGTTCACTCCAATCTGCGTTAGCGGGCTTTGCGCGGCTATCGCCACGGGCCTGGCTTTGACATATCTGCGAGCCTCCACCGTCATGCTCATCGCCATGGCAGCATTCTTTGTTGGAGGTATTATCTTTGCAACGATGCCTGTCGAACAGACTTACTGGGCTCAGACCTTTGTCGGCACAGTGATCCTTCCTTGGGGAATGGATATGTCCTTTCCTGCTGCGGCCATCATCTTAAGCAGCACCATGCCACAAAAGCACCAGGGTCTCGCAGCCTCGCTGGTGAACACCTTTGTCAACTATGCCATCTCCATCGGATTGGGTCTTGGCGGGACAGTCGAGACGCAGGTGAACAGAGCTGGTTCAGATATTCTCAGGGGCTATCGAGGTGCGTCCTACACAGGGGTCGGCTTCTCCGGTCTGGGTGGGGCTGTGGCGCTTGTCTTCTGCTGTATGGAGTACTCGCGTTCGACAGCGTCGGAGCTGAGTCCCACGATACATCAATTCAAGCTTGAGGAGGTTTGGGACGGCACGTCTGCTCGTAGTCAAGGCAGAGGCTGTAGCATAGAACAATATCACGAAGGATCAGTGCGACTCACCAAATGCAGTCCCGTTGGATAGATCAACATCATCGAATTCGCGGGTTCATCTCTTCTACCGTTCAGTTGAGTTGCAGATCGCTGCCAAGCCAATCGAACATCGATGGCTCGTGGAAAAGCTGATCCCAGTCGAAATCTTCATCGAAGTCTGGCGTCGACGATGGTGCAGGAGCATTAAAGTGAATTTGCGCCGATCGGTTCAGTGTCTGAACGGACTCCAGACGTGAAAGCTCCTACTTCTTCTTCGCAACGCTCAGGTCGAGTAGCCGTCGCACCATGGATCGTGCGTCACGCGCTGCTTTCGTGTCGCTCGCTTCCGCCATGTAGTCCAGACATCGCAAGGCTGAAGCAACATGAGCGGACGATACTGATGTCTCCATGGCCAAGAGCACGCAGGCGTATTGGAAGACACTCCCAATGACATTCCAGAAAAATAGACCCTGCTTGGCAAGCTGTTCAGCTGCCTGGACGGCGGCGTTGCCGATGCTGATAGTGATGCGAGAACATTCGTCCGGTATGCCAGTCTTCAGCAGATGAAGTCGGCGGTAGAAACAGAGAGCGAGATCTGCTTTAGTCACCAACAGAAATGGATCTGCAACGTGCAAGTTCTCCAGGGCCTTCAGGCGCGCGGTAAAATCTTCTTGTGAGCTGCAAGGTTTACGCTCGAGCTGGAACGGAGAGTTGGACGACGGTATGATCTGAGCTATCCGCACGAATTCATCGGCGAGAGAGTGATTCGTCGCCATAGTGGCTTGAGTTGTGACCGTCCGGAAACTACAGGCGATCGATCGTATTCATAGGACATGACATTGTTCCCGGCCCACGCAATCCAGAAGATTCTCCTTAGCATGTCGGCACTATTTCCATGGGCAGCCAGATCGGATCTGATAGCCATCTTCTTGATGATATTGTCGTTGTGCAAGCCAGCTGCTTCACAAAGATGCATGAGCGTACATGACGCCATCCAAGGGTGGATAGGGCGGGTTGTTGCCCTCAGGTACAATACTCGCAACGCCCATGCGATCAAATGATCGATATCTGACTTGTTCATGGAGACCGGATCCTCGATAACTGCTTTTGCATACTGGACCAGGTCAGATTCACGCGCGAACTTTTGAGGCGAGAGAAAGGATGCGAGCGCGGCAATGCCAGCCGCCACCGCTCCGAACATGATCTGCCTCCTACCTGTATGGTGATAAAGCGCCTGACATCGCAGTGCGTAGATCTGGTGGTCCACAAAATCCCCTATCATTCCCATTGTCGGAAAGTAGAAGGCTGAGTAGTAGTTGAGGCTAGCTTCTGAGATAATTGCTCCCAGTAATGCGTGAGTGTACGAAGCTTCCTCTGCCCGTATGCCAAAGTTATCCGCTAGGGATTCCATGTCAAGAGCCTTGTCGCCGTCGAGAGTCTGGCCCAAAATATGCGGAAAAGCCGTGGTGGTGGCATCTGTGCTGTCGGTTTCTCGTGGCACCTGCACAGCGGCAGGATCCACGCCAGAGTTGATGGGTGTTCGAGTGGTCGAGATTGCGCCGTGATCTTCCAGAGGTGGAACTATCGAGCGTCCAGTAGCAACATAGCGAGATCTGGTGTTATCAGCGTACCGACAGTCGTAGTCGTAATTCGTACACAAGCTACAAGGATGATCTCCGTCATACTTGCGTTTGCGTTGATGGCATGGTATACAGGCGATCCTCGCCCTCTTCCTTTTTCTAGAAGTCGACGACATTGGATGCATATGCCGTGCAAAGTAGAGACGGACGCGAGGGTTGGATCTGGGTGTGTAAGGTAAGATGAGGTGAGATGGCGCAGTGCCCACTTTTCGCGGCGCGTCGCGTCGACAAGTCCCCGTCGAAGTCACTTCCACCATCAATTCACCACTCGACATCCTGGCATCAGCTTGTTCCCTGGGCAAAACAAATATGAAGCGATCTGTCGAAAACGAGGTTCCCGATGATGGGTCGCGCAAAGCGATACGTCTGTCGGACGGAGTAATACCACCTCCCCAATCACTTACCCGGCCAGACAAAGAATTGGTGCTTGGCCATGTCTACAACGCCTGTGATCTATACGATGAGCTATTGCCCTATGTTGGTCGGCAATCTCGTGAGGGTAGTAAGCGAGCACAAGCGGTTGTCGAAGTCACTGACGCTATCCACGACATACTGGCTGACGCGCAGCGCAAAATCGACGAGCAGTGGGACAAGCTGTTGCAAGCGACGAGGGAATTCGCGGCTCATGCCGTCCAGGGCTCTTATGCATATGAAAGAGGGAACCTGCTATGTAAGTCTCCTTGTCAAACGCATTGACATGACGTTGCTAACGAAATCAAGCTCTATCTACGTCTACTCTTGAAACGACTCTTCTGTACATGGACTGCTCGGACAAGAAGCGGTACACGACCTACGCCTGCAAGATACTTCGAGAGTCAGCTACCATAGAACCGCTTGACGAAGAAGACGGCTTCCAGTACTACGACGGTCAGCGGATTGTAAAGGTATCTGCACCGCACCCGTACATCGAGAAAGCAATGAAAGTTGTGGGCGGAACGATCGGTGACCTCAACCCAAGTGGTACGCTGCGCGCTTTGATCACCCTTTACACGACTCTTGGACCGGGGTGCGTGCGGGTCCGCATGGGTGAGCGTTCACGAGCCCGAAGCTGTGTTGATCGTGCTATACGTGCGCTCGTCGACCCGAGCAACATACAACCACAAAATATCGAGTGTCATCAAGGCGACTGCGAAGGGGGCAATCATCAGACATGTTTCCGCTCTATTGAAGTCGGTCGATTGAGATGGATGGAGGATCCAGACATGACAGGACCCCCGAGCTACTGGGACTTCGCTTCGGTTTTGCGCGAGCTGAAAGCGAGCTACTCGGAGGCTACATGCGAGTACGACGGCGACAGAAGTGACGAAGCTGACGAAGATGAGTCATACACCCGCGCATGCTTCCACAAAGACAGTATCGACTTGCTGGAGTGGCTACAGAAGAAGGCATGGCAGGAGGTTCGCACCAAAGTCGCGACTACCGCTGGTAGTCGACTTCCTGTTGAATTGGTCGATCAGATCATGGAATGTGCTTTGCACGCTGAGAGCATTCCGCTTGAGCCTACTGTACGCACCATGCGGGAGCCTGAAACTCCGGAATCGGTTAGCAAGTATGGCTTTACATATTTCAAGCAGAAAGTGTTGAAGCAGGAATATGAATGCGAGACTACGAAAAATCCATCTTACGATATTCGCCCCGAACTCGGTTGGGTTGAGACCAGGCTCGACGATGGTATCTAGGAGGATCGCTCTCGTCCGGAACGATGGCCTGGTAAAAGAGTGGAAGGGCCTGGACCGCTCATTACGAATGGAAACAACGGAACTGCGAGGCGGTCGACAATTCTGTACTGCGCATCCACAACATTAGTTACGACATTGTCGTCAGAAAGGACTAGCATGTATATATCTTCGAGACGGCTCTGCTCGACTGAAGCAAACATTCCAAAGGACGGTCTCTAGATCGCAGGAACATCAGTCCTAATGTAGCTGAACGTTGAATAGATAATCTTTTTCAGGTTGGCGAAGCCAATGATCACAGCTCGTTGGCCATTACTTCACGAATTCATCAACGGCCTGCTGCATTCTTCCTTGTCAAGCAAATCGAGATGCAAGCATGTCCCGGCCCTCGTCGAACCCTGTACACATCCAGCACTTCAACAGCCTTCTGAGTCACAATTTGTCTTCACTTACCACAACTTGGCATAGTTTGCAGCCCAGAAGTCTGCTTTGTGTAATGCGTCCACCCCAGCCCTTCTCTCAGCCCAGCCTGTAGAAGGAATGGTCATCAGGCCGAGCCACTGTGGCTGAGCAGCTCTTCTGGCAGTCTGCAGCAGGCTGGCCGATGCTACAGCTGTAGGCGCTAGTAGAATGAGATGTTGTGGCAGTAAGCAGGATTCATATCATGGTAGCGAACCGCACAAGTGTTAACATTGCTCTTTGTCATCATTTCGTACATCGCAACCTCGGCAGCCAACGACTTCGATGCTTAACCACATCCAGATCAGCTTCCTCTTTCTCATCCTCGGAAGTGGCGACCACATCGTGGCTCCCGTTCGGTCGCTCGATATCAGGAATGGCTCCATGATCTGTGCAGCATCTTCGGTCTTGCCGTGCTTGAGGAGCCTGATATCTTTCGTTAGCCCTTGGGACTCGCAACACCAAGCGCTGATCTGACTTGCCATCGTGGAGATTCCGGAAAGGCCAAAACGCCGACGATTAGGAGAAGGCCAAATACTGCCTGGAAGGCTATTGGGAAGCGCTATCGGAAGGCACCCATGTCTTGCAAAAACAAGAAGCCGTATTTCTTGGTAGTTAGCATTTGCAGGTCTGGATCTGAGAAAGGACTTACGAGCCAGTAAGCCAGAACGATGCCTAGAGTGATGAGTGCGCCTTCGAAGAGCACAAGGAATCCTCTGATCTTGGGTGGAGCTATCTCTGACTGCCACACCGGAATGGTGCTAAGAAGGCGGGCTTCAGACGGTGTGTTGCTAGACATGTCAATTCGTCTTACCTCGTATTCATGCCGTTGCCAAATCCAGTGACTATGCGGCCGACGATAAGCTGCGGCAAAACAAACGAGGCTGTCTGTATAGTTGCACCAACGAGCATGATGCATGCGCCCATCAGTACGGAGCGGCGCCGACCGATCTTGTCGCCGAACCATTCGATTCCCAAAGCTCCTATCAGGCAGCCGATCTCGTAGATAGCCTGCACCACAGTGTTTCTGATCAGACTATGACTTCACAAGCGATGCTTTTCCAAGATCCATACCACAACTAGTGCCTGGATGGCGCCTGACTTGTTCTTCTGATCCATGTGCGGGAAGACCTGGCGGAAATTGGGCTCCGTGATTATGCCGCTCATGACACCCTCTGCATGACATATCAGCTGCTTACGTCCATCGCCGGCAGTGCGTCACTCACGATCGTAGCCCGACAAGAAGAAGCCGGAGGATGCAGTCGCACACACTCCAATCTCAAGAGCCTTGTCTTTAAGAACATTTCCGAGGAAGCCATAGTGGGAGAGCGCCATAACAAGGGTGTTGGAATCGTAGATACGCAGAGCATAGACGACCGGGAGCGCGACGGCAGCCTGACCTACCTGTTATACTGGAGAGCAGAGCGACCGAGCACATGTCACTCCACCAGATCGAGTCTTACGGTGGAGATCCGGAACCGAGTACTGCTACAAAGCTGAAAATACACATAGGTGGTGCGAAGTGGACGAGCCTCATCTTCCATCATGCTGCGCAGATCCGGCCGCATGGTACTATAATCGACCTCGAGAGTAGAGACTTTGTTGTAGAGACTTTGTTATGGGGGCCTAAAGCTTAACGTCTACAATTCTGCGCAAAATAACTGTCGTATGCTAAGACCAAAAGTTAGGGAAAGTATAGTATCCCCGAGGAGCGCCTATACCTAGGAAGCTACCTAAGGCTCCTTACGCCGCGTTATAACGTATATTAAAAGTAATAATACCTTTAACTCTACTATTATTATAATCCTTACCCTTTTTAAGGCTTTATTAAGACGATAATTAGATATTTTAGGTATATACGCTCCTCGAGGATACTACGTACTATATAACTTTAGGTCTTAGTATACGACAATTATTTTGCGTATAATTGTACTTATCTAATTAACTAAGTTTCCACCAAGGTTTTAGGACGAGATCACAGGCGCCATCATTCTAGATGACGCTGAACGACATACGGAGCCCAAGCATCTCAAATACTCTGCTAAGAGAGGTCGCGTGCCCTCACGGCCAGACACAATGTAGTTATCGGTATTAGACATCGATTTATGCATCCGAGTCCTCGCCGAGTAGGTAGCAACTACACCGATTGATGAGATGATTATGCGTGACATCCGTAGCGTCTTGTCGTGTGCGGCCTCCGTCCTCAAGTGCTATGTGCCATGCTTGCGGTGAACATTGCGTGCAAACCACTTGCTTGGCGGTGGCGATGTATGAGCCTGAGTGGTCTGCGACAGCGAGACGGTTATAACAATTGGATGACAGCTGTTCGATCCGCCGCGACTGTGAGGCCCCACTTGTCGAAGAAGTGGCAGATACCTTAGTTCTAGATCTAAGGTGGTGAACAACTTTTCATCAGCACTACAATCAGAAATTCTTCGCCTTCTCCAGGCAGACGACATGGACATCCACGACCATGCCCTGTGGATGGGCCCAAATGGTCGGCCTGGCCATGCAGCATTGTACGATATTCAAGCATGAGTGCTGACGTGGACTGCACTGACTCGAGGAGAATGCCTATCGAAGATCCGGCTACCGGAAGAGTCTTTGCACGGTAGGACAGTGGCGAGCACAATGATACAGAGGAGCACTGAATGGTGGACGCAGCACCCATGCCGCCTCGCCGGCCGATGTCGAGCAGGCAGTTCGTACAGCTCACGAAGTTTTCGCATCAGGAGTCTGGTCTCGTGTAGACCGACATCATCGCGCAGACGTACTAGAGAAGGCAGCCCAGCTGCTTACTGATCGATTGGACGACTTGATAGCCATCGAGGTCCAGCAAACTGGACGGACGATTCGAGAGATGACGGCACAAGTCCCTTCCCTCACCAGATGGTTCAAGTATTATGCGGCTCTGATACGCACCGAAGAACGAGCTGTACTGCCTACGTCTGGACAGTTACACAACTGGATCGACAGGAAGCCACTCGGTGTCGTGGTACAGATCACACCTTTCAACCACCCACTTCTGATAGCTGTGAAGAAGCTTGCACCCGCCCTTGCTGCCGGCAACAGTGTCATTGTCAAGCCTTCCGAGCTAACACCATTGACCACCCTCATGCTTGGTAGAATCCTGCAAGAGGCTGGCATACCCGATGGTGTGTTCTCTGTGCTTCCTGGCTATGGCACCACCACTGGCAAAGCTCTAGTATCACATCCGTTGGTCAGAAAGGTGGACGTGACGGGCGGCACACCCGCAGGAAGGGCAATAGGTGCTATTGCTGGCAGTAATCTTGCTGCCTTCACAGCTGAGCTTGGTGGCAAGGCGCCGGTAATCGTGACTCGGAACGCGAACATCGATGCCGCAGTCAACGGCGTCGCGTTTGGCTCTTTCATAGCGAGTGGACAGACTTGCATCGCCGCCACGAGGATTATCGTGGAGCAGAGCATGCTTCCAGAGTTCCTTGACAAGCTGGTGACCAAAGTAAAATCCATCGAAAGCAGGATCGGTTCGCCGACAAATCCTAAGTCGATGATGGGCCCTCTCGTGTCAAATGCGCAACTTGAGAAAGTCACAGAGTTGGTCGGTGCGGCTGCTCGAGATGGTCTATGTGTTCTCACTGGAGGCAAGCGGATGTTAGGTATGTCACCTCTGGATTCCACCGACCTCACACATGGCTACTTCTATCCTCCTACTGTGGTGGCCCACGGACCCAAGGCAATGGTGTTGGACTCGAGGCTGTGGAGGGAGGAGGCTTTCGGACCAGTAGTCGTTGTTGTTGGCTTCGACACTGAGCAAGAGGCCCTTGAGCTGGCTAATAACAGCGACTTTGGACTCGGAGCTGCTGTATGGACGCAAGACTTGTCCCAAGCTCATCGTCTATCTAGTGCCATCGAATCTGGCATCGTCTGGGGTCTGTGCAATGTTATGCTGCTCACCTGTCTACTATATCGGCTGACAGACCTCCATAGTAAACACTCATCACCGCAATGATCCGAGTAGTCCGTGGGGCGGGATCAAGAGCTCAGGTGTAGGGAGCGAGAATGGCATCGGTAACCTATTGTGTACCACTACTGACAGGTGCGAGACTCATGTTGTCACAGATGCCTACCATGCTTACACCACGATCAAGAGCACTATCATCAACTATGCTTCTGCTGAGCAGTCTTTAGCAACGGACGACTGGTTCGCCGAAGACCCGGAGTCAGTGCGCTATGGTTAAGACTGTGTGCTACCAAGCACAAAGTGGGAGCATTATGCGAGGGTCGCCATAAGAGACGGCCATTCAACTACTCTATACAAGCTGTCAACATCCAGCATCATGCACAGTATGGTAAGACAATGATGTGGACGCGATGCAATGCCCAGGAGGAGGAGCCATCACGTGCTACCGGTGGCCTGGACTCTCACGTTTAAATTGCAGATCTGTCCACATAATAAGGTTACATGTTCTTCGTTTCGACTCGCCAATATCAAGGTAGCGTGTACTGCTGAAGAATCAACTTCTAGCATGCGGCTCTGGCTCAATGTTTAGGCGTGCAAACAAAAGTAATGTTAAGGCGTGCTTTAATTCGGTGCTGCGAGTGGCCGTAAAAGTTTTCAGCCAGCCCAAAGCGGGATCGCTCTGCGCCATCGAGCTGAATCTGGTCACTCCCGTCGACTACATCCACCGAAGTTCGACCACCAGCGACCTAGCATTCATCGGTCTTCTGAATGGTTTTCGCGTCGAGTCAGCACCGAATATCAGTCTCGCCTTTCCTGATTGGCCGTCAATAAGAATGAATGGCGAAAACGGCCTCAACATGGAGGTTATGTCTTGGCCTAGCTCTTGTGACAGTCTACTACATCACAAGTGTGGCCGTACAGCCTGACACAACGTCCAACACGGTAGTATCATATATCTAAACCGTATTTGGATGTCCTGAGCTGGGGCGGTCGAGGTGAGCATCGTCGCCACATCCTGCCACGATGAAACAACTATTATTCGCCAAGCTGTTTCTTATTGTTACTGCAGCATTCCTCACTTCACCACAAACGACGTTTGAAGCTAGTGTGTCTTTGCCTTCATACCCACTGGCTGTCAAAAGTCCGTATCTTTCAACTTGGGTTCCTGGTAATCAGCTTGCGGGTGCGTCTTCAGCACAACCCGAGTTCTGGCAAGGACAGCCTCTGACCTGGCCTGTACTTGCAAGAGTGGGCAAGACGACATTCTCTCTTCTCGGCGTTCCTCACGGCATCAAGGGTAGTCTACCCGCCAAGACGACTGACATCAGCTATACATCCACCCACACACTGGTCAACTTGACCGCAGATCATATATGCTTTACTCTCGACTTCTTCTCACCAGTACAGCCTGGTGAGAGCGAGTATGCTCTGCAGTCCTTGCCGTACTCCTACCTCACTGTCACGGCGACCAATGAAGCAGGAGGGTCGACTCACATTCAGATCCTCAATGCCATTGATCAGACCTGGACAGCACAGGATGGCGCTGCCCAGCTCAACTATACGACATCAGGCAATGCGACATTCTTCTCGTTCCATAATCCGAACGAGAGAATCTTCACAGAACATAGAGAGATGGCATCCTACGGTACGATAGTATTTGGTACGACCGCCGGCAAAGGTGTAGGTTGGGCTTGTGCCAGTGCTGACGATATATACTCGGCCTTCATTCATCATGGCAAATTACCACGGTCGACTTCGTGTAGAGGCACAGAACTGGCGGCGTTGTCCCAAGATCTCGGCCGATTGAAGGCAAAAGATAGCCGCTCCGCAACGTTCGCAGTCGGCCACGACAGGGTTGACGCCATCAACCTACTCGGCAATACACAAACGGGAGTCTATCGATCACAATGGTCGACTGTTGAGTCGGCTATGGGATTTGTTTTGAGCAACTATGAGACAGCTCTGAACGCTTCGAATAAGTTTGATGCTGTAATTCGTGGAAAAGCCGAAGCTGTCTCCTCGCAATTCGGCAGCGAGTATGCAGATCTCATCGAAGCAAGCGTAAGACAGACATTCGCCTCATTCGAGTTGACTGTGAGTTTACATAAGACGGGTAGAGTTGCATACAGCGCTGATCACTCCAGGTACCTCTCAACAACCTCGCAGCCATGCCGCAGGCATTCCTAAAGGAGATCTCGAGCGATGGGAACATACAGACAATCGACCTGTTCTTCCAAAGCTGGCCAATATTCCATGCCCTTGGACCGAACTATATTCGGATGTTCTTCCAGCCAATACTGGCATATCTGCAAGCCGGTCGCTGGCCACATCCGTGGGTAATCCATGATCTGGGATACAGCTACCCAAATGCTACTGGCCACGAGAGTGGTAATGCGGAGCAAATGCCTCTCTTCGAAACATCAAGCATGTTCATCCTATTGCATGCGTACGAGAAGCTCACCAACGACACTGCGTGGTTGCGACAGTATGATGACCTGCTCGAAGGCTATGCTTCGTGGCTGAGCACAAACTCGCTGTACCCAGCTTCACAATTGATAAGCGTAGATGCTATCGTCAAGACACCCAACCAGACAGCTCTCGCTGTCCAGTCAGCCATCGGGTTGAAGGCGGCGGGTATCTTGCTCAACAATGCTACTTATACCCACGTGGCCACGTCAATTGCAGAGACGATCTACGAAGGCGGCCTTGGTCTGAACGGCGAAACTCGGTCATCGAGCACGCACTTCACCTATAATTATGGCAACAGCACGACTTGGAATGTACTCTTCGCGGCATACTCGGACGTGGCGCTGAATCTTGGTACCTTCCCAGCTTCGGCGTGGGATATGCAGTCGAAGTGGTATATGGCACAGATGCAGGACTATGGTCTGGCTTTCGCTGGTCCAGCTTCCAATCTTGACTATGATGGTGCTCCGCTGACCTGGGGTCTGCTTGACTGGAGTAAGCTGTCTTCGCTCGATGAACTGAAATACAAGCTAACCAGAGTGTAGATTTTGTTGCTGCCGCTGCTTCATCAATCGAAGTGCAGAGTGCTATTGTCAACAGCAGCCATGCGTTCTTGACGAGCGGCAGACATACGGAGCCTTTTGGTACCAAGTATCAGATCATAGGGCCAGATGCTGGTAAGTGGATCGGCAACAAGGCAAGAAGTACGGTTGGATCAATCTTTGCACTGCTAGCGCTGGATCAAGGTGTGCTGGATTTGACCTGAGCATCGCTTAAAATTTTGTAGTTACTGTTGTAAAATAATATGTACAAATCGTGCTGGATGGATATCATGTATCGTCGGCGTGCCGTCACATGTCTTCATGGCCAATCCATGAGGTAAGATGTACCTATTGCTCTTGTCAGCTTGCAATTGACTGGACCGGACGAAAGCAACGATGAAAAAGAAGGACTGTTGTTTCAGACTATATTGAGAAGATTTGGGAAAGCTGGCTTCTAAGCATGCGCAACCAGAAACGGTTGTACGTAAATAATATGGCCCCAGCTCCTGTCATCATTTTGAGAAATACAAAACTTCCTTGTCGCTTACCTGGCTTTGGTAAACCATCGCACGTAGATCCTTACAGCTTCATAAAATCATGGCGCCCATTCGGAAGTGCAGGTCTTCTCTCAATCCCTCTATCTCTTGCGAGCGACCAGGAGGCAAAAATCCTTTCTTGAGCACGCTGCCTTTGCCAACGGGAGTGTTGAAGCCTAGATGCGGCCACATGACGCCAGTCTCCTCGATTGAGTGGTTCGCTATGAGTCGTCTGGCTCCGAGTGGTTTGATCACCTTCAGGACGTTGTCGATAAGGGTACGACTGATGCCGTGACCTCGATAGTCAGGATGAACGCAAAAACAGCAGATCTCCCAGTCCTGAACAAGGTCCCCACCAGCCTGCGGACTGCGTGTATGAAGATCCGGGTCAGACGTTGCTGGCTTGTCGTTGGGTGGCGGTTCCAAGCCAGTCACATCGTTGATCCAATCCTCGCCACGGAATGGTTCGACACCAGCACATGCAATAGGTGTTCCTTGGTCGAGCATGACCACAAGCTTACCTCGCGGTGACAGTTCTTCAGATAAGCCTTTGGCGCCTGCACTGGGTTCTGCGTCCAGACGTGTCCAGGACGGTGGGAAGGCCATGATGTCTTTGCGTTGATAGGACAGGATGATAGTGCTGTGCAACAAGGGCCACCATGGCTGTGAGCCGAGCTTGTGGGAGGGAACGACGATAACGACTTGAGCATCTGCCATGGTCCCGCTTTCTCTTTCGTTGTTGGAAAGATCTTGGTTGCGTCGACCAACAACGCATATCAGTCTTTCGGCTTCATTAATGATGACTCACGCTAGCTTTGATGCACGTTGCAATGGGTTGCAGACAAACGAACCCCTTCGCCACGCAAATGTCGTTGATGAACCAGCTTATCCTATCTTCTGGTGGATCCCCTTCACGTGGCAGTAAGGTCATGGTCTGGTTGGACTCAAACCCCACGTGTGCATCTTAGTCCGGCCCATGCGGCCACGGCAAACTGTCTGTGCTTGAGCAAGCAATCGCAAGGCTGCACTACTACTGCAGCTGCAAGCGCCACCTGGGGGCTGACTTCGGATACGCGGCCGCGAGACAGGCGGAGTGCGTCGTGTACCAGGCACATAAAAAGTCAGCGGTCCGCCGGTGTGCTATCGAGCTGAGAGTGCGCGTTTCATCGTAGTCGCGCGGTGTTATTGTCGTCAAGTCGTGCATTTCCGCAGTGCGATATCTTCTTCTCCACTCACGAACACCGATTTGGCTCGTGCTCAAACGCCGTCGCGTAATCAGCTGACGTCACGGGCGACAAGAAGTAGCTACGCATTCGTCGTTCGTTCCAACGGTACAGGGCGGCAGCTAATAGCCGTAAGAGGCCGGTTGGATTCGAGTCAATAAAAAGCGCGTGGCCTGCTGTCAGGTACCAGAGTGCCTGATCGATACTCTCCGAGACATGCTCAGCCGATTGTGTTTGCGTTGATAATCGCTGCTTCAGCGGAGGTGTCGGAGGATTGTTGTTGACAGCTGATGGAACAAGGTTGCCAAGATGTCACAGTCTGGCTGGTGGGATCGTGTGAGAACGGGTGGGAAGAAAGGATTCGATGCGACGTGGAAGCAGTTGGACAAGGTGGGAGCGCCAGTCAACAAGCTCACCAACAAGCTAGGTAGTGAAGCGTTCTGGCCGACAACGCTGGACAAGGAGAGCGACAAGGCTGCGCGGATTCTGAAGTCATTCTGCAGTATGTTGTACTCGAGCGACACTCATGATCATGGCTGACACTTGTTCCAGAGGATGGCTTCTACGCGGAAGAAGAGAGAAAGCCGCAGGACGGACCGACGATGAAGCAGAAGGTCGTAAAGAAGATACCTGCGAATGTGATCAAGAATGCGAAGGGTCTCGCAATCTTCACAACCATGCGGACAGGTCTGTGGATGTCTGGCGCAGGTGGATCAGGTGTACTCATTGGTCGGCTACCGGACGGCTCTTGGTCACCACCGTCTGGTATTCTGTTACATACGGCTGGACTAGGGTTCCTGGTTGGTGTGGACATCTACGACTGTGTGGTCGTGATAAACACGGACGCTGCACTGCAGGCGTTCACAAAGATACGGTGTACACTCGGCAGCGAGATCAGTGTAGCTGCTGGACCTGTTGGTGCAGGCGGTGTTGTGGACACAGAAATCCACAAGCGGCAAGCACCCATCCTGACATACATGAAGAGTCGTGGTTTCTACGCTGGGGTGCAAATCGACGGGACAGTGATCATTGAACGTGGCGACGAGAATGAGCGATTCTATGGGTACAAATATCCCGTTGGTGATATCCTGGCAGGCAAAGTTAGACATCCACCCTATGAGCTCCGACATCTTTTCGAGACGCTCAAAGCAGCACAAGGAGACAAAACATTCGATGCGAGTGCCATACCCGACGGCCCACCTCCTGGTGACTACACAGTGGAGGACGACGGACACATGTTCGGCGTACCTGACAAAGAAGATCCGGACCCATACGGTGTGCTCGCACTCGAGAAAGAAGGCCTTGGTCTGAAGGAAGCTGGTACCCAGAAGCGAGCAAGCTGGGAGCAATTCACCTTCAACCCTGCACCAACCAGTCCGATACATCAGCTCTACCGCAGCAGCAGTCAGGATATGTCCTCAAAAGGTAGCCGACATAACAGCTGGCGCGCCAGCGCTTTCTCCAATACTGAGCCGAAGACACCAAGTAGCCTACGCAACAGTATCGATCGGCAGCTGACAGGAAGATCTCGCGGGTATACCGATACATCTACACAAACGGAAGTTGAGCCTGAGACGCCGGCAAGTCCGTACAGGAGGAGCTTTGCCAGTAGGAGGACGAGCGATGACAGCGTCGCTACCAGTCATGTCATGCCAAACGTGCCGGAAAATGATGTCCTAGATACTTCACCCACGCGGAAGGACGCGACGAATTCTCCAAGACATGTCAATGGCTACAATACCCCTCCGCATACGCCACCAGTCGACAATGAGGTATCCAACGGACACGATGAGCTGGACGATCATGATGTAGATGACCGCGACGATGATGTGCATATCGAGGAGCCAGTCGTACACTCCGTACAGAGTGTGCAGACCGTGCAGCCTGCATCACCCATCAAACTCATGTCCGCGAAGCTGGTCTCGGTACCGAAGCGCGGGCCACCGCCTATTCTGCCTCCGCGTAATGCACGTCGGGGTGGTCCTGTGGTGGTTGATGCTTCGCCGAAGGTTGACCAGGCTGGCCGTTCCATTCAGTCTGGCACAGAAAACGATAAGGCGGAAGCGATGTCGAAGGATGATGAGATACCCGATGTTCTTGAGGTCAAGGATCGCATGGACGATGTCAAGCTTGATGATGACAAGGAAAATGACATTGCCAATCCGTGGGCACAGGCGGACGAGGTACGGAAGCGCGCAAGTCAGGATCACTCACCAATGCCGGGTGGATTTGAGTAGGGATGCGAGGATACTGCAGACATGGAAAGGTATAGTTACGACACTGTTATGACTTGGACGAGAACAAGGGCACTGGAGAAGATTGGCCGACGAAGGCATCAGCCGTAACTTGAGAGTATATTAGCTGTACAGTAGCATAACACATTAAGCCAAGACTTGGCTGTCTGTCCCAGTGCTTTAGTAAACAGTGCTCGAGCTGGCTGCATGGAAGTTCGTGGAATTCCACGTTTGCTGACTTCGAGTGACATTCAGCTGCAGCCCGATCTAGAACGTTTCCATGCTTCTGAAGCTGCTAGTATCGGTTTTGTAATTGCCACTGAATGGTATTCAAAAACAAACTCTTGATGGTACCACCCACTGGAGTGACATTTGCACCGGCGGGAAGTCCGATCATATATCGATGCTATATACCGGGTTGGCCATATCAATGATCGACCCATTCTCGTTCCATTTCCACTGGTGTCCCCTGGCGATATGTATTGCGACGCAGCTTGACCTGACCTCGTCTTGACGGCAATCTACTATATCTGTCTCCGCCCTGCCGGAAGTCACGCACAGTCCAGTCGTTCATCATTTCGGAACCGCCCAGGACAAGGGGAGTAGGTGACTTCACCTTCCCTAGTATTTCGTCTTGTTCCATCATCTTGTCAAACATCTTGCTCTAGAAACTTCATTACTCATCTACATGCGCGAGCACTGGCTTGGTTCTAGAACAGTTGCAGCAAGCATGACCTGGGAAGAAAGTGCTACACAGCAGTGGGATCATGCTCACCAACCACAACGGCACCATTCATCTACTCCTTTCTCAACAGCAGTGCCACTCGCTGGGGAAGCAATCCCGTACTCGTTACTCTTCGCTGCAACTACACAGCGCCTGCCCGAGTCCGAACGAGTGATCGGGAATGTGTCTTGGCACTAACATGATGTGGATCAGCCCAGGCGAGTACTGACAGTGAGGCTTCGAATGGATCTTAGTCTGCGTACATGCTCGCATCGCAATTATCAGGTGTGACCTTTGCACAGACCACTGTAGGCAAGTCGAGACCGAGTTTACGTTCGCCCAAGGAGGCAGGTAGCGTCCATTACCGCCAAGCAGTAGATCATAGACCAACGCCGACCTGCATCCAATTGGTGACAGCTTCAGTTCTTCTCTAGGACAATGCCCTTTCCAATGGTCTATCTAGTGGATCTCAATCATGCTGCTTCGTCCCATAGCTCTGCCTGCGCGTCTTAAGGGTACATATCTCCTGGGAGCCCATGAGAAGGCCCGAAGATACAGTCATGGTGGCTTTTCCATTGTGATACGAGAGTATCATTGTACATGTATAGCAATGTAGTGGTCATGGTCGGCATGGGGCTCTACCGGATCTTTATATAATACTGTCGTTGCATCATTATTACACCTCGGCCTACGACTGGAAACTGATATATCGACGGCAGAGGTGGAAATGGAGTCATCAAGTATTGCATCTACCTCTACGCCTCCAGAAGCATGACTCTTATCTGGATCACCGACAACCTTATAAGGATGCTTGGAGGAAGTTCGTATAGTCTGATACTACTACGCACCATACCAGCCTTACAACGCCTCTTGTGGCGTACGTAACATTCACAAATTCTCGATCTCGACCTGCGTAGACTGGATCGGAAATTCACCTGTGGATCGGTTGGCTCGAGCGACATGACTCCGTGCGGCATGGCAAAGATTCCAGCATGTTCTGTGGAGTCGTCGGCGACGTTACAGGCGATGGATACGTTCAGCCACGAACATTGTCGCTGAGCATAAGACGCTCCGCACGCCCAATGGCAGTCAAAGCTCAAGATCTCGTTGAATGACGAGACCTCAGTCATACAGGCATTTGACTCGACTTACCTTGTTCACTAGCATTCACCTCAGGTTCGTCAGTCACATGCGCAAGCACATGACCCAGATTGGGTATTATCACCCATTGACACCGCCGTCGTCATCGTCACTGCGGTCTTGCCTCTTGTCTTTCTTACACGAGCCCCTTTCTAGATACAGAAACACACACAAGAACGGAGACGTTCATCATGATGCCAACGGGTAGATTGCCGAGCTTGCTGAAGCAACAGATTCCGAGCAGTAGCAAGGCCGTCGCCTTGTGTCATGTCGCCCGTCTCTCCAAGGCTAGAGTTTCAGGGCTGGTGGTCGTGCAACTTCGGCGAGCATCTACATCAAATACAACCGAGCACAAACATACCGGACCCGACGGTGATACGGCCAATGTGGGACATATATTGACGATCGGCCAGAATTCATTACCTGGGCAGTCAAGGACCCCATACTGGCGCACTGTCAAGATTTGGCAAGACATCACGGAGGAGCAGTTCATGAATCACAGATGGCAGGTAGGTAAAGGTCGAAGCCCGAGCTACAGTGGTTATGACACTGACTAAGTAGACTGCCAATATCGTCGAGCACAGGGCAAAGCTCATTAAATTTCTTCATTCGACACTTCCGGCCAAGATTCCACCAGCTATTAGCGACGACAAAGTGCAGCCGACCTGGACCCGCGAGGAATTCGTCAACGATGTCGAAGAAGGAATGAAGGTCGCTCCCATGAACGTGCGGCTGACGCCTCACATCCTCAGCGTAGTCGACTGGGCCGATGCACTCAACGACCCCATTCGACGCCAATTCATACCCCTGAAGTCGACCATAGTACCAGATCATCCGAAGCTTACGCTGGACTCGCTGCACGAAGAGGAGGACATGCCTGTAAAGAATCTTGTACACAGGTACCCAGATAAAGTACTCTTCCTCGGCAAGTGAAACGTCGACTCTAGGACGCGGGATGAAGACTGACTGTGGGCCAGCCACTTCTGTCTGTCCAGTTTACTGTCGCTACTGTACTCGTTCCTATGCCGTTGGAGGGCACACGTCGACCATCAAGAAGAACTCGATCAAACCCGGTCGTAGTCGCTGGGAGGAGATGTTCAAGTACATCGAGCAGACGCCGGTCATCCAGGATGTTGTACTTTCGGGCGGTGACTCCTACTATCTCCAACCAGAACAGCTTCGTGAGATTGGCGAGCGCCTTCTCTCCATCCCGAATGTCAAGCGCCTCCGTGTCGCTACGAAGGGCCTTGCGGTGTCACCAGTGCGCATTCTCGATCGCTCAGATGGCTGGACCAACACCTTCCTGAGCCTCAGCAATCAAGGCCGCAAGCTGGGCAAGCAGGTCGCGATCCACACCCATTTCAATCACCCGAACGAGATCACGTGGATCACCGAGCTCGCCGCTCAGTATCTGTTCGAGCAAGGCGTGATCGTTCGCAACCAGACAGTGCTTCTTCGTGGCGTCAATGACAACGCTGCGACCATGTCTGCTTTGATCCGTAAGCTCGCGGAGCTCAACATCACGCCATACTACGTCTACCAGTCCGATATGGTCAAAGGCATCGAGGACCTACGCACGCCACTCTACACGATCAACGAGCTGGAGAAACAGATTCGGGGCACGATCGCAGGCTTTATGATGCCGAGCTTCATAGTCGATGTGCCCGGTGGTGGTGGTAAAAGGTTGGCCAACAGCTTCGAGTCGTACGATAGGGAGAGTGGTCTAAGCACGTGGAAGGCCCCAGGTGTTTCGGGCGACGAGATCTACGAGTACTACGATCCAATCACTACAACAATAGCATAGAACGCGTCACGAGTCTATCACCGGCATACAGAACGAAGGCCGACTACAAGAAAGCCACGATATTGAATAGCATGTCACAGCACGATGAATGGCGTAGAGCCTCTTAAAAGTGTATTTTCTATGCTAATGTTGGAGCTTCCAATGTTTTCGGCAACTTCATCACTTCGACCGCGATCTGGACTCGCCGCCGAAGAGGAATATGTGATCAGGGTGTTTGCAGTTGCGTCAAAGACCAGCTGGTCACCATGCAAGGTGTCCTGCGCTCTTACATGCGCTGAAGCATAGGATTGTAAGCCTGTTGCAACAATTAGTACCATGCCACATTCCTCACGGTCTCGGCCCGGCTTCCGCTTTCATCCATCTCGTTCCCATCACAACTTCTTGCTCAGAATGATCATCTTCTTGTGATTGCCACTCAGCACACTACTGAGAACTACAGTAACCGGCAGCTTGACACCAGCGAGGTTGACGTCGCGGTTGGGATACGATCCTATACCCTCGGACTGCTCGTTTGTGAGGAGGTCACGCTGATGAACATCGACGGTCATGACACCGCGAGCGATGGATTTGCTGCTCATCTGGATCTCGGGATCTGGGATTACGTTAGTGGGCTGTGAGTATCTATGTGTGAGGCTTTGAAAGACTTACGCTTCTCCAAGATGCCATCCAACTCTCTCTGATCGACCACTGCGAGTCCGCCTTTCACCAGTGGCGAGCCCTCATGGCGATAGTGGTACACAAGAACCTTGCTCCCAGTCATCACGAGTGTTGCTGATTGATGGTCTATTGTGTCCTCGACTCGATCTGAGTTGTACTATGGTTCCTTCTCTTTGTCCTTTGCTATGCTCCTGCTAGAATGCCGTCGCCGGATCGAGTGCAGGAAGAACGGGTCAATATACATGGTCCGAGACAAAGGATACTCTGCTGTACTGTGTGTCTGGAGAACGTCATTCAAGTAGTGACAGTGTTCGGAAATGAGAGTCTGATCCATGTTACGCATATCCACTCAATCAGCAAATTCGCAACAGCAGCCGTATCTGGTACGATATTAGCCGGCTATCTTGGCTGCTAGAATGAGATCTCATGTCATTATACTCTACAGTATATGGAAGTGATATCCCGGTGTAGTGATTGACTTGAGTGGGCTGGAGCGTCTCGACCGTTCCTATGGTGACATGAAACGTGTTCTGTCCCAGAAGATTTCGTCCTCGACACACATGCTACTTTGCTTTGGTTTGGCATTTACCACTACAGCTGGACGAGTTGCGAGTCAGGCATCGCCACTGTTCTGTGCTTTAGATCACTACTTGAGCATCCGCTTCTCCGTCAACATCAGCACGGATGATGTGCACACCACCTTATCTTCAAGCGCCCAGCGATGGTTTCGGTCCCCATACTAAATGATGTCACACGTACTCTTGCTGCTCTCCGTACCTCACATTTGCCCAGTGAGCCTGGTATCAAGGCCTCGAGTAGTCTTCGTGGGAGAACATCGTGTTCTGCGGGAGAGGTCTTACGCTGTAGCACTCCCAGCTCGCGACGTAGTATGGCCTCGCCACCACAAAAATATGTTTGCAGCAACGCAGCAGGCTTTTCGACGGTGCAACTGGAGAGCGTGATCGCGGCCGGCTACAGCACCATCATGTCCGAAGCCCAGATCTCGGTGCGGAGTTCTGCCAGGAGAGCCAGGCCGGGAGCAAGGAGCCTAAACAGAGTCACGTTTGGCGGTCCTCCGCTTTCTCAGTAGGTGAACGAGTCACATCCAGCATCCACAGCGAAATCTTGCTCGTCTGTTTCCCATCCCCACATTTCATGACTACGAACGTCCAGAAAAGGGCCTGCATGAGACTGTGCATTACAATACTATTCTTCTACCATCTGCTGTCCATACATTCTGCTGTCCATACATTACCAACCCATAAAGATCTACATATCCCATCCCATAGTCACATCACACCTCGCCCGCCACATCATCAGAACTCCCCCCGAGCACTACCCAGCATCTCCAGCAGCACCAAAAGCACCAACCAACAATCGCCAAAAAGAGCCCAGCAAGCCCAACGCCCACATCTTGCGTTCCACGAGTCTTCCATAACCACCTAAATACCACTCCCAAACCCATCAAAACCGTGCCATACCATCCCGCGCTCTCTACTCACGAATAGTATCCCACCTCCTACTCAACCCCCCGGCCCCCGCACCAACCCCCCTCTTAGGCCCCAAAGCACTCGTACCCCCATTAAACCCACCATTCATACGTCCAGCCATCAAACTCTGCCGCACAATCGCCTCAGCAGCCGCAGCAGCCGCCAACCTCTCCTTCTGCCGGGACCGATCCCGCAAATACCTCTCAGCCTCAGGCCTCATCCGCAAAATCCTCAAAATCATATCATCATTATGATCAGCCTGCGCCTCGGCCCTCTTCGCCGCTTTCGCCTGCCGCATCGTGCCCAGATTCCTGCTCAGCATGATACTCTTCGTTCTCCTCGTGCCGTGGACCGCACCCGCCAGCAGCTGATTCGAGGAGCCCGCGGCGAAAGAAGCCGGGGCGGACAACCGATTCAGTTTCGCGACCGTCTCCTGCTGCCTCACGGCCGTCTCCTGGGCAATCTTATCACTAACCCGGATAAGCGAATCCGTCGGGTCGAAGTAGAAGAAATTCATCGTCTGCAAATCATGATACTTGGGACTCTTGAGCACATCCAACGGAACCCCATTGGCCACTTTATCCTCCTCATCATAGGCATGGAAGAAATCGAATAATGTCTGCAGCCATCGATACACGATATCGACTTCCTGCCTTCCCAGGGGTTTCTGGCTGGAGATCTTATCGGAAAGCGGGGGGACGAGGAGGGATTCCAGAACGACGAGGACTTCTTTCCAGAGGCGGGTCATGATCATGATCATAGCCGAGTCGGTGAGCGTCTGCTTCATGATGGCGAAGTTGTCGTCAAAGTATTGCAGCAGCGGTTTGAGCGCATTGTTGACATCGGCCGGCGTGGCTCCAGAAGCTCCACCACCACCAGGCGTAGTCCCCTCCACACTACCTCCTCCCGCTGCACCACTCATCGGCCGCCCAGCAACCTGCGCCGAGAACTTACTAAAATACCCCCTCGCCTGACTCATACTCACGCCGCCAATCATATTATTCTGCCCCAACAACGCCCTCAGCGTCCTCCTACTCAAACACTGCAAAATATACGCGGACAACTTATCCGTAACCTTCCTCCCCATATCCCTCTCACACCTCTTCAGCGTCCGAAAAGCCTTGCCGAAATAAAACTGAATATCGTCCCTCTCCCCCTCCATCGACACCCTGACCAACACCCTCCCCTGCGTATCAAGATCCAACCAATACTCTCTAGGCAAAAAATCGTTAAAATGGCTCGGATCCAACTTCAACGACGTCCGACCAAGACAATCGTGATCGCCGACTAAATCCCAATCCCACACCGTAGCGACCACATTCAACGGCCCCGTCGTCAAAATGTCCACCGTCTCATCCCACCTGGGATTAAGACTGGAATAAACCGTCTTAGTCTTCGCCAGCCTCTTCTGATACTCATCCCCGAGCACGACATAAGGATCACTCAACCCATTCGCATCCCCCGCCTTCAAATCCTCCGCCTCAATAATCTTAATCGTGAACATGAATTTCCCCTGTCCTCCTCCTCCCGCACCACCACCCATTCTCCCACGCATATGCGCCGGCGGCGGCGGATCAAGCCTATTGATAACCTCCGCACAAGCATCAACATTCACCTCCTTCTCCACCTTATCCAACTGCAGCGTCGCAAACTCGACATCATTAATCTTCACAAAACTCTCCTGATAGAACTGAAACGGCTCGATTTTTTCCCCCGCCCGGCCACCACTCATCCACGCATCCCTCGCGGCCGAAATCCAGCGATCCCGTTGGGTCTGCTGGGCCCGCATTTCCTGCTCCGGAGTCTGACGATCCATTTCCTTTGCGAATTTCAGTTCGAGTAACTCGCAGTACCGGGCTACGCCGCGACCGATACTCTTGCTAACGGCGGTCATGAACTTCGCATACATGAGATCATCGTCCCATTCCAACCGTTGAACTTGCTCCAGACTCTGGGAGAAAATCTGATAAACATCAATAACACTCTGACTATGTCGTTCATCCTCCGAAGGCGGCAACCCAGCCTCTTTATCCTTGGGGTCCTGGCGGGAAGAGAAATCGTCATGAGCGACCGCGGCTTCGATCCAAGAGAGGAGTTTGGCGTCCGTCATGGCGATCCAGCGCCAGACGAATTCCTGCAGGAGCCCTTCGATGTGGAAACCGAATTCCCGGCCTGGGAGCACAGAAGCCCATACCCGTCGGATCTGAACAAGCTCCTTGTACAGCTCAAACCCATCCTGTATCGGCACTTCACCTGCCCCTTTACCGGCACCGCTCTCACCCTTCCCATCACCCTCCCCACCCTTCACCTTACCCTCCTTAGCAAGCGCCATAATCCGCGTAACCAGCTCCCTCCCATCATCAGCAAAACAAGGCAAACACTCCTCCACCAAAATCCCTAGCGGCGCCACCCCCAGCACCTCGGGATTCTTCCTATACCTCTTCCCGACCTTCTCCACCAGTCCCGTAACCGCCTTCCCAAGCTGAATAACATGAAAGAACTCCCACTCGCTCGCCGTATCAGAGATATTCTTGGAAAGAATCTCATGATACTTGTCCCTCGCTTTCTGCCTAAGCGCCTCGGACATCATGGCTGCAAAAGCCGCCATGTCTTCGGGAGAGGAATGGTGGATCGGGTCGGAGAGGATATGGGTTTCGAGGACGTACATCGCCACGCCGATACTGGGTGGTTTGGCCTCGTAGCAGTGCTGGAAGAGCTCGTAGAGTTCTCGGAGGATACCGTCGTGGAGGCGGGAGAGGGTCGTTTGGTAGAGGGCGTAGTCCGCCACCGTCCATTTGGTCCGCTCCTGCAGCGGCGTCATGGCGGGGACTTGTGTTTGGGTTTTCGAGCCCCGTTTCTCCACCACCTGCTGCGCAAGTGCCGTCGGATCCTTGGCGGCTGAGAAAGCCGCGTCTACTGTTTCTAGGCCGATCTCCTGCTGTTCGTACTTCTCCCTTACAATATCCAGGAACAGTACCACGCGAGTGAAGACTGGGATCCGCCACCTCATGCCGACTTCACTCAGCAGCTCCACGCTCTGTCGCGACAGCAATCGCGGGGTACCATCCTCATTCGGTCCCACATCCTCATCCGCCAGATCATGTGATAAGGCAATCTTCAACACAGCGCGATAATACGCTTTTGCGTCAGGTGGGATAAAGGTGAAATCCGCATGTCCAGCATCCAGACTACCAGTACCAGAGTCCCGTGGGCTCTCACCATCGCCAAGGTTGAGCTGGGACATATCGACCGGTTGATCGACAACATAAACCCCCCCCGCCTCAGCTCCAGCACTCATCTGCCGACTAACCTCCCCATACCCCTCTCCTACACCAGCACCACCACCCTGTTGTGCCGTCGCCTTGAACTGCGGCAACAACCCCGCCGACGTCCCCGCTTTCGCCAATTCGGGCTGACTCTGCACAATGCCCAACATCATCTGCGACAAATCCGCAAACTCCCCCTTCCTCCACGCATCAAAAGCCTCATCCAAATCAAAATCATCCTTCCCCAACGTCGCCCGGGTATTAAGCATCATATGATTCTGATAGTCCTTCAGATCCCTCAACGCGGCCTGCTCCGTCCACACCTCCCTATGCGCCAAGATATCATTCTGAGCCTGGACGGTCGGAATAGCGAAGATGGAGCACACCCGGATCACAAGCGGCATATCCCTCACCTCAAACGATCTGGGAATCTCCACCTCAATACTCTGCCCACCCTGCCCACCGGCTCGTTGAGTAGCCTCGGCCAGATCCTGATCATGCTGCAACAACTTCGACTCCAGCGTCTTCAAGCGTGAACTCAACTCCGGTCGATCCCGGGTCCAATCATTCTGACTGAGGGTCGAACTAATCAGTCGGACAAACAACGCAACATGCCGATCCACCATCCACTTCCACGCATCATCCTCGGCACTCTTCCCCTTTTGCAGTTCGGACGTTGCACGTGAATAAAAGATAAGAAGTAGATCCTCCACCCTCCGATCCTTATCCATCTGTTTCCGGAACTGCGGCTCCTTGAAGGCATTCAAGAAATTGGCAAAAGTCCTCTTCACCACGGGATCCTGAAACTCCGCTCCCTTCTCCTTGCCGATAAGCACATTGGTGATGCGCTTATCCAGTTCACCCATGAAACCGTGCGGGAAGCGGGTACTCTTACTATCCCTAATCAATTTGAAGTCGGCCATCAAATCATTAATACTCGTGTTCGTTCTTTCCAGTCGCTTGGATGTGTTGGCGACATGTTGCACACGTTTCTGCCGGGGTTGGAGTAAGTAGGAGAGGTAGGCTGTTCGGAGGGTGTAGAGGTACGCTTCGTGGTCTGTGATGGGTGCTTTGTGGCGGGTGCTGGCGTAGGACATGTTGCGTCGCATGTCGCCTCTTCTGCCACTCGTTCCTGCCGTATGCGTGTTCGTCCCATACGAGTTCGTGCGCCTACTGTTGAGTGAACTCCGCTCAGATTGCATTTTGCGCGGGCTGTTGTCGGTGCTCACGACGCTGTGGGCGGTGCTGTGACTGCCGCTCATGGTTTGCGGAGTGTGGTAGCTGCTGTGACTTGGAGGCGTGACATAACCCAACAGATCGTCAGGCAAGTCGGAGCTGGACATGTTGTTGTCTGCCGTGTTTCGTAGCTATAAGACACTGGCAGATAGCTCTAACGCCCGGCACGCATCTTCCTGTCAGGCGCCCCAGAAAGCTCGATCTTGCTTGCGTTTCAGGCTTGGGACTTGGAAGGATCGATGAGGGGCGGTTTGGCAAGTGCGATTCGACGAACGTCTCTGCTAATAATGAACTGTAATATTACTAGAGTCGTTCTTTCCTCGCTACCAAAGATGTTGATGTTATTGTTCTCCCGACACTACTATCAAGTCTATCATACAAGAAGTCTACCCAAATGATCATCTCGTCGTCCGAGCCTTGGCGCAACGGGTTGACCCAAAGATAGAACGAGATACATAGGCTTTTTGGCGTCATCCGGCAAGGGTTCAACGATGCCGTGACAGGGATTGCCATGATTTTGATTCTGATGGTGGAGCCCCACACACGTGCATCTCCAACTACTACTGTAGTTAGCCCTTCTTTCCTACACCACATCATACGCTTCTTGACCATCGAAGCAGCTGCTAGTGCATGATCGAGAGGCACGTGGCAAAGCAGAGCCCAGCCCACGACCGAAGCTTGCACAATCTGATCATGCGACTGCACAAGCAACACTTGCTAGGCATAAGACGACACACACACCTGCCGCCGTGAAAAGAACAATCAGAATCACAATCCCGACACACGTGAATAGCAACCACGATAAGGGGCCACGTGCACATAGCAATCACACGGAATCAACGGGATACGCCACCATATAAGAGTAGGCCAGTCTTTCCAAGCAACACCCGGCAAGGAACAACAACATCCACACCAACTGCCAAGGACACCCCAAAGGGACACCACGAAAGAACACCACCACCACCATATCAGCAGATTGAGCAAGCTCTCACGACCACCCACAGTCATCCCCCAACAACTCATACACAACCCCGCAAAAATGTCCTCCCCAACAAGCACCAGTGGCGGCACGAACGGCCCCCGCCTAACCACCACCCAAAAAAAAGCAAACCACATCGCCTCGGAAGCCAAACGCCGCGAAATGATCCGCGAGGGCTTCGACACCCTCTCCACTCTCATACCAGGAATGGAGGGCCAGGGGAGAAGCGAAGCAGTGGTGTTGCAAGCTACGGTGCAATTTCTCCGCGAGCAGTTGGAGGAGAGGGAGGGGTTGAGGCGGGAGGCTGAAGCTAGGGGGTTGGGGGGGAGGGAGGTGGAGAGGGTTTTTGGGGGTGGTGGGGGTGGGAGTGGTGGAGAGAGGAGGGGTAGTAGAGGTGGGGATGGGGGCGTGAGCAGGGGGAGTGCGGGTGGGAGGAGGATGTCTAGAGTGGAGGTCGAGGAGGATTTCGATGATGGAGAGGTGGAAGGGAGGTCTGGTGAGGGCCCGATGGGTGGGTATGGGAATGGAGGGCAGGGCCAGGAAAGGCGGTCGGTTTGAGGGATGCAGGGGCCGACGTGAGCGAGGAGCGTTCCATTTTTGGGATTGACGGAAGCTATCAGTCCACAAGCTGAGACTTGAATGAATGATAACATAACGACTTCTTCCTCTGTTGGTTTATACTAGCGATGTGATGTATTTTCTCCCCTAGGTCCACGAGAACCAACACATAAAGACACAGAGATGGGGAGTCTTGTGTCTACTCTTTCCACTTAGTTCATGCAGATAGGCTGGACACAGCTTCGTATACGGGCTGTAGCGACCTGACCTGATGACGAAATACCCAGGACATATCAGTCCGGACTCTACTGCAAAAGGTCATCTTGTCTTAGCAGTGCCCATTGAATTACGTCGTCTGAGCATCATGGTGCCTGTATTTCGTCGTATCGCCTCTTGAGCCTTGGAATGTAGGCCCGTTGTCAAATGGAGGTCCCAGTCCTGCGGTATGTGCCATGCTTATGTGTTCTTGAACACTCTAATCAACTCCGCATTGTACGATTGAAGGGCTATCTGCATTGGTGTTACCGAACAGAAATAGCGCCCCATCAAATGGAATATGATTCTCGCTCGACTTGATGCGTCGAAGCCATGACAGCTCCTCTGTTTGGGATCTCGTTCTTCGAATGCGGATCTGCTCCATGCTTCAACAGTACGCGAACGATCCCGCGATCGCCACGCTCGGTGCTATCAGTGCCAGCCGACACGTAGGTTGCATAGCAGAGGGCGTCCACAGATGTAAACCCCCCAATCTGGGACTTCGCGCGCAACTGCTGCTGTGCCTCAATCCTCAGTAGTACCGATATAACGTCGCCAGCTTGATTACGGGTTGCTTCGTGTAGCGGTACCGCGCCGTCGACACTACGAGCCATGACTATTTCGTCGGGCGCCTCACGACTGAGGAAATACTGCACCACGGGTACCGTAAGGGTCCACATAGCCACAGCCGCGCAGCAAGGTCGGCGAACAGTAACGCCGGTGTGAGACTCACCCTACCGGCGACAGGGATCATTGCCGTGCATTTCTTCGCACGATAGTCTTGCCCCATAAGCTCATGGATGTGGGCAAGTAAAGCAAGAGAATCGTAGCATGCGCGATGTTGCTTATCAAGAAGGCGCTTCCGAGTTCTCATCGCATTCTCGCACGAAATTCTGGCGTTCTCGTACGAAGTCATCTGCACGTAGAGCAATGAGAGGCACTGACCAACATCGCATGCGTGTAACCAATGAGCGTCTGTAGCTGGCACTTCGTTGAGCAGACCGAGGAAGGTCTCGACAGCGACCGTCGTATTGCGTGTGTGGTACGCACAGATGGCGAGCTTGTACTGCAACTCGTAAAGATCAAATTTAGCTCGCTGCCGGCGGGACAGGTTCTGCAGGTCAGATAGAAGTTCCTTCAACGAGCCCTCCGAGTTCGTCCAGTCCTCGCGGTCAAATGCCTCAACAGCCACACCTAGCGCAGCGTTGGCAACAAGTAGGTCAACCTCATCGCCTGAGTCCGAGTCATTCTGTTCTTCGATATTCTCGGTCACTTCCGGGTAGGAGGTCTCGCCAGTCGTAGCGCTCGCAACGCGTACACCTGTCACTGGGGATGACTGCCCGGATGGCGAATCTGAGCGATCTGAAATATCCAACTTGAATCTGAGTAAGGCAAGAGTATCGGCCCACTCGATCACTCGGTGTTGTGCAGCAAGTTGGCCCCGCACGGAACCACCAGCGACACTCGCGCTGTACAAGGAGGTACCACGACTCAATATATCTTTCGCACTGCTCATTAGAGCATTTTCGTCGTCTGCTTTACGGCCAGCTTCTCCGGAGTGCTTCTGCTGGTCAGTCGTGCGCATCAGCCTTTCAATCATTTCCTGTAAAATGTCAAGCTTCTCGGCCAGTCCACGGTCCGCTCGAGCTGGCTGAATGTACGTGACTTTTCTGGGGATCCAATCAGCTACACGACGCATGTTACCATCGTTCCACACGCTGAGTCACGCAAATGTTAACAACTAGAAGGACAGTCTGTAAGGTCTGGGTACGCGCCTGAACTCTTTTCCGATTACTCTCAACACTCTCCGCATCCCAACTCAGCCGAGTATATCGACCAAGTTTGCCAAAGGGGATGCGAGTATTCTTCACCCGCTGTACGATTTTTGTGAGTGTTTCGAGGAGGCTACTGCACGCCTTGAGCTCATCGTCAACACTTTGCCAAAACTGCTCGTTCTCCGGTAGATCGAGATCGAGGGGTTCTTCTTGACCGGTGAGTGGCGACAACTCTTGCTGAGCAAGTTCGCACACTGTCCCGAGTGACCTTATCTCTGCCGCAAGATGCTCGATGCTGCTGTCTATGGTCTTGGTCTATGCATAGCTGGGTGATGGAGCCGGCTAATTCCTTCGCAGTCTTGGAGCATGCTATGGCGAAGCCGACAGCAGTTATCGGCTCGATCACCATCGCACATCTAGAGTACCGGTCAGTCCGGTGAGTTTATATAATGATTGCTATCACGGAGTGGTGGTGCTAAGGTCGGTCGGAGTTGGAGGATGATATTGTTCGAGCTCAGGCTGAGGTGCTGCGCCACTCCTCCACCAGCTTGCTACACATGACTTGTCCGACCAGACTCAAAACTGTCGGCCTTTATCTTCGGTTGAACGAAGATGAGGAGAGTCTTGATTCACCACCTCATCGGTTATGAAGAAAGCACTACGGATCACCTCAACTCGATCGGAGTTCGATCATGAGAAGGGCGGCCTGAACTTCTAGCGATCTCCCGATGCAGCCGTGCACGGCATGCTGGTGGGGGCTGCATGGTGGCGCAGAGTAAGCTGCAGTCTCATTGCCAGAAAGGTTGTCTTTCGTGTTCGTTTCGAAAGACTTCTGACCATGCTGCATTACTTGACGACGGAGCGTTATCCAGACCGCAGTCAACGCGTTGATGGTCGACCAGTGATGTGGTGAGGTGGGAGGAGACGAGGTGAGAAGGGACGAGGTGAGTGCTCCAGCGCTTCGAAGGCATCAAGAACCAGATCAGGCATCAAGAACTTTGTTAGGCACCAGGCTGCCTGAACAAGTCTACGCGTTCGACACTACCCATCAATACCTCTTCCGATCAGTTTTACCACGCTCTTAGTGGCCGCAATACGCTTCCTGCTAATTCTGATAGGGGCCACTACACGGCCAGGCAGATACCAGGATGCAGGTGCCTGGTGGAGACACGTCGCAGCTCAGGCAGAGTATTGGATAAGTATTGCACACACTCTCATTCTTTCAAGTCACTTCAAACATATCTCTGTCGTTACCAGAGTCTCCAAAGTCTACCCTGCCACAGCCACGGTCACGATCACAGATCCTATCCAGAGGACTGACGCCACAACAGCTCAGCCCTGCAACCCGCAGCTGCGCTTTGCCCAGGTGGTCGCTATCATGTTTGGCTCCAGCTCCAGCACGAACCACATTTGCGGATGCTACTATCGAGCCCAACAATCGCTCTTTGCAACATCTGCACGCCATTACTTGCCGCAGGTCAGACTCGACTCGCACACCACTATTACACCGCTCTGCTTCACAACAAAACTCACTCAAACCTTCCGGAACTCTGGCTCTGATGTCCTCAAGCAGGTCAGGTACACCTTCCCCCTCTACGACGGTGTAGCAGTCTCTGGATATACGATCAGCTACGCCGACAAAGTGCTAAAGGGTGTCGTGAAGCAGAAGGACGACGCGAAGCAGATCTACGACGACGCTGTTACGCGCGGCGAGACTGCCGGGCTGCTCGAGTCGCTCCCTACTGGAAATTTTGGTGTCACATTGGGAAATGTGCCTGCTGCCTCGGGCATTGTTGTCGAGATCACGTACTGTGGCGAGCTGAAGCATGATGCCGCGATCGATGGCTTGAGATACACACTGCCCACTGCTATTGCACCAAGGTATGGCCAGTACCCAGGAGAACTTATGCAGATGAATGCACAGACGACCAGTGGCATCAGCATTACGATCGATATTGATATAGTCGGCTCTGCTATCCGCAAGGTCCAGTCGCCTTCGCATCCGATCGCGGTGTCGATTGGTGCGACATCAGCTGCGTCAGGCAACGCGACTTTCCAGCCCCATCGAGCCTCTGCGACTCTTACCCTCGGCACGACGATATTGGCAGACGACTTTGTGCTCCAGCTTCTCATAGACGACATCGAGAAGCCGAGAGCACTGATCGAAAATCATCCGACAATATCCGGCCACCGAGCAATCATGACCACACTCGTGCCCAAGTTTGTACTTGAGTCGGCCAACCCCGAAATCGTCTTCATCGCCGACCAATCAGGATCCATGGGTGGCGCAAAGAACACCGCTCTCGTCAAAGCGCTCACAGTCTTCCTCAAAAGCCTCCCTTTCGGCGTGAGATTCAACGTCTGCGCTTTCGGAAGCCACCACGATTTCCTCTGGCCAAAGTCGCAGGCCTACAACGAGAACAACGTCAAGTCTGCTCTGATCTTCGTAGGTGGCCTCAAGGCTGCGTATGGCGGTACTGAGCTATTGAAACCTATCGTGGCAGCTTTCGAGCAGCGGCTTGGTGATATGCCGCTGGAGGTCATGATGCTGACGGACGGAGAGATATGGGGCGAGGATTCTGTATTTGATTTCATTAACAAGCAGATTTTGGACGAGAAGGTTGATGCAAGAGTCTTTGCATTGGGTATTGGGAATGGGGCTAGCACGACGTTGGTCAATGGGATGGCAAGGGCGGGCAGGGGCTTTGCACAATTTGTTACAGAGTCAGAGACCGAGAAGACGGATCGGAAGGTTATGAGGATGTTGAAGGGAGCGTTGTATGCACATACATGGGACTACAAGTTGGATGTCGAGTTCATGGGTAGGGATTCCGGCAGTGAAGCGTCACATAGCGTTGACATGGAAGAGGAGGATTTTGAGATGGTCGGGCAATCGGAAGAACATCCTGCCATCAGTACCAAGGGCGATGTGGCTGAGTCTGGACCGTTGACAGCCACGACATCGAGTACGACTAGCCTCAAACCAAATGCCACCAGATCATACTTTGATAGCTCGGTCGATCCGGATAAGACATCTGCGACAACGGATCGAGCATCTCGATATGCTCACCTGCCAGACCTCGACAACCCGAAGCTGATCCAAGCACCAGTGGACATACCACCGCTTTTTCCGTTCAATCGCACCACAGCTTACATTCTGATCGACCAATCGGAGAAGCGAACAGTCAAATCAGTTACGCTGCGAGCAGAAAGTGCTTCTGGTCCACTCGAGCTCAGCATACCTGTTGAGAGCATCGCAGCCCATGATGTACCTTCGATTCATCAGCTCGCTGCTCGCGAAGCCATCCAAGATCTGGAAGAAGGTCGAGGGTCTTGGCTCCAGCCGCTCAAGGAGAAACATACTAGCCGCTTCGACGAGCTAGTCGAGCGCGAGGCTGTTCGACTCGGTGTCCAATATCAGGTTGCTGGGAAGTGGACGAGCTTCGTGGCTGTCAATCAGAAAACGAAGCACGCTAGAGAGCAGGAGAAGTCGGCAGCTGCATCGAAATCGCAAGTGGCAGAAGCGGCCGCGCTAGCACCTCCACTCGTCAACATCGACGCTGCAACGATGGAACAGTACCAGCGTGAGATGGCGGATGCTGCTTCTTTGCCTCTGGCTGACGAAGAGAGCGATGAAGAGGATGAAGCTGCGTCCGTCGCTCGTCACGGAACAGTGAGCATGAGTATGGCTGGCATGCCTGTAGCGGGTGTTGATCGCATTTCGGCTCTAGCAATCCCAGCACCGCAGAGTCGAGGAGGGACTCGTGCTAACGCTCCTTCTAATGCGTTCTTTGGCGGTGCTACGCAGGCCTTCGGAGCCATGAGTGGAGGTCCGTTCGGGAAGGCTGCGAAGCCTGCTCCAGCATCGGCAGGGGGCGGTTTGTTCGGAAGCGCTACGCAGTCTGCATCTTCAGCAGGCGGAAATTCATTTGGTAACCCTAGCCAGAGCCTTGCACCCTCATTTGGCAGTGGGCTTTTCAGTAACAGTGCCATGCCTCCCTCTTCAGCTGGTAGTAGTCTATTCGGCACTAGTATGCAGGTCCCCTTCCGAACGGGGTGGAGCCCAGTTGGACCTCCACCACCACCGCGGGCTCCTGGACAATCGAGTCAGCAGGTAGGAGCTATGGCTTCCATGCAGACAGGATTTGGCCAGAGTAGTTCCTACGCTCCGCCACCGCCGATGGCTCCTGGACAGTCGAGTCAGCAATTAGCAGGTCTGGCTCCCATGCGCACAGAATTTGGATTTGGCCAGAGCAGCTCCCAGGCTCCAGCACCAGTAACGGCCGCTCCGCTTTCTCTACACGACCTTATTAATCTGCAGAAGTTCTCCGGAGCTTGGGTGTACACTGACGATCTTCTGAAAGCCATAGGAGTGCAAAAATATGGGTTTGATGGCTGGAAGACTGGCTACCTTCGATCCAAGGATGTGAAGATTACCCTTATGGTTCTGGCATTTCTTGAGGTACGATTCATGGGCGATCGCGAGGTATGGGAGAGGGTTGCTGCGAAGGCGAGATCTTGGCTTATGGGTGAAGGATTGCGCTCGGAGGAAGTCAAGGGGCTTGTACAAGAGGCGAGGGCCCAAACCTTATGGGACTGATCAGGTCGGCCATAGAAGATATTATAGGGAAACTGGTGACCGCGGTGGCATGCACTTGGCTCGAGGGACAATCATGATTTTATGAGCACTTTCGTCCTGGGATGATGGTCCTGGGATGATGGTCTTGCTATGATGGTAAGGGGGATGTCTTGCATCGTCTGTGAAGTTGGCAATGCGTCCCGATGGGTTTTGTATGTAGTGAATGCAAAGACAATATAAACCAATGACACGACCTGTAGTGCAGTGAATTGAGGGGAGGTCATGAGGTGAAGTCTGCAGCCATGCAAAGTAGGCAGGAGCGACCCACAACGTGGTCAGAGCTTCTGCCGGAGCTATCTATGTTCATGCTTTCCTTCGTTCGTGCACTTCTTTTGCTAGCACTTTCCACAAACTCATGATCATGCAGTCGAACAACATCTCGTCGCGAGCCGCCAGCAACCAGAAAAGCAGCGCCTTGCTCAAACTCCCACCAGAACTACGCAACATCATCTACCAGTACGTCTTCGAAGTTACCGCTGCAGATGGACTAGTCGACGTCTTCGCCACCTCTCCACCCGAAGCCACCATTCTCCAGTGCTGTCGCCAGATTCACACCGAATCACACGGTCTTCACCAGCAAATGGTTCGAAACTACTGGTCCGAGACAAAGTTCGTGGTCCGACCATCAATGGAGGATCAAACGGATACTCCTCTCCGCGACGAGGACTTGGCGCATGTTGTCCAGATCGAAGTCCTGTGTTCCGCCCACAGCGTGGATACTAGCGATAGAACCACCGACTCCATTGGACTCTTCGAACTGCTTCTCGCGTTCCGCGGACCCATGGACACGCTTTTAGCCTTCAAGCGCGATGAATACGGACGCTGGCTAGCCCTTGATAAGGCCTGGTCAACAGATCAGTCCCCACGATATCTAGGAACTGTTAAGACGCCTGGATGCTCCAAGATTTATTTCGATCTTATCGATGAAGACGATGCTCCTTTGCGAAAGTGCTTGACGGCCGAGGAAGTCGTGACCATACGCACGATTGCGTACGGCTCATGTAAGCGACGATGAAATCATCGCAAGTGACTCGCAGCCCGCTGCTGTTGTGAGCGAGCTCCAGTCCTTGGCGAAAGGCGGAGGTACACGTTGGAGGTAAGAAGGTGGACTGAGAGTCTCAGCGCAGACGATATGCTTCAGTAGCCGTCTTATGCCAGATCCAATCCAGATCTTCATTACTGAGCGCGTGCTCCGGCCCATCAAGTGACGCCTCAACAAAACCTCTCCACACCACCCATGACTTCTCACCACTTGGTCCAGAGACATTGCAAACAGGCCAATCGCTTCCGAACATCACTCGCTTGGGCCCAAAACACTTCAGCACGTGCTCGATCCAGGGATGGCAAGTATCGGCGAGATCGCGCAAGGTTCCCTGGGTTGATGGCATCTCGCTGAATTGTCCAGACAGCTTCATGTACGTTTCGTCCTGCTTTGCTAAGAGTTCGATAGCGTCACACCATGCGGTGAATGCTCGCCTCGACAACGAATCCTTCCCAGACGTCCATTTGGTTTCGCCGTAGTCGGGCTTGCATAGATGGTTGAGGATGAAAGTGACCTTCTCCTCTATTGGTACACCAGCATGAGCCATCTCAACGGCTTTCGCCATTAATGTGAGCTGCCAAGTACCGGCACGGTGTTGATCAACTCCCACGTCAAAAGAGAAGCCCCGCTTGCCGAGTAATTTGAGATTATCCTGGAAGTCTTGCCCGAGGACAAGCCTCCCGAAAACAGCTTGATCTGAAATGAATTGCAGCAGGAATCGAAACCCTTTCACTCGCTCCCAGACCTGCGGACCCGCTCGCTCCTCCGCCAAAGCCAGATACTCTTCCAGGACATTCGTAGGTTGATCCATAGGTGCCCAAGGTACAAGGCCAAAAAGCATCTTACTATCTCTAACATCGTATTTCCCCTCTACAGTCGCCCTCAAAAAGCTGATCTCATCCAACGGTCCTTTAGCCCAGGATGCCACATCGCCATTCGGAGCGTCGTATCGTACATCAGTCTCAACGTAGATCACACCTTGGACTTCGACATCTTGGTGACCGTCGGCGACGGCGAAGTAGTCTTTCAGTAGATGCGGTTTCGCTAATGCCATATCAGGTGGTGTCATCCAGGCATGGCCAGTTTCGTTACTGGTTTCCTTGGGCCAGAGATGGATGTGGCTGTCTATGATCTTTCGTGGTGCCATGGTAGTTTTGATTCCATGTAAAGCTAGGATCCCTAGCCCGCTCGACTTTCGTTGTAGTAAGACGCAGATGACGGATCCAGACCTTGCCTTCAAAAGTGCAGAGGTCGATTTGGTAGAAGCATATACAAGTGGAGCCGGCTTACCACTATTCGGCCTCTGGCTCGCTCGACATTATCCCGAAAAGTGCCCCACCAACGCTTCACTACTCATGCGTCTTTTCTGAGCATGTCAGAACATATCTTGCTAGCATCACATACTATGTGCCCGTATAAACTTCGCGAGTAAGTTGTGTCATTCCATTCCTTCTCGGTAACTCTCTTCAGCTGCAGAGCCTTGGCCAAATATGTCCAAGCTACTCCAAGGCAAAGTAGCAGCAATCACGGGAGCAGTAACAGGCATAGGCCGAGCCATTGCACTCGAGTACCTTCGACAAGGTGCAAGTGTAGCAGTCAATCATTTCCCCGACGAAAAGTCAGCAGCACAATATGAAGAGATGAAGAAAGAGGCGGGCGAGGGAGCGAAGCTGTTGGCCGTAGCCGGAGACATATCGAAACCAGCGACAGGACAAGAGCTGGTGAGAAAAGCTGTAGAAGCATTTGCAGGACGATTAGATATATTCGTGAGCAATGCTGGAGTCTGCGAGTTTGCAGAGTTCTTGACGTGAGTGGTACGGAAAGTGAGTGATGAACAGCGCACTGCTCACACATTTCCGCAGCATACCTCCCGACCTGGTAAACTTCACCATCTCCACCAACCTTAACGGCGCCTTCTTCGCCGTCCAAGCCGCCGCCCAACAAATGGCGAAACAAGAGCCAGCAGGCGGAAGCATCATAGGCATATCCTCGATCTCAGCGCTCGTGGGCGGTGCAGGCCAGACCCATTACACCCCGACGAAAGCGGGTATCACATCGTTAATGCAGAGTACCGCCTGCGCACTCGGCAAATACAATATCCGATGCAATGCTCTGCTGCCGGGAACTATTCGCACACAGCTGAACGACGAGGACCTCGCGGACCCGGAGAAGCAGAGGTATATGGAGGGGCGGATACCACTTGGGCGGCTGGGGCAGCCGCATGACATGGCAGGTCCGGCAGTCTTTCTTGCCAGTGATCTCGCGGCGTATGTATCTGGTGCCCAACTTCTGGTAGACGGCGGAGCATTCGTGAATTTTCAGTAGCGATAGAGAAGAATGCTGGCATTAGTCGAATCCAGCGAACTCAGTGTCGCTGGCATCTTGCACCGCTGCCACACTCTCACTCTCGAGCTTGGCTCGTCGCTGACTCCCTTCAACAGCCCCTTTGCGATTGTTTTCCGCTTGTCGTAAGAAGCCAGCTTTGGAACTGATGCGTGCACGACGTGCAGACTTGGGGTCCAGTTCTTCGGCATGAGTCGTACGTGATTCGACACCACGCTTCTTGAACTTCTGCTTATCATTCTTGCCGAGCTTAGGCAATGAATCTACGAGCCACTGCTGCAGCCCGCCTTGTGATACCGGCCCACCTTTGTGCTTCGGCGCCATGGCCACCACATTGGCGACATGTTTCAGGTAAGGTATATCTTCTTTGCTGTACAGTGTGACAGCGACGCCACCTTCGCGCCCAGCTCTGCCAGTTCGGCCAACCCGATGAACATATGCTGCGCTAGACGTTGGTATGTCGTAGTTGACAACACCGTTGACGCCGCGAAAGTCCACACCACGTGCAAGCAAGTCTGTCGTGATAAGCACCCACACTTCGCCTTTGCGGAAACGGGTCATAATGCTGTCGCGTGCGGTGTCGGACAGATCGGCATGCAGGACTGCGATGCGAGTGCTTCCTCCAGCTTCGGCAGGGATGTCGTATAGCAGCTCGGAATGTAATGCTACAGCTCGTTCAATCGTTTGGGCGAAAATCAGGAACGGCGGAAGTAGTGGTAATCCAGTGTCTTTCGAGGACGCAGCAGGATGCAGAAGTTGTCGCAGTCCCATCAGCTTGCCTTGCTCAGTCGCAGCATACACCAGCCTGTGCTCGATGTTGGGTATTGCAGAGTCTTTCAAACCGACTACCAGACGAATGAGTGGTGCTTCCTGAGCATCGAGACGCAGCCTTCGACTTCCGATCGTGCTTTGGGTGAGCTCCTCAATATTGCTGCCCATTGTTGCTGACCACAGACTGACTCGCAAGTCTTGATGGTCAAGACTGTTCCATACTCCGAGCGTCTGTTCGCGGAAAAGTGGATCCAGGAGCACATCTGCTTCGTCCAGTACTAGAGCTTGCACATCCGAGAGCGCAGCAACATTCCGCTCCACGTGCTTCACTTTTGATACCTCGCCCGATTCCGCAGTGACGTCCTCGGACTCAGTAGAGAGCATACTGTACAGAAGCCCAGGTGTACTGACCAAGACATCAGCCTTGACGGCAGGCTGTTCAGCTAACTTCTCGCCTGCGGTCTCATCATCTCCATCTTCTCGCACAAGACCGTCACCTGACGACAATTGCATACCCTTCCGAATCTGAGTGACGCGCAAACCAGTCCCTTTAGCAAGCTTCCTGCCCTCGTTGACAATCTGTCCAACAAGCTCCTTTGTCGGTGCAAGAATCACCGCGGAAGGTCTTCGCTCAGTGTTCTCGTCGAGTTTGCGCCGGCTCTGCATACGATGCAGGATTGGTATGAAGAAGGCCAGAGTTTTGCCACTTCCGGTTGGCGCCACGGTGAGCATGTCCACGCTGTGATCCGCAGACTCGCTCATGCTTGCATCACCAGAAGTCATGCTTGCCACAGAGCCGTCCAAAAGTACAGGCAATGCACTTAGTTGCACCTCGGTAGGCGTTGTGTATCCCTGATCGTCCAGATTCGTCGCCAATCTCTTCGATATGCCATATTGATCACGTAGCTCACCGAAGGAGCGTAGAGATCGTGGATACAGCGAAGCTTTCGACACCTTACTGCTGTTCGTGGCTTTCATCCGCTTCTTCGTGGATCTAGGATTGAGGTGTGTGACTTTGATCTTGTGTTCCTTCAAGAGACTCTTCGCCTCCTCCTCTGACATGCTAGGCTGGGAAGGTACGACAGGGCGTGCATCCCTCTCGTGGTCGGCCAGGTCATTTTCCTCATCGTCACTCCGGCTAAGCGCTACCACCGCAGCTCCCGACGGGACGGAGCTTGTGTTCGCGCCGAAGAAGTCTGTCCCGTCTGAGTGTCCTTGTCGCGGACCAGCCACATATTCGACTCGCTTCCGCTTCTTTGATGAGATGAATGCGCCACTATCGAGGTTGTACAGCTGAGGGTAGGCATTCTGACCAGTAGAGGGAGTCACGACAGTATTTTGCCGTCTCTTCGACAAGCCCTTCGTATTGCGCGACAGCAATTTCAAAGGATCCATGTTAATGAGAGGCAAGCCAGTTCTTCGCGGTCCAGAAATTCAAGATGTTCTTGTTCGATCTAAAGATTAGATTAGATCTTTAATTGCCGAGCTCCGACCGCTTCCTCCCGCAAAAGCGCAATGGCTGGATTTGCCAGGAGACTGACAGCTTCAAGAGCTCCAGTCGCAGAAGATCTCTCTTCAGCTCTTTTTCTTTTCAACACAATGTCTGCCCGGCTAGTACCTCGCCTGGCACTCCGCCAGTCGAGATGGATGGTGCAAAGGCGCGCCGCGTCGACGACTACAGAAGCCGCGAATGCCGCCTCCTCAACCGCTTCCAAAGCAAAAGAGGGCGCATCGGCAATCGCTGGCAAGGCACAACAAGGTCTCTCGCGAGTCACGAGCTCTGCCGGTAGCGCTGTGAGTGGTGCTGCGGAGTCGGCAAGCAATGCGGCATCACAGGCTACCGGAAGAGTTGGCCAGATAATTCACTTTGCCCAAGGTATGCAGCATTACGAGAATGTCGCATAGGCCAATGCCAATACTAATCTTCCCAGGCTTGGTACCCCCGACCATCTACTACGCGCGCGTTGTTGGCGAACTTGGCCAGCTGATGTTCAAAGGACGCAACATGTACCCTCCGTAAGTCTGGTGCGAAAGAAAGAACGCAAGTATTATACTTACAGCACCAGCAACATGCAAACCATCCAGACTTACCTCCAACCCGTCCAGAACGCCATCCGCAACCCTTCAGCGCTTCTGAACCAGACAGAATCGCAGGTCACGCAAGCGGCTTCGAAGGCTGGTAATGCAGCACAAAATACTGCGCAGCAAGCCGCCAACAACCCCGAGGCATTCCTCAGCCAACTCCGCAACTTCGACACCGCGGCTCTGACCTCTGTGGGCGTGGTTGTAGCCGAGGTCCTGGGCTTCTTCACTGTCGGTGAGATGATTGGCAGGTTTAAGATTATCGGCTATCGGGGTGAGCATGGCCACCACGAGTAGGTGGTGAAAAGGTGTAATGGGAGATGAGGAGGGGAGGGTGGTGTGGTGTTAGATGAGCAAGAGATGGAGCAAGCAGGACGCACCTGTGGAGATAAAGTGAGTGCGTGCGCCAAGTCGTGGGAGATGTTGGCGCGTGTACTATTGTTCATATCAACCTATTTGCTACTATCAATTCCAGGTTGGTAACATTTTTCAAGCGTAGGCTACTCGTGCGCAGTGATATTGATGTCATGAGGTGATGTTGTCGAACGCACTTGCCTGACGCTGCTAAAGCTTCTATCAACCTCCATGCTCACGACGTCAGATGCTTACATCTACCTACCTACAACACATTTCCATTCGCACGGAAGCATGCTATTCAGAGACGTCAATGATAACAATAATCGCAGTACGAAGCCTCCTTCCAGTCTTGCATCAGCGGAGAGAGACTAACGGTTGACATGCTGCACGGCCGTTCGAAACCAGTACCGAGCCCAAGAAACATATCGAGAGGGGAAGGAGTTGGGACATTGCCTTCATGAACAAGCCTGTCCTTCAATCTTGGAATGCTGGGATTGATCAAGACCCTAAGGCTACGCGCAGAGGCAGCGCCATGTGTAGCTGGATGGTATCGTCCATCAGGTACCGTTGCATGGCGCAAGTCCTCGAGGGTACTTCATGATCCGTTCTGCATATCTAGCCGCCTGCTTGCCTAACGCACGCACGGTATGCCGGTCGCCTGAGCGGAGCCTCAATAATCGACTCTGTCACGCGGACAGCACGGCACGACGTCAAGTCTGCTGTGCTACTTTGTTCTTCTGGCGAACTTCACGCGCAGGACACTCGGGTGGCGTTGGTCACAGGGCATGTCCAAATGGCGAGCAATAAGACTCAAGATTGTGCTTGTGGCCACCACTTTGACGCAAGAACGCGATGGCATTGTCGCCGGCGAACGGATAGGACCTACCGGCGGCAAAGCAGACGCCAGCGTTACACAGCAGCCTGTCGGTACATTGAACCTATGGCGGTTACCTGCGACGCCTTTCCCAGAATGGCCTTTGTCACGCGCCACGGGTTGAGGCTCTCAGCCGTGTTGCACAATTGCCTACTGACTACGCTAATCTGTGGGACTGTTCATGCGACTTTGCCAGGGCATGCCGTTGCATGGTCATAGTCACTCACATGATTTCGAAGATCCCTTTGAATAGATGAGACAGAGCAATCATGCAATCGATGGGCATGCTGGAGCAGGATCACTTAGCCAATGGTGTTCAGTCCTTGTCAATATGAGTGCTCATATCATCTGGTGCCGTCAGCTAAGCGGTACCTGCGTGGGAAGCGATCGACGCCCGAGAAAATTTCTCCACTCTACGCAGATATGGCAATTCGTACTGGACATGAGTTCGAAGTGTTCCACGCACTACAAAGCAACGGGCACTAAAGGTGTCAATTCCTGTAGCGAAGGAGTACGACCAGGGAAGACGGACCGTACAGCAGTGGAATGTACGGAACAGTCACGACCAGAGCATCATTCGTCTTCCCGTTGCCCCAGCCGCGGAAGAATGTCCCCTGACGCTGATACGGAGGCCGGCTATAGTGACCCTGCACGCTGCGATATCAGCGGAAGTTGCGCAAGCAATGTTGAAGCATGGTGCGATTGGAAACTTGGAAGTAGCGGCGGCTCCCCTCTACCTCACCAGTGACCACGGGCAGCCCAGCCGCATTGCCATCAAGTGGTGAGCAATTCAATAGAGCTACAAGACACTCAATGGCTTACAAGGTAAGAATGTAGTGGCTTCGGGGATGCTCTTCCACGGGCAGATCAGCGCTACAGCTCACGCGAGTGTAACATCATCCCCAGGTTTTAGAGCTCTGCGGGAGGTTGTCTGGTTGCATGAGTTGTGCATTGCGGTGTCGAAAGCTCGCTAGTAGTGCCTGCCTATCTCCCAACATCACGTCGGAATCGAAGTTGACTATCGTCACTTCGACTGCACATCATCTACGCAGGCACGGCATCGCCCGATGGTCAGCTCGCACAGGCGTGGTATTGTCTTGCTCGATCTGCGGCGTCCAAAGTCATTCCGGCCCTGATATGAATACCTCAACAAGAAACTCCATACATCAACTTTCGCAAAGCCAAGATCTGCAGCTGCAAGCCATTGAGACTCGCCTCATCCACTAATCCCCACAAAGGGTCTCTATCCATATACGGACTCTTCCTTCGGCTGGGTGAAAGCAATTCATGACCCGGCGTCGCCGTGGGCCGTCGCTGAGCCGCCTTTCACATGTGTTGTATGCCTGCATTCAAAGATACGCAGCGAAGTGTTCCCTTCAATTCGCTTGGTCACGATGGCATGGCAGCAGCATGGACGAGCACATGTCCCTATGTCTCTTCGTTGTCGATCAGTAGGGCCGCCGTCTGCAAGCAGCCATGCAATCGCGGATGTGCAAAGGTACACTTGACCGGACGGCACCACTGCACGCAAGTAGGCGAGGGTGGCCTCCAAGCTTTCGCTAGCGCATTCGTCATTAGCCGTTGTGGGTGACCCGGGACCCTTCAACGCTCGTGCCCATCGGCGATACCCAGCGATGACTACGCTTGCTGTGTGTCTCACATGAAGGGCAAGCGAAGATGCGTTGGCTTGCGAGGCCGAGCGACTCGAGCGGCTGTCAACAGAGAGCAGTGACCTTCCGCTAGAGCGTTGCGCAAACCACAGCCGCCAAGACTCACCCGTTGTGCATTTGGCGCCGACAATCTAGCGGAATCTGACCGTCGGCCATACAGAACGAGCAGTGATTGAGGCGCTAAATGGTGGGCTGCAATAACAGCCAGAGGAGCGGAGTCGCAGCGCTCGTTCGCGGCAGACAACAACCAGATTGCCCGCACGAGCACTTTCCCGAGCTCGCCGTACGCTTAGGCGAGACGAGAATCACAGAGCTCTCAAGCTAGTTGAAATGCACGACCCCACTGCTGTCAGTTCTCTTGCCAAACAGCAAGCGGAATGAGGGGACGCCAGCCATAGCTTTCCTGCAAGCAGATGCAGGCCAGCTCCCATTCGAGGACAGGTGGACCATCCTATACGCGCCTCTCTCTATCTACCTGCCTTTTGGTGATCTCATCAGGGTATGGAGCTTTGCACGCAAGCAGCATACTAATAAAACATTAGCACCAGCATGGACTGGACCCTAAGCGCTCTCGCATGACAACCGAGGAAGGTAATGGTTAAGGCTTATATGTCCACATGTTTTCTCTGATCTTTTCCCTTTCCATTGTATACGCAGCAATCCTATGTAGACTCCGGCTCGCTGCATCTTTCTCTCGTTAACGCAGGTAGACAGAATGGTTTCCTGGCTTTTCGTTGCAGTATTTGTTTGGTAAGTCTTTCTCTACACTGGTCCCAAGATCTTTGGTTGCCATTGGCTGTGGCACGTGAGCTAATTGTTCTGGCCAGGTTGTTTCGTTATGTGCGATTAATTGTCAATTGCGTCTCACACTGGACCTTTAGGCCCATACCAATACCTCAAAATCCGTCCTACACATCAGACGATGTGACGATCATTCTGCCGACCATTGCGGACGGTGGCGATGCACTGGAGACCACTCTGCGGACTTGTCTGGCCACTGAGCCACGGGAGCTGATACTGGTCACTGTTGATGCGAATGTGGAGAATTTGGACAAGGTCGCCAATGCGGTCAATGCAAAGAAGATCCGAGTGCTGAGCATTCGGGAAGCGAACAAGCGGCGACAGATGTGTCGAGCTATCCCAGAGGTTACCACGAGGATCACTGTCTTCGTCGACGATGATGTGATCTGGCCTCAGAAGGTGCTGCACTGGATGCTGGCACCTTTTGAGGATGAGAAGATGGGTGGCGTGGGTACCTCCCAACGTCTTAAAAGAACAGAGAAGACGAGTTACTGGAGCTTTCTCGGTGCCTGTTATCTGGAAAGAAGGAACTTTGACTGCTCAGCGTGTCTTCACATCGATGGTGGTCTACCTTGCCTGTCTGGTCGAACAGTGGCTTACCGGACGGACATATTACAGGACGAGGCTTTCACGCATGGCTTTACGCATGAGGAGTGGAGGACATGTCAGCTCAACGCTGACGATGATAACTTCATCACCCGTTGGATGTACTCGCATGGCTGGAAAATCGCAATGCAGTACCATAAGGAGGCGGAAGTGCAGACCACGCTAGAGGACTCACCAAAATACATCAGCCAGTGTTTGCGGTGGGTTCGCAGCAACTGGAGGAGTAACTTGACCAGCATGTTTGTTGAAAGACATTATTGGTGGACACAGCCTTGGAGCACGTATTCTGTGCTGCAGACGACTATCACTGCATGGGCTCTACCGTATGATATCTTCATGTTTTACTCATGGTTCGAAGCATCCTCGGGTTGGTCGCACGGGCAGCGTGTTGCGCTCTTCAGTCTCCTGGCGGCATGGACATTCATTTTCAGTAAGACTGTCAAGCTCTGGGGACATCTGTTCCGCAACCCGGCAGACGTCATGCTACTCTGGGTATACATCGGCTTTGGCTACTTGCACGGTGGAATCAAACTATGGGGCCTTTTAACGTTGAGCGAGGTAAGCTGACTTGCGCAGCGTTGAGAGTTCTATGCTGACGTGTGATTCAGACAACCTGGGGCAGCAGAGATGGTGCTGATGCCGACAACCGTGTTCGCATGATCCGGCTTCCTCAGTATGGCTCCGATATCCCTGATGGTCGGAAGTCTGAAACTTTCGACCACCTCCAGCAGGAACCTCTACAAGATCAGCTACCTGCATATGATCCGCAGGTGCATACTCCAAATTCTCAAATGACGAACATTTATCACGATTAACGACAACGATTGACACATTCGATACCCACGGCGCCGGCTTCTTCTTTTCTTGCATCAGCAGCGCTTATAGAGGTAGATGAGGCGACACAAACGGAGGCATCATCTGCCACTGGAAAAGCTCTGCTGGCCAAAAATGGTTTTGGTATATTTGGGGAAGGTTCATGTACAAGGTGCATCATGCTTTTGAAAAGAGCTGGAGTTTCTGATTCTTGCCATGATTATGGCAGAAGTGATCTTCAGACAGATTGACACCACTAAGGTTCAGGTGGCTTGGAGCTTCACAGCGCAGCATACTGTAGTGTACAATAATCGACAGCATAGCGATTGAGCGAGCAAGTAGCAGGATAGCATGAAAAGGTCAACCAACTGACGTCTACGGCACACTCCGTACCTGCGTCTCTCGCCACGTTTTGGGGGTGGTCACGCACACAGCGGACTTTCTCATGCAGGTCACACCCTACCGTGTCATTTCGTCTACGTGCAGCCGGACGATCTTTGGTGTGGATGGCAACCGGGTCGGTCGGTTGTTTGGTTGTCTTGAAGACATTAGACAGTCGTGGTGGACTGTACGTACACAGAGCTGATGGTATACTTTTGGCCGAGCAGAAAAGTCAATAAAGCGTCCAGCTCCTGCAGCATGCTCACCCAAGCAGCCAAGCTGCAGCGACATGCTCTGAAAAGGTTGCACGGCACATGTCGACTTTTTTTGATTAGCCCTGCAAGCCTCAGTCCAACGCCGTGAGGAGGTACTCGATACATGTAATAGCCAATCGCGTGCTGGGCTGACGAATGTGCTGCATCCAGCCCACACCACCTAGCCCCCAATGCTCAAAATTTTCCTGCATTGCTGATGCCATACAATATCGCCCACTACACCTTCAGCACTCACAACTCGATGGTTGTCGTTGGCGAGCAGAGAGCTGTCGTGGGTCACGATCGTATAAGCTTCAATTTTCCGCCAGGATCAAGGATCGAGCAAATGCGCAATATGCTGCGAGCGTCTCGACTCGGCCCGCCGATTGCGTGTCATACACGAGGCCGAATCGGGTCCGTCCAGCAACACTCTATTCGCTTAGCGCTACAATTAGATAATGCGACAACGGAGCCTTCGCCTGTGTCGATCTCGCGGAGGCTGGTCGACTGACCGAAGCATTGTGTACATCGTCAGTCAGAACAGACGATGCCGAGCAAGACGTGTGGTTGGAAAAGCAACGATCTGCACTGACTGCGGAGTGTGTGCTTGTCTGCTTGTTCGATCGAGCCTCACGGTCCTGCGGAAGATCACGGGTTGAGCTCGTGCTCCCGTGAAATCTCATCCTTCCCCACAACGACCGTTCACGGGTGGGTGAACGCTTCGAGGGTACGAGAGGAGTGCACGGGCAGAGGATGACTTTAAGCTTTGACGTCCGGTCACGACTCTTCTCACAAAAGCTTCGGTACGCAAAGCGATAAGGCTTCGGGGTTGAGCGAGGCCGACAGACGATCTGCTCGCTTCGATGCCTTCACGACTGCTACAGCTTTGGTTTCAAAAGTCAAACCTGGGGCAGACCAAGAGGTAGAGAACTTGTCCAAGATGAGCGCTCATGAACTTACTAGGTCGTTCTAGTTTCGGGAGACTTCAATGTATGGCGACCATCAATCGACAACACACCTCTAACTTTCTTTACCCTCAGACTTAAACTGCTCTTCGAGCTCCTTCAAGCCTTGATAGACTTCGGACCACTTCTGCCACTCTTTCTCCCCGTCTTGAAATCCACCAGCGAGAGGAAGGCGTCCGCCTGTCTTGCTCCCCATATTCCACATCCGAGCTATGGCTTCCTTGATACCTACGACGCCCCATGCCGCAACAAGCTTCTCGCCTTCACAGATCCTGTACTGCAGAAGACGCATCTCGTCAATGTCTTTCTTAGTGGTGCCCTTGGCCGCACTGTCGTTGAACAAGCGAAACAGTCTTACGACGATGCGAGGGAAGACTCCGGCTAGACCATCGATGGCTGCGACACCTCCGATCGTCAGGACCGGCAGTAGATTCTGGCCGAGACCTGTGAAGACGTAGAAGTGCTCGTGGTCGATCCGAGGATTTGCAGCAATGAGCGTCTGGTCGTCGATGATACCGTGCGAGAGCTTCGTGCCAACAATGTTGGGATGTGCTGCTAGCTTCTCGAATGTCGAGGGAGCAATGTATAGGTTATTGGTAACACCCGGATAGTGATATCTATCATCATCAGCCGGGACCTGACTAGTAGCATACTGGAAAACTCACATCATTACTGGCAGCACCGATCGATCTGCGACAGCCTCGAACCACTTCTGAATACCCTGCTGACTTGTACTTGGAGCGAAGTAGCCTGGTCCGAGAACCATGGCATACTCAGCACCAGCCTCTTTACTCTCCTTGATTAACTCCAGCGTATCATCGATCTGCTGCGTGGCTGTGCCCGCAATGATTGGTCTATCCTTGTATCCAGCATCATCCAATGTTTTCCGTTGGCTGCTGATCAAGTTCTTGCGCTCCTCAGATCGAAGGAAGATTGCTTCGCCCGTGCTGCCAAGTATGACGAGGCCCTTGATGCCGCCCTTGACGAGGAAGAGCGAGTGCTCAGACTGGGTCTCGAGATCGAGCGGAGGTGTGATTTCATCGTAGGACGATGTGCCCTCTTTGGCGAAGAATGTAGGGACGGGAACATAGATGCCCTTCGGTGGTGGTGATGCTTGAGCACCTCTGCTGGCATTCGTACCGTTGGTACGATCCGGGACAGACATGGTGATAGTGAGACTGCTTGGATTCAGACCTGATTGAGATGTGATTCGGTGGTTCAGGTTTCCAAAGTGTCAATGGTCATTCACATCGTGAGGAAACGTACTTATCAGCATCAACTTGAGACTCTGTCAACCATATGCCGATTTATGACGGCAGCATGCTACTTTTAAGTGGGGCAGGCATCGGTGCATTGTGGACCGAATGAGGAAAGCCAGGTAGATGAGGAGAAGCTGGCGTAGACAAATGCTCATTGCTTTCAAGCATGACTTTCGGTCCAAGACGTTGCCAATTCGAGAGGCGTGCACTGAGCCAGCGAAACAATGGAGCGTAAGTGGTATCGATGCTTGTTTGTACAGTCGGATCGGAGAACTACCTCAATTGTGCCGCTGTTATCGCGCCCTCTGTCTGATGATCGATAGCACCAAATTATGGCCCATACCTCATCAGCACAACGTGGTCAACTCACCTCCGCCATCTCATGGCAGCGACACAGATGTTCGAAGATGCGGAGAAGAGTTATCATTTTCTGGGTGACACGAAAGCTTACCAGGGTGAGAAGAACAACGACGACGTTGCTCGGCGACGACCGACAATCACAAAGACGGAATCCCACCGCTGTTGGCCGCGTCGGCACACCGGCAATGGTCAGTCATGACGCTAGAAAAAGTATGGTTCGCACACCGCCAATGTGATGGCGTAGAGGATATATACTGTGACAGGTCCTTTCCCTTCCTCTTTACCTTTCACTCCAAAACCTCTTATGTCGGAATCTCTGTCGCCACCGCGCTACAGCGATTGAAACCACCCTGGACGACAACCCCACCAGCTTATGAGCAGGCTCTTTAAAGGCAGCACGCCAGGACTCTTACCACGAAACAACAGTATCGACCGAACGCTCAACCCGACAACCTCACCACAGACTTCTGGTTCGGAGAAACCATGCAGTCTTTCCCGGTCACCGGACTTCGCCTCCCAGGCTTATCAGGAAGCTGAAGATATCGAGGCGCCTCGCTCGCCCCTCGGGAGCAATGAGAAACCTGAGGTGATCTATCCTGAAGGAGGTCTACAAGCATGGCTTGTCGTCTTCGGCTCCTTTGCGGGCATGACGGCCGGGTTTGGTCTGATGAACACTATTGGTGTCTACCAGGCCTACGTCGCCGAGAATCAGTTGTCGGAGTACAGTGAGAGTACCATTGGATGGATCTTCAGCCTCTATGTATTCCTGAGCTTTTTCTGTGGTCTGCAGATTGGACCCATCTTCGATGCGAAAGGACCACGTATGCTGGTAGCTGCTGGGACGGTATTCCTCCTACTCTGTATATTTCTGCTCGGGCTCTGTACCAGTAGGTGGATCTTCTTTCCCTTTCAAAATGCTGCAGCTAACGTCTCATAGAGTACTGGCACTTCATGGTCGTCTTTGGAGTGCTCGGTGGCATCGGCACATCCCTAATCTTCACACCAGCCGTATCAGCCATCGGCCACTTTTTCTTTGAGAAACGTGCAAATGCCACTGGTCTCGCAGCGACAGGCGGCTCGATCGGCGGCATCATTTTCCCGTTGATGTTCCAATCATTGGTACCCAAGCTTGGATTCGCTTGGGCTACAAGAATCCAAGGCTTCATCTTCATAGCCTTGTTGATTCCTGCGAACTTGTTGATCAAAACTCGACTACCACCCAGATCTGGAGGCTCGGTCGTTCCGGACTTCACGATTTTCAGACAACCAGCTTTTGCTTTGGCGACGGCCGGAACGTACTTCTTGGAGTGGGGGCTGTTTGTGCCGATCACGTATCTCGCGAGCTACAGTTTGGTCTCTGGCGCCATGACCCAGACCTTCGCCTTCCAGATCATTGCGATCTTTAATGCTGGCTCTTCGCTTGGTCGATGGGCCCCAGGCTACATGGCTGACAAGTTTGGACGGTACAACACGATGATCGGCACTACACTCGGGTGTCTGACAAGCTCACTTGGCCTATGGCTTCCAGCTACTGTTCTATCGGAAGCCGAACATGTTCCCAAGTCGGCAGTATACGGTCTGATCGTCACTTACGCGGTCATCATGGGGTTCGCTTCAGGTTCGAACATCTCTCTCACACCGGTCTGTGTCGGCATGCTGTGCGATACTCAAGAGTACGGACGCTACTACGCAACTTGCTATACTATTGTGTCCTTTGGGACTCTTACAGGAGTGCCAATTGCAGGAGCAATCATCCAAGCCAGCGGAGGAGCTTATTGGGGCGTGGCGCTTTTCACTGGTCTGTGTTACGTGTGTGCCGGCGTAGCATTTACGACTGTGAGGGTTATGAAGGTTGGTTGGAAGTTGAACGCGAAGTACTGAGCAGAATGGAAGAGGGCTAGCAAGATCGAAGGAGACTAGCAAGACTGAAGGAGGAAGGTCGAAGAAGGCTAGCAAGATTGGATAAGGATAATTGAAGAAGGCTAGCAAGATTGAAGGAGGCTCGATGGGTGATATGTGTTGCTTGCTGAGGAACCGTGGATGTAGACACGGGCGCGCGGTCACGATGTGCTCCGAGGACTCAAGTTCCATTGATCTCACCACCTGCTATTCTGGTTCTGGAAACAGGGATTTCACTTATCGCGCACTTGACACATTCAACTACTGTGTCGGCGCCGCGCTGCTCACTCCACCATTTTCAGCTGAGCAGATTGTGTTCAGGATCGATGTGTTAAGAACCATGGTCTGTGCAGATATGTCAGTACCAACTTCGCACTATCCAGTGCTACTTCTTAGTTCGACGTTCCGCGTCACCAAGGTTCCCACAACATATACATAGTGGCTTGCACGGCATTTTAAGCTTTATGACTGACTAGATTGAACACACTAGACCCTTACCAATATCTAGCTTGGAATTATATACTTGCAATAGTCAACGCTCTCGTCGTCTTCCGCCTCTGCTCCTTCGTCCTCATCATGTTCGGCCTCATCATCTGCCTCAAGCTCCCGAAGGACACTGTCAACACCCATTTCCATGCAGTAGCTGTCTGCGAAATCTTTCACCTCTACAACCCGATCAACAAGTCTTGCATCATCCCTGATCAGGCCAATCTCTTCGTCAGACATTGGCTCAAGGACATGTGTCAAAGCGGTGCCGAAATCGTTCCTGTACTGGGAACTCTCGCGGACCGAGGAGCCAAGATCGCTACCAGGGCCGTGGATACACTGTTCCGCAACATCGCATTGAGCGAGCAGTGCGTTCCGTTTCGAATCAAATGTCAATTCGAGTGAGATTTGCTCCTGAATGCTCTCAATGATTGCTTTGATTGCCTCAATGGCCTGTTCCAAGTTGTGGTATTCATCGCTTCTGCAGCTAGAGCTGTACTCGTTTGTAGATCCTGGCGACCTCGTTGAAAGCATGGGCGAACGAGTTCTCCCGTACCTGGTCGGACACCTTCTTGGCTTCGACTTCCTTCAAGATAGCTTGCTGGGCGTGTGCCGAGGTCTGACTGGTTGGAAGCAGGATCTCGCGAACTGTGGTATCCTCCAGAGCCGTTATCACACGAAGCCAGGTGGCGGAGTCCCATGTGTGGACCGCGCATCGCGCAACAGATGCCGGACGTGTCCCAGCGGCAACACGGGACGTCGACGCCTTTCTGGCCTTCGCTTTCCGGAAATGAGCTTCGTAGAGGAGCTTCGGCCAGCGGCCATCGTAGTAGGTTGTGTCTATTGCCGATGCACTATAGCATGTCAGCACAGGCTTCTTCGGCCGCCTTCGACACGATGTTACTCGCTCACAACTCCGACAGTGAGGATGCCCACAGTCCTCTCCGTGGCAGTCAACCCATGATCGCTTGCTGGGAGGAGAAGGCAATGACATGTTCTGTGGTGAGCAGTCGACGTATGACAATACTGCATTCGTGACTCAAGGTGCTCACGCTACGATGGCCACGCCGTGCTTCAGAACAACGCTATAATATTCATTGTTGATACCACGGTGGAACGTGCATTCACAAGGGTTCGCGCTAGACACACACAAATTGAGAGAGTGGTCAGGCAGTATCCAAATCTGGCGTCTACATGGTGTCCTAGCATTATCATCCTACTACCGATTAGGTGGGAGACTAAGGGACAGGTTTAGGCTAAGGACGTATCTCACAGCATCACAAGACTGAGGCGTATGTGGAGCTGTGTACAACACTCACGTGCCTTCATCCCACGACTGCATTTGGGAAGTTGCTCCTTGGCTCATGTTCTGGGCCGCAGCACTTTGGGCAAACTGTTGACCGATCTCCAAACACTGTAGGACTTTTGCCTAATACACTTGATTCTGGTAGTCGAGTGCTCAAGGACCCGACCCAACACACATCGTCCCTACCGTCAAAGGTGCCTCCAAACAATGGACAAGCGAGACAGACGCCATCCACTTCCAGAGTCCTGCAAGCCGAAGCACACGCGCTGGTGACATACATGCAAAGCCGTGGACGAGAGTAACGGATGCCGACGGTCTAAATTCACATCTTGTTCACGAATTCACAGCATCTGTAAATATTTATTGGAGGTTTGTAGAGGGCGATCTCTTCCTGGATGACATGCGGACGGGACGTCATGGCTGCAAGTATTGCTCGCCCTTCTTGGTGCACAGTGTCTGCGCCATAACTTGTGTAAGCTGACGAATCGGCCGGGCCAAAGATCCCTTTGACATGAATCAGATGAACACAGAGAGGCATGGAGTCTTCGTGGACAGCAATACTAACTACATCACCCGCGGCATGCATTTCCATAATGAAGCACTCAGGCTCTGGCTCCTGGAGGGTGGGCGAGCATCGGTCAAAAACTTACATGCTCTTGTGATCTTATCGATGGAGTAAGATACTCACGCAAGGACCGCTGCTCTGATCCATGAGCTAAGGATATTCAGGTGCAGCTTTCGCGGCAAGAACAGACTAGGCATGGTGTTCCTTGCCATCGCCCTCAATATGAACAAGGCATTATCGATGCCTGCCAAAGCCCCATCAAGCCCACAGGATCTTGCTTACTCGCGGGCCCGAACCTGTGCGGCCTGGACAGCTCATCATATGGATGTGTAAGATCGCACGTTACCTGGGATACAACCTCAGCTGACGTCTTCTCCAGGGCGTGCGGTATTGGCCTCATGAGGGTATCTCAACCCATCGATCCCAGTTTGTCCAAGCTGCCTATCTTGCCACAGACCCAGGTTTCAGTATCTTCGATGTTGTCAGAGGAGAGCAGCTACGACCACACAGTTGACACCCTTTTCCGTGAAAGGTGTGGTCTGACACGCTTGATCTCAAAGCTGAATGACTTGTTATTTGGCCATCTTGCTTTACAGGAGCCAAAGCAGGTTATGGCTGGGCTACAGAACCTCAATAGCGAGTTCACGAGATGGAATGCTATGCTTCCACCGACAATTTGTAGCCCACCGGAACTTTCAGAGCCGATGTATGAGATTCAGTGAGTCAGGCTTGCCTCGACATCGGGTCTCAACTCCACTGACTTGCTACTCAAGTGCTCAATACTGTTGCGCCATGATAAGTGTATGCTCGGCGATAGAAGAGCGCTGCGCTGTTGAGCGAGTTTTGAGGTAGACGATGGGTTTGGTTTGATTCACCGGAGTCGAAGGATCCTGCGTTTGGTTCCGAGAGGAGTGGGCAATCAGGAATGATCGTGCTCGAGTAGAGAGGATCACTGATGGCTTGAGTGGTATGCACTGACGTAGCGGCGCTCTGCATTGACTAGACGCCGCTGTGCATCACAGTGTCTAGACTCCGGGACTCATGAGAAGTGAAATATGGCTGATCGGCCACAGGAGACCAGCTCTGCTGGAGACTGTCGGCACAGTCGTCATCTCGTAGTGACGTATCCTTGATGTCGTTTCGATGCGCTGTCAGCATGTTGGCGAGGCTTGTCACGCACGTAGCAAAAACACGTACCTCGAGTCTTCAGTATTTGATGTCAGCACCTTGTCAATCAGCTGTTCTATGCTTTCGCCTAATCGCAGACGTGCTAGCAGATTTGCGGCTTCGTTGTCAGAACTGTATTGCAGCTGTTGCATGACTAACATGAGCCGATCATAATCTTGCGTTTTGACAACAAGCTGCTGCTGGAAGGTCTGCGTAGGCGTGTCGCCGTCATCTGGCACGTCGGTGGTACGGTCGTCGTTGATGGTCGCCCCACAATACGTACAAAAAGATCGATCGCAGGAACACTGGACTGATATTAGTCTTAGCTTGCTCAAACCGCGAGGGCATGGCTTCAGGTCGCAGAGGTTTTGGAAGGATGCGACCCGAGCAATGCAACGCCCAGGGTACAAGACGTAGTCTCGAGGATGTTGAGAGATAGCTGGCCCATGACAAGTGATCCGATCAGGCTCACCTTGGCTTTTGCCAGACGGCATGTGCTACAGGCGTTGCGCAATGGGGCTGACCGTCTTGCCTTCTTGCGTCTATGTGTGCTATCACCATTCAGGCTGACATCGCCACCTTCCTCGTACGTGAGATAGGGCCCAGGCTGCCCTCGAGGTCCTGTATCCGCTCGCAGACAACTCTGGAGCATCCTAGCGGGAATGTGGTGCTGTGTGACGGCATTCTACAGCTCGGGACTGGTTGGTATTTCAACGTAGGCTGGAGAATTGTGGGGAACCATTGAGCCTCGAGATTGAGGTTACCTGGTAAGATAAGATCAGCACCCCATGAATTACCGTCAAAGTCTATGCGACATTTGAAACAGAGGTAGCCAGGTATCGAGACATGGTTCTGTATCGTACAGCGTGCCAACAATGAGCCCATTGCCACAGCTTTGTCGCTGGCAGAACTCGACAGCTTGCAGCCGCTACCGATAGCACGACCCGAGACGCTTCACTTAGACGTTACAGACACATCGTCCATTTCCAATGCTGTGGACACGAAGCTGGGCTACCTTTGCAATACAGCCGGACATGGACACACATCTCCCGCCTTAGACGCACCCATCGAAGCCGTGAAGCAGAACTGCGAAGCCAGCGTCTTTGGTCTATTGGCCGTCACTCAGGCATTCTTTCCTCTGTCGAAAGCGGCGATAGGCAATAGTGGTAAACCGAAGCTCCAGCACCGACTTACCAGGGGTCTCTCAACTCTACATCGGTAGTTACGAAGCCGACAAAAGCGCCGTGGCAAAGCTGAGCGATGTCCTTCGCCTCAAGCTCAGGCCTCGATGTCAAGGTCGTTTTGCTTGTGGCTGGTGACGTGCGCACACAGTTCTAAAGTCCGCAGCCTCGACTTGCTTCACTTCTAACTCGCTCTACAGTCCCATGCGGACGTATTTTGAGAGCATGATGGACATCGCGGCCAATCCGTCTCCGGCGAGTCGACACTTCTCCTAACGGTATGTGCGGGAGATGGTAAGCGACATTCTGGCCGCCTCAGGTCGGCCAACTCATGTTCGACGTGACTTCCTTGGCAAGACGATGTGGATCGTGAGCTATTTCCTGCCGGACTGGCTACTGGACTGGACGTACAGTAAGACTGCGGAGTTGGATGAGCTGATAGTCCGGCTTCGGGAAGACGAAAGTAGTGAGGACAAGAAGGTACTGTAAAGCTCTTGCACTGCGAGAGACTGGCCGACGTGGCATGCACTTGCTACCAGATGTTGGACGCAGGATGGATATGTGTCTGAACGGAAGGAGGGCGTAGACATCGTGACACCTCCCTGCTTAGTGGAATTGAAAGCAGCGCACATCTTCATCAACAAGCCGGCGACCAGAGAAGCCGGGCTTCTTGTGGACAATTTGATGCAGACTTTATGGTCCTGATGTCTACCCGGATCTGCAGGACCCACGACTTATGCATCTGGGTTGCATAAACTCACAGACAAGCGTTGCATAACGTCATGTCTGTTTCACTGGTGTCCGTCCAAAACAACTCCGAGAATTGCATAAAATGTGCAATATGCTTCATTCCACGAGCGGTTTTCATTCTTGCGGCTTAGTGTCTTGTCACTATAAGACTCCCGAGTACTCTGGACCTTACATCGCTACCCTTGTTGGATACATATCGGTAGCGTGTCACTGGTATATGTTCGTTACACTCCCGCAATGAGCGAAAAGAAGTCAAGGACAGACGCCGACGGGGAGCGTACCCTAGAAGATACAACTCTTGACTCTAGCTTGGATCGCAATGCGACCTCATTCACAGCCGAGGAGCCTGCCGACACGCAGAAAGAAGATGAGAACATGGTCTACTGGGACGGACCAAGCGGTCCTCAGGACCCTCGCAACTGGAGCAACTAGGCGAAAGTTGCGAACTGCCTCTTGATCATCATCCTGACGCTTCTCACTCCTCTCGGCTCCAGCATGTTCGCACCCGGGGTCCCGGACGTCCTTCGAGACTTCGGGACAACGTCAGAGACTCTGGCTGCGTTTGTCGTGTCTGTCTACATTCTTGGCTACGCGGTCGGTCCCCTTCTCATCGGCCCGGCTTCTGAGACCTATGGCCGATATTGGGTCTATGTCATCTGCAACATTATGTTCTTGATCTTCACAACTGCCTATGCAGTCTCGCAGAACATGGCTCAGTTGATCGTTTTCCGCTTCTTTGCGGGCGGTAAGTTCCCGTCAATGGTAATGCCAACCTTACACCTTCTGACACCCTGATAGCATTCGGAGTTTGTCCCATCACTCTCGGAGGAGCCAGCATATGCGATCTTATCGAACAAGAGAAACGTGGTGCGGCCATGGCGTTCAACAGCATGGGGCCGTTACTGGGACCGGTGATTGGGCCTATAGCAGGATCATACTTTATTGCTGCAGAGGGCTGGAGATGGACGTTCTGGGTTCTCGCTATCGCCGCCGGAGTCACCACGATCTTGCATGCAGCATTTTGCCGAGAGACTCACGCCACGACCCTGCTGGCCCGTCAGACACGCAGGCTACGGCAAGAGACTGGTAATACCGGTCTCTACTCACGACTCGATGACGACCTCCCAACTAAGCAGAGAGTCCTGCGCGCCATAATCCGACCGATGAAGATGCTCGTTCTATCGCCAATTGTCCTGCTGATGTCCCTGTACTGCGCCATCGTCTACGGCATCTCGTACCTCCTATATACCACCTTCACCTTCGTCTTCCAGGAAAACTACGGCTTTTCGGCAAGCAATGTAGGATTGACTTACGTGGCAAGCGGCATAGGCATGTTTATCGGTCTCTTCCTTATCGGAGGGCTATCAGATCGCCTCCTGAAGAGCAAAGCGGTGAAACAAGGCAAAGGGCTGAAGCCGGAGTATCGTCTCCTACCACTAATGTATAGGGGCTCGCTCGCACCTGTGGGTCTATTCATCTACGGCTGGACGGTACAGTACCACGAGCAGTGGGCAGTCCCGTTGTTCGGCACACTGCTGTTTGGAATCGGGATATTGGGTGCTCTTGTCTGCATCACTGTAAGTCATTCAGCGCATTCTACCAGACGACTTGTTGACCACGGCGTAGCAATACCTTATCGATGCGTTCACGATCCATGCTGCCTCTGCGGTAGCCGCGAACACTGTCCTCCGCTCTATCGTTGACGGCCTTTTGCCTCTAGCAGGGCTACGAATGTACACTGCGCTCGAGCTGGGTTGGGGCAACAGCCTCATCGCATTTATTGCATTGGCCTGTGTGCCCATACCATTCCTCTTCTACCACTATGGCGAAGCCATCCGAGACCGGGCCCCTGTGACGCCGTAGAAAAGGAATGTGTTATGATGACATATAATGTAGAGAGCTAGAACCGTTACGGCGTCTCGAGGATTGTCTAGTTGCTGCAATCGGGAAAGGAGTCTTCCGAGCTAAAGTTCAATGCTTGATATTTTGGGGGTTAGTCTGCACCGCGCAGCAGTACTGAACAGGTTACAGAGCGTCGCTGATCCGCGTTCTCGAACTCGTACCAGGAGATGTCTCGGACCCAGTGACTGCTCGCCCCCGTTTTGCAACATCCATGGATATGGAAGGGCTGGTCCCCGACGATCTTCGAAAGCGGTTGCAGTATCAAGCACTGACTCATGCTTGTGGTCAGGATGCTTTCGACCACCTAATGATGATTGGCGAACATCCTGTAAAGATCACCCAATCCCTGTCAACGATATACGGACACACCCACATCTCAATCACCACCTTCGGATCGACGCATCGCGTATTAATTAGGCAGATGATGACGATGAAAAGAGCATACAAGTTTCGAAGATGTTCAACCTTCTCCGCAAGGCATTAAGAGTCGAGGTACGGCTTAAATGGAAGGGTCTACATACCGAGCAAGCAATGGAGAAGCTCAGCCGCCTGGCAGCCCTCAAATACGGTATCCCGTCATGGCCTGCCGCAACATGGGTAGCTTTGGACGAGTACGATCGGAATTTCTAGGCAAAGGACTTTCTCGACCAGCTCATCGAGCCCCTGACGTTGGACGACCAGGATCTACAAAGCCTTGCACTTGGCCTGGAGGACCTGGTGTGTAGAGAATGAGCCAGACAACTTTGGGTGCCACAGGACTTACCTGCGGCGCGAGCTATCATCAATTACTGTGGCGGCAACACTCCCGCATGGTTCCTCTACCAGGAAGCAGCCCAGCTTCTTGACATACTCATGCTATCTAATAGGTTCAAGCCGACGAATGTCGATGTCCACCAATTCGTACGTATAAACGGGCGGCTCCTATTCCCGACCGATGTAGGTGACACACTCCGCCTTCAGCTCCAAACTTCACAGTGGCAGGACGGCAGATTGCTGCTCCCTTCCACCATGCTCCACCCGGAAGGGTGCTGCGGTCGAGCTGTAAGCAATGGTTAGAAGACATCAACGCGCGAGATGCCGAGTCTCTCGAGATCTTCTCCGTCGTCTGAGGAGGGTGGAAAGGCACAGGGGGCTAATTAATGTTGTGGTGTTCTGTGCTGTCGTGCAACAAACGGCATGCGTGTTATTCTAATGTGCATACACAAACGACGTGTCGCCCATAACGGTACTGCGCTCCTCAAACTTGTAGGCTGCGACCAAGACTCAACATCAGGACCTACCACTCAGGACCATAGCCCGATAGGTGAAACGACCACGTGCAAAATGCCGGCTGTCATACATCTACATTCTCTCTGCCCCGGAATGCCATCAACAAACGAAGAGGGCATCGAGCCGTGAAGAACGAGAGATGTGTTTGCTACGCATATCTACAGCACAACTATATTAGAATCAAATATATCGACCCGATTTGGAAAAATTGGTTCCGTAGTAGGAGGGTGAACGCGAACAGATAACGTCGTGGAGGCTGTGGACAGAGACAGTGGAGCTCGTACTAATGTAGCTATGCTACGAGTTATGAAAAAGAGCCAAAGCTACCACGATACAATCGTCATCAGACATCAGGTCCCGTCGTCACCCAAGAGACAGCCAACCCATACGAAAATTCGCCCGGCAATGAGGCACCAGCACTCGTGAAATGCATGGCTCTGTACCGCCATCCCCATCCGTCGGAGTATCACACCTAACGAATAGTAGTAGCCTTAGACAACCCCTTGGCAGCAGCCGTATTCGCCAACCCCGCCAAATTCGCCGTGCCAGCCTTCTTCTCAAAAACCTTCCAGAACTTCAGACTCTCGTCCGCCGCAGCAGTAGCGAGCATCTGTCCGTCCGGGCTGAGTGCGCTGTGCAGAACCCTCGACTCATGGGCGGGAATCTCGATATTCTTGACAAGGGTAGGATAAGACCAGATGGAAAGGGAGTTATCGGGGAACCCGGACGAGGAAACGAGTTCCTTGTATCCCAACGACCAGCGAAGGGACGTGACTTGGCTTCCGGTATCGATGCTGTTGACGCGGGCTCCCGAGGTGGTGTTCCAGAAGTGGATGTTGCGGTCGTGGCTGCCTCCGCCCGTAGCGAGGAGGTTAGATTGCCATGGGCACCAGGCTAGGGCTTTGACGGCGGCTTTGTGGTTCGTCTTTTGGAACTTCGGGGCGTTGAGGTGGCGGGCGTCCCAGATGGAGACGAGGTTGTCGTTGCCACCTGTCGCTAGCTGAGCGCCATCGGCGCGCCATTCCAGGCCGCAGACTTCCGAGGTGTGGGAAACGAGTTCCGCGATTTTGTGGTTGGCAATGCGGACGTCGTGATTGTAAACTAGACCCGAGCGGGCGCCGGTGGAAAGGACGTGTTTGTTCCAGCCCATGACGGAGACACGCGTGTCGTGGCCGTACATGGAGCGGAGTTTGGTGCCGTCTTCCACGTCCCAGATTTGGACTTCGCCTGTGCCGAGGCCGGCGGCGACGTAGGCGCCGTCGCCGGACCATTTGACCGAGGAGATGTAGGTGTCGGCTGGGCATTCGAGGAGGGAGGAGACGGTGCCGGATTCGGCGGACCAGACGTAGACGTTGCGTTCGAGACCGATGGCGACTTGGTTGCCGGAGGACCAGTCGAGGAGGTTGAGGTAGTAGTCGTCTACTAGACCTGGTGCGTCGAGGACACGCTCCGGTGCTGTGAGGACACGGCGACGGAATTGAGATGCAGAAGCTGCGGCGGGCTTGACGGGGCGATTGTATTGGGATCGGAGGTCGATGGGACGGGAGGACTCTGGTGCCGCTGGCTTGAAGGCAAGGATGCGTTGCTTGATGGAGACACCGCAAGCCTCGGCCACGGATTGCTGGTATGCAACTGTGTTCGGGCTGGCCTTGGTCTTGGGAGCCTCGTCTTCGTCATCCTCTTGACCATCATTGAGGGAAAGACCTTCGAAAGAGAGACCGGCAGAAGCATCGTGGGAAGAAGAAGAATGTGGACGGCCAATGTCGAAAGCGCTGGCGGCACTCGCAGCAAGTACCGCCGACCCATCGCTTGATGCGCTCGACTTTGGCCGCCGTCCAGGGGTCTGCTCGTTGGAGTCGAGCTTGACAGCTGCGCCGGATGTGGAGATGGCTTCGCTGGCGGTGCGGTTGGGGATGAACCGGTCGGCCGCGGTGTAGTTGACTTTGCTCTGAGTCCGCTTGGGTGTCCTCTGTGTGGAAGTCGCACGACCGTGGCGGGCACGAGACGGCGTGTTCTTGGCCGAGACGGCTGTGCTTGGACGAGGACCGGTGCCTGTGAGTGTGAAGTCGCTGAGGCCGAGGTCGATCCTTCGTGGAGAGTCTCGCGAAGGACGGCTGGCGATGTTGGACTTGGGCGACTCACGTGTGGGCTTGGAGACTGAGCGTTGCAGGCGGGACATGAGCGAGGCGTTGGCATGGTGTATGCTCTCGGTCTGCACCTCTTGGGAGATCACCTGAGTACGAGGTGTCTTGGGTGAGGGAGTGAGCGGTACACGTCCGCCAGCGAAGCGTGTGGAGAAGATGCCATCCCGGCGTTTGATTGGCGTAATGACTTCCATATCTGCTATGGTGTTGTTGGTGAGTTGCTGTAGAGGATCCAATTCTGCAGGTCATATCATATATCAGTATGCATGATTTGGTATGTGACATGGATGTGGTTACGCACAAGGACTCCGGTTAGTATGTTAATTCGTGTTGCAGATAGTAAGTGTGCCGTGGATGTATGCTTCCGAGAAGCTGGAGAGAGGAGCCTGAAAAGGCTTGGAGCGTAGCTCGAGTTGTGTGTGACTTGCGAAAGGTGCAGAAGCAGTAATTCGGGTCGAAGCCCAGCAGCTATATAGATCGAGCGTCAACACTAGTTGGCCTCGCGACCGTCAGCGGGATCGGCCGCGCCTACCGTCGGCGTTCCAAGCGGTTGCCGTCATCGGGCTTGGCAAGGAAAGGTCGAGGCTGACCTGACTCGAATGTGTGCATGTGAGCAGGCGTTTGCCGGATTGAACACATTCTTACACTCACACCGAGGATGATCATACGATAATACGCAGAGATCCGCAAGTGCATGGAATGGCTTCTGGCTCGACATTATATCCTCCACCACCGAACACATTTATTCTCCGTCAACGCTGGTGCGTCGAGCATGCAACAGCCGCCAGCACTTTCTACCGACACATACCGAAGCTCCAACATGTCGGCCAATACCTTTGTGATGTCCCAGAGTCCAGTCAAAGGCGGCAGGCGAAGGACGGGCGAGCCATACATCCCCAAGATCATCACAACTTTAGGCCAGCGACCAGCATGCTTAGTCAATGCCTCGGTGACATATGTGGGCAACGACTTGATCTACGCATTCGGCGGCTTTGACCAATACACCGACGAAGTGTACAATCACGTGCTCAAGCTCAATCTGTCCGCCCGACAATGGAGTCTGGTGGACAACTACGGCGATATCCCTGGGGTGCGCATGGGTCACACAGCATGCTTGTGGAAGGGCGATAAACTGCTCGTATATGGAGGCGAGAACGAGCATCGCATACACCTCTCCGATGTAGTCATCTTCGACGTGAAGAGTGCGCATTGGCTGCAACCTGACATCAATGGACCGATACCGCGAGGAAGGGCGAGGCATTCGGCTGTGATTCATGACGACAAGCTATTCGTGTGCGGTGGAATGAGTGGTAGCGACAACGCTGTGCTGGACGATATTTGCTTCCTCGACCTCAAGACGTGGACCTGGAGCAGGACATGGCGCTTTGTCCCACGCTACGATCACTCGAGCTGGGTCTGGGCAGGCAAGATCTGGATCAGTGGTGGTATGGGCGAGGAGATGGAGAGGACGAATGAGATGTGGTGGCTAGACTTTAGAGGCGTCCCGGCATTTGAAGGTGGTCCGACCTATGGTACGATGGGCGGCGACGACATGAGGCTGACAGGCGGAGGCACGCAGAACTATGCCTATGGTGCGGCTGTGGGCTCGACTGGATATGCTGCCAACACAAGCTCGGTGCAGTCAAATGTTGCGACACAGATTCAACGCTCAGCTCCTGTTGCTCCCGGTGCCATCAGCAGTGTCAAGTTTCTCTCTTCTCCAACTCTGCCCATGCAGAATGTCGGCTCACACTTCCACGTCTTCAGCTCTGGCTGCATGCTGGACTTTGTCACACCAGCGTCTGGTATGCCACTCGATACCTCGCTATCAGCCCTAGACCTGGACACACTCCGATGGCAGAAACTAGCAGACGGCAAAGATCTCTTCTCACCCCTCTACCGATGGCACTACTGCTGTCTAGATCCCGACGGCACACGTGCATGGCTTCTCGGTTGTCCGCGAGAAAACAGAGGAGGTCCTGGAAACGACAACGCCGAAGAATATCTGAGTGACGTACTACCCATCGACTTGCGAAAGTTCGGCCTCCTGGGCAATAAGATGAGCCAGGAAGCTCGACTCGAGCAGCGAATACCCACATCAGACACCCACAGCTCTTCACATCTCTCAGCCATCGGCGCAGATCTTGCGCGAACATTCAATCAATTACCCGAAAGCGGCTCGGGTTGTGACTTTACTGTAACAGCACTACGAGACGACGACTACCAAATGGAAGACCTCTCCGAAGCCGGGTCACCTGTTGCCGCCACACTAGCAGGAAGCACAACCCTAACAACCACAGCCATAGGTCCATCCACGACATCATCAGCGAACGTCTCCCAACCCATCCACGTCCACCGCCTCATCCTCTCCGCCCGCTGGCCCCACTTCTCCCGCCTCTACAACGCCCAAATGTCCGAATTCCACACCAAACGCATGCACATCCCCGAACCCTACCCAGCGGTCAAAGCCTTCCTCTACTACCTCTACACCGACAGCATCTCCAGCCCGCCTTCCGCCGCAGACGTGTCAGCGAGTGACACCGAGGGCCCGACGTTGGAGGATGTGGCGAATATGCTTGTTATGAGCAATATTTATGATATGCCGAGGTTAAGACATTTATGCGTTTATCGATTGGTCCGGGACCTAGATATCCAACACGCGGCTCTCATCTTCGATCGCGCGAGTACGGCGCAGGAGGATTGGTTGAAGCGGCACGCAGCATCATATTGTATGACGCACTGGGGCCGGATCGTCCGCACGGAAGGCTTTCGAAATTTGAAACGGGCGGCTATGTTGGAGTTGTGTGAGGGTGTTGATGCGGAGGGCAGGGTTGTTGGGGGCGAGGAGCTGGAGGCTGTGGGTGGACTTGGAGGGGCGAGGTTGGGGAGTGGGATGGTGGGGGGACCGCTTTGGGGTGGTGGGGGGAGGAAGAGGGGGAGGGTTGGGAGTGCGGGGACTGCGGGGGAGGGTGAGGGTGAGGGTGAGGGTGAAGGGGATGGGGAAGATGGGGATGGGGATGTGGAGGGTGGGGAGGAGGGCGAGGGGGATGGCATGGACATGGCGTGATGTGATGCTTTTTTCCCTGGGTAAGGGCGGCGGATGCGCAACGAAGTCTGATTGAATGTGTATGCTGCGTTTGATGCGATGGGTGTTCCGGCGTTTCCTGAAGAGAGGGATGAATGGGTTTCATAGCAACATGACCTTCGGATGTATGCACGCACGGTCGAACTGTTACAGTATGGGCGACCGGGAGGGCGACACAAGGTCTACAGCCACACCTTATCCTCTTGAATTCATTCGGTCACCCTTCCTAGTAATGTAGAGGCATCACAGTGCCACTTTCACGACGGCGTTACTGCTGAGCGAAGCCTCCGCTAACTAACCACAATCCTACGGCGGAACTTGTCCGCGCGAGTTGTGCCTGAACTTGACTTGACTTTGCTGTGGAGACGAATTTCTCCGTCTTTCCTCGTTCCTGCACGAGCTTGATTATGCTTGACCCCTCACTACTGACCGAACTATGTCTTCCTGCCGCTCGTGTTCGTGAGCGACTATGCTGGTTACGAGACGGAGCACGATGGGTAGACGTCATCGTCGGCTGTCGGTCGTCACCCGTGATGCGAGGCGGAGATGCGAGGAGCGATGCGAAGAGTGATGACATGCACAGGCAAGTAGCTTTACATCTGGAAGGCCTGGAGAACGTAAGTATAATTTCCTGGCATCTCTACCGAATCGTGTTGAAATCGGGATCGTGATTCTCCCAGCAGCTGAACAGCCAAGATGTTGTCAAGAGACTACCTCCTCCCCGCTGCCCTAGCCGCTCTCTCACATCTAGCATCTGCTGCTCCCACGTGGCCTGGAAGACCAGGCAATGGTCCGCCGCCAGCAGGACCACCAGGTGGCCATCCAGGATGGGGACCAGGTCCCCACGGCCCTCCCAATGGCGGCCCACCAGGCTACAATCCCCGCCCCAACCCAGGTCAACCCCAAGGCCAACCTATAACCAATCTCGTCGACCTAGGCTACTCCCAATACGAAGGCTACAGTGCTCAAGGCGTGAATCAGTGGCTCGGAATGCGATTCGCAGCCCCACCCACCGGCGACTTACGATGGAGGGCCCCGCAACCACCACCACAGAACACCAGTTCTGGCGTGCTCTCCGCCAAGAACTTCGGGGCAACGTGTATCGGATACTGGATCTACACGCAAGAAACCGACTCCATCAACGAAGATTGTCTCTACCTCGACGTCTTCGCGCCGGAGAACGCGACGACGGGGTCGAAATTACCCGTGTGGTTTTTCATCCAGGGTGGAGGCTATGCGGCGGATAGTGATCAGAATTTCAACCTCACGCAGGCGATTGTGCAGAGTAATTACTCGATGGTGTTTGTGGCGATCAATTACCGGGTTGGGGCGTTTGGGTGGTTGAGTAGTGAGAAGGTGAGGGAGGACGGGGATTTGAATGTTGGGTTGTTGGATCAGAGATTGTGAGTCTCGATCTTGAAGCTCGCGAGTCTCATTATGGGGCGATTGCTGATGTGTTATAGTGCTCTGGAATGGACGCAGAAGTATATCCATCTGGTAAGTGCAGACATGCTGGTCTTCCAATGATGCATACGAAGCTGACATGGCATCTAGTTCGGCGGCGACCCCGAGCATGTAGTCATCCACGGCGACTCTGCAGGCGCCGGCTCAGTAGCTTTCCAGATGGCTGCCTATGGTGGACGAGACGACCACCTCTTTGTCGGCGGGATCGCAGAGTCGCCTTTCTGGCCAACACATCGCACAGTCTCCGAAATGGAGTTCCAGTTCGATCGCTTCGCCGCGAATGTTAGCTGCTCCGCCGACCAAGCCGAGAATGGTGACATAATGGCTTGTCTACGGGCCAAGAGTTCCTCTACCTTACAGTCAGCCGACATCCCGGAGACTTTCCCGGGCGGCGACAATGGCACAGCTGAGTGGTACTTTTTGCCAGTCGTAGATGGCAATTTCTCCCAAGACTTGCTTTACAATCAGTTCGAACAAGGTCGGATCATCCATGTCCCCATCATGGTTGGCGATGATACGGACGAGGGGACGGGCTTCGTACCTAATGCGACGAACTCGACCACTATGCTGCAGTTCTTCAAGAACAACTTCCCGCTTCTGGCGGATGATCAACTCCAGCAGATCAACGAGACATATCCGGAAGATATCCATGCACCATTCCCGAAGCACGCAGCATACTTCCCGGCTACCGAGCTAGCGTACGGAGAGAACACCCTCATCTGTCCCGGCATCGAGATGAGCGACTCCCTCTCCACCTACCTATCAGGAAGTCAGGTCTGGAACTATCGCTACAACGTCGAAGACGCCCCGACAGTAGCAGCAGGTCTCGGCGTACCGCATGTGTCCGAAAAGAAAGCCATCTACGGCGTCAACAACACCAACCCCAACGACCTGTGCGATTACCCGTGTAGTTATGACACGTACAATGCACCCATCATCCCAGTGGTGATGGATTACTGGATCAGCTTTATTCTGAGCTTGAACCCGAATACATACAAAGCACCCAACGCACCTATGTGGGAGCCGTGGACTGGTAATGGTGGGCAGAAGCAGAGACTGGTGTTTGAGACTGGTGATGTGGGGACGGGTATGGAGGTCGTGCCCGCCGATCAGCTGGCTCGATGCGAGTTTTGGAAAGGTTTGGCCAACACGACCCAGCAGTGAGGAGTGGCATGAGACCCGATCGTGGAGCACGATACAGAACATGTTGGACATGTTTTGGGAACGTTCAGATGCTGTTGAGATTCATAAAAGATCATACAACTACCAAAACCTCTAAAGCCCATCCTCCCTAGCAGCCGCCTTTGCAATCTCCCTCTTCATCTGTTCCAGCCGCTTATGCATCGCCCACAACGTCTCCCGCTCACCCTTTTCCACAACTTCTCCTCCAGCCTCTTTGGCGGCGAGTGCATCGTACATAGTGGCGTAGGCGGGGTAGTAATGATCGCGGAATTTCTCTGCCATGGCCACGCCTTGGGAGTATGTGATACTGTCCAGTACGATCGATGTGGCGCTGTCGCTGCTTTCGCCCGTTGTGTCTTTCGGTGAGGTTTGCGAGGTGGTGGGTGGATGGGCTTGAGATTCGGCTGGTCGGGATGATGTCGGTAGTGGAGTTGAGGGTACTGTTCTGCGGTGTTTGGTGCTCTGCTCGGTCGATGCTGTGTCTGCCACCTTGCGCTTCACGCCGTTGGTTGGCTGTGGCGTCCTGATTCCGTTTGGCGTGGCCTTGTGTGAACCATTCGTCGAGGGCTTCGGACGCTGCATCTCAGTTGCTTTCTTGTCAGAAGCAGACGAGGCAGCAGAGTCGGTGCTGGTAATTGTGCCGTGGCGTTTCCTGATGCCACCATTTGTGATACCCAACCCTTGTGGCGTTGCCGCACCCGGTCTCAGTCTCTGCACACCGAGTGCGTGACGATCGGACACATCGGAAGCGACTCGTGGTCTCGCTGCTCCAAGGGGCGAAGGCACGTTCGGCCGACTATCAGTCTTGGAAGGACTGCGTGCTGACTTGTGCTGAGAACTTGGGGCTGAGAGGCCGGTGGTGGTGCGTGGTGTGGACTTACCAGCCGCAGCTTTCGCAGTCTTGTTGGCAAGCGCAGCAATCGACTTGGCTGGGTCCAGCTTTTTCGTGCTTGGCGTGCCAGCTCTGCGTGCACCCGCCGCATCACTCTCCTCTGGCGATGCTGAAGCACGAGGGTTTGACTTCTGATTTGCCTTTTCAGGACCAATCTTGGAATCTACCCTGCTCATATTCGCGCCCTCCTTGACTTCACCTTCTTCACCACTCTCTTCATCGGAGCTATGCACTGTTTCCGCTGACTTGATCTTCGGGTCTGCCTTCTTCTTGGGTTGGGCTTTGACACGCTTAGCGCCTTCGCGGTCAGAACCTGTAGCGTCCTTGCCAACCTCCTTCTCCTTCTCCTTCCGCTTCTTCTCCTTCGCCTCCTCGATGGCTCGCTTTTTGGGATCCTTAGCCGCCATGATACGTTTCATCGGGTCGCTTTTAGCACCTCCAGGTCGTGGCGTTGATGCACCAAGTGGTGGTGTTACAGCAGCGCTGACGGACATGTTATCGTCCGCAAGATCTTGCCCATGAAGTGGCGTGAGACCACGGTTCACCGGATTGAGCCTCGAAAGAATGATGCCTTTACCTCTCTCCTCCTTTGCTAAGAGACCCTGCCAGATCTTGTCCTCCTTGCCAATCCTCAACCGATCGTATGCTCGTATTGCGTTGCCGATTGCTAGCTTTTGGTCCTCCTGTGAAGTGTATCCAAACTTCCAAACTTCCAAATCCTTATATGCTCTGTCCATGAGTTGCCAGGTACCATCAACCTTCCTTGCCACCTTCGGTAATATGCTATCAAGCTCACTGCTTGGCATGTGAGTTTTGTCCACTATCGCCTCACTTGCCAAAGGTCTCATTGCAAGTAAGTGAATGAGCGGGATCCGCATTGCTTTCGTCCTCACATCTGCCTCACTCGTGTATGCTGACGTTGGCCCAGCATTGTGCATAGGTGTTGACACCTGACTGGATGCTCCCAGTCCTTGCTCACTACTCAACATCCGTCTATGCTGTTTCTTCGCTGCTGCGAACCTGTTCTTTGGCTCTGGCAATACCACATTATGGATGTCGATCTGATTTGCCTGCTTCTCTTGCTCGAAGGACGCCATATTTCTCTGTAACGCTGCTAGAGCCTCGTCTGTACCTGTCTCGCCAACCTTTGGGCTGGCTTGCCGTACTTTGAGAGCTGCTCGATGTGTGATAAGGCCTGCATATTCGAGCTCGGCAAGCGAGTCGGCGAGTGGTGTATTGTAGAGCTCGTTTCGGAAGGCTTCACTGGACAGGGTGAGGTCGATTGTGCGACCACCGATACGGAATTTCTAAGCAGAGAATCAGCACACCATACAGAGCATTTGAATGTCATCTCAACTTACTGGAGTGGTGCCAGTGAGGAACTGGAAACCATTCTTGACCTCAGCAGCCTTCCTGATGTCCTGGACCGCCCCATCGTCCAGCTTGAGCAATATCGCCTGTCCTTTATTTGCATGTTCACCATAGCTTTTCAATGTTATGCCATTCCTCGGTACCATAGACACGGCCATGATACAGCCAACACAACCAAATGCTAAGGTATGCTTCTCGAACCAGGAATCCAGTTACCAGTCACAGGAGCCATGTGCTTGCTCGCCTGTCTCAGCAAATCATACAAAGCCAAGCACCCAGACAATGAGTCTCTGGTCGAACCGTTGTAGAATGACGTGCACGTATGTCTGCTTGTCTCACGCCCAACAATTCCCTCGGCTTCACTGCCACATACTGAGGCTGCTGTAGAAGAATAGTTTCAAACACAACGACCGTCTCAAAGGCAGGCCGGCCAGCTAATGCACGCACAGGTCGAGGTGGAACAGGTCGAGGACAGACACATGACAGGCAGAGAAGGGAAAGGTACCGACGCAGCCACGCCCATGTAGAGGGCACGACATGCAGCTAGGGCGATCCGACAGCAGTGGCTTTTGCTGGAGTGCCGCTGCTGCATATAGACTTTCCTGCCCACCCACTACCGTTCCCGATTGGCTGGGTGCAACGCTTTCTGGGATCGTGTTCCTATGTGCCGTGTCTCTTGATTCGCAAGAGAACAAAGCAATATGTCGTGTAACACCCACTATGTCATCTGGTGAGATTTCTGGTGTTCGGAAATCTCGAAACGAGCAGACTTGTGGTTAGATGCAGGAGTTGAAAGGACTCGATTTGACCTCGAGCTCCCCAGTCAGGCACTGCGTCTTTGTCAGATATGCAGGCGCGAGCCCGTGCAAGTAACGAGCCGACACGCTGACGCCGTCTCCGAGCCAATGAACCGTTCAATCGGAGCTCAATTTGTGGTTGCCAATGATGACATTGCAGTATATCAAAGCAAGCGTATACGAGCATCTGTTAAATCGAATCGCCAAGTCTGGCGAGCGTCTCATCTACTGCCCGTCGAGGTCATGATACAAAAGCCTTGCAATAAACTAATTGAGCCTGCCGGATCATTTGCAAGAAGCACGAGACTAAGGAAGAGGCTTGCGGCTTTTCCGAAAGAGGCGCCTGCGGGTCATTATTCATTCCTCCAGGATCGGTCGGCTCGGCTTGCCGTAAACCATGCTCGAACTTCTGCTACTGCCAAGACGTTATGTACGATCAGCCAAGACATGTATAGTGTAATGGTCTTGGCTCTGTATACATGTACATATAGCTGCGCGACCTCACTTCGTCGTGCTTTGCAACGCGTTCAACTCTCTGTTGATTATCGTGACTACGAAGTTATCCATTGTATTTAGGGCTCGCACCGTGCAGCGGTCGACCCTGACAATGCTTGGTCCTTATAGAGTATTGGTATCACACAGGTGCAAGACAGGACAATCAAGGCGAGGTCCCTACTGGCACGTCAGAGCTTCAAGAAATCCATCAGTCTCGATCCTTGACCGTCAAAACATGGCTTCTTCCAGGCTTGTGAATGCCCTGGCAGTGACTCGCATCATATCGGCAAGTCCATAGCCTGCTCGGCTTCGACATAAGGATACATCTTTGCGGCAGACCGACGACGACTCTGCTTGCCATGAACGGCACGCCGACACGGGCCGAGCGCAGTATTCGGCAAGTTCTGTTCACAAAAATGCGATGAAGGCGTATCCGCGTGCCCAGGCAGTGTTATGCACCTGTGAGTATACTCTCGTTTTCCACAACCTTAGCCCGACAGAGTCCGCTTGTCAAAGAACGACATAGCACGACTTACGCAGCATCGGTACTCACAAACCGGGCGCAACTCCGGCAGTCCAAGATGGCCGGCGGCAGGCACTCACCCTCGCCGGGGTGTCGTGGCACCGCAAGTCCTGAGGAGCGTCGCCCTCTGCTCTCGAAAGCCAAGACTATAGCCGTCCTATCTTCCGCAACATCAGCTTCAAAACCATCTATCGACGACATCTTGACCGTGCCAACGGCTCAGATCAACGAGGAGAATCGAAGCAATCCAGAGGAAGACATGGAGAGCGCAATACAGGATTACCAGCCCATGGGTCATGCAGCGTTCTACAAGATGTGTGTCCAGCACTAATCGATCAGTGGTAGAGAGACCAGGCCAGCTGACCCTCGTATTCCAGGATCGGACTGCGAGTGCCGACTGAGGAAGACTACATCGCATGCCTGGAAGACCTAGAAGAGGGCAACGGTTTGTACCACGATATTCGAACCAGTCATGCAGCCATGCAGAGATGGCACTTCTGGTTCGAGGTCGGCATCTATACTGCTTTGCTCGGCCAGATCCTGTTATCAGCGCAATTCATCATTCTCGGTGCCATGCGTGGCGAGTGAGTGCTTGTTTCTCGCACATGGCCATGAGCAGTGCTGATCTCGTCGCCACAGTCACCACGTCCCAATCGCTATTCTAGGCGCATTCTCGGTTGCCGTTGCCGGCATACTTGCACTGGTGAAAGGCCAAGGCTTGCCCATGCGTCTACGCATAATAGGTCACACACCTCGAGTCAGGCGGATGAGTCGCAGTTCGCTAACGCAGTCTGTCCAGGAACGCGACGCCTTGTGGGAAGTTCAACTCGAGGCCGAAGAACTGCACTGGCAAGTCTCAGCTGGCAAACCGGTCCTCTTCAGCGATGTAAAGCGAGTCTGGCAACGCTTCGTCCAGGTCAAGCGTGACGCGAGCATGAACCATCCGGATACGTGGAACACATCTACCGCGGCGGCAGCACAAGCGCAGGCTGCTGGTGTCGGTGGAAAGAGTCCCTTGTCGGCCGCGTCACCAGCAGGAAAGACCGCAGCGACTGCACCATCAGTAGAAGGCGATACCGCCGCAATGGCGTCTCTGGAGCCCATCACCTGAGCATCCGCATCGATCTGTGTACATCAGCCTGAGATGTTCTAGTACCTAGGAGAGTAATAATGATATTCAATCTGCGGAACAAAAAAGGCGCACATGTGACAAGTGCAATAGCGCACGGCCTCCGTTCCGACCGGATGTCTCGCGACTCAGGCCCACCCCACTAAACCAGTCTTGGCGTCGACTGCAAGGGAGATTCAAGCCACCATTATCTTCCATTACGTGGAACGGTCAGCCTTATCGCCAATACCGTAATCTCCAATGCCGCTCGAGCCGAAAAATGTGTTCGACGGCCCCTGTGTAAGATGTGGTATGTATAGTCATGTATTTCCGCCACTCCCTCTTCTGGTGCTTGCACGGTTGTCTCCTTGCGTCGCACGTGAACCCGGTGAGTTTGAGGTTGGCGATGTGGGAGATGGCGATAGTATGCGCGCGATAGATTGGCTGGTGGAAGACGTGGCAAGTGCAAAGGATGATTCGGCCAACAAGACATGTGGGTGTGCTGTTGGCCGTGGCTTTGGGACTTATCATTTTGTCAAGCTTTCGATGGATGCACGGAGGTCAAGTGCCTCTAGAACTATTGGACCTTACAAGACCGCAACATCCGGACCAGTACGAGTCATACAGACCACAAGACGAGGACCAGCGACATGCGAAGCCCGTGATCATCACACCACAACCGGCCGAGCAGTCGGCAAGCATGCGTACTACCGTTCTTACGTTTGAAAGCACGTCAGCCAGTGCTAGTGTGGCAGTGGAGACGATTTCGACTATGTCTGACGATCTGGCTGTGCAAACTACAAGCATTGTGTCCTCATCAGCATCAAGCACTGTCTGGTACGAGATAGAGGAGACTACTCCATCGACGACTGAGGATCTGGCTGTTCAGGTTACGACTATTGTGTCCACCACATCAAGTAGTCTGTGGTACGATGTCGAGGAGACCTCTTCAGCCACGTCTGACGACATGGCCGTCCAAACACCGAGCATAGCGTCTTCATATACATCAAGTAGTCTTTCGTATGATGCAGAGGAAACGACAACTACGGCCTCTGTGGAAAGCGAGCAACCAACCACTTCCATCCCGGAGTACCAACCACCACAGCTTGACCGACCGCCAAAACTCGAGGATCTCCTGTACCCAAGCACCACAACCGCTGAGACCGTACCTACAAATCCACCACCCAGTCCGCTATCCAAAGCAATAGTAATCGGCCGCCTGTCTTCCGAAGACGTAGACTGGGTAGCACAAGACCTCCCAGACTGGCAACACTACATCTACACCGTCGACCTCTCCGCCAACGGCAGCATCTCCCCCACCGGTCTCCGCACACACATCAACAAAGGCCGTGAATCAATGCCGTACCTAACCTACATAATCGACCACTACGACAACCTCCCCGACATCAGCGTCTTCCTCCACGCCCACCGCAACGGCTATCCAGCCGCCTGGCACAACGACGCCAAAGACTACGATGCGGTGAACATGCTACACGATCTCCAACTCCACTTTGTACAGCAAGAAGGCTACGCCAACCTCCGCTGTCGCGCAGACCCAGGCTGTCCCGCTGAGGTTCAACCCTGGCGGGAACCCTTCGATGCAGAAAGGGATACCGAGCACATCTACCCATTCGTCTACGGCACCTTCTTCAACAAAACTTTCGATCAATACCGCAGCGAAATTGGCATAGTGGCGACGCAATGTTGTGCCCAGTTCGCCGTCTCCAGGGATCAGATTCGGGTGCGTCCCAAGGCCGAGTACTTGAGATGGAGACAGTTTGTCATCGAGACGGAGTTCTCGGATGCGTTGATCGGGAGGGTGTTGGAGTATATGTGGCATATTATTTTTGGACGGCAGGCGGTGCAGTGTACGGAGGTGAGGAAGTGTTGGTGTGAGGTTTTTGGGCGGTGTGATGATTGGGCCGTTAAGGCTGGAGGGGGATGAGAGGGGCTTATCGCGCAAGTTGAGTTGCGGATCTTGTACAGATGTTTTGCGCGCCGGGACGATGGTTTTCTTGCTCAGGCGAGACCACGACTCGGTTCCGTAAGTGAAGGTCGGGGCACTGCGTGGGTTGCGTTTGGAGGGCGTTTACCGCCAAATCACTCGATTCAACCGCCCAGCAAATTGCGTGTAAAGGTCGACGCGATGCACGAGTTCTGAGTCTGTTGTTCGTGCCAGAAGTATGACGATCGAGGCGCCAATGGGATGGCAGGGCACGAAAGTGCCATTTACCATCGAGAGAGCGGACTCGATAGACCTACGCGAAGGAAAGAGAAACAGGCATAGTCGGCTAGTCCAGAGAGCGGACACAGGACATAGTGCATGCACGACAGCCCTGTGCTCCGAGGCCGCCTTAAGGGTAGCTGAAGAATCAAACGTGGACAGTGGCGATGTCTGGACCGCGGACAACGTAGTCGCGAAGCAGTATAAATGTCAGAGACGACGATGGGCTCATGGCAATTGGGTGAGGTGGTAGCAAAAGTGGCGATCAGGTGGACTCTCCCAAACCCATGATGCCTAGGGAGTCGGCGGTTGGTAGATAGCAAGGCAGCACAGCATGATGTCAGGTCAGCCCTACCAGAAGGTGGACCCGATACGAGCGAAGCTACGGCGTAAGCAAATGATGGTTATGAGATGTATGTGATCTTGTAGTCAGCTTGCTCCGTTCTTCTCCTACCCTACCAGCGAGCACTTCTCTTCCCATTCGTTGACATGGTGAGCATGACACTTCCCAGTGGCCACCCAGGATCTGCGTCGATGGTATCCGAATGCAATAATGTGCTGGCATGGTGGACGAGTGTCGGTTTTGGTGGGGTGCTTTTGTTTCATATGCGCGCTTCGAAGCTGTGACGTCGACGCGGCAGGAGATGCGTCTTCTTCCAAGGCTAGACCAACTTGCTGATTGCTGCCTTGTAAACACTCATTACCTCTATCGTTGGGGTCTGGGCCTGCACAATGGACAGTAGCATCCACGGCCATACTCACACACAACGATAGCGATTTTGTGTGCCTCATCGACACGGGAGTGAACGATCAGATTGGAGGACAGCGAAGTGCTGGACCTCCACCATGTCTCAACCACAGGGCAAAAAGCAAGCAGACAGAGAGGCGGAGGGAGAGCCCGAGCAAAGGATCCCCATCACAATGCTGGACCAAGCGGCCGCGGCATCCAACAGCGAGAGCCACAACCTCAACCCCACCGAACGCCGACACATGGGCCAAGACGTGCCCATCATACAAGAGCCGTCCGGTCCCGAATCACCACAACAAGACCGCCCACCACCACCAGCCTACGGTGGAATCCTGGGCGAACTAACCAACACCCAAGATGGCCTCGGCACCGACGCCAAAGTCGGCGATGACGGCCGAGTCAATATCCGCATTGATCAGAAGAGCGGGAGTCTCTCCAATATGCTTGTTCCGGTGTTGAAGAAGCAACAGGATGGGATTGATCATGAAGAAGAACCGCCACCGCCTTATATTCCTCCTAGTCTTGGTGGGGATGAAGAGGAGCCGCCGCCACCGCCGTTGAATGTCGTGATCCAGATCGTGGGTAGTAGAGGTGATGTCCAGCCTTTTGTTGCTTTGGGAAAAGTGCTAAAGTCGACGTATGGACATCGTGTCAGATTGGCTACACATCCGGTATTCAAGGACTTCGTGCTAGAGAATGGACTGGAATTCTTCAGTATCGGTGGCGATCCATCACAGCTTATGGCATTCATGGTGAAGAATCCGGGACTCATGCCCTCCTTTGACGCTCTTAGAGGTGGTGATGTGGGGAAGAGGAGGAAGGAGGTGGGAGAATATCTTAACGGGTGCTGGAGATCTTGCTACGAGGCTGGAGACGGCCTAGGCCCACAGGCGAACGACAACACGGTCGAGGATTGGAATGTGCAGAATCCGAAGAGGAGTGGTTTGCCGGATCCATCGGATGAGACGGAGAAGCCGTTTGTGGCAGATTGCATTATTGCTAATCCGCCTTCGTTTGCTCATGTGCATATTGCGGAGAAGGTGAGGCTTCTACCACACTGTATTGTATTCGTCCCACTAACCTCATGCACAGATGGGCATCCCACTCCACATAATGTTCACAATGCCCTATAGCCCAACCCAGGCTTTCCCTCACCCCCTAGCCAATATCCAGTCCTCCAACGCCGACCCAAATCTTACAAACTACATCTCCTACGCCCTGATAGATATGCTCACCTGGCAAGGTCTCGGCGACATCATCAACCGGTTCCGACAGAAAAGCCTTGGTCTCGAACCGATCAGTCTGGTCTGGGCACCTGGCATGATGCAACGCCTGAAGATCCCTCACACCTACTGCTGGTCACCTAGTCTGATCCCGAAACCCAAAGACTGGGGCCAACAAGTCAGTATTAGCGGGTTCTTCTTCCTCAACCTCGCCTCGAACTACACCCCAGATGCGGATTTGAAAGCTTTTCTGGACGCCGGACCGCCACCTGTGTATATCGGCTTCGGAAGTATTGTCCTGGATGACCCCAATGGTATGACCAAGCTCCTCTTCGACGCTGTTCGCAAAACAGGTCAGAGGGCTCTTGTAAGTAAGGGCTGGGGCGGCATGGGTGCCGACGAACTCGGCAAACCCGACGGCGTCTTCATGCTAGGTAATTGTCCCCACGATTGGCTCTTCCAACGCGTATCTTGCGTCGTGCACCACGGCGGGGCCGGGACAACAGCTGCGGGCATTACGGCCGGAAGACCTACTGTAGTAGTACCATTCTTCGGCGATCAGCCCTTTTGGGGCGCAATGGTGGCGAGAGCTGGTGCTGGGCCGAATCCGATACATAGTAAAGAGTTGACTGCCGAAAAGTTGGCGGAGGCTATAGAGGTGTGTTTGAAGCCGGAAAGTCAGGAACGAGCAAAGGAGTATGCGAAGAGTATCTCGCACGAGAACGGCTCGCAAGTCGGTGCCCAAGCCTTCCACCAATTCCTCTCCGTCGACTCAATGCGATGTAACCTCTCCCCCGCCCGCGCAGCGGTGTGGCGATTAAAGCGGACACAGGTCCGATTAAGCGCTATGGCGGCTTGTACGCTCGCGAACGAAGGACTCCTCGACTTCAACGATCTGAAGTTGTTTCGACCACGAGAGTACGAGACGGACGATGGGCCTTGGGATCCGATCACCGGTGGTGCGACGGCGCTGGTGGGGACCATGAGTACGATGATGATGGGGATGGCGGATATGCCTATTGATACTTTGAAAGCGTTGAAGATCCATCCTGAGGCGGTGAAGAAGAAGAAGAAGAGGGATACGGATGGTGAAGGCGAGGACACCAGTTCCGAGGGTGCAGACAGCGCGTCGCAGGCTCGAGGGTTGATTGGAGACACCGGCGGGAGCAGTAGTGGTGGAAGCAATACCCCGGCAACGAGCAGGACGAACTCGACCTTCAATTATCAGGAGAGTATGGCAAAGTTGCAGCAGCAGAGTTCGCCGCTATCGCCTGGTTTGGACAAAATGCCGGCTTCCATGGCAGACGCACTACGAGGACAGCTATCCAGCTCTTCAAAACCGCGCTCCCGCTCACGCAGTCGCTCAAACAGCCGCACTCCAACCACCACCTCCAACAACAGCCAGCAACCCAAGACAGGCAGCGGCGAGAACCCACTCGAAACAGCCATCGACACAGGAAAAGGCATCCGCAAAATTGTCGGCGCCGGCTTCAGCAGCCCCATGGACTTCACCATGAACTTGACAAAGGGCTTCCACAACGCCCCCAAACTCTACGGCGACGATACAGTGCGCAAAGCCGACCAAGTTACCGACTTCAAATCCGGCGTCAAGGCTGCGACCAAAGAATTCGGGTACGGGATGTTTGACGGGATCACGGGGCTCGTCTCGCAACCCTTACGCGGCGCACAAAAGGAAGGCGTGAGCGGTTTCGTTAAGGGTGTAGGGAAAGGAATCGGCGGCGTAGTCCTCAAGCCCGGCGCCGCGGTCTTCGGAATCCCGGGATATACCATGAAAGGCGTCTACAAAGAAATGCAAGCGCGCTTCGGCAGTTCCGTGCAGAATTACATTATCGCGGCTCGTACAGCGCAGGGTTTTGATGAGTGGCAGAGTGCTTCGGAGGAGGAGAGGGCGGATGTGGTGAGGAGGTGGCAGGTGCTGAAGCGGGATCTGAAGAAGAAGCGGAATCCGGATGAGATGGTCAGGGATGTGTTGGAAGAGCAGAGGAGGCGGAAGGGGGAGATGTTGAGGGGGATGAGGGAGAAGGGGTTGGAGGGGTTGAGTCGCAGTCGGGCGAGTAGTTTTAGTCGGAGGCAGGCAAATGCGGTGGCGCAGGGCGGTGATCCTGAGGCTGCTATGTTGCAAGTTGGGGGACCGCCGACAACGCAACGTGGTGAGCCGCAGCATGGCGAAGACGATGATCTGCAGGAGGCTATCCGGCTTTCTGTCCTCGAAAGCTCGCGCGGCAACGAGCAAGAGGATAAACAGGTCGAGGAGGCCATCAAAGCCAGCATGGCCGACGTCCAGCGTAAGCGCGGCCAAGAACATCCCTCCGGTGTCGATCTCGCCGAGGATCCAGAACTGGAACGGGCTCTCGCGCGCTCTTTGGCCGAGCAAAGAGGACTCCAGCAGTTCAGCGGTGGGAGCAGCGGTATGGCCGCCGTAGACGCTAGTGCGAACCGCCAAGAGATCTTGCAGAGCCAACAGCGTGTCGAGCAGCAGAGGAAGAACAAGGGGAGGCAAGAGGAGAGTTTGAGGGAGGTTGGGGTTGAGGCGGAGGCTGATGCGGGACATCTTGAGGGTACGACGAAGGAGGCTCATGCACAGAGTACTGGGGTCGGGGGAGGGGATGCGAAGACGGACCAGGAGAGGAGTGAGGAGGAGATTGTGATGCAGTATGTGAAGAAGCAGAGTCTGCTTGAGGAGAGGCATCGACAGGGTGGTGGGGGCGGATCGTCGTCTTCTGCGGCGAAGTAGATGGACAAGGACATGGGTTTGTGCACTAGGACTTGGTGAGATGAAGTGATGATTGTTATGATGGCATGTCGTGTGCTTGTTGAGAGACTGAGATACCCCTTCTTGCTGGATGAGATTTCGAATGAGTATACATGATGATGATGGACATGCATGCTTGCTTTATGACAGATCTACGCTTCGCTCGGTCCTCGTGTATACGTGTGATAGCGTATCACCGGCCGCCGCCTCTCACAGTCTCATCTCGTCTGACTTCATGCATCTCTCGCATCTCCTCCACGCTCACATCGTCATCCCTCAACGGCGCACAGCACTCTTCGGCGTCCTTATACTGGATGCGAAAAGCAGTGACATCGCACGGCTCTTCGAAATTTACATGAGCGAGCCACAGAACATCCTGGTCGGTCGCGCTTTCCTCGACAGCGGGCACAATCAGGAAGCCAAAGGGGAAGTAATTCAACTTCTCGATATGCTCGACGCAGTAGGTGATATGGTGATACAAGGTGGCATTTGGTGACGTCTGATGTGAGTGTTGCTCCAGAGCTGCTTTGATGAGATGGATGGCATCTTCGCCTTCGTCGGGATTGATCAGTGCATCGCCTTCGAGGCGGATGGTCAGACTTGCTAGGGTGGCGGGCGTGTGGGTTGGACTGAGAGAATAGAGTGCCCAGGAAAGGAGTTCTGGACTGCGAACTTCTGCGAGCGGTTTGATGCCTGGGCGGCTTTGGTGAGGTCGACCGTAGGGTCCGGCATAGCTGGTTTCGTTTTCTTCTGATCTTCAGACGAGAATGTGTTCCTGTGAAGTGGATGTACGAGGATGAAGTGAGATTGTGCTGGAGTCGTGATTTGGGTTACTAGCGCGGCGTTCGTATCGTGCTTGCCGCAGCAGCTGGTGACATGATGACGAATATCGGTCAGTTGCGTTCCTTTATTATGGCCGCCATGTTCTCTATACCATGGAAGGATTGATGTAGCACCACGGAAGCGGAATCAGGTGCGGAGTGCGCAGTTCAACTTTCTGGCATCCTTCACAGGAAGCTTGTCCGTAGTCCAGGAAGGTCGAGTCGGACAGGCCATGGCCACTGACGGTTTAGCCTGGCCCTCAGCCCCATCGTATTATGTGACCACGCAGCCGTCAGGAGAAAGACTGCGTCAATGTTTGACGACGAGGACTCTTCGAGCTGAGCAGTGTGGTGTAATCGCTCTGGCTGGGAAGGGGCACGAACGATCCTCTAGGGTGGCACAGAACGATGTGCTGAAACGTCTCGAGTTGCCTTTGCAATGGTTGGGCATGGCTCACACCTTTACAGCATGAGAGACTGATAAGTAGGAGGCTTGCCAATGTCAGATCTTTCGGTAGCCTTCCAGCAACAAAGTCCACCGATCACACTACAACGCCCTCCAACAAGACGACTCTTCTGTGCTTCGGGCGAAGATCAGGCTGCTCCCGCTATTCAGGAGCTCTTGAACCTTGTCGGCTTCGAGCGCACGACGATTGCTGCAAAGCTGCCTGCCTTCTAGTACTGCCTCGTCATTGGATGGGCAGGTTTAGCGCTTATGCGTCTTTGACTACTGTGTGCGCCGCTACGGCCGTTGATCTGGGGAGGTACGGTACAGTGCCGTTCACTCTTTTGGGCCTTTGAGACATCCATCTGCTCAGCAGGTGTTGGTTAGATCAGCTAGATAAGAATCTCCTATGTTCCTAGATTGCTCCTTGAACTTTCACGTTGCCACGCTGCACGTACGTAGAGTTGTCGACCTATCCAGCCTGCTTTGGTCCCGAGCTGATGATCGAAAGTAGCTCCCGCGAGTAGCTTGTCTTGCACATCATTCTCACATCGCTGAGTAAGTTGGAGGAGCCTCGTCGCCTACTGTGGGACCTGCTTCACCACCGCGCCCACCAAATCGTTCGAAAGCTTCCGCCCTGACTCGTTGCAGCTCCACTCTGGCCTCATCGAGACTCTGACTCGCTTGCTTCGTTTGGCTTTCAGCCTCTCTAAATCTCTGCTGCTGATCTCCCAACTGGGCTTGGAGCTCCTGAAAAGCCCGTTGCAACTGAGTGTTACTAGACTTGATGCGGTCATGCTGCGCCATGTCGGTGAAAATATTGTCGAACATGACGTCGGATATGAAGTGGCCCATGTCGATATTGACTTGACTTAGTGGGCGAATGATTGGCTGAACACGGCGTGCTTCTTCTATGTGCCATGATGCTTGGGTGACTTGGTTCTGTGCTCGGGCTAGGGCGTCACGCTCCATCATGTCGACAAAGGTTCCGCCACCCCACATGTCGTACGTGGACATGCTTAGCGCTTCCTGCATGCTATTCAGGCCTTGGCCCAGAGAATTATGCGCGCTTCTGAGCGCATTGAGGGCACGTTTCTCGGCGGTGCTCTTGCCTTGGCATTAATTGAAATACTGCAATTGCATTAGCCTATGTAAATGTGAGCACTGCTACCTGGTCTCTCATCTAGACAAGTAATAGTGCATCGCTACGAGCTATAGTGATCAGACCGAACTGACCTCACGACATCTGCTGACAGAGCCCTCGATCTGATCCTCCTCGGGATACTCGGGCGTCGGTCCTCCAAAGATGCCGTTATAGAGTCGGTCGAGGCTTTCTTGCGCTCGGGCATGTCGTGCTGCGTCCTTGGTCATCACCTCATGTTGAACTTCGGCTTCATTAAGGGCCTTCGTCAGTTCCTGTTCCAATCGTCAATTTCAATGACGTCTCGATGAAGCAGATCTCGCAGTGGTACTGACCTCGTGCCTCTGTTTCGCTTCGTTCTCCTTCTGCCAAGCCTCCAGGAACTCACGCTCTTCTTTCTCCTGCTGAGATGCGAGCTTCTCCTGTCCTTTATGGCCACGCATCTTGGCGGCATAACGTTTGACAGTACTATCTCGATACTTGAGATGGTCTTTTCGCTCATCCTCTGTAGTGGCATGCAGTTGCTTGAGCTCCTTGTTCAGCGCGCCGATCTGGGTGCTGAGGTCGGATGTGTAAGACCCGTTCTCTTTCAGAACTGGGCCAGCATAGTCAGTACGCGATAAGATAATAATGAGATCATGATTCTGTTCTGCCGCTTCTGCCAGCGTGGTCCTGAGAGATGACATTGCGTGTCAAGCGGTGAGATGGACTCCCACCAGATGGCCTGATCGATGTACTTATCTGCTATTAGACTTTGTAGAGACTGCGCAATACACTACCATCGTCGACCGACGCTATGGTAGAGGACTTCTCGCGCCGCGGACCCAACCTTCACGAAAGGAAGTGGCGAAGTATCTGGGCTGACGATGCCAAGTTATCACGGTTCGCATCCATCCAGCGCTAATATCTCAGCCTGCGACAAACGTGGTCAGATTGTTCTATGGAATGCTTTGACCCTGAATGAATGAAGAACGATCATTCGAGACAACTGCAGGCTGCGAGACACACTACACAGCGGCAGACGACAAGGCGTACTCGAGACGACGTCCGGCCAATGACAATATAGCGTCGCGGAAGGTTACGAACGAGAAGGGCTTCACGGACTAGTAGCCTATGGATGGACCACCCCTTTCCTGCATATTCGCATGAAGACTTAACCAACGCAACCGAAGGGTGCTTAATGACTGCTGAGACTGATTGTATGCTGCTCGTAAGCTAGAGCTTTGTTCCTTTGATTAACTAAGTACCATGGCTTGATCAGAGATCGTAGTCGTCTAATACTCCCCCTTCACCCATGCATCGAACCATCTTACAGCCTGCCAGTACGCACTCTCTTGTGCAAAGGCCTTCAACGGCACCGAGAGATTCGTCCTGACAGCGAAGCCATGCTCGGCCTGAGCGTAGAGGCTAGTTTGAAATGATTTGTTGCCTGCTGAGAATATGCCCTCGATATTCGTCCGATTCTCAGGCGTATTGCTTCCATCAAGCTCACCAAAAGCGAGACTGATGGGCCCAACGACTGCGTTCCACTCGTCGGCAGTCGTTGAGGATCTAGGACCAGAGTCAGTAATGCTTGGATGTCCTCGCTATTCCTAAGGATGCCTACGGATGTGCTGCGAAGCCCACGTCCACGCCTCCGCCAGTCGCCAGGTGACGGGCCACGAATCTGCCACCGAAGCAATAACCCACAGCAGCTACGTGCGAGGCATTGAAACCAGTACGGACAGCGGTAATGGCATGGTCAATAATCTCTTCTGTCTGCGTGATTGGATGACGTGTCCGCCATTCAGTCATGTTAAAGCTCGAATTCGGATCCGACAGCGCATCCGCCGGGACAGGATCGGCACGGAAGAGGTCTGGCAAGACCACGAAGTAGCCAGCGCGGGCCAGAGAATCGGCAAGTCTGTCAGTCTGTCAGTAACATAATTCTTCCCGCCGGCGATAAAGCATACAGTCTGTTGTTCACCAGCTGAAGGCCGAAGATGTCCGTAAAGTATACGATAGCATTCTCGGTACTGCCTCCGCGAGGGTATGCTAGGTAAAGCGTCTCTGCGATTCGATCAGTCTATGAGGAAATTCGACGTAATAGCAACAGTCATACCACCCTCGGCCTGGACAGTCACTCCAGTCGAGTTGCCATCATGTATCACTCCGTCTTCGACGTCCCAATGCTGGCCCCAATGCAGCTGTCGAAACAGGTCACCAGAACGCTCGTTCTTGATGTCAGGAAAGCCGTGCCCCAGAGCCAAGGGAGCAGCTGCCAACAGTGTGGTCGCAATCCAAGTATTAGTCTTCATCTTCGTTGTCGTGCTAGATCTTTGTCGTCGTGCTAGGTGTAGAGTCAGATCAGGTGGCTAGTCAGGTAGACTATATAGTTCCTCGATCGCCCAGTCTGCAAGGTCTCGGCATGACGTTGACGCCAAGGTCCCCATGTCGTACGCTTCGACTTGGTATGATGAGGATTTACAGACGGGAAGCATTATTATTCCCATAGTATGCTACTACAAATCTTTGAGGACTATAGATATGTTACAATATGATATCTCTCAGCGAGGCGCAAGAATATTGTGCTCACTATGCACTCGGATGTTGTGCTGCACGAAGATCCCGTCGCTGGGTGTGTATTCGCTATGCAATATGCCACCGCGATCCGGCGCACCATACCCGGTCTCGTCGTGCGGCGTCGACACAGCGGTTCCGATCACTGTCCCCTGGTTCGTGTGCGCTCCCCAGATCGTCGCATCTGCTTTGCCATTACGACCCTTTGCTTCAGGACCCCGCCATAGCTCGATCTCATCATCATGCTCGTCGAGCGCCTCTCGCGACAGATATGAGAACGTCTTCTTACTCTTTTGTGTTCGACTCGTATTGCTATCGCCAACATGTTCTGCCTTGACAGCACTATTGCCGTACTTGTCACGCGACGGCTTTCCAGCACCACTGGAGTGATACTGCGTTCCCACTCTCTCGCCAAACTTCCGTAGCAACGGTGCGAACGATGGAACGCACGATATGAACACGCCTAGATGGATCTCAACCATCGACCATGTGATGATGGGCTGCGAATCGGTATATGTGGCGAGGTTTGCGATCGTGTGGATGCGAATCGCCTGTATAATTGTGACGAAGAAGCCTAGTGCAAACAACCCCCCCAAGATGGCTTTCTTTTTGGTGTCGAGTTGTAGGCGACGCAGAATTGGGAAAGGCAACAGAATAATGAGAATGTCGAAGCCTAGACTAGACCCTCCCAGACCTGCTGTGCTGTCAGTTGACGACGTTGCGTGTGAAGCATTCAACTTGCTCACCAAAGTAAGTTGCGAGCTGGTCGATGCAATGACCTGGGAGCGCTGGATCCCATTGCTTAGCGATCGGCTGACAAGCAAACGATAGCAGGAAGGTGTAGATCAGCTGGTTTGAGATGACCATGCCTAAAGTGATGTATAGCACAATGCGGTAAGTCTTGTTGAATCCGGCCAATCGTAGGTAACCGGCCAGAAGTGAGACCTTGAAGCCCATGATGGCCAGGCAGTAGATCGGTCCACCAGTGTACTGAACGCGACTAAATTGCACTGCGTTGCCGTCTGGGAAAGCCTTCGCATCGAGTCCCAGACCCCATCTTGTCTGATAAATCGCTATTGAACAGTATGCCACTCCGAAAAGCATACTTCCGGCGGAGGCAACATCGTCCAGTCCGATAGTATGAAGAAGCTTCCAGCGTTGCGTGAAGCGTACCAAGACAGACACCAGCGAGATGATTGAGAACGCGATGGCAATGGCAATGATCTTGCCGGCCTCGGTTGTGGAAGGTACAGACTCCAGACCGTAGACCCAGCCGGCGGTCAAGTGTGGTGGGGACATTGGGCGAGGCAGTGAAGTCAACTAGATTCGGCAGAATCACAGGATGCCAGACTGTTCTTGATATGGAGGAAATTTTGAGCACAAGGGAGCTCCTGCATCTCACTCCCAGTCTTCGGGCATCGACGTTTGTATTCATCTGATTTAGGCACACCCCCTCGCAGCATAGCAGGGTCACAAAATGGGCATGACAATCAAGCCAATACCATTAGCCCGGCAAGCAGACCACCACCATGCCCTTAGCCGATGCCTGCCCCTGCGCGATCATCCATCAACATTCTCTTTGCATCCTTCAATACTTCCCCTCATATCAAAGTCGATGTAACAGTCCGCGAGCCATGATCCGAAGGAAACAAGGCTTCTGCCGCGTGGCCCCCCGTCGGTTCATCTATTGCAGGTCCGCGACTAGTGAGGTTATCACGGAGATGGCGCCAGAGATTAACGCCAGCAGGCATTGCGCCTCCGGGCCGAGAAGCTATCGAGCTTGGGTTGGGGTAAATTGTGCACGGAAGAACTCTCGACTTCTGTATCAGATCAACGTCGCGTATTGACATTGCAGACGCTACTGTACGTCGTATACTGTAGTACTTGTGTACGTGGTGTGAAGGCGGCCATGTGAAGCTCATACGAGATGAAGGCAGGGCATTAGTGACCAGGGTCTGGTCAGAGGATGTTGAAGCAGTCTGAGAGGTTGCAGCTTGCAGTGAGCGATCTACAATTCCAGGATGCCAACTTTCTGCATCTGCACGCAGCACGATCATGCACGCGGGCTTCCACAGAAATCGAAGTCGCGCGAATCTACTGCGGCCGTTGAATGATCTTCCAGGAGCTACAATACTAGAACATCCCTGTCCAATGGAGTTAGTTGCATGGCTCGACAAAGCAACCAGATTGTGAGGGGAACGGCAAGACCATGCCTTAGCACACCACTCCAGATGACTGTCTTGACTCGTCCAAGCGACATCCATATCGACTGCCGGGCCTGTACGACCATGGCGCCGATGTCCCTGCCTCCCGTGGCTAGCTCGCTCACGCTATGTGCCATGTGGCTAACTAGATCTAGGCACAACTCCAAGCATGCTCTCTAGAAGGCTTTCGGCTATAAACTTATCTGCGAATGTGAGGCACAGCACAGTCGTCTCCGAAGGTAAGATCGGCAAGCATGCTGGCGCCGTGCTGCATTGCATGCTTCGCCAAAGCAGATCAATTATTTCACTTTCCACTCTCCTCTCTGCTTCCCCTCGACTGCCCCCGACCACACCTTGGTTTCAGCCTCAACCTTCTTTCTCTTCTCTCCAGGAGCTGTGACTATGCGATCCTCTTTCTTGAGTGGGCTACTGCCAGTCGCCGTACTTGCGTGGTCTTCCAACGATTTTGCACGAGATACCAATGTTGCTCAGGCGCAGAAATGCAGGAGTTACCCCGGCGATGCATCATGGCCGACAACTGCCCAATGGACTGCCTTCAACAAGACCATCAATGGCAGACTCGTCGCTACAGTGCCACTAGCAGCACCGTGCCATGATGACAAGTGGGCGAAGTACAACAACGCCACCTGCACGTCTTTGCAGGCTTCATGGCTCGAACCACAAGAACAGTACGTTGACACGGTCTGACCAGGACAGTGCGCAGCAGACTGACGATCTATACAAAGCTATGATTCATCCTCCTCGGTAATGGCACCATTCTTCGCCAACCAGAGCTGCGATCCTTTCCAGCCTCGCAGTGCTCAATGCGTGATTGGCTCTTATGTGCAGTATGCCGGTATGAGACGACGGGCAAATGGAGTCCTGTTTTACGATTACTGACCAAAAATCTAGTCAACGTGTCTTGTGCCCAGGACGTCTCAGCAGCTATCAAGTTTGCCACCAAGAACAACATTCGCTTGGTTGTCCGCAACACCGGTCACGAGTACGTCTGCGAGCATGAACTCATTAGGAATACCTTTACTGATGCGTTATAGCTATAATGGCAAAAGCACCGGCTCTGGCGCTCTCGGTATCTGGCTTCACCATCTGAAGGACATTAGCTTCAAGGACTGGTCAGACTCGCATTATAATGGAAAAGCTATCAAGCTTGGCGCTGGCGTGCAAGGATTCGAAGCCTATAATGCCGCAGATGCTATCGGCCTCCAGGTCGTGGGAGGTGAATGTCCAACTGTCGGTATTGCCGGAGGCTACACTCAAGGTGGTGGTCACAGCGCTCTTGCGTCCAAGCACGGGCTTGCTGCTGATCAGGTCCTGGAATGGGAGGTCATTACTGGTACTGGCGACTACCTAGTCGCCAATCGTCAGCAGAACTCCGATCTTTACTGGGCCCTGTCTGGCGGCGGAGGTGGCACTTACGGCGTTGCTTTGTCGATGACCTCGAAGGCCCACGTTGATACTCCGACCTCTGCCATGAATCTCACTTTTTTGAGCACGAACACCACACAGGACAAGTACTATGAGGCCATCAGCACTTTTCATTCCTCTCTGCCAGCCATTGTCGATGCTGGTGGGATGAGTGTCTGGTACTTCACAAACCAGTCCTTTGCTATATCCCCAATAACTGGTCCAAACATCACCGTATCACAGCTCAAGGTATTACTTCAGCCTCTCATCAGCAAACTGGAAGAGCTTGACATTGCATACACCAGCTACTTTGGCCAGTTCAGTGGCTACCTCAAGGAGTACCATGCCATGCAAGGACCCATCGATGTTGGGATAGCTCAATATGGTGGTCGGCTCATCCCAAGAAGTGTGGTGCAGCACAATAACTCTGCATTAACCGAAGCATACCGCTTCATCAACAACCAAGGCGCGCAATTCATCGGCGTCGGCATCAACACTTCGTTCAAGACTGCTGGTGATGTCAACAACTCAGTAAACCCTGGATGGCGAACAGCTCTAATCGACACCGTGATCACTACGTAAGTTGGCTGAGCTAACTTTTGACCAATAGCTGCTAACCAAACCAAACAGTCCATGGTCCTTCACAGCCCCCTGGGCAGACATGCTTGCCAACCAGAAGCTCATGACCAATGTTCTGATTCCAAAACTCGCCGAGCTCACACCGAACGGCTCATGCTACCTCAACGAAGGAGACTTCAACCAGCCTGATTTCCAGGACGTTTTCTACGGCGCCAACTACCAACGTCTTCTATCGATCAAGAACAAGTACGATCCAAACCACATGTTCTACGCTGTTACTGCTGTGGGGTCAGAGTATTGGGTGCCGCAGCCGAACGCTGGACGGTTGTGCAAAGCTACCTAGACTGAATAGAGGCTACGTAAATTAGACACTGAGAAGCATCCATGATAAGTTCGTTCATTCTTCTGCTGTCCTATATGTGCCAGTACCGTAGTGGTGTGGATATGTGCTAACGGGACAATGTAACCATTCCTTACTGCCGAAGCCGGCGGTAGAATCCCCACATGTCTCGTGAAACACCTTGATTTGAGAGCGATACTGATCATACACCAGTGAGCTATAACTGCTGTCAGCAATTCGAGACACTGAGCTGTAGCCAATACGTGGATGCTTCCGCAGACAAAATACACAGGAACCCTAATCGTAGTTGCATGGCATCACGGCTTGCTATTATTAAAAGACACATCACTGGAGCCGGCACCATGACTACCATTCGCCTTGCTATATTTGATGACTATGCATGCATCGCCAGAGAACACTTCGAAAAAGTCCCTAATATACACATCGAAGACTTCCCAGACACCTTGAACCCTGCTACACAAGATGGACTGGAAGCTCTGGCCAAACGTCTGCAGCCTTACCAGATCGTCTCGACCATGCGAGAGCGGACACCATTTCCTGCCGAACTGATGAAACGTCTGCCAAAGCTGCAAGTCATCTTGAACGCTAGTGCGAGGAATGCGTCAATCGACGTGAAGCAAGCTACCGAGCAAGGTATTGTCGTGACTGGTACCAAAGGCGAGGTTCCGACAGATGAGAGATTACTCAATACCCTGCCAAATCTACCACCTCCAAAGGGCCATAGTTCAGTGGTGCAGCATGGATGGGCTATGCTACTGGCTTTGATGAGTCGACTACCACAGGATGACCATGCTCTCAAGACCGAGCCTGGCGCATGGCAGAACGGACTCATGATGCCAATAGCAGGAAAGACTCTCGGCATCGTTGGGCTGGGCAAGCTGGGAGTTGGTATGGCGAAGATCGGCGTGCTGGCTTGGGGCATGAAAGTCCTGGCTTGGAGCGAGAACTTGACGCAGGAGAAAGCGGATGCTGCTGCTGAAAGTGCTGCACTACCAAAAGGCAGTTTCGAGTATGTGAACAAGCAGGAATTGTTCGAGAAGTCGGACGTGGTCAGCCTTCACCTTGTTCTTTCTGCGAGGAGCAAGAGTATTGTAGGTAAGCAGGAGTTGGCGTCGATGAAGAAGTCGAGTATCATCGTCAATACCTCCCGAGGACCACTGATCGACGAGGAAGCTCTGATTGAGACGTTAAAAGCTGGTACTATCCGAGGAGCAGCTCTCGATGTTTACTGGGAGGAGCCACTGTCAGCACAGAGTCCCTGGCGTACGACAAGTGAGTGGGCAAAGAGTGAGATTCTGCTCAGCCCACACATGGGCTATGTCAACGAAGGAACCATGCACAGATGGTATCAAGAACAAGCCGAGGATGTAGCGAGGTGGATGAAAGGCGAAGAAGTAGCTGTCCGTATGAATTGAAGTGACTCTATACAGTCGACATAAGCAGCTATCGTGTTTTCAGTCCCTTGAAAGGCGAAGGTGGATCGGCTCCAATTAGCTCTTGAACATCTAGACCAGGATCACCCTTCTCCATAGCTCGCTGGTAAGCTTCTCTCTTCGTCACCCTCTGCAAGTACGACAGGACGTTCGGGTATGAACCCAACTCGAAGCCAAAGAACTTCCGCATCGTCGACAGTGTGAAGACACTCATCACATCCGCGGCAGTGAACTCTTTCCCTGCTAGCCATGCTTCAGTCTCGTCTAGACGATTGTCGACGATCTGTAGTGCCGCCTTGAACTTATTGTCCACACGAGCACGGATGTTGTTGTCTTCGCTCACGCCAGCCCATATCAATGTTGCGGCACGGCCAAGACCAGGCTGAAGTGTTCCGTTGGCGAAATGAAGCCAATAGAGGTAGTCTGCGTAATTCTTGTCTTCGGGTTTGACGATGAGTTTGCCGTTGCCGTACATGTTAAGGATATACTCCGTGATCGCTCCAGTCTCGGCTAAGGTGATATCGCCGTCCGTGATCACTGGTGCTGCACCCATCGGATGTAGAGCCACGTATGCGGGTGGTGAGAGGAGAGGCGATCGCTGGTAATTCTTGAGCTCATATTGGATGCCTAATTCTTCACAGAGCCAAATGATCCGCTCCGATTGTGAGACCTGGAGGTGATGGACCGTGAGACCCATGTTGGATCGAGTACGTGGTGAGGTTGGGCTCGGCGTTGTTGTGGTTTAAGCCCTTACCTGAACGATTCTAGGTGAAGTGATGACCGATGAGTTTCAATGCTTTCCATCGAATATAATCCCTACCACTTCTGCAGATCGTTGTTATGGCCTCGGAAGCTTCTCCACTTGCTCTGGCGTCACACCGAGGCGAAGGTTTGGCAGGTCGGTCTGGCCCACATTTTCAGCGTCTCAATTCTACACTCCATCTCATATGATCACCGTTCCTCCTATATCACCAATCGCACAGTGAGCATTCCAGCGCGGCAGCGGCGTTTGGGAGATGGCTGCGCCGTTGATAGAAGTCGCTCTGCAGTCCACCCGCGATCTCGCCCTTTCGTGCCGCTCTTCATACTTACGATCATCGATGGTGGTCGTCGCCACGAGGATCTAGCGATAGTACTGAAATTATGAGACTCGACTAGAGATGTGGACACTGCGCGATTCGCACGGACCAGTCCTCAAGATCGCCGCTGTTCATCTGTCACGAGGGAGGTATTGGCATGGCAAAAGCCGATATATGTCGGCTACTTTTCGCCTGATCACTGTTCCTTCCTGCTGTGTTAAATCATGGCGGTAGCCTCACCACGACACACAACCACACGATCAGCAAGGATTGGCACCGGGAATCAATACGTCAGAAATTGCGGCCCAAGGCATTCGACATAAGGATTACGATCAATGCGCCATCTTATACAGTACCATCAACAAGCATGGCTGCGTCTGCTCTAGAGGTATACTGATGCCTTGCTGTAACAGTGTCGAGATTCCCTTGAGCTACTTCCGGATGCCGCCAACTAGCCTGGCTACCACATTTCGGTCATTGAGTACTCGGGCGTCGCATAAGCTTAACCTTCGCAATCACTAGAGGACGTCTTGGAGATATGAGAAGATATGCTACGGCGTGGGGAGATCTTTGCTCTGCCTTCAACTGTGGGCAAAACCGAGTACGGCACGTTCGCAGATGAGAGCGTAGCTGAGAGTATGCGCGTGAACGGGCGACTGAGTATTTGAATGGTACAAGTCGACTCAACCAGGAAACGAAGCCGTTGACCAGTGTGTCATACTCTACACAATATCTCGGATCAATCTGTACTTCAAAGATCTCGTTACTGGATATGTATAATGCAGCCATGGCCATTTAGATCAGCTCGGCCTCGACATCTGACACTAAGATCATGGATACGAGACATTATTGATCTTGTGTAAGCCGCCAAAAAGGAACGTCAAAGTAGAGCAGACCAGCCGCGGCCGTCTCGTTCGAAATCATCCCTCGTTCGTCCTCTCCAGCTTGACCAGTCCCCAAAGCCCACGCGGTACTACTCGACTCGGCATGGTATTCCTGATCCATACCCGTTCCCGTACCCATTCCCATTCGGCAATTTCTGTTCCGGTTGACTAGACATATGCTTCTGCTTATTTGGTCGCCTGAGGAGGAACCACCACATCGCTGCAAGTACTGCAAACACTGCAGGGACCCCAAGGCCGACACCAAGCCCGATACCCAGCTTCGCACTTTGAGATAGCCCTGGCGAGGATGATTGTGTGGCAGTCGGTGTGATTGTGGGAGATGTGGTTGTCGAAGGGGGAGTGGTGCTAGTCGACGTCGGAGCACTCGAAGTGCTGGAAGTCAAGATGAGGTCGGGACTATCGTCGACGATCGACCGCACTGCACTGTATGCTGCGGTACTCGGCGTTGCAAGGATATTGGTGACGGTCGCCCTGACAGTGAATGGGCCTTGTGTTCCACTGTAAGGGGTGCTGTAGACACTAGTCGAATGTGCCGTTGCGGTTTGGCTTGGGAATGTCCACACGATACTGAAAGTTTCTGTCTGTGTGAAGACGCCAGTATTTGTCGAAGTCGCCATGGTGTTGCATACAAAGGTCCCGATGGGCACTCTATGATGAGGAGTCGTCTGGATTACAATGTGTAAGTCTCGAAAGGCTCGTAGAGGTCAGTAATAATGCTGCGACCAGAGCAGACGTTCGGGGGCTGAGTCTTTGCATACACAACAAGAAGAAAGGCTAGCTTCTACCATGGCGGAATGGAATAATAAGATCGGGAGGGCTCCGACAAGCACATTCAAAGCAGACCACGTGCACGCTCGCGTCGATTGTGCAATACTGAAAGAGCTATTCTGGTCCAGCCTTGAGCGAGAGAAGCTTGTGCGTCGCTCGACAATGGGCTTGCTGGTGAGGTTGGCCAGCCCGGGAGGTGTGAATCTGCAAGCCACACGCAAGCCTGCTCGGCCATCTGTCTAGGTATACCACTAGCCGAACTTGTGTTGTGCTACTAATCAAAGGCCTGTCGCCAGGCCGCCGCTGTACCGCTTGCATGCGGAGATTCAACAGCGATCGGGAAGCTCATGAGCGTAAGACCGTCGCACGACCGAATCAAAGGCGTAATCCCGCTGGCTGCGGTGTGCTGCTGCAAAGTCCAGCCTTGCTGTGGTGTATAAGTTTGTTGGCGTTATAATGTGGCTTGCCCTAAGCGGTTTAGTGCCATGCACTGATCTGCATATCTAGGATTACAACAGGTCCGAATATATTCTGTCTGTGTGGTGTACTGACAGTCGGAGAATAGCAGCCCAGCGATGGACACGGTATTGTCCGCAGGACTCGATAGCATCAACCTGATGACGCCCAAGGGAAGCAGCAAAGGTCTGCTATCGTGTCTGAGGAGCCTCAGCATGATCGCAGCCTTGCGCCAGCCTTGTCCCAACCCGACCAGTCTACTCTTGTAATGCAACATCCCGTCCGGTGGCGTACAACAACAGTCTGCACAGGAGATTGGACACGAGGATCCTGCACAGCGAAGCCAAATTAGCTACCAGACTGTACCAATGAGCTCGTAGAAGCACCACGCAGCCTGATCGACCATACAAAGAATGGTTGAGACTCAGCCTCATCCGCAAGTGTGGAACTGTGAATCGCGCATTGCAGATGATCCGCCCATATGAGGCTCTCTAAGGGCGTCCTCACGGCTCGAGAATCTTCGTCAGAGGCACTTGATATTCCTGTTCCCCCCCTCTTTCCTTCCGCTACCTTCTGCGTATTGTCTGACGAACGCGGCAAGACAGTGATCACTATTTGCCAAGGCACAACGATTCGAGGATCTCCCTTCAAGCTCGAGCTGTTCTGCTGCAACCATGTATGCATCACGGATAGCAATAGCGCTGCTTCTGCAATTGAGCGCGGCGGCATTACCGGAGATACAAATCGCCAAACAGCCACAACAACCTGGCGTATTGCGATTATTACGAAGAGGCGGTACTGTCAGCGTCGGAACCGCAGAGAACTTCCAGGTCGGGCTAGGAGGTGGCTACTTCACAACAGGTACAACAGCTCAACGTTCGCCGAACATCGTATCTAGAGATCTGCTTGAAACTAACCAGTTCGGCTTCCAGTGACAGTCGGGACTGGCAGTAACCCGCAGCAGCAGCAGTTACTCGTCGACACGGCCTCATCTGACACATTCGTACTCTCGAAAGACTTTTGCAGTCATTCCCCAGGGATATGCAGCGGCAACTCCTTCGACCCATCAGGTTCGAGCACATATGCTGTCGCTGACCCCTCGCCTGCCTTCAACACCAGCTTTAGCGACGGCTCTCTCGTGTACGGACCGTTTGCTAGAGACACCATTACCATTGGAGACCTCGTGGTGTCGAATGTCCAGTTCGGAGTAGCGCAGAATTGGACTGGCGGTATTGGCAAGAGCACCGGACAATTGGCCTTGGGCTTTTCGTACAACGAGGCACCAGCTCCTGGGAAACAGTATCCCAATCTTCCGGAAGTGCTGAAAGACAGTGGCGCTATCAATAGTAGATTGTACTCAATCTACCTTGATGAGACCAGTGAATCGGGCAGCATCCTGTTTGGCGGCATCGACCAGTCCAAATACTCTGGTCCGCTTGTTACGCTCGATCTCACGCCCAGAGCGGGGTACGGATCCTTCATTGAAGAGTTCATCGTCAACATCACTAGTCTGGCAACGACATCTGGCTCGTCAGTATCTCAGACGATCTTCACAAATGACTCCTCTGCCAGTGTCTCAAGCCAGCAAAGGGGCGCATCATTACCAGGCTTGTTCTGTGTAGGCTGTGCTGCACTCGAGCTGCCAAGTGCATACTATAACAGTCTCATCAGCTCGACATTCTCGTTTCTCGACCGCAGCGATGGGACTTGCTCCTGCGACCATAGGAAGGATAACGCTTCGCTGCAGCTTGAGCTGGGGGGCACTTTCAAAATCAACGTGCCGTCGCGTGATCTTATTGTCCCGGTGTACAACAGCAGTGGACTTCCGCTGCTTTATGCCAACAGGACAGGTGTCTGCGCACTGATGGTCACCCCGGGCTCGGATCAAGTCTATCTAATCGGGGAGTCAGTCCTCAGGAGTATGTACATGGTCTTCGACCTCGACAATGGCCAGATCTCTGTCGCACAAGCAGTAGTCAACAGTACCACGCCAGCCAACATTCATACCATCCCTGCCGGACCCAACGGGGTGGCGAGTGCTGCAAGCCGAGTACAGACTGCCTCATCGAATACCAATAGTATTGCAGCGGCGGCATCGACGAATGCGGTCTTCTCGGTTTCGACAATTTCGAGCTCGAGCTCCAGCACACCTGCTTCCAACACAGCCAAGACGACGTCGACGAGTGGCTCTTCCGGTAGCAGTGTCAGTGCAGCCTCTGCTTCCTCGAGCGCAGGTGCTGCAGGACTTCGTCGCATGGGTACTGAAAGGGAGGGTTTAGCAGTCGCCGCAGTCGTAATTGCCGCGGCTCTAGTCTGATGGATTGCTACAATAGAGTGGTCTTAGCAGCTTCACGCTGATGAGTATCGCAATCAGTCACGGAGTATGTAGATCTAGTAATGTTGCGAATGCACTTGCCAGAAACGTGGTATAGGAATATATTCTAAAACGCGTCACGACGCGTCTGCGTCATCGTACTTCAACCATCAACTCAAATACATCACAACCCCGAACAATGTCGTCGCCATTAGATGTGAAGCGCCGGAAGCTCAACAATGCCAGCAGGACGCTCAGCAAGCCATTTGTGTCACCTCTCCGCAGCGATACTGCAGTTCCTCGCGAGCCATTGAAAGCGCACCACAATGCTACCAGCACAACCTATACCCCGAGCACACTTGCGCATTCTATAAAGACCTATGACCATCCGGAGTTGACAGAGAAGGCACCTAAGCTCCCGCAAGCGCAAGAGAACAAGGCCACTCCTGATAGGAAATATGCCGTCGCCAACACCTCCTCCAAGCGCAAGGACCCAGCCGAAGTAGCTGCCCAACGAGCCCTCACATCCCTCGAGTTCCAAATCCGCGCCCTAAGGAACGAATTAGACACCCTCACACAAGCTCAACACATCTCCTCCTCAACCACAGACGCCGAGCTAGAAGTCTTGTCAACAAAATGGCGCCACGCCTCCCAACAAGCCGCCGAAGAACTCTTCGGCACTGTCAAAGAACGAGTCTGTCGTATGGGCGGCGTAGCAGCCTGGCGCGAGAGCGAGCAAAGAAAACACGATCGTGCGCTCGGAGTGGGAGAGTTCGCACAGCCGGCTGAGGAGGAACAGGACGATGATGATGCGGATTGTGAGTTTGATAGCCAAGGCGAGGAGTTACCTGAAGATGAGCAGGCGTATAGGAAGAGTGAGAAGAGGCGAGTGAGGCAGGAGGCTATGGATGCTGCGGAGCCGGCGGATGAGGTGGAGGATGTGAGGGAGAAGGCGAAGGCAAAGGTGTGGCAGGAGGAGGGCAAGGCGGATGATGTGAGTTTGTCTGGTCGCAGTCGCTTACCTTGAGGTTGTGCTGACACTTGTGCAGGCATTCACGATTGATATGATGCTTAGATCGCTGAATATCGAGCTCGAGACGATTGGTTATGACAAGCATGCGCAACGATGGACATGATTATGGGGCCGCTGAATCACGAATTGTGTTGTGTACGATATAACAAGATCACGAGAACCGCGCTACGATAGTCCTGAGGCGCATGGCATTTAAGCCGTATAGTGGTGATACATGGCGTCAGTGAGGATACACCGATGCCAAGATATAGCTTATGCGTAGCTTAGTAGCTGTACCTTCCTACTTCGTCAAGCTCACTTTTCCACGCTTCACTTCACGATGCATGGTCTGGTTTTACTTCATTCCAGGCCGTGACTTGATCTTAATTGCCATGTCCAGTTCATTGTTTAGTACCCGAAGACCTGTCTAAGCACACTCTCTCGCACTTCACTTCATGATGTCGTCTCAAGCCGGCGGCTTCATCCTCTCACCACCCGCCTCATCAACATACTCCACCCCATCCACCACCTCACCCACTTCCCTCCCCCACCCACGCACCACTCCACTAAAAGCAGGCAGCAGCAAAGAATCCACTTTCATCCGCTATGTCGACCAACAGATCCTCCACATCCAGCGTCGCTTCGCAAAGCGCACATCACCTCTCCCGCCGTCCACGAGCCAAGACCATGATGACGCTGCGAGCAAACATCGACCCAATGGCGACAACGCATTCGGCAATACCTGGGCTACAGACACACAAGGCTACAAGAGTATGAAACATGCGTGTAAAGACATCGAGGATGTCATAGGCGTAGTCTGGGTGAGCGGGACCCCGAGCCTACAGATCCCGTATCTTGTCAGTATCGCCTTACTCTTAAGCTTAGTCGTGAGCGGCATGCTGCCTTCACCGCGAACTTTGTTCAAATGCCTAGGCAAACTGGACCACTGTTTCGCTAGTCTGATTCAAGGCCAGGATATCGAGACTGGTGAGAGGTTGCCGGGGTTCTTTGGGTACAAGGGTGTTAGTGATACGGAGAAAGTGCGGATTCGGTCGCTGGTGGAGAGGACGAGGGTGGGTGTCATTGAAGTCTTCAAGAAGGGAGAGTTTGATATGGATGAGGGTGATGAGGACGTGAAGCAGAGTGAGGAGGAGGATGACGATGACGATATGGACTTGGATGGCGAGCTGGTGTTGGAGAATCCGTCTTCGAATGTGGATGATGATGAGGATGATAGTCATGATATGCAGCTTGCTAGGGTGTATGATCACACTATCCAGGAGCTGGGTGGGAGTCTCGAGGGACCAAGTATTGGGGTCTTGACGGAACGTCGAGGGTGATGGGGTCGTAGAAAGCACTGCGGCTTGACACGTTGTCCATTTCATGCTCCCAAGGACGACCTATCAGAGGCTGAGCCTAGGTGATGTTGCAGTGGTAGAGGAAGAGGTTGACTCTTGAGAAGACTCGAAAATATCATGGGATTTGAATTTGCAGTCACACTCCAAAACATCATCGGGAAGGTGCGACCCTGACGCTATCTCTATATTGGCATCTTCGCTTGCTGACAGGCGAGCTAGGTAACAATTCTGATCTCTGGATCAAGATAGATGCCTTTCGGGCAGGCCTCGATGGCGTTATGAGCTGAGAATGCGGCGTGCATTCACCTGCGTGCCTTCCTTCTCTACAAGCGTTATGCACCCCACACTCATCTAATGCAGAGCAGTTTGCGGGAGGCGCACGGCTACTGTCGCGCGCTCACGTGCACAAACAAGACAACCTTCAGAATCATAAAGACTTGCAGCAGGACAAATAGCCTACCCTCGTTCAAAGTAGCATCATTGTAAGGACAGCAGAGCGCACAATCGTCTCTGGCGCGACAACCTGCGCTGCCTGTCTTTACCGCACCGAAATGCCAACATATCACGCTGTCGGCATCACTGTAAGTCTCGCTGTTGCAGACCTGAAGGCAACATGTTCGAACGTCGTCGACAAACGCATGGGCCCGAAGCAGCGTGAAGATGCGGACCGGATCTACGATATCTTCAGCCATGGCCGCACACTTACAGAAAGCCCTATTGGCGTGGATGGCAGCACGAAAGGGGTTATGCAGTTCATTGGCACGAACGATGATTTGCCTTTCTTCTTGGTCGAAGCTGGAGATGGCGTGCTGAGCGTACCTGCCATCGATCCGCAACTTATGGCAACACAAGACAAGGCTTCGAAGACGGAGCCTGACACCGATGATTCGCCTCTTACTTCCCTGGGCGCGACTCCGACTAATGCCAACGTTTCCTTATCGAATATCCAACATTCAGTCGCTACGTCACTTCCAGTCTCGGCAAAGGAGCGTGGCAAGAAAGCGCAGAACAACGAGCACGACAAATCTCTGACATTCGCGAGCTTCGATCGTGCGCGTGGTCTCCTCGATGCGCCAAATGGTCCAAAAGCCTTGAGTCTGACGGTGCAGATCAGCGACAGGTCGTACCTTCCCACGACCACCGAGAGAGGCAGGAACGTCAGTCAGGATTTGAAGGTGGAGATCTTCCTGAACGGTCAGCTTGTCGGCCTCAGCTTCATCAATCCTCGCGGTGCAGCGGTCGAGCTCAAGAACGACAGGGTGCGCTATCACGGTACGAGAGTGCATCGACAACTGGAGAAGCCATGGATCTACGATAACGCACGCGAAGGAGAGTCTGCTGAGGTCCGCTGGGACAACGTTAGTCGCAAGCTCGATGATGAAGCGCAGGCGCGAGGGCATAATCGGTGGGGCGACTTCTCAGCGTCCGCTGAATTTCTCCTGGCTCTGTCGCAGAGAGAGCTGCCGGAGCGCCTTCGAGGTAATAATGGCATCGCGATTATCGACATCATCATCACTGCTGGTAACGGCAGGAAGTATGGCCCAGACACAAGCTATATACGGGTGCCCACCCGTATGGACGATTCAACCCACGCAGCTGCGCACGGAGAGCCTCGAGTCGATGAATTGGAAGATGCTGACACGCTGTTTGGCATTCGCCTGCCAACACGAAGTCCTTACCAGAGCTTTGCGTCCGCCGTTCAGCCACACGTGACATTGCCACAAAGCTCTCCGGAAGTACCTCTTATGCGCCAGCGCTCGGCAGCACTCCTCCCGCAGACGCCAACGAAGCGAAAGCAGAAAGTCGACCTAGGCGACCTCACGCTAGACGGCATCGACCTTGACGCTAAAGTCTCTCCGTTCGAGAACTCGCGTCGCAAAGCTGGTCAACAGCGCAATCTGCGCCAACGACTTCGGGACATTTCGCAAATGAATGCGAAGAATAAGGCGAAAGCTCTGGAAGCTCTCAGCGAGGAACTTGACGAAGATCAGCTAGAGCTGGTCAAGAAAACCTTTGCGGAAGATATAGATGAAGATATGGAACCTTCGCCTTCCAAGAGAGCTCGGCTAGATCCTAGCTGCGGCCTCACCCTGGACCACCAGTACGGCTTGAATATGCTTGCTGATGCTGCCATGTCTCAAGATGGCACCCTCAATTCAATGCAGCTCTGGCGCAGTACTCCAGCACCGCGAGTGCAGCACCCAGCTGACCCTTTCACAGCCAACATCGACTATGACGCTGAGGCGCGCTTGACGCAGGACCGTATGAACATGGCGCTCGAAGCTGGCGCGGGCTTCAGTGGTCCCCTGATGCGCCATCTCGCCGCTACATCTCCGCGCTCCACGCCGGAGAAGAGGACGAATGCCGGATCTCTTGCCAAGTCACCATGCAAAGTACCTGTCAAAGCCACCCCACGCAACAAGGCAGTCAAGACTCCTACGCCACAGCGCAGCACCTACCGACCAGACGAGTTCGGCTCACCAATTCCCATTGATCCGGTGCTCACTGCCAGTGCTCGACAGCGCGCTACCCCACAGAGACGAAACAAAGACGAATCCCCAAGCAAAAAATTCGGGTTAGGGTCCGACAGAACCCGTAAAGCTTGGTATCCCAACGAGATCTCGGCCGATCAGGCCTTCGAGGACTTCGAGATCCCGGACTTGTGTAAGGGCAGTGTTGTAACGTACTCGGAGGATCTGGAAATGAAGAGGCAGATTGGGAAGGCGAGGGGTGGGGAGTTTTTAGAGAAGAGTGTGGTTGTTGGTATGAGGTTTGTTGTGGTTTGAGTGGATTACTGGACTGTAATCAAGGAACGAGCATGCTGGCTTCTGGTCTGTATAAGGATGTTGAGGCTCTGCATTGGGTCGTTCACACAGGAATGTGAGTTACAGGCCATTGCGTTGTCATGGTACGCCTTGCAGCCGATGCGCAGTGAAGGAGGTCTGTGTACAATACTGGCTAGCATGAACGTTGTGTGCGGCGTCATTTGCGAGAAGTGGAAGAGTGGCAGGGGCGTCTAAGGCTGGTCAGATTCTCGAGCTCCGCCCGCGTTCTGGCAACACACAGACTGTGGCAGCGCAGCGAGACGCGTGGGCTGGCAGACGACAGGATGGAACAGTGTAGGTCCTCACGCATGGTAGAAAACGGTTCCTTCTTGGCTATGATAGCGCGCACGCAAGATGTACAGTTGCAGCCGTAAACCAGATCTCATGTCTACTGCTGTACAAATCCACAAGTCTTATATATGCATCTTAAGGGAGCGTCATCGCTCAACCTGCCCTCAAACTTCACGGCCACATCTATCTTCTTCTACAGTCTATATAGGTTCCTCCCTTGGCTCAATCAAAATCTCGTTCACAGCCACATAGTCCGGTTGTTTGAGTGCGTAGATAATAGCGTTGGCTACATCCTCTGGGTCGAGGATTTGCGCACCAGTTGGTGTTCCGTATGCTTTCACTGCCTCCTCGTCCGAGCTCATATTTAGCAGATCCGTTTGAGTATTGCCCGGCTGGACACCAGTGACACGAAGACCCTTGCTGGCGGTCTCCAATCGCAATGCCTGTAATGTAGCTTCCACGAAAAACTTGCTGGCAGAGTAGACACCCGAGCCGGGGAAGACTTTGCGACCAGCGTCAGATGAGATGGCGACGATGTGGCCCTTGCCACGCTCAAGCATAGGTGGGACCACGGACGATACGCAGTGAAGTAAGCCTCTGCAATTCACGTCGACAGTGCGATCCCACTCCTCACTGTGAGCATTGGCCATCATGGTGAAGTACATGACGCCGGCGCAGCTGACAAGGATGTCGACTGGACCAAGCTCTTCTTCAGCAGCTTGTACCATGGACTCAACTTGTTCGCCATCTGTGACGTCGGTTTGGCGGACGATGACTTTGCCTTCGCGCACGGCCAGACGCTTCTTGACGGTCTCCAAGGCATCCGTACGTCTGGCGCCGAGGCAAAGATGGCACCCCTCTCTGGCCAATGCAGCGGCTACTGCGGCTCCAATGCCCGATGAGGCACCTGTGATGACAACTACTTTGCCGGTCAGGACGCTCTTGCGGAAGACCGCAGCAGCGCCGCCCTTAGCAAGCTGTCTTGAGGGTGGACGTGGCAGCCAACCTCGAGCATACCAATGTCGAGCATACGTCTCGAGGAGAACGATATCGACTTTGGGGCGCTCGACCATGGCACGGAACGGCCTAGTTTGTGCGTTGTTGAGCACGACTATGCCCTGCAGAAAGTCGACTGAAGGCATTCCAGAGCGCAAGATATCGACTGTGAAGGCCCCATCACCACCCTTTGTAGCACCTCTCCGCTCGTTCCAGAGTGCCACCCACTCATCGAAACCGATACGCTCTGTGGGATAGCCAAGCTCGCCGAGGTTGTCGAATACTGTGCTCGTGGGCACTGGGTCAGGATCTCCTAGGTGGAAGACCAATTGCTTAGCTTGAGTCTGATTGCCGAGATGTACAATCGCTTTGGATACAAAGTCGACAGGCGTCATCTCAGCTCTCCAACCTTCGACGTCTGGTGCAAACCCCAGCATGATCGATTCCACAAAGAGGGCAGTCAGCAGATCATAAGCATTTGCTGCACCGCTGGCAGAGTGACCACTGATTGTACCTGCTCGCAAAATTCTGACAGGTAGCCCACGGCGTCCAGCTTCGTACACAAGCTGCTCAGCAGCCCATTTGGTTTGACCATAGCCATCATGAATCTTTTCCGGTACGTTGTCCACGTACATCATGGAGTCTTCTGGCCAGCCATGACCAGACATCGAAGGTGGCAAGACTCCATTAGTAGAGACGTATTGCACCGTCGAGCCGCCCAGGCATGCTAGACGGAGTATCTCGCGCGTGCCAGCGACATTGGCAGCTCGCAGCGCGGCGTATGGATAGACCAGGTTGACCGTGGCTGCGGCGTGCACGATGACTTGCACGCTCTTGGCCAAGTCACTGAACTTCTCGGGTGACAATCCAAGTCGCTTGCGCTCAAGATTGCCAGGCAGGATCTCGACTCTCTCCATGATGGCATCCCGCCACAGTCCGAGGTCAATCAGATTCTTCCGCATGCGGGCCACGCCAGCCGGTACGTAAGAGTCTGACGGCTCCGTGAAGCGGACGAGACAGATTATCTTCGCCGATGTACTTTCCAGGAGATCATTAAGCAGGAAGGCTCCTAAGAAGCCAGTTGCTCCAGTAAGAAATACTGTTTGCGCCTCCTTGAGAGAATGCATCTTAACCTTAGGTGGCTTGATATCGCTGTCCAATGTCGAATCTTCGCGTAGTGCTGATGGCAGATCGGATTGCACCGCTGCAATTTGTCCATCCCGAACTTGTCTCACAGTCTGGACATGGCCTTCCAAGGTGACAGGATCAGCCAATCTTGCGACCGGTATCCTGAAGCCAAACGTCCTCGACAGCCTTGCTGCAAGCTCGGCAAGAGACAATGAGTGGCCACCCAGGTCGAAGAAACCATGCTCTGGCGTGATGCTCTTCCTGGATACATGTAGGGTTTCTGCCCACAGATCGGCCACTTGATCGATGGAGATCGGATCCTTGGGAGTGCTTGTGACTGCCTGCTTTTCGTCTGGAGGAGGTGGCAGCGCTTTCGTATCGATCTTGCCCGATACTTCGTGCGTAGGTAGCTGCTCAAGCTCAATCCACAAGGCCGGCAGCATGTACTGCGCAAGGTATTGCGACAATACTTTTCGTGCTGCCGGACTGCGGCCAGAGCCATCAATTTCCACATCTGGCCTGTCTTCTGTGTTTTCAGAATCTCTCACAATATATGCAACAAGTTGCTTCTCGAGACCTTCGCCATGCCCAACGATGGCGCAGTGGCCCACGGCTAGGTGCGAGACAATTGCATCCTCCACTTTGCCAGGAACCACCGAGTAGCCGCGAAGCTTAATCATTGCACCAACACGACCTGTAATCTCAAGCTCTCCTGACGGCAAGACACGCGCCAGATCACCGGTCTTGTACTTTCGAGCACCTTCGACGTCCACGAACTCATTTGTCGTGAAGCTTTCTGCAGTAGTTTCTGGGCGATTGAGATAGCCACGAGCGAGCATGTCTCCGCCAACGTACAGCTCACCACTGGTGCCAGCCTCGACTTCCTTTCCGCCTTCACCCAGTACATATATGTGCTTTTGGTCGACTGGACGGCCAACCGGGCAGTAGGTCGCCTCCTCATCAAGCATTTTCGAGATGTCTCCACAAGCTATCTCGTGAGTCTCGCATGCGCTGTACACGTTGAGTAGACGGACCTTGGGAAGAGCTTTGCTAGCACGGCGAGCGAGATCGGTCGTGACAACCTCGCCATTGAGCCATAGCGTACGCAGATGTGGGAGCCTCTCCCCAAGCCTTGGATGACGTGCTAGGACCGTGGCCAGTAAAGTTGGCGTCATAAGTGTCTCCGTAATGTCCTTAGCATGCAAAAGCTCGACCAAAGCTACCGGATCATAGCTGACTTCATCCGGGACCGCTATCGTGGTGGCACCACGTAGTAATGGTCGGAGTATTTCCCACACGAAGAAGACGTTACAAGCAACTCTGTCCCCAGGACCCAGGTCAGAGAAGGCGAAACGCAAGTCGTACGACAGGACCGGCGCTCGGTGAGGGTTGCCGATACCTTTTGGCTTACCAGTCGTGCCGGAGGTGTATGCAATGAACGATAACTTATCCAAGTCAGTCTCGTCTGGTACGGTGGCAACGTCGTGCGAGGTGCCGTTCGTAGTGCCATTCGTGGATGGTGCGTCCTCGTCGAGCACGAGTAGGGCTGTGCTCTCCTTGAACTTGCCGACTTCTGCTCGATATGTCACAACCACAATAGGCTGGGCATCTTCGATGACATCGTTGAGCATGTCCCGTGGGTAGGCCAACTCCAGCACAAGAAACGCTCCTCCAGCACGTAAGGCTGCGAGGCAAGCGATGACATAGTCAGCACTTCGTGGCAGAAGAACGCCCACTGGGCTGTTGCGCTGGACTCCGTGGTCTTGCAGTCGAGATGCCAAGTCCTCGACTTTATCATCGAGTTGACCGTAGGTATACACGACCTGTTGATCCTCCAGAGCAACAGCGTCCGGCGTTTCGTGGACCTGTTGCTTGAACAGAGCAGCCAGGTCTTTGGTGGTATCCAGGACTGACATTCTGGCTATACGTAGGTCTCAGGCCGGGATGAGAAACAATGCCTTCAGAAGCAGAATGAGGTACCGCAATGGCACGAATCATCAATTGTGGGGAGCGGCCGTTACGGAGAGCTACGCGTGTCAGTGTCGATATGGCAAGTTGGTTGCCATATTGATGGATCTCTTCCAGGTTCATGATCTCATTTCGTTGAGAAAACTCTGCCAGGACTAAGCGCCAATCAGCATGCGTCGTCCTACATCATAACTACGACAGCCAAAGAGCGACGCGGTCCACGGCCAGCACCGTCTGCTTCTTTTGAAGGTGACCATTGACAAACAGGTTAATCGGAAACTAAGCTGGACGATGGCGTAGGTGTGTATCACGCAATGCGGATGTCTAGCCGAAGCCCTAAGAGGCGAGTGCCATCACTTTCCGTCGTACAGTAATCATACCTCAAGTCTCCGTGCACATCTGAACGCCGGAATAGACGCGTTGGCGTTTCGAGGTTCAGTTTCTCACCAGCAGTATAGGGATTAGTCACTGCTTCAGAAAGTAACAGGCAGCGTGGACGATGAGGCCACATAATTCTACATTCCTACGGTCGACTATCGACCTATCTTAGCATCGATCGATGAAATTGTCGCACAGTGCGACAGCTTACATAATCGACGATTCCGGAGTCATGAACATCATCAACAGCTTACAGGGAAGGATAGATCAGCTGTACAAGGCTTGCTTCCCTGCTTGACGAGCCAGCTGAGCAGCTTCGTCACTACGCTGAAATGTATCGCCCCCTGGCAGACGACCATTCAGGAATAGCATTGCCGCCCAGATCCGGTTGCCTGTCCGCTCTGGATGAGAAATAGAGGGCAACGAGTAATATCGGTCATCTTGACGTCCTCATTCGACGTTACTACTATACTTGCCGGTACCTTTCTGAGGATATCGGCTCAAAAGCGTGGCTCAATAGTGCTCCAGTTGATGATGTGCTCCAGTACTACACTACACATAAGCAGTGTAGTATACCATACGAGTGAATGCACGGCACAGGATGGCGTGATAGCACTGCGCTTGCGTCATACAATGTACATGATGCATCCAGAAGCCGAAACGTGGCTGTCATCGTCGACTGTGGCACGCATGCTCGCGAGGACGGCAGCTCATTCAAGCCCTGTTCTTGAGCTTATTGAACACTGCCATCCTGACCTCGAGGGACTCCCTACGACCACAATCTTTAGGGGCGTTGGGGTCTAAGAACGCCGTATGGGGACATGCTGCCATTAAAATCAGTACAGCCTGTGGAATAGCTCGAGATGGCGGAGCTTACTGTGATCAACACCCGTGGAGTCAAATTGACAAAATATAGCGACCTCCTCAGGCTTCTGATCCTTGATCCAGTACCACTCCTGTTGGGGCGAGTACTTCAGGTAATATAGTTCCAGCACAAACTCAGGGTTATAGCGATCAACAGGAACGAGATTACCTTCACCAATACTGTGTGCGGCACACCAAGTCAGAGGACAATCCTGTGATGGCCGGTTGATTGGTCGCCACACATTTATGATCCGGCATCTGTAGTCGCCTTCAAGATACTTGCTGGCCTCTTCTTCGTTCACATAACGTCTGATTCGGCCGATACCAGAGTCCACTGTCTGATCTGGACGTCACCTTAGCTTGGCGGTCCATACGATCCTTTCATCATCAACACTGCACGTACCACAGTGTATGTTCATAATTGGCGGCCCTGTCACTTCAGTCCCTGGCCGTTTCGAGCCGATGTTGGCTTTGTATTCTTCTGCTGATATATCGTTACATCGTGACTGCGGGAACGGATCTAGATCAGCAGACAGCATTTCCTTCCTAGGAGGAACCTACCCGAAAGTCACAACAGACCACATGATCGGCCTGGAACTCTTCGCGGACGAGCTCCTTCATACTGTTGACATAAGTCTCCACTTCTTCTTTACTATTGCCAAAAGCGCCAGGAAGTGACGAAGGATGTTCCTTGAATCGAAACCCATACTTGTCAAGTGCTAAGGCCTCCTTGGGTAGAGAACGAGCATTGCGAATGGGTATATCAGCATGAGTCTCGAATTCTAGGTTCGAATGTTCTTCTGCTGGAAATTCCGGACCTCGATTGTAGTTGTACGCAAAGGCTTTCTGGGTTTCGTATAAGGGCAGCGGAGCAAGGTAGCTGAGCTGCGTGGTCGTCATGATACAGATAGCATCTGGGTGCCAACTCCTTTGAGCTCGAGTTCTGTGGTAATGTTCATAAGCCAGGCAAAGAGACTGAGGTAGATAGCTGAGTCCAGCAGAGAGTTTATACCAGTCAGCTGCCTCTTGTACCCACTTAGCTTCATCCTTCGTGCACAGACTGTCCGGCTCCACATATACACTATGCTTCGCGGACGGTAAGCTTGCTCGCTTCGCACACCATGTGTACAGCTCAGAGAGACTTCTGGCTGTCGAGGTGTATGCCCCGGTGTGCCGCAGCTTGTGTCGTCGGGAGCAAGAGTACGACCCGTTCTATGCTCCAAAGCATTCCATCGGTCTAAGGTGGAAGCATGATTTTGCCTACATGGCTGGAGACCTCTGCACCACGAGCAGGTATGTGCGTAGTGAATGCGGCTGTCATCTTCTACAGTGTCCGAAAGACATAGACGTGTTGGAACTTTGAGAAGAGAGGATCTCATTGTCGACCGCTGTCGAGACACAACATTGTTTTCAACATTGCCGCGGCGACGAACCCCGAAGGCTTTCGATCCCGTCACATTTACCGAGGGTCTCTTCTTCCCACATCACGAGTCCACAGTACAATCTACTCCACAGCGATTGATGATATGGTACACGGATCTATGGTAGTGCCCCACTTTTGAGTTTCTCGCACACAGGTAAGCCCTTTGTTATTTCCTTCCCATATCCACTACTCGCCTACAACTATTTCCCAAGCAAGTCTCGGCTCCACAGATTTTCGCCATCACTGTATACTGCCAGACAAGGCCGCCACAATGAAAGAAGCGATCGTTCACCCAGGTCCTCGCGTCGAGATCATCGACTCGCCCATTCCGGAACCAGGCCCAGGTCAGGTAGTAATCAAGACCATCGTCTCCGGCTCCAACCCGAAGGACTGGAAAGTGCCCGAATGGATGGAAGATCAGCCCTCAATGAACCAAGGCGACGACATAGCCGGCACCATCCACGCCGTAGGCTCCAACGTCACCGAGTTCCGCAAAGGTGACCGTGTAGCAGCTTTCCACGAAATGACCAAGCCCGGAGGCAGTTATGCCGAGTATAGTCTTGCGTGGGCACACACGACTTTCTTCATTCCGGAGAAAACGAGTTTCGAGGAAGCTGCCGCCATCCCGTTGGCTGCTATGACTGCTGCGGTAGGATTGTTTGCTGGTGACAGGCTTGGCCTGCCTCCATCTTGGGCACCTGCCACCGAGCCTACGCCTTTGCTTGTTTACGGCGCGGCGTCCGCTGTGGGAGTATATGTGCTCCAGCTCGCGAAGAAGTCGAATATCCATCCTCTTATCTGCATCGCTGGACGAGCACAGGAGTATGTCGAGGGTTTTATCGATAGATCGAAGGGCGATACCATCATTGACTATCGCAAAGGCGATGAGGCGATTGTGAAAGGCGTGCAGGAGGCATTGGGTGGCAAGAAGCTGTACCATGCCTACGATGCCGTAGCTGAAAAAGGCTCACCGCAGAACATCGGCAAGCTTCTCGCTTCTCCTGGTGGGCGATCGACTTTCGTCCTGCCGCCACCAGGCAAGGGCTGGGATGGGAAGTTTGAGGGTCTGGCGGACGAGGTGCATCAGAGCATGACTATGGTCGGCAGCGTACATGACAATCAGAAGGAATTGGGCTATGTCTATTTCCGGTACTTCACTCGTGGGCTGGAGGAAGGCTGGTTCAAGGGGCAGAGGACAGAGGTCGTGCCGAAGGGCCTGGAGGGTGTGCAGGGTGCGCTAGAGAATCTGAAGGAGGGAAAGGCGAGTGCTGTCAAATATATCTTCAGGATTGCTGATACGCCTGGTATCGACGGCGGAAAGTAAGCTCGGGATCGTACTTCGCAGCGACGGTGTAGCGAGCTATGAACAATCGTCCTCAGTGCTACACCCCTACGCAAGTCGTGGCTTTGGCATCTCACTCAGCACAAAATAGTCACGTGATAATGCTCGGTACGTACTTTGTGGACTTTTTGCTCCAGTACGTACTTTGTGGGTATTTCGCTCCGTCCCTGCGTTCTTATGCCGTATCTCACCCATTGATCTGTTAATCTTGCTCAAGCACACAAATTCTAGGGAGAATGTCGTATGACGAGTCCAAGATGGTGTCCCCTAGGGCTGGGTTTTCCTACTATACATGGCCTGATCCTTTGGCAAGGCTGGGTGGCGCCACTGTGCAGCTCTGCACGGGCGACTTCGTGAGCCAGCGATAACCTTGTCGCGGGACTCTTGAAGGGCCACCACATAGTGTCAAGAGTACATTAGCCTGGATCTCCCTACTATTACACAAAGGAAGCCATGGTGTACACCACGACGATACTCAACACCCGCGCCGCCGAGATTCAAGCCGCCGACATCTTTCCCCCCGGCCACTGGAGACGCATAGCGGTACAAAGACTAGTCTGGCGAATTTGCTCTTCCTTGATATTGGGCTATGTGTTGGCATTCGGGCTATTCTTCAATCCTGCTCTCTCATTTTTGGTACTGCTACTATTGTACATCTACCGACGCCTTCCCGCCAATGGTCGCGTCCGTACCTTTGGCAGACTCGTAGTGGAAAAGCACCAGCTCGTGATCGGAAGAACGTTTCTGTGGTTCAACCGAAAAGCAACGAGGTTCTCATGGGACCTCTACCACACCATCGGGCGGAAAGAAGCGTTCAAACAAGACTACCTCGAGGCCTAGCGAGCACGAAGTGGTGGAACACGATGGCTGTATTTGGATTTCTAGGTCAAGCATCTTTATCAATGCCCATTCTGTTTGACCCACACGATAATACTATCGGCAACGATCGCGAGACGCTCAAGATGCTAGGGATGTGCTTGAGCTTGTTGCAAGTCGAGCGAGGCTTTACTGAGCTTCTGCTCCCACGTACTTTGACTCGAGTCGATCGTGTGCAGATACTTCCGGGGACGACGAATGCCATGGGTACCCGGGTGAACACTCTCAATCTTGGTCGAGGCGACAGCAACAACATTGCCGACCTCGAGCGACCAGATCGGCTTCCTGCCAACCAACGAACCCTTACGACGACCATTCTCCAGAATCCAGACACCATCGGTATCGAGTTCGTACGAGTCCGCGACACCTTCGCAGTCACGGCCATCAGTCTGTCGCCTTTCGTGGCTTCGATGCTATTCGTAGCGATATGGATGGGTCTCTTTATTGGCAAGTTCGGCGGGGACGTACAGTTGGTGACTCAGACTGCGTTCTCCGGCGCGGCGTATATCGTCACGGCAGGTGCGTCGGAAGTAAGAGCCGAACGCTAAGGGCGTACGCTAACATGCACAGGTGCTCTATTCATTGCGCTCTTCGCTTACCTGGATAGTCAGTCTAATTAAGGTCGCTGAATGCAATGGCAGAGCGTTGCAGTGGCTATTGAAGTCTTGATCTTGTCGTTTTGAGGACCACTGGCGAATCTGCTTGGGTCATGCTTGTCGTTCCAACTCAATCTTGCTGCCAAGAGTCAGCGATCTATCAGTATAGGATGCGTAATATATCTACGCTTATTCTCGTAAGTGTTGCCTCGCGGATCGCAGTAACGCAATCGGATACCAAATTGCAAGTCCAGAACCAGATTGACACATTGTATCTTGTTTGTATAAGATCAGCTACTCAGCACTCGTTCGCTCAGCCGGTGTAGACCTTGCCCGAAGAAGTGCCTGCACCTCCTGATGGCCCTCTTGAACCGCCGCCTCCATAGGACTTCCGAACTTCCCACCCCCCGAATTCACGGTAGCGCAACTGTCCAGTAGTCTTCGCACGACCGCAAGGTGCCCGCCACGACAAGCACCTTGTAACGCTGTGCCATAAAATCCTCCAACAACATTGGGATCCGCACCCATGTCCAGCAGCATTGTTACGATCTCCTCCTCTCCAGCATCTGCTGCGGCCGACAACGCAGTACCGTAGATTCCTCCTTGTGCGTGAATGTCAGCCCCGTGCTTAAGGAGCAAATTGACTGTGCTCTGATGTCCACCATCTGCCGCAGCCTGCAAAGCACTACCGAAGTACCCTACCGGAGATGTATTCACATCAGCACCGTGGTCGAGGAGCATGTGGACGATATCGATGTGTCCGCCTACACAGGCTCCCTGTAGCGCGGTGCCGAAACCGCCACCTTGGATGTTGACGTCGGCACCTGCGGCAATAAGATATCGGACCGCCGAGGCTTTGTTGCACACGGCGGCGGTTTGGAGTGCGTTGCAATAGGAACCACCTATCAAATTGATATCTGCACCATTAGCCAGCAGGAGTCGGACTAAGGCGAGATGGCCTCCGCCTGCGGCATTATTGAGAGCAGTGCCAAAGTGTCCGTTAATGGAGTTGATGTCAGCTCCTTTTTCGAGTAGTCCCTGTACTTCTTCCTTCATGCCATCGGATGCAGCCTTTTGGAGCGGGCCTTCTTCCTGTTGCTGGCTATCGGTATCATTGACCATGGTGGCGGTTTGCTTGGGAGTAGCTCAAGTGCCTGATACATGAAGCACGAGGAGAGTGGAGAGCTGTCGTATATGTCATATAGCTTAAGCCTATCTTGTTGGCTGTTGCCGCTCTAGTCGGTTGCAGTCGCTATGTGTGAATCCATGTATATCAGTTCCGCACGTGTAAGCTTGTTGCTCCGTGAAGATGGAAAGCCTGTGCATTGCCGGATTCTGATTGGTTGTCGGCGCATGAATACCGACATCACCACGCAGCAACACACACACACACACACACATCCCCGACCTCACTGCCATTGCAACCGCCTCCTACATCCCCATCACCAGCTCACCACGCTTTTGATAGCACCAGTATCCAGCGACGATGGAATCGCGATCGACGACCCCCGAAGGTGGCACGCGAGAACGACTGCCGAATCTGTTCGAGGTGCTGTCGCGGCGGACATTGGCGCCCGTCGACCTCTTCTCCTTTTACATTTACATGCGCGATGTGCAACGGAGTGTGGATTATCTGGATTTCTGGTGAGTCACATGATACAGAGACATGGGCATGGGCATGGGCATGGACATAGGCATGCGATGAAACCATTCGTGGGAAGAAAGATATGGCATGAGGGTTAGGTATAGGAGAGAATATTGGGCTGATGATGTACAATCTAACATCACAGGCTCGATGTCTCCCAACACATGTCGCTCTGCCGCCACTACGTCCGCGAACTGCGCCGAAGCGTCCTGATCTCCACGCCGGACCTCGAGAAAGGCGGCGCGGGCTCCAAACGCTCCTCGCAAGTGCTCGACAACTACAACCTCGAGCGCACCTCCTCGGACCAAGGCCCCAGCGGCACCCAACCCCAACCCCAACCCCGCCAAACCAGCAAAGAGCGCGAACGCCTCAGCACAGACCAACGCCTCTCCGCCTTCCTCCGCGACGACCGACCCACAGGCCACAGCCCGCAAAACAGCACCGCGAGCCAAAAATCCGAACAAAATACCCCGGGCTCCGAACAACCGCCCCGTCCCTCGTTCGTAACGGGCACAGGAACCAATACTCCCTCCCCGCTAAACAACAGCAACGGCAGCCCCCACCACACAGTAGCCCGGGCCGACATCCGCGCCTCCGCCGAGAAAATCCTCTACACCTACCTCCTCCCCGGCGCCGAACGCGAAATCATCCTCCCCCAAGGCATCCTCAACGAAATCACCACGGCAATCGAAAAAGAAGGCCGCGACGACCCAGAAGTCTTCGATGCAGCCAAAGACTACGTCTTCCAAGCCATGGAACGCGACGCCTTCCCCGGCTTTCTGCGCGCCAAAGCCCTAGGAAATATCGTGCAGCCCAGCCTACTCCTGCGTCTGATCGTGGGACTCGTGGCCATGTTTGCCGGGTTCTGGACGGCGTTTGTTCTGATTTTCTTGGGGAAAGGTAGGGTAACGCGGTGTTGGGTTATCTGGCCTTTTACGTTTGGGGTGTATTTCTTGGCGAGTCATCAGTATTTGCTTGATCCGATATTGGCGTTGGTGGGGTATAGTGAGTATACTATTGGGAGCGTGCATCGTATCAAGGAGCCGTTTATCAGGTGGGTTGGACCTTCTCTTATTTTCTCCACGTGAGGTTTTTGTTTCGGCAGCTGACGTTATTCGTAGGAAACTTCTCAATAAGCGGGCCATGATGTGTCTCGGCTGGATCTTCATCATCGATGTCGTGCTCTGCTGTATCTTCATCCTGGTGCCAAGTCATCGGCTATGAATACGCCATGCAGGCAGTACTGGAGACGGCAAAGGAGTCTGCAGTTTTCTTGATGTCGTTCGCGAAGGGGCAGCGCGAATCATGCTCGGTGCAGCTAGCGAGCCGTGGGATAATCTCGAAGCAGAGGTGGAGGCGATGTACCCGAATTTGCTTCACGATTTGCGCGGGTTCGCGGCGAGCAGACTGACATGGGAGACGGGAAATTAAGCAATCGGATGATTCTCTTGATGAGTTGATGTGGCTATCTACTTTGTGCGTCCCTTGGAGGAGGGGCGCTGATGAACTAATAATATTGATGCGTTCTCGTTCTGGTCACTTCTCACTCGTCCGGTACGGAGCACCGACAACCGCGCGGGTATTTGCTTACCCAGCCATCCGGTGGTTCGCTACTTATGCTCAGGTCCTCGTAGTCCTTCTCCACCTCATCATACACGCTCCATTGATACGGCTTGAGGACAGTCCAACGGAAAGATTCCGAGTGAAGGGTCACACGGGAACGGCAGCTAAACCGTGACATGACGATCGGACACACTCACGCTGGACCTGCGTACTATCGGTTAATTCGTCCTGCACAGCCCCGTGCTACATACGTACAGATCCCATCGAGCAAAACCGCAACATGACTACGATCCAGCCGGCCTCATCAGAACCTCCATCCGATGATTCCTCGGAAACAGATTAAAGCGATCGGTCATGACCATGCTCTCGCTCGTCACCGAAGGCGCCAGCCGCGCGCCACCAAAGTTCTGGAAGAACATGGCGGTCATGAGTCGGATCTCCATCATAGCCAGGTGATAGGCGGCGCACATGCGGGTGCCGGCGCTGAAGGGCTGGAAGCGGTCTTGGGAGATGGAATGGCTCTGTGCTGGGTCGAGCCAGCGCGTGTGGTCCCATCTGTGATACTGTGTCAAATCGGGTTGAGCAAGGATGTAGTAGTACGTTTCAAAGACTTACTTCAGTGGATCTGGCCAGGCGGCCGGGTTGCGATGTAAGGAGTATGCTTGCGTTGACACGGTGGTGCCTCGTGGGATGCGGTATTCGCTTAGCATCGTGCCCTCGAGCGTCACATCCTCTTTTCGTCGCATGGCAGTTGCATTACCACCCCACAAGCGAAGGCCTTCAAGGATGACGGCTCCCAAGATCGGCAGATTCTCCAATGCCTCGTCCGTGAGCTCTACGCCGGCCACTTCGTTCTCGACCTGTCTTTGCACGTCGGGCCGTTGCAACACACACCAAACGAGATATGTCAAAGTCACACTGACGGGCTCCGCACCCGCCAACCGGAACCCCAGCGCATCAGCCGCGATCTCATCGTCTGTCAAACGAGTCTTGCCGGAATTCTTAAGCACCTCATCATCCTTAGCATCCTCGATAGCTTCCGCAAACACCGTCCGTCCATCCTCCCCCTTCTCCTTCATCCTCAACTGCGCAATAGCTTCATCCTGCGATGGATTAAGACATACATCCGCCTTGAAGATGCGCTCCGCCCACGGCCAGAAACTTGATAGAACGAACCGTCCAAATAAGAAGATCGGGATGGAGAATTCCGACCAAGCAATCATCTGGTGGAATTCCAGCGGCGTGACGGGGTTCGTCTGCCCTCGTTTCCCTTGTTCCATCAGCCCGAACCCTTCCCCGAATGTCAGCGCGAACATGACGTCGTTGCCGAATAGCATGAACCATTCATGGACGTCGACCATGCCGCCTCCCCTGGACGCCGCATCAGCCTTCATGCCATCGACTGCAAGCTCAGCGGTCCGCACGATCGGTCCTTGCATCGTCCGTCGCAAACTCGCCTGGCTGAACGTCTTGGTGTAGAAGCGCTGTCGGATATTGTGGTGTTTTGGGTCCACGATCGCGAAGACGTTGGCCGTGATGTGGTCGGGTATGTGGCTCCATTTCCGCCACTTGGTGCCTACGGCATGGATTACCTTCCCGGCTGCTGGGTCGCAGGTCACGACCTCGTTGTGGGCGACTCGGACGTAGGGGCCATAGTGCTCGTGGAGTGCTTGGACGTAGTTGACTCGGTTACCGGCTAGGATGTGGAGTTTGAGGCCGAGACCGGTGTAGTGGGCGTACCAGGGGCCGGGGATCTTGCTTAGAGGCGAGAACCATGCTTGACGTATTCTCTGTAGTTCCGTCAGTGTTTATGTTTGGGCAAGCGCCTGCTGGATCTCGCGATACTCACATCGCAAGCGAAAGAAATGAGTAGGAAACCGACAAGTGTCGCAGCTGCTGTGCCGATATCGCCAAGTTGGTCTCTGGCGGGTTGAAGCACGTTCAAGACCGTTTTTGAGGTCCGCGTAAGCAACGAGGCTGTAGACATGGCCACTTAGCACTGAAGCTGACGTGAACAGAGAGCTGTGAAATGAGTAGACGAACGTACCTGCATGTCTGACATTGTTCCATAGTAGTGTAGGTATTATTGGATTGGAGACTCCGGCTTCCGAGTTGGGAGGTGATTTAAGTGTCGAAGGAGAGCTTCCGGCTTGACGTCCGAGCTGCATTCCATATATCGTGATCGACGGCGTCCGAACACCTCTCGCTGGTCACTATGCCGCCTGTTACGCCGTTCCACTTCGATCATGCAGCTCGTAGTGATCTCGGGTGCGATGGGCTAGGCATGTAGAGGATGACACTAGTGCATTTCAATGAGATAGAGATGATTGTATTGGTCCCTTCGCTGTACAACAAGTCAAGCTCACACTATGGACAAGGCACAGCAAGAATACGTGAAAACGCTAAAGGTCGGGCACGTCAGACCTAGCGAAGTTCCATGGCGTCGCCTTGGTCAATGTAGGTTTGAATTCTTGGTCTCACCGGCAATTGCTAATCTGGTTTGCAGATCTCTACCGTGTATTGGAAGATGGTAGCCAAACGCAGATGCGATTGTGTATGATTGAAAGCTTGATCCCGCCCCATAGCGATGGACCAGTCTTCCACTGGCATGAGATGCACGATGAAGGCTTCATTATCACCGTAAGGTTATCAGCGATTCCACCAGGGCCCACGTACTTACACTATGACTAGAAAGGCAAGATCAGGTTCCATGCGTTGGGTGCGGAGCCCATCGACGCTCAAGCGGGCGACATCATCACGGTAAGCATGATCGTTTGGGGACGGATACTCGCAAGGGTTGATGAGTCGAAAGGTACCAATCCGACTGCCGCACAAATTCAGCAACCCCTTCGACGAGGAAGGAGTGTTTATTAACACAATCACACCGGGCTTCTTTGTGCGGTATTTCGAGCATCTCGAGGGGTTGATCGGCGAGGGCAAGACGCTGACTCCTGAGGTGAATATGGCTGCGCTCAAGCGCTTCGCAACGATACCGGTGGATGAGGAAGCCGTTCACAAGTTGATTGCGCAGGCGAAAGCCAATGGCGGCCACGGCGAGGAAATAGATCTGTAGTTTGGTGGCGAGACCGTGAATTAGAAGATCAATAAGACGATACAGCCGTGAATACGCTCTGGTCTCCAGTGAGTCGTGCACTGCGGTCTGTAGCTGAAGTGCCGTCGTTGGCCAGCTTCGCACCTACGACAGATCCATTCTCGATGCCTTGAATTGTCAATCAGCAGCAATGATTCAGAGCAACCCAACTTTCAGCGTCCGACACCTATTATTGAACGATGCAGTGAATTGTAAAAGCGAGGGAATTGATCAACGCTATCGCGCCAATTGACGTAGCACAACACCTGCGGTGCGCGCGTATAAGTTCTATCGAGCTTCCCTCAGCAAGCGTTGAACCTCACCAAGTCGCTAGGTCCCAGTCAACACACATTAGAACGGTGATTATCGTCTATAGCCGCTGCTTCTCACTTCGCTTCACCCCAGAGTACCAGAACAGAGTGCCAATGGGAGGCAGAACCATTTCCTCACCATGCTGAATGTCCCACCCGCTCAAATCGACACCCTTTCCCATCGAGAACAGATTCGTCGTCTCTTCGACCGTCCGTCCACGAATGCACGACACGACGCCATCGAAGATGTAGTAAAAGGGGAACAAGGGGATGAGATAGGTGAATAGTAGATGGAATGGCGACCAGCGATACTCGATCCATGTCGTACTGAGCGCGCCGAACAACGATGCGAGCGCGGTGTATGTGATGGATGGTAATGTGCGATGAGTGATCTCGAAGATACTGTTGCAAAGGATCAGATTGTTGCTGCTACTCCCTGTAAAACTCAGGCTCACATGAATGCATCCGCCTCTTCGACGGCACTGCGTAGGATCTTGGCCGCAGCAGGGTCGTCGAAATGGTGGAAGCAGAGGTTGAAGATGCGACATTCTTTCTTGCCGGGTTCTGCAATCCGTTTTGCATCTGCTGCGTCGATCGACTGCGGTTTGAAGGTGATGTTCGGTTGTTCTGCTGATAGCTTTTTCCAAGCTTCCACGTATGGGGCCCAGTCTGTCAGAACAAAGCCGACTGGTGCATGCCCGCTGGCCTCTAGCTGCTTGTTGATGTACTTCTCGAAGAACGGTGTCGGTCCACCGGCTCCAGAGCACGCGTCTATAATCGTATACTTTGCTACATTGTCGATGCCACCCAGCACTCTTAGCAAGACGTTACAGGCCTGGATAGCGAGAGAGTTGCCATTGCTGGATTTGACTTGCCAGAGCCGAGCCAGGGAAGAATGGGCGTGATCTCGAAGCCAGTCAGGACACCAGGATGTGTCTTCGATCTCGGTCAGATGAAATCTTGGGAAGAGGACAGCCATATTGTTGATAGACGGTGAGGTGTGAGACAGAAGTCGCCGTAGTATGGCGAGATGAAGTCAGTGGTCGAGAGTATTAAGCAGTCCCACTCGGCAGGAACAGTCGCACATGCTCATGCAAATCTGACATTGAATATGTCGGCCGGCGTCCGAAAAGCTGCAGATTGTGGAGGAACGACATTTCATGTCCCGTAGCAGCGATTAGGCATGCCAAGCTGACGATTCCGCAAGCAGAACACTGAATTGAAATACGGAGTCACTCGGGCAGGATCTCAGTGTGCGAGTGCGTCAAGAACAGATCTCCTGACAACGATGGAGAAGTGTAGATGAGGCTACTGAAAGAGTTCATGCTGCCAAGCTTCATACAGAGTGAACTATCAATATTCGACCATCTGAACGACTCGCCGATTCTGACCGTCTCCTGAGCTATATACTGGTGCGAAATGGTCTGCTTGCGGCGTGAACGGTATGGGGGGCCGTCGCGCTTTGATGCCTTGCGCCACTGGAGGCACGACGAGTAGCTTCCACAGTCGCTCGTCCTGGAGAGCCTTGGTATCATCTTTATGCAACATGACCATAATCTCGATGATGTCTCTTTGCTCTTCATCAAAGCCTCCGCGTTTGCGTGGGAGTACGATCGCAGCACTATCGATTTGCATGAATGGCGGCCGGACGAAGGTAGGTTGACCCAAAACATTTCCGAAGGACATCTCGTACAGCCCGAATCCCGCCCAGCTGGTCATGCCTAGATCCCTCCCACTTGTGATCGACCATGCCGGAAACAACGCTGGAGAGCTTTCCGATCGTGTTGCAAGCGTATAGATTTCCGCCACATTCCTCGAGTTCAGCTTGTCTGGAGATAGTGTAGATGCGATGGCGTCACAGACATGGGCCAAGCGATACATAGATGTGTCGTCGGCCGTGATCAACGCAGTGGTAGGTAATGCGGTAGCGGTGTAGGTGTAAAAGTTTCCGAAATATGGATCTTCATCTGGAGAAAAGTCTGGATGGACCCTTCGTCGAGCATCCGATGGCATGCCAAGACGACTCTGCTGAGGTTGCGAGAAGGCTTCTGGACGTCGACGTTGGCGTGCTCGAGTCAGTGCTGTCCAGAGAATGGCACAAATGACCGTATTTGTGGTAGGTGGTACGGCTGTGTGTTCGCCGAGCCGGGCTTTCATTTTGTCCACCTGTGACAAGCTGATGGGCAGTATTGTGTTCGTACAGTGGCCGAAGTCTGGTTCAAATGGCATTGGCTGTGTCGCATACCCAGCATTGGAGCTCAAGAGCCTTTGGCGAGTAGATGACCATGTTCGGCCCATGTGCGGTTGTAGCGCGCTGCAAAGTCGCTGATTGCGATCCGATAGAGCAATGCTGGGTGCTCCTAGACCCGACAATACATTCGACCAGATGCGCAGAATCTCCGCGTACCCGCCGCCATCGACTACGCTGTGGTGAATGCAGACACATAGAATGACTCCATCGTTTGCATCAAAAGAGAGCAAACCAGCTGCCATTACAGGCGGCCCGCTGCGCTCGAGCATCTCGGAGATCCTACCGGGCATCGGCCACTGCCTTTCTTGAATGACGGCCGCTGGCATGCCATCTTGCTCGGCTTGACAAAAGGATCCAGGTAGTGTACCAAGGTCTACTATCGTGGGACAAGCTCCTTCCTCCCAAGAAACTTGCAGTCCAGGATTGCGATCCGACTCGTCCTTGGTAGGCACGACCCGACCTCCCAGCCAAGGAAGACTTTGGCATGTTCCGTTCAATGCTGTCTGTAGCTTTGGAAGCAATCGATCTGCTGAAGCAGTAGTCTTGAAGCTCAAGGCGATGCGTCCATAGAATCTAGGAGGTATAAGATCAAGCGGCGTGAGGTTGAACGAGTTTGTAGCTTGTTTGGTCGACTGTAAAGTCAGATTCCGCCCACGACTTCTCACGGAGCGTAGCCAACTGGATGGAATCGACGGCCTGCTGTATCTTGCTGCGAAAGACAGCAGCTGCAAACTACGCTGGCTTCCCATTTTAAGAGCCCTTGATACTTCACTGAAGCCGAGTAAGCTGGCGAGGAACGATTACACAGTGCAGCCATAAGCCCATGGTAGTAAATCATTTGATCGTCGTGTGCTGGTTGGTACCATGGAGTCGGCGTCCGAACAAACAGTGTTGGGGCCGATACCGACAAGCGGAAGATATCGTAACCTCACTAAGCTTTGCACACACTCTCGATACGCCCTTTCTTCTGGCTTTGGAATGAGCATAATTGACTATGAATCTGTCTTGTGGTCGATATATTTGCTGTATGAAGCGAGCAAAGTCTAATCAGTGCGCCGCAAGCTCGATGTCGAGTCACTGGAAAACCGTCTCGAGACCTGCTTATCTTCTTTCGCATCTCGGGCGCCGCCAATTCGCTCAGTCTCATGTTCCATCTAAGTGGCGGCCGTGTCCTCCACGGCCTTGACGCCACATGCAGAATCATGCATTTCCGCCTCTCTTTCCTGTTGATGCTTGATTTGAGTTGCTGCCGTCTCTTCCGCAGCCTCGACATCTCCCGCAGAATTGTCGGACACGGCCTCTCTTTCTTGTTGATGTCTGATCTGGATCTCTGCGCTTTCAGAAGCGCCTTCTGCATCTCCTGCGGCATTTGGTATATCCACATGGCCCCGATCCTTGTGGCCGTTTTCTTCAAGACGATGATCCACGGTGGAAAACTCAGCTGAAGGCTTCTGTGCCGGCTGCTCAGTTTTCACCGTGTTGCCGTACGTGTCGTGTCCTTTCATAGGCCTGAAACCATTGGTGAATACTGGGCTGGACTTGACCTTCTCCCAGTCATGCAACATCTTCCCATTCTCAAGCGAGCATTTCACTTCTTCGCTGCCTCGGATGATCAATTCTTCTTGGTAGGTGTCGACGGCTTGCTCGAGCGTTCTCTCGCCGCCAACCGTTTGCTTGATGCCAGCGATGAGGTTCGAGATATCACAGATACAATGGTTCAGACCTTGTCCACGGTCTGTGCGATTTATGTCAGCTCTGCTCGTGCCGCATAACGACAGGGCGACCTACATGGTGGCATAGCATGAGCGGCATCTCCTACAAGCGTTAGCCGACCTTTGCGAGAATTCCAGGGCTTCGTGATCCAGTAGCTAATGTCTGCACGGTGTACTAAAGTGTCTTCTGGAATCCAAGCAAAAGCGGAGCGAGCTGGTTCCTCCAGCGTGGCAGCCTTCTCTTTGATCATGGCCAGTCGTTCCGGGTAAGACAGCGAGTGGTCAGGGTTGCCGTTCCAAGCCATTGCTAAGTGGAACATCCAGCTTTCGGGATGATCTGGGCCGTCTGGCATACTCGATACTGGCGAAGATTAGTAGTCGCTCGTCACAGGGCTTTCGCTCATCTGCTCACTGGACTGAAAAGCATGGAACGAGCGATCGCTTAGCGCCAAATAAGATGTTGGGAAGCGCTGACGAAGATATCGTGCTTTGTCTGCATCCCGATAACAGACGGTCAAGTTATGATGCCAGATCGGAAACGCTTCGACCGCGGCAGCTTCGACAGACCCCATGGCGAACTCGCGCACTCGAGATCTCGGACCGTCAGTACCTACCAGCATGGAGCCGTGCACTGAGCTGCCATCGTCAAAAAACGCTGTGACCCCGTTGCCGCTCTCGTTGAAAGCCATATCAATGAGAGTCCTACCATACTAAGCAAGCTCAATCAGTAGTGATATATTGAGACAGAATCTTGATAGCCATACCTGGACTTCTATGCCTCCAGCACAAAGAGCTCGCATTTTGCTCCGCGGTACTCGTAGCCCTTTCTTGTACGGCACGCCAGCCAACATACGTCCAGTCTCACCATGAATGATGGGATAGTCACCGCCGGCTGCGATGGGCACGTCCGGATTACAGGACGCTCTCTCCATGTCTGCATAGATGCTGGATGGCAAGATAACCTCTAATCGATCGAGTGACCAGTGTATGGCCATGGTCCATTCGTTGCTGCGAACATTAAGGTTCACATCACGTTCGAAGATGGTGTACTTGACGCCAATCTATCCTCACGTTATTAAGTGCAGATGGTAGAGGTTTGGAGGATCTACCTTCTTCAAGCTCTGTGCTAGAATAAGCCCAGAGATACCTGATCACAATTAGCTGAAGATCAGACTTATTGTGGCACATTCGTTCAATACCGGCACCTATGATCAGTACGTGTGTCTCGCTCATGGTTGCTGTCTACACTAAGGAGACTTGGTCGTAGCAGATCACTAACAAATCACTATCGCCATCACTTAAGATCGAACGCGCTGCCACAACATAGACGCTCCGTAAGAAGCCGGATGCCGGACCTGTCAGCCCGCTTTAGGGTGCCTTGTTGGCCTCACGACCTTCCATATTTGCCCGCCTACTGTCGGCATCCGTACTCCAGTGAAGCGAAGGCACAGTAAAACTGCGACACATGGCATACACACCTTTTCGTCCCCCGAGACGGACCCACATTAGTCGTAGGGGCCCAGTGGCTTGTTTGGTCGATGGTACATCTTGTTCTCCTGGAAATAGAGCTGGACGTCTCTGCTCACTACCTTGATTCTCTTCAACATTGGCCATCCAGACCTTTTTCAACAACGATGGATGATCTCATCCAGTCACAGCCTTTCATGCCTCCCATAGCGAACGGCAGCGCATTCCAGGACCTCTTCGTCTTTGGTGACTCGACTGCAATCTTCCAGTCCGACTTAGTCAGCCTTCTGCATGTCAAGTCGAATGCTTCATTGCAGTCGTTCTTCGATCATGTGGCAGCTGCGTTACGCAGAGAAGTTGCGGCTCTGCCGGCAGCTAAGCGAGTCCTGTTCAAGAGCTTCACGACCCTCGTGGAACTTGTGGATCGAGTTGACGAGATGGGAGGTGCGCCAGTGATGCACTTCACTCTATTATGCGTCCATCAGCTGGGAAGGTGGATCATGTAAGCCGTCGTGTACCTCTGCCAGTAGATCTCTGGCTAATGATGACCTCAGTAATTGTACGGGCACTTCCGATGTATATCCTCGTCCAGATAGGGCACATATCGTAGGCCTCTGTACGGGAGGTTTCGCTGCAGCAGTTGTTGCCACATCGGGATCTCTCTTAGACCTCATTGAAGAAGGCACCATAGCCGTCAGGGTTGCTTTTAGGACCGCGCTCAGATCGATGGGCGCCGGGACCGACGTAGAGTCCACCAACGAACCTTCACGATCCTGGTCGATGGCTTTGCATGGGTCGGAGTCAGAGGCAACAAAGCTGGTGGCCAGCTTCAACGAGAGCCGAGTAAGTCACACAGCTTCCTGAGACGCTAGGACTACACTGACAGTCATAGCGAGCGCCCGTATCAGCAAATGTCTACATTAGTGCTTGTGCACCAACCAATGTCACCATTAGTGGGCCTCCAAGCGCTTTGCGAGAGTTCGTAGAGAAGCAAGGCCTGAAGACACATCCATTGTCCATCAACACGCCTTTCCACGCACCACATCTGTTCGACTCTGCAGATATCGACGCGATCATGCAGGATGTTTGTACCACATCGGGTCAGCTCAAGCAACGTATTGCGCTAATAGCGTCTGATACTGGCGCTCGTGTGGTGGGAGAAGACCTCGCGCAGCTGCTTAGACGAGCCGTTGATGGCGCATTGCGTGCACGGATCGACTGGAATGCGATTTTGTCATCGTCCACAAACTGCCTCGCCGGACCACAACAGACGCGCATAAGGGTATGGCCGATTGCCAGTGGAGCGTCGGCTTTGCTCATCACGGCTCTAGGATCAAGTGCTGTCTCAGACGAGAGGATGAACAGAAAATTAGTTCCGGACGTCCAATCGGGGCCGAGCCACCGCTTTGGGGATTCGAAGATTGCGATCGTTGGCTACTCCGGCCGCTTCCCAGATGCGGCGTCGAATGATGAGTTCTGGGCCATGCTTCAGGCCGGGAAGGACACGCATCGTACCATCCCCACCGATCGCTTTGACTGGAAAGCTCATTACGATCCTGCTGGCAAGGAGAAGAACAAAAGTCGTGTCAAGTATGGCTGCTGGATTGATGAACCGGTCAGTTGTCAAGCCATAGCATACCTTGACGTGAGATGATTAAACTGATGTCGAGACAGGGCCTCTTCGACGCCAAGTTCTTCAACATGTCGCCGCGAGAGGCTGAAAACACGGATCCCTCTCAGCGCCTGGCTATCATGACCGCATATGAAGCCCTTGAGATGGCAGGTTTCGTTCCGGATCGCACACCCTCATCTCAGCGAGATCGCGTGGGTGTGTTTTATGGTACGACCTCCGACGATTGGCGAGAGGTATGTGGGACTCAGACTGTGAAATGCCAGCCGCCAACTCGCTGACGCGTGATTTCAGGTGAACTCTGGTCAAGATGTCGACACATACTTTATTCCTGGAGGGAATCGTGCCTTTGTGCCAGGTCGCATCAGGTTCGTCATCTGATGTTTTCGTCTGGGCTTGGCAAAATCTCGTTCCGAGAACGAGCCGATCGACGCGTCCTGCTTACTTTCAATGGAGCTTCTCACGACTTCACCATCCTTGTTACCCAGACATCATGTCAAAATTCATATATCAACGTCCATTCTCGATGGCGCTGCTAACGCGATCTACTGCAGCTACTTCTTTCGCTTCTCCGGACCTGCCATCAGTGTCGACACTGCTTGCTCTTCCAGCTTTGCGGCTATCAACAGTGCTTGTAGCTGGCTATGGCGCGGCGACTGCGACACTGCGATAGCAGGTGGGACCAATGTTCTGACGAGCCCGGATAACTTTGTTGGACTAGACCGTGGCCATTTTCTTTCGACCACGGGCAACTGTAATCCGTTTGACGATGACGCCAGCGGCTACTGTCGAGCTGATGGCGTCGGATCAATCATTCTCAAGAGGTTGGAGGACGCAATTGCTGACCATGACCCGATATTCGGCGTGATTGCCGGTGCTAGTACCAATCATTGCGGTCAGACTGTCTCCATCACAAGGCCCCACGAAGGTGACCAGCTGGCCTTGTTCAAACGCATTCTGCGGAACTCCAACACGAGGCCTGAGGATGTCTCTTATGTTGAAATGCACGGTACAGGGTACTCACGACTCCAGTGATCTCACAGTATGGTATACAAGGCTGACTATGTCTAGCACGCAAGCTGGTGATGCTGCGGAAATGCACTCGGTTCTGAAGGCATTTGTCCCTGATGGAAGTCGTCCCACTTCTCACCCACTCAGTCTCGGCGCCGTCAAGGCGAACATAGGTCACAGCGAGTCAGCATCTGGAGTCTCGGCTCTGATCAAGGTCCTGAAAATGATGCAACACAGTCAGATCCCACCCCATGTAGGCATCAAATCAAAGATCAACCACAACTATCCTCTCGATCTGGCAGAACGTAATGTGCGCATACATCTCCAAACAGCGCCTTGGAGACGATCAGACTGCCTGACTGGACGGAGAATGTGTTTCTTGAACAACTTCAGTGCCGCAGGCGGCAACACAGCACTCCTGGTCGAAGATAGTCCTCTGGTTCCGATAGAATCTATCATCGAGGACAGCCGAGGTATCTACCCTGTTGCTCTAACGGCCAGAAGCGCGACGTCGCTGCGACGAAATATGGAGACGTTGATCGAGCACATCAAGAGCCAACCTGACATACCTTTGGCCGCTCTTTCGTACACTACAACCGCACGGAGGTCTCACCACAGGTTTCGCCACATGTTTGCTGTTCCGAATTTGGAGTCTCTGGTGGCTGACATGAGCGCTCAATTGGATCAGTCAGAGGTCAAGGCCATTCCTGCCAAGTCTGTCAAGGTCCTGTGGGCATTCTCCGGACAAGGAGTCTCATGTATTGGCGCCGGAAGGCATCTCTTCGAAACGTACACTACTTTCCGTCACGATCTCTCTTTGTTCGAGCGCATGGCGAGACAACAAGGGTTTCCTGGGTTCTTAGGATTCGTCCTGGACGAAATGCCCACCTCGAAGGCAGACACGACCGACCCGGTTGTCTCCCATCTGGCCCATGTCTGCTTACAAATGGCCATGGCAAAGCTATGGACCTCGTGGTCCGTACATCCTGCTGCTGTCGTGGGCCATAGCCTGGGTGAGTACGCAGCTTTATACGCAGCTGGCGTATTGACTTCGAGCGCTGTCATCTACCTGGTCGCGAGCCGAGCACGCCTGTTGTCGGAACACTGTCCCAGTGGTACGCACTCTATGCTTGCCGTGAAGGCCAGCGTCGAGTCAATTCATGGGCATTTGGCGGGTAGCGGCTGCGATGTTGCTTGCATTAACTCGCCTAGAGCGACTGTGGTCAGTGGACTCAAGCAAGAAATTAATCAACTCCGCCACTGTTTGGAGTCTCAAGGCATGGCTACTCAGGAACTGGATCTACCGTATGCTTTTCACTCTCCACAAGTCGACCCTATACTTGCAGAGATGGTCAAGGTCGCTTCCGATGTCACATTCGAAGCGCCAAAGATTCCTTACATATCCCCGTTACTCGGTCGAGTCGTCACGGAGAATGATGTGCTGGGTCCACGATATCTCACCGAGGCATGCCGTGGAGTCGTCAACCTGCAGGATGCTCTAATGGACGCAACGCGATGCAAAGTTGTGGGACCTGATTCTGCTTTCGTAGAGATTGGCAGCCACCCGATATGCTCCAACATGATCAAGGACACTCTTGGCCCTCAATACAACCCTGTTGCTTGTATGCGAAGGGGTACCGATGGTCAAAAGACCCTTCTTGAAGCTGTGAAAGCATTGTACTTGCGTGGTATCGCGATAGACTGGAACGAGGTTCACCGAGACTTCCCGGGCTGCCATAGAGTCCTCGACCTACCATCTTACCAGTGGGAGCTCAAGAACTACTGGATACAGTACCGCAACAACTTCTGCGTGACCAAAGGTGATCCTCCTCAGATGCTACCTGGCCCTGCACCAGTGGCAAAACTGGATGAAGCACTTTCCGCTTCTGTTCATCGCGTCATACGGACGGACACTACGGCAGATGGATTGGGTCTCGTGACAGAGTCTGACATCCATGACCCACGTCTTGCTCCAATCCTTGAAGGACACCGTGTAAATGGTTGCAGGCTTTGTCCTTCTTCGTTATACGTCGACATGACCATGACGATCGTCCGGCACATGTTGAGCTCGTCAGGCAGGTCGTTGCAAGGAAGGGGTCTGGACTGCATCGACATGAAGGTCGAGAAGCCGTTGGTTGCGAGGGCCGACGTTGCTGCGCAATTGCTACACGTCTCGGCTGTAGCCGACTCGAAGCTGGCTGAAGTGAAGTTCGACATATACAGCGTGGACGCGCAACATCAACGCCTAGCGGACCATGCCACGTGTAAGGTCGTCATCTCCAACGACCAAGAATGGGCAAAGGACTGGAAGCGCAGCCACTACCTCATACAAGGCCGTGTCGATGCCCTTCGGCAGGCGGTCCACGATGGTACAGCGCACAAGCTCAAGAGAGGTCTTGCCTATAGACTCTTCTCTTCATTCGTCGAGTATGGTCATGAATATCAAGGTATGGAGCATGTTATCTTTGACAGCGAAAAGCTTGAAGCTACTGCGCAAGTAAGGTTCGCAGTCCATGACAACGGCTTCTATCAGAGCCCTTGCTGGATCGATAGCGTCGGACATATCGCTGGCTTCATTATGAATTGCAACGATGGCACTGAGTCCAAAGGTCAGGCGTTCATCAACCATGGCTGGGAGTCTGTTCGCTTTGCGAGAGAACTTGAATATGGGAAGACATATACGACGTATAACCGCATGCAGTCCGTCAACGGGGCATTGTATGCCGGTGACACCTACATCATCGATGGAGAGGCCATTATGGGCATCGTGCAAGGCGTGAAGGTAAGCACTGTGCAAGATGGTTTTAGCACACGACCCACTCTGACCTCGACATAGTTCCAAGGCGTACCTCGACGCATGATCGACATGGTACTGCCCAAGGATAACAAACATAGCACCCTTGCGCCGTCCAGGACTTCACGGGAGAGCAGCACGGTGACGATGACGACTCTGGATGCCGGTCCAACACGCAAGGTTCAAGTAGCATCTGCCGCCCAGCTTGGAAGCCCTACAGCCGCCAAGATACCCGTCGCTTCGAAAACGTCCGATGTTGCGACCAAATTACTCGACGTCGTCGCACAAGAGACTGGCATCAATGCAGCCGATCTGGATATTGCGGTCGATCTCGCTAGCTTGGGCATAGACTCCTTACTTACGTTGACAATAAGTGGTAGAGTTAAAGACGAACTTGGCGTAAGCCTTGACATGACGGAAGACACCACACTGAAGGACTTGCTTGCGTCCGTCAGCAGCACAGGAGCCACAACACCCGCTTCAAGCATCGGAGCAAGGTCATCGTCAGCGGAAAGTCATGACAGTACTGATACCTCTCCGAGCTCCATCGAGGACGATGAAGACGACACGGACGTTCTGCAGGTAGTGCGCGCGGTCATCGCGCGAGAGACAGGTTTGCCACTGGAGGATCTCCGGCCAGAAACGAGCCTTGACGAATTGGGAGTGGACTCACTCTTGGCCCTCACTATGATCAGCGCGCTCTCTGAGACTCTTGGAAAGTCGCTACCTCCCACCATATTCGCAGACAGCGAGACAATTTGGGACGTCGAAAACATCCTTGGCATGAATGGTTATATTACGCAGACGCCCAGGCCTGGCAATCAGAACGCTTCAGGCCACCCTACAGCGTCTTCGAGCACCACTCGTGTCGAGGTCTCACAGCTGTTGGTTCTGCAGCCGCCGCATGCGACATCAGTTTGTCTTCAAGGCAACGCGAAGACGGCAACTACCACGATTTTCCTCTTTCCGGACGGTGCAGGCTCGGCCATCTCGTACGCCCAGCTTCCAGACGTGTCGCCAAAAGCCGTAGTATATGGTCTGAACTGCCCATGGATGCGCGCTCCGGAAGGGCTGACCTGTTCTCTGGAAGACTATGTTGCCAAATTCCTGGTCGAGGTGCGCCGCAGACAGCCGACTGGACCATATTTCTTCGGAGGATGGTCTGCGGGCGGTATACTCGCCTACGAAGCTGCTCAGCAATTGGCCAGAGTGGGTGAGACGATAAGTCGTCTCGTCCTGCTCGATTCACCGGACCCAGTCGGCCTACAGAATCCCCCGCCGAGACTCTACGACTTCTTGGAAGCCCAAGACATGTTCGGCATGGAGGGCAAGTCTGCACCGAAGTGGCTACGTCCTCACATGACCGCATTCATTCACATGCTTGACCGGTACACAATCAGAGCATTTAACGACGTCGCTCCTAGCACCTGGCTCATATATGCCCGCGATGGCTTATGCAAACCCGGCGCACCTCGACCTGCTACCCGACCTGATGACCCTCGCGAGATGCTCTGGCTGATCAATGAACGGACAGACTTCACTGGTGGCGGCTGGAGCTTGCTTATTGGGCAGAAACGCCTGAGAGTCAACGTTGTCGATGACGCTAACCACTACACGATCATGTCCGCTCCTCAGGCTGTCGCTCAGTTGAGTACGTTCATTGCCCAGGCATGCCTGTGAGGTCGCAACGTCTCTCACGACTACTCTCGCTCATATCTGATTTAATACATTGGAGGTGATCTCACACGCAGCGTTGCAGCCGATGGAAGCTGAAATGTAAGCACTTCCTGACCATGTTTGGATTGTCGATATAGTATACTGGCGCTAGCCCAGGAGAAATTAATTATGGAGAAATTTGTTGTCCACGAGCAAAGTACAATACCACAGGACCGAATCCTGTCTTGATGGCAATGCTCGTTTTCTCAGAAGCTACAGCTGTTGGCTTCTCCCTACCCGGGAGAAGGCGAATAACGAGTATGACTTTTCGGCCTGCATGGCTTGGCCTTCCTTCGAATGCGCGACAGGTAATACGTCAGTCTCATGTGGCGAAGAACGCCAAAAGAGCAGATGGTGTACTTTCCGGCACGCGAGTAAGCGTGCAGGTATGAGAGGCTGGAGGCATAGCTCGCTTTTGCACGAAAGCGGCACAGCAGCTAACACCCACGCTTTGGCTGGCACAAGCCAAAGCCGGACCCCGCGGACCGAGTAAAGCCAACGGCATGGCTGGCTTTTGACGAGCATCACGAACCAGACATATAAGGGAAGTCTGAACATTGCGCTATCATTCTAAAGGATATGTTTCGACGATTCTTAACCAAATCTTTCTCTACCAAAGCTACAACACAATTCTCGCTGGCACGGTCGTTCTCCGCCATGGCGTCCTCAAACCACATCAGCAAAGTCGCAATCGTTGGCGTGCGTCCATTCATACTAATCAGCTACTCTTCTACGATGCTGACATATCAGGTAGGCAGGTGGCAACGTGGGCCGCTACATGACCGAGGCGTTGTTGAAGACTGGAAAGCACACTGTCACGGCGATCACTAGATCTGACAGCCAAAGCAAGCTACCTGAAGGTGTCCAGAGACAAGATGTCGATTACGAGAAGCCAGAGAGCATTGTCGACGCTCTTCGCGGACAGGATGCGCTGGTCATTACGATTAGTGGCCGTGCTCCTATCAAAGAAATCGAAGAGAAGCTTGTACGTGCAGCAGCAGAGGCTGAAGTCCCGTGGATGTAAGTGCGCAGTTCTGCATCTATTTTCGAGACGATGAACTAATGTTGATACCAACCATAGCCTGCCCAACGAATGGTCACCAGATTCGGCAAACGAGGGAATTGTTAAAGATGTCTTCTTGTTCGGCATGAAAGGAAAATCAGACGATTCGACTTGCATCTGACGGAGCTAACGTCTTTATCAGTCGCCACACGAAAGCTGATCGAAGAGATTGGCAAGAGCTCCTACGTTGCCGTCTCGTCGGGTTTCTGGTACGAGTACAGCCTGGCCATGCCCGCCAACTATGGCATCGACTTCGACAAGCGCCACTGCAACATGTACGATGATGGCAAGACGGCAATCTCAACGTCTACCTGGCCACAGGTTGGCCGTGCGGTCGCATCCATTCTCAGTCTGCCCATCAAGGCCGAAGCTGGTGGGAAGGACTCCAGCGCCACGCTCGAGAGCCTTCGAAACAAGGTCATCTACATCAACTCCTTCACCGTCAGCCAACAAGATATGCTGGAGTCGGCGCAGCGTGTGACTGGCACTAAGCCAGAGGACTGGTCGGTTGAGAAGTATGACTCTCGCGAGCGTTTCTCCGTTGCCATGAAGTTTTTCAAGGAAGGCAAATTCAAGACCGAAGGTTTCACCAACTTCTTATACTCACGTATCTTCTTCCCGGATGGATGTGGTGATACTGAACACAACAAAGGCACCGTCAATGCCTTGCTGGGTCTCCCGAAAGAAGACCTGGACGAAGCTACTCGCATTGCTATGGAGCGCCAACGATCTCAAGGTGCCAATGGCGGGCATTAGTTGTTGGGTCCGAGACGGATGAGTGGACCATCCCACACATACACGCCGGCTAAAAGGGTAGGCATTTAGCTCCACATATCAATCCACGAATCAAAAATGTTCGGTGACTGTATACTATTCGTCCAGTCTGCTGAGCTTACAGTAACCCATCCAGCTGCTGAGGAATGCAGGGTCTATCGCCTCAATGTTGGTTGGAAGTATAGATACGGCTCGTTCGCGATGATGTTCACGATGCAGGGATCTCGGCTGTTCAGCTTAAATGCCACCGGCGCGATCACCGCCCGCCTAGAAGAAGGTTGCATGTATGTGCCTCTGCCGTATCGCGTAATTCCCGCATAAGGCTTATACCGTGCTCGCGGCCCGGCCGCCGAGTCCGCTGCCCGAAAGATTATAACAGCCACTTCGGCACCCGTGCTGGGGGTGGGCAGTCCGCATGCGCGAGGCCGTTTTCTGCCTTCCTCAACCAACAGTCGAAGGATTCGTGATGCAGTAGTACGTGCGTCTCACCATCTGCTTCCTCGCGCCGTCTCGCCAGATCTCGAAACGACTACATTATTCTTGCATCATCATGATCTGACGATACTTCAGAGATGCGCCAGACTCGACAAGGGAATCGAATCTGCCCGGGGAGCTGTTAAGTTGTACCGAGCTCGTACGTTATACATGCTGGATGAGTTACCAAAGGATCCTCAAGTGCGATTTCAGCTTTCCTCTGGTTCACGCCCCGGTCATTGCTGCAACCAGACCATCGTACGGCGAGCTTAGGGCATATCTCTCGGACGCCAAGAGCAGATCTCTCGTAGTCAGATCTCCAGGATTATGAACACAGTAAGCGATCGTCTGCCTCAGCCAGCTTACACGTACTCGATTCCTGCACGACTGCTCACCATCCCTGGCGAGCTCGAGCTTAGGTGCTTCGACCCACCGTCCAGTCCCATAGCTCCGCCCGCGAATGAAAACAGGGCTCCTGCTAACACGTGGCGGCTACATGTTCCTGATTGCAATGGGATTTCGACTGCAACTGATCACAGATCACTTGGAGATGATGCCAGGCCACTGAACTCATGCATATGCGCCAAATCGCGACCAGCAGAACGGACAGGGCGTAGACGACTCACAGTAGTGATCACCGGCGCGAGCAAATCAAACCGGCCCTTTGGTGGGTCCACACTCTGTACCGCGAACTCAGCTCTGCTCAAGAATGTCAGCAGTCCAATGTAGATCAAGACTCCGCCCCTTTTAGGTTGGGCCGGAGACTGGGCTCAACGTCTTGCCAAAGAAGAAAAGCAATTTACAATGTATAGTGGTAGTGCAAAGTCTAGAGCTTCACCAGCGCCATCCCAGTAGCCATTCATCCCCTAAGCCCGTCACCAATGTGTGCTAGGTCTGGTACATACTCACAAAGCATCGTGATGTTGTTTGCACTTCTGTTCTGTGGTTCCGTTGTCGAGGTTGCTTCTGCGAAGTCTCGAGTGCGGTGGCTTTACTCTTGTCCAAACGAGTAAAGCAGCGGATCGGAAGAGTGGTCGGCATTCTCTGAATTCCCACGGCCAGCTCGATTCTCGTCTCTCCCATCAGGTGTCCGTCCTTCCTGGACAGTCCGTCGTCGCTTCCGCTCGTTAGTTCCCATCGGGCAATGCTGGCCGTAGGTTGTCGGCGTGCGTACCAAGCTCTCGAATGAATCCTGTTCCGCGTTGGGGTCGTTAGAGAACTGCATGAAGTCTGTCATCGTACCGCCGTTGGTCATGTCGTTCCAGTCGCCCCAGACCGGATCTTCCAGACTGATTGGCGTTGGCCATGTCGCTAAGGGGGCTAGGTCTGTGTTCATCGGCTCTGAATGTGCTGCCGCAGTGGTTGGCGCCACCATAGGGGCTGGAGGTGGTACATGAAGTTGATGTGATATTGCAGGAGAGAGGCTTGGCGGTGATTGAGACTGATGTTGTTGGACACAGCGGATGTCGAGGATCCTGATCACAGCACCGAATACCAGTCCCAGTGTGTGTCTATAGCTGCCCGTTGGCAGCATCGATGAATCTGCCCGGTAGTAAGCAGAGACTTGGCGGAGCAGGGCCATGACATTGTCTCCATCTGGAACAGTGTCATCAACAATGCCCAGTAGAAGTCTGTTCGCTAGCAACATAAAGGCAGATGCAGGAAACGTGTCGAGCATAATCAGTTCTCGCACAGTATTATGTGGTCGTTGGGTGTTTGCTTGGTCGACGGGAGTGATGTCGGCTTGATCATCGACGTCGGCGACAGACATTGGATAGGCAGCCCGATCGTTACCTACGATCCGCTCGTATTGCTGCTTGTGCTTGGTCGTATCCGAGCCTTGGACGAGTAACAGAACAAGACAGCTTAGTCGTGCGTCCGAGCATGCGACCTTGATCTGTGATGGGACACGGCTTTCCGCAAATGCTGCAATTCGTGTTGCAAAAGCCTCTAGCTGTAGTAAGGCAGCGTCCGGATCGTTGGCCTTTAGCTTGTAAATGTCGTAGACTCGAGCCAATTCCATTAGATCTTGCTGCACTTTGCCGATAAGGCCTCGAGTGCGCGGAGACATGCTTGGAATCGTCTCGCCAGACCTCAAGATTCTGTACAAAGGATCCTGCACACGCGCCAACGCGATGCGGCCTGCCTGAGAGGCCAAGAACGGTGTGTCCTCGCCACTACTTGCGGGAACGTCGAAGTAAGGCAGGCAAGGTGCGTCGCCTCGGCCGATAGCGCATGCACGGTCTCGAACATACAGCGAACGGCAGACTAGCCAACGCTCATGGCACAGCTGGGCATTGTCGTTTGGATTTCGGGCATGTGGTTTGTGGAGTCCCATCGCTTTTGCGAGTGTGCAGGCCTGTGCGAACAATAGGTCCGACTTGGCCTTGGAGTCTTGCTGTTGAGTGAGTGCACTCTGCAGCAGTCAGTACAGTGCAGAGACTGATGATAGATATGGCATAAAACATACCAGTAAGATCAATGCTTGTACATTGACCAGCCGTGGAGCCGTGATCAAGCGAGCGTTGATGAGCGTTGCGGTGCTCGGCAGAAGGAGAGCATTCATCAAGCCTTGCATAAGATGGATCTTGCTTGCCTCCAGCAGGTCGGCACCAAGTCCTAGTAGGACGATGGCGTTGTAGATGATCGACCAAGTCTCGTCATCTTCGCCCGGATCACCAGCAGGTGGATTGTAAATCCTGTCAATGTGCGAAGTTAGGTGTGCTGGGACGAAAACATCTACAACAAGATCAGTGCGGTTGCAGAATTGATCGATGGCGCGGACTAGTTGATGTCGCTGTGGTAGGCTTATATCCGGGATGCGTCGGGGCACATACAGGTCCTCGGTCGTCAAGTAGCCATGCATCTGTGCCAACAAGTCATTGATTCCATCTGTCGCAGTGGCATCAACACCAATGGCCGTCCAGTCTATCGAGTACGCCCCTTGACGGAAATTCTCACAAAGCTGTTCCAGGCATAGTGGGCCGCGATAGTCATCTGAATGACCTTCGTCCCAGTGTATCAAGTGATCCTCATCGTCTGGGGCGTATGATGCAACATCGAGCGAATCATGCCTGGAAGATGCCCTTGTGGTGCTAAAATGGAGCACGAGTTGCTCCAGTTGTCCCTCAATGCTGACCAGACGCTCTTCCAGGCCACCGAAATTGTTGCATCTGAGACAGTATCAGCTGCTGTGTTCCTTTCGTTTGGCCTGTCAATGACGACGTCGACTCATTGTGTCGGTTCTTGGGTGTATAAAGGCGGGCAGGGAAATAAACTACGAGTGTGCAAGGGAGCGGGTCCACTGACAGCAACTTGACGTGATTGACTCTCTTGCCCGGTAGCTCGTAGCCGCAGTCTACGCCGTCTCGTACACAGTTGCAGCACTTGGGTCGATCTCTATCACATTTGATCTTGCGCTCTCGACAGTGCTTGCAAGCCACGTCCGCCGAGCTGCCCTGGGCCTGTGCGTGTCAGTTCTATCCTCATCCCTCTGGCTTGGTAAGAGGCCTGGGAACCTTACACTCTTCGCTGAAGGAGGCATTGGGATGCGGACGTATGCCGAGAGGCCGAGCAGAGCAAGTGAAGGTGTCAAATTCAAGGCGGAGATTCAGGACAATGCTAAGCACGGCAGCACCAGCCCAAGTGTGCTCGCCGGGTGATTTCCTATGTATACTCTCATCCTGCCACGCCTACATCCTACCTGAAGAGGATGGTCGGCAGTACGGTTTGTCTCAAGCGCTAGGGATGCTCCAATGACAGCTCAGGCATGGGTGGAAGGGCTTTCGAAGGATTTCGCTACTCCAAAGCCAACAAAGACGATCATCGACGCGCTCGAGTGATGCCAAAACGTGTTGTCTATGGAAGCGAGTGTCCGTCAGCCTGGCGCATGTCACCAAGGTTGCCTGCATACAGTGGTAGTGGGTCCCGCCTCGATGTGGCGAGAGATTTGCAGCGACATGAGGCCCCGTAAGCACGCGGCTGTGATACGGACGGCATGGGTAGTGCTGTCTTCGTGTTTGCGTGGGATGTTGAGAGTGCTCTGGAGTTCGGCTTCCGAGCTGCGAGCTGGAGATGCTACGCGGGCCTACCTATTCAGGCCTAATGGTATCGATGTTGGTAATTTGCCGGCACTGCAGGATCTGGTTGACACACTGAAGTGGACCTTCCCACGGCCGCAGATGTGACCGGCATCATGGGCCCGCTTGGCGACGCGCCGCGGACCGTTCCTCTGAGTCGGGAACGAGCTGACTGTGGACGACAACGTTTCCCAATCTTCTGGAGCTGTACGCCCACTTCCATACTCGTAGCTCGTACCTGCATCCGTCACGAATAAGCAGTCGATACCGCACCGACCCATGTGGTACATAGCTGACGCGCCATACGTATCGCAGCTGCCTGCGCTAGATTGCTCCGCATCCACCAAAACAAGCTTGCCTAAAGGCCCTGGACAGAAAAGCTTTATATGAGCTCGAAACTTTGACAGGCGGATGTCCACATGCAAGTACGGGTCGCTGATAACGACTACTGTACAGCAGCTTCTGGGAATGGTCACCATCAGTGGTGCCAAGACAGACACACTAAGGCCAGCTACGTCTCCACCGGCCTATCCTAAGCTGGTCCCGTGACTGTAGACAGCTCAGCCTGCATTTTTGCAGTCCAAGTGCAGTACAACGAGGTTGTTACCGTTCGCAGCACCATTCAGGTCACGATCGACGCAGGTCCGCAATGCCCCACTAGACTACGGTTCTTCTAAACTTCTTAGGCGTACTTCGAACAGCGCTTTACACACGTGGGAGGAGACTGCCGTAACCATCGACACCTATGGTCACCGTCAGCTTATTTAGGCGTTCTCAGCAATATCTATACTGACCTCCAGATCAGGACTGGCACGTGTGAATAGAGCTCGCCATTCGAGCTCTGTCCTTTGTCGGACGTTGTGCATAGTCATCATCGTAATATCGCGCCTCCGATACGCCTGTTCGACATGAGGATCATATGCATTTCTGGCAGGCGATAGGCCATCGCATATGAGTACCACAATCTCGGGATGTGCTTCCATCGCTGGGAGCAGCGTCCGAAGTAGCTGCGTGGCGTCCTCATCAGACCAGTTCCAGAGCAGATTTCTGGCAACGTAAGCAGTGAGATGGCGTTGCCGATCCGTTGCCGGCTGACGTTCCTCGATCCTCTCGTGCAACTCGAATGTGATCTGCTCCTTCAAGTCACCACTCAGGCCTTCCCGATAGCGTTTTAGGATCTCCGTGTCAGCAATGCGGACAGCGGAGGTTAAGGTAGGCACAGTCTCAACCAAGCTTGGAGATGCTAATCCATACCGTCCGGCAAACTCAACGATATGCTCATCGCCTGATTTGTGGTGTGTTTTGAACCAATCCTTCAGCAACTGATCTGCAGGATCCATTGCTGTTGACAGTCAGCCTCGTCATCAAATCCTATGCGACTCATATGCTCGAGCTTACATTGTGATACACCCTTCATTGCTTTCCGAAAGCGTTCAGCCTTATCGCATCGTGCGGCGTGCCAATCATACATCTCCTCGCCCCACCTGTACAGTGGTCAGCTTACGACTACAGCAGCTCCCCCTTGTGACTCACGCATGCTTGAAGGCGGATTCTCCGTTCTCGTAGTCGTTCGGCAGTGCCAACAATGTATCTGCGAGACTCGCACTTGCTACTCGGGTCTCATAAAGCCTTTCATGGCAAAAGGTTACCTCAAAGCCATGCATGGCAAGCTCATCAATACTCACTGGAATTCCACCCATGCTCTAAAGTCAACGTCATTGACCAACATACGAGATGCCGCCGTCAATGCAAAGTGCTCGTCGCAAGGCTCCTCGACGAAATGCTGGCATGATAGCAGCCTAAGTATACGGACTAGCTTATCGGCTGGTATGCCTGACTGCTCGGACAGAAGGGTCAAGTCAGAGCCGCCATCGTCTGCAATAGCATCCAACACTTTAGCGTGTAGCAGGACGTAGAGAGCGCCATGGTCCCAGTTGGTTGAGACGTAATCGTGAACGAACTCGTGCGGATCCTGCAACAGGGACTTAAGCCGGTCGAGGAGTCCTAGGATGCGGATCCTGCGCGCGTTCGCTTCCTCGGACAGGCCAGGATTGGATCTTGCGAGCTCATCGTTGAGCTCGTTGCTCTCCGAAGCGATGTCGAGGACTAGAGCGTGGCCGTCTGAGAAGGAGATCATAGCAATGATTCTGATCTTGCTGTGACTTCATCAAGGATGATCATCTAAGAGCGAAGTTAAAGTCATATTACATGCATTTCACATCAAGGTTTGTCGATGTTCATACACCTTCAACCTCGTTGAATTTTGTCGGCCGCCGCAGCAGCTGCGTGGCGAGAACTATCCTGGTCATGCCAGCTTAGTACCATTGTATATCGCCAGAAATCAAGAAATTGCATCCTCGCTGCGGTTCAGAGTGCTCGGTCCTCCGGCTCCCGCAACGAAGGTCGTACTCTCGAGCACTCATGGGAAGATATGGCAGATCCATGACGCTCCTCATCCGTAATGGACACGACAGATGAGCATACTCGTTGATGTCCTGCTTGCCAACAGCGGATCTCGACATCAGTCTACCATATCGGCTCCAAACCTCACACGTTCATTCCAGCAAACCGACTTGGGCTCGACATCATGCCTCAACTCGAAAGACTCTTCGCAGTGACAATCTGCGCCAAACGCAAGCCTGGCATGGAAGAGCAAGTAATACGTGACCTCATTGTTGAGGAAAGACTAACCAATACGTTCGCTCAGATCGGCCTACCATGACTACATCTCGCAAAAGCACGCCGGGCATCTCAACGACCTCCTAGTGAAGAACAAGATCGTCGACTACACGATGGTAAGCACATCGTACCATCGGCCGTTACCCTTCGTGCTGATACCACTCTTCTACAGCAACACAACACCTCCCCCATGGTGCAAGATCTCGACAAGCTTTTTCCAAATCTGCCATCGGTCAATCGTTCGCCGTACGACGCATTCGTCCAGATCGTGTTCCGAGATGTGCAGGATTACATCAACGTCAAGGATGACCCACACTACATGAACGTCGTCAACCCGGACCATGTCAATTTCGCGGATGGACCTGGGACGATGATGTCGTTTGGCTGGTTCGAGCGTCATGTGGCGGATGGGAAGTTGATCCAGGAGTGAGTAGATTACTATGTAGGCTTGTGCTGGTGTGCAATTGTCAGTAACCTCTACTGAGCGTTTCGTAAACTGTGTGTCTCTTTATATCAGTCATGTTACGCCTGCTGCGAAGTCATGGTGTCATGAGACGACCCCTGCGACTAGTCATTGGCAAAGTTTGCGAGCTTATCACTGATAGATGTCTGTCCCCAACAATAAAGCGTATAAAATGATGGCATGCCTTTCTTGCATCGTCCGACTGCCATGATCTAGTTGTGTCCGGAAATATCGCGAGCGACATAAAGCTCCTCAAGATACTTTTCCTCGTCCGCAGTCAACACCTTCCCTCTGACCGCCAACGCATCATCCAGGCGCTCGATACCACTACACCCGATGATCGGACTTGTCACTCTACGATTGAGCCACGCCAACGCTACGTTGCTCATCGACCACCCTTTCTTCTCAGCCAATTCGTGAACCCTTCGAATTATCTCCTGGTCTTTATCGGCGTACCCCGTTTGCAAGAACGATTTCATTTTTTCCTCCGACGTTGTACGGATCGACGTTATCGGGGTGGTCGGCGGTCGTGCGAGATGACCACGACATAGTGGGGACCAAGGGATCAGGCCAACGCCCGTCTCGTTGCAGAAGCGGTTCATCTCCCGCTCTTCTTCACGGTAGAGGAGGTTGTAGTGGTTCTGCATGCTGATGAACTTCGTCCAATTGTGCTTCTCCGCTATGTGCTGCATGGTGGCGAATTGGTACGTCTGTGATGGAAGGTCAGTAGGGCTTTTGTGTAGTGTTTCAGAGTGGTCTTTTCACGGACCCACATGCTCGAAGCACCAATGTATCTCACTTTCCCGCTTTTTATTAAGCTGTGCAAAGCTTCCAATGTCTCCTCCATGGGCGTGTTGGCATCGAAACGATGAATTTGTAGTAGGTCGATGTATTCAATTCCCATGCGCTGCAGACTTGCATCTACGGCAGAGAAGATGGCTTTTCTTGATAGTCCGCCTTTGTTGACATAGTCTTTGCTTTGGTTGCACTCCTCACGAAACATATATGCTTTGGAGTCTGGCGAGTTGCCCACCCACGAAGAGCACTTGGTGAGGATGACCAGGTCCTCGCGTGGAATGCTGTATTTTCTGATAGCCTGCGTCCAGTCAGTCTAGCTAATAGTGGTAAGAGACAACGTAGGTGACTAGCCTTGCCAATGAGTTCCTCGCTGACGCCATTGCTGTAGACATTGGCAGTACTATGATGGGTCAGTCCCCTGACGCGGGTCGTGCTATCATGTGTCGTACTCCCAAGTATTGACGCCTCTGTCATAAGCGACTTTCAATAATGGCAAAGCCTGCTCCTCTTCCACGACCCATGGCTGCCAATCCTTGTGCCCTAAAGACATGGTGCCCAGAATCGGCACGGAGACGTGTAGTCCAGACCTTCCCAGTCGCACATATTGAGCTTTGGTGTCGTTGATAGACTTCAGTATGGGATCTATCTGACTAGACATGGGGCGTGCGCTGTTGCGGCACAGTAGAGTGGAGTGGGAGAATGTCAATCGTGAGCCTGCCCTCGACAAGTTGCGTGTAAGGCGAACAAAGTAGTCCATTTACGAGTGATCGAGGAGGTTGAACCATAGTCCAAGGTGGAATCAAGAGTAGGAGGCATTGCTGCTATCGTCCCGGATGAGAGCAAGCAACCAAAGAGAGTGGGAGACGGACGCCGTGTCGCCGTGCTGGACAGTCATGGTGAGCCCGACTTGATATTGACGTTCATAGGTCGGTCACGAGCCGCAGATATCTCTATTTGATGAGATCAACATACACCTAGGATGGCTAGAACAACGTGCTCACAAGGTCCAAAACAGAATCATAAAAAGGTCCGTCTTTCACGCCACCACAAGCGCGACTCGTGATGATGGGAATCTGCTCTTGAGCTACACCCAAAGCGGTCAGACTGCTTGGCGCGATGCCTAGTCGACCGACGAGCTCAAGAATGCGCGCTCCCACCATCAGAGCATCTGCTTGCACATTCCCCGTCGCCCCTCCACCCACGGCCGGCAAGAGTCGTGCGATCTGCTGCGCGTCCGTCTCCGACCCCCGCGCCTTGAGTTGCACTACTCGTCCCAACGTCAAGCATGATGTGACACCATGAGGCAGGCCGTAGGGCGAGCCCAGTGCGTGTCCCAGGCTGTGCGAGAGCCCCATGCCACCTCGAAGGTTGCCGCCCTTCAAACCCGAGCTCATGAACGCCGCCAGCTGTAACATGACAGTTGTGCGGCGATCGTTCGGGTGGCTATCGCGGGCTCTGGGAAGATACTCGAAGAGGGTCTGTGCAGCCCACAATGATTGCACTTTCCACACCTCTGAGCCATAGGGATGGTAGAAGCACTCGACGGCATGATCCATCGCGCGCATGCCGGTGGTGAGCCATAGCTGTGTGGGTGTGTAGGCGGCGAAGTAGGGATCGTAAAAAATGGAACGGACGGCCATTTCTGGAGCCATGAAACCCACCTTGACGCCTGGCAAGGAGCACGTCAGCGGTCAACAGATGTCGCATGGGTTGGTTGAATGCCTGTCCACTCACCATCTGGCTTGGTATAACCACCACCAGGTGTACATTCGGCCGCACTGAGCGTTGTTGGGATGGCAATGTGATGCAACCACTTCCCGTTCCTGGCCTCTGATACACGATATGCTATCGACTTGGCTGTATCGATAGGCGAGCCACCACCTACAGAGATCAACGTATCGATCAAATCATCCTGCAGCACTGTCTGCAGCGCAGCGTCGACGTCGATGGAGGGACCGTGCTGTCGAATATTCGAGATCGTGATGGCGTGGTGCATACCCAGCAGTACCTCAAGCTTGCGGATTACTGGTGTCTTCTCCGCCAGCGATCGCCCTGTGATGATGCAGACCTTTGATTCGGGGGACGGTAGTGTATTCAGTAGGTAGGTTCGGACACAGCCCTCGCCGTAGAAAAGATGTTTCAGGGATAGATTTGGTTGCCACAGGCCGAATAGTGGCTCAGTCGTGGACGGTACAGGCCACGGTGGTGAGCTTCCGTTCTGCATGTTGATAGTCGCCTTGACGATCGCGAATAACGTTTATGGATACCAGACAATCTTTTAGGGAAACACCTGTTCAGAGTCAACTCGATCATGCTCCTATGGAGCGAAGGTCATGCTAACATAGACAGCAGCCTGCGACGGGCACGGAGGCCGAGATCAGTCTCGAGCTCCAAGTATGCCCATACTGGGTCACTGCCAGACTTTTACAGGCATACCGCTCACAACCTTGCAGTATTCATGACTGCTTTTTGAGACTGATATTCAGTGCAACAACCATTGGCAAGCAGTACGTACACATATTTCCACTGACAGACACACGCACAACGGCCTACTGATAACACGTCCCCTCAACAATGATCACCATCCACGCTTGCATTTGCCAGCATCCGCAGGCACCTTATTCGCCGCAACAGCCTTCTGGATTCCCGGGACCAAATGCTGAGTGAAATTGTACAAGCTGCTCGAGCCCGAAACATCCAACGCATTACCCGTATAGAACATACCACGATATCCTTGCAATGCATTCAGCTTGTCATAGAAGCCTGCCCTGATGGCATCTGCAGATACCAACTGTTTGAAGGGCGTGTGACTGGCGAAGGCTAGTATCTTTGGACTGGAAGTGTTGCCGGAGAGCGTACGGATATTCTGGGTTATCGCCGCCCGGACATCAGCCTCTGAGGTCGCGTGGGTCGCGCCGTAGAAAGCATAGAAGGTCGTGTTGATACGGGAGGGACCGATGTGGAAGGTATATGGCTCGATGGGAATGTTGTAAAGTGTATTGTTGGCGGCGTTCTCATATGAGTAGCCTGGCGCTAACCCAGTGTCGGTCACAAGGGTGGTGTACCAAGCGGTATAGTAGACTTCTTTGAAGATATCGTGCTCACGACTATCGAGATCGAAGGTGTTCAGGTTGTCTAGGATGATTGGCGCGCTATACAGGACTTGCGAGGCTATGAGCAGTTTTTTGGAAGATCCAGATTGGACAACGAGTTTCACACTTTTGTTCGAGCGCTGGGAGGCTACGACTTGGCTGTTAAGGAGAGCGCTTTTGCCGAGCTCTACTTGAGCCTTGCCGTACACCTCGGAGTTGTTTCGAGTCGCGACTTCGGGGATATATGGCGCTCCGCCAGGGATAGGAGCGGATGCAGCATTGGCGCCGAGCACGACATAGAGCGTCAGTTGATCGAGCAGGTTGTCCGTTGGTCCACTTATCGACCAGATCAAGAACGCGGCATCTTCGATATGGTACTTTTTAATGAAGTCTCGGAACGGCAGCAACAGGTCTTCCGGCACTGGAGATGGCAGATGCACACCAAGCGCGGGATCCGGGTAGTAGGCATTGGTGAAATTGGACCAGGTCAGGATGCTGTTCCCAGTCACGGGCGTAACGTTCTTGCCTATATTGAAGTCCTCTACGAGCTGTGCGACCCCAGCGAAGAGTGGGATGAAGGGTACGTTGAAGCGCTCGAAGAAAGCGCGGGTGATGCTGTCGTTGCTGTATCCTTGGACGCCATACTCAAGGGCGAGACCGGTTGCAGCGTCGTTGTACTATTCCCATCAGCGAATTGGCATCATTGGCGACCTGGCGGTAGCTGGATCGATGGGCAGACGACTTACTGTGTTGACGTGCCCGCCAAAGTTGCCCTGCTTCTCCACAACAGCGACACTTCGACCGGCATCTTTCAATGCAATGGCTCCATAAGTCCCAGAAGCGCCGCCACCAATGACGATGACATCACGAACCAGGACGTCGGCAGCAGCATATGAACAAGGGTCGAATTGAGACGCACTGTTGTTGGATGCTGATACAACGCCGGAGATAGCGAGCAGGCAAAAGGCCAACTCTGATGGTCCAAACATAATGAAAGACTATACAAGTTAGGTGCGAAAGATCACCAGAACGATCGTTGTGTGTGCAGGACAGGAAACCTCCCTACGAAATATACGTTCGAACCGTGCTATTGCAAAAGCCAAATATTTTCTTTTTGACCGACGCTCCCACAATCACGGGTGCGGATCCCGCAACTGCAAATGTATCACGCACCAATTTTGGCTATAACAAGACACCGGCATAATCACTTTCACCAAGCTTGAATGACTTGTCAGCCGCATGTCTTCGCCTCGCTTGACCGGGTTCCGAGGGCCGAGAATCTTGTCTAGCATGATCATGATCCGTCTGTAGGTTCGGCTGGCCGTGGCCTGCGATGACACATTCCTCAGGCCGTCGAACAGCGTTGTTCCGTTCGGAAGGATGGTGATTAACTCTGTTACCTGCGGACTAGCATCGCGCACAAGATCTCCGCTCAGCCACTGGTTTCGAATCGATCACAAAGGGTCCAGCTCGAACTGCACATACGTTTCCAGAAGCATGCCGCGATTGCATACTTCATGTCTGGCTAGGCAGTCGGTTCAGTCCTCTTCGACCGAGTCACCGACAGACCTCACACGAGATCGCCCAGTCGAACCTGGGTCGAAAGAAACTCTACGTGGTGATAATCACCCAGTCGTCGCGAAGGATGACTATCCTCATGGACTGAGGCTTGTGTTCACCATGGCTTCGGTCGGAACAAGTGTCGTACTTGGCGGGCTCGACGGCACAATAGTATCCACAGCAATTCCATCTATCGTTGACGATTTCCATGCCCTAGGCTCCATAGGCTGGGTAAATATTGATTGCAAATAGAGATCAAGGCGCAGTGCTCATGTTGACTGGACACAGTTCGGATCCGTCTACTTTCTGACCGGAGCTTCGAATATCGTCTGGGGCAAGGTCTATCGCTATTACCCTATCAAGGTCGACTTCCTGGGCGCGATTGCACTTTTCGAGCTGGGCAGTCTCATCTGCGGTAAGGTCGCGGATTCTATCTCGGAGTCATATCATCACTGACTGCAGTCAGCAACCTCGCCGAACGCTACGGCGCTGATCGTCGGACGGGCCATCGCAGGCGTCGGTGCTGCGGGACTCCAAGCGGGCGGCAACATCATCATCGGCTTCGCTGCTTCGCCTAAGAGACGCCCAATCTTCCTAGGTATGCTGGGCGCTTGCTACACGATATCGTCTGCTCTTGGACCAATCATAGGTGGCGCTCTGACTTCGAAGACGACCTGGCGTTGGTGGTCAGTGTGATCACCACCCTCTTTCGCAGACCCACACCCACTAATTGGAAACAGTTTCTGGATCAATCTACCCATTGGTGGTCTTGCATTTGCAGCCGTGTTTCTTGGCTATCGCACTCCTGAGAAATCTCGATCCTCGATACCAGCGTCAGAGAAGCTGAGGCACCTGAATCCATTGACCTATGTACTTTGGTGTGCGGCACTTATATGCTACCTGCTAGCACTACAATATGGTGGGCAGACCAAGAGCTGGAGTGACCCAACAGTCATCGGCGTCTTGGTTGGCTTCGTCTTACTTCTCGGGGCTGGCGTAGCCTGGGACCAATGGTGTGGCGACAACGCCTTGCTCCAACGACGCCTTTTGAGGATTCGAGCTATAGCTGCTGCTGCTCCATTCGTCTTCTTGTAAGTGCACACCGCTCGAAACGTTCTGCCAGCCTGCCAAGACTAGCTCAGCTCTGAGCTAGTACAGCAGCTTGCAACTGCTTGAATAGGATGGAGAACAGAGAGTTCGATAAGCTGATTGGGCGTGGCTACCAGTCTCACAGGCAATTACTCGATCATGATCTACTTCATACCACTATATTTTCAGAGCGTTACGGGAGCCTCTGCGATTAACAGTGGTATCCGGACGCTTGCTCTTGTGCTTCCTTTATGTCAGTTGCAGGTTCTTTTCCCTGTAGAAGCCCTCCGCTAACATTGACCAGCCATATTTGCACTTGTCGCTGGTGGTATTATCAAGAAGACAGGATACTACAAGCCACTTCTCATGTTAGGTTCTGGCATGACCGCCCTCGCAGCAGGCCTGATCTACACATGGGATGTGCACACGTCGATAGGCTGCTGGATCGGTTACCAAATTCTCCTCGGGGCAGGCATGGGTCTGTCCGGCCAAGGATCTATCATTGCGGCGCAAGCTGCCGTGCACTACAGCGATATTGCGACAGCGACTGCCACAGTGCTGTGTATGTTCCTCTCTGCTAAAATGGAAAGTGGGTTGCGTTGACAATGGTCATAGTCTTCCAAACTATCAGCGGCGCCTTCTTTATCTCGGCAGCGAACAGCGTCTTCGCAAACCAGCTCAAAAGAGCGATTGCAAGTCGCGCCCCAGGTGTGGATTCCAGCATCCTCTTCGGCGAAGGAGGTGCGGCGAATCTTGGCGAGCTGTTCTCTAATCAAGATCTGGACAACGTACTTGCTGCATATCTGCAAGCACTACGTAGCGCGTATGCTCTGGCCCTTGCATCTGGCGGATTGGCATTTCTGTTCAGCTTCGCCGCCGAGTGGAAGAAAGTCAACATGGATGCGATTGGAAAAGATGGTGATGACGCGAAGGCTGTCGAGACTGTAGCGACAGATGACGAACGTGTTGACAAGGATGGCTAGCACAGACCTGTGCAGCGCAAAACCCTATGCGACTGCACTCTCGATGTACCTCATTTTGATCCTCCAACGCATCATCGTGCTATATCAGCGACCTAACACCTACCATGATCAGCTTGTATGAACTCACCAGAGAACGTGATGCTGAACAATTTTCTCATCCCGCTGCAGCAGTGCTATCGCACTTATCAAACTACGAGAACGCAAGGATCCCGGATCACGATGGCGGGTCTGAAAGTACTTAGTGCCTTGCCCTGTAGACCCGACTGCTCACCATAACGTGCTCTGAAGTCGAATCTCCTAGCATACGAGGGTACTTCTCACGTTCGCTTCACCTGCGTTAATGTACACAGCAACGGCGGCTTCTGCCAGAACCCTTGCAAACGCTGCGACTTCAGCCAGTTCATCTGACCAGACTGCAACCGCACATCGAAGCGCCACAGCAGTCTACTCAACGTCAAACGGATCTCAGCTCGAGCAAGGTTCTTTCCAAGGCAGTTCCGAGGACCGAAGGAGAACGGCTGGACACATTCTCGTCGGTCGTTCTGGAAAGGCGGTGATGTGCGCATGGCAGCGAGCCATCGCTCCGGCAAGAATTGCTCCGGCTGGTGGAAGTTGTCAGGGTGTCGATATGTGGAGTAGTGGTGAACGCCAACAGTCATGTCTGCGGGTACCGAGATGTCGTCGATCGTTTCACCACCTACTGGCGTACGTCGTGGCATGGTGATCGCCACTGGCGGATAGAGGCGAAGCGACTCAGAAATCACGGCATCCATATACGACAGATCATGCGACTTCAGTATGGTGATGTCTTCTTCGGAGTCATAAGCACCTCTGATCTCTTCCACAAGTCGGTTGTAGCATGCGGGGTTGGTCAAGAGCAGGAAGATGATACCGCATAACGCGGTTGCTGAGGACTCTGATCCGGCAATGTTGAGCGATAAGGCATTGACATGGATCTCTTGCGGCGACATGCCTTTTTCGTCGTTGGCGGCCATGATATAATGCATGAAATCTTTGCGAGTGGTCTCGCGCTGCATTCGTCGACCGACAGCCATCATGGCACGCTTGACGTTCTCCATACGTTTGCCGACTGATTTCTTGGACACCACGTACCGGCGAAGACCATCAAGATGCCAGTACTTGTACATCTGGGTGTAGGTAAGTTCGGTGGCCATACCCTGAATGGCACGGACGAACGGATCGTATTCGCCTTTGTCCAAGCAGCCGAAGTTCTCACCGAAGCACATATCCCCTACTAGGTCGAAGGCTATGTCACGGGTTAGCCTGACATAAAGAAGTGAAAGACGGCACACATACTCAGGAAATTGAGCCATGACACCAAGTCAACGTTACCAGAGGGCGACCGGCTTTCCAGCTGTTCAATTAGTTTGCTGATATGCATCTGTATCAGGCTTTCCTGCTCCCGCAATGCTTTCTCGGAGAAGGCATGAGATAGCAGCCTTCGTTGTCGATTATGGGTCTCGCGATCCGCCACCATTATATCTGTTGGCCATCAGCCTTCACACATTGCCTCTGCCTCGGACTCGAAAGGACGCACTCTGCACGCCCGTGGGCGTGAGCAACGAGAAGATAGGATCCTTGGACATCTCCGCCGACCGTTGCCCGTAGATCGTTCTCCAGGCTGTTTCTGTCGTGAAGGAAAGCTCGTTCGGCGCAATTCGCACGGCATGACCGTATTTCTTGTGGAGCTCGAGTAGCTTGTACTGCAGCATGCCGCGATGCTGGTACCAACACCAGGGAAGTCTGCTTGCGGCCCATAGTTTTGGGCCGGCGCAGGATCGTAAGGGGTGTAGATAGACGTTATAGAATAGGTTGGAAAGGCAAGCGATGATGCCCTGCTGAGTTATCAGACTGAAGGTCGTTATGGTTAGGTTTGTACTTACCACTAGTGGAACGAGCAATAGGAAACCGGCATAATATCCAGGCATGTTGGGTGGTAAGTTGACTTTGCAGAGTACGACATACGACAATGAGGTTTCCCGAGATGTCAGTCAATTTTGACCAAGTACTGTCAGGATGAAAACTGTATGATTAGTCCATAAAACTCCTGTTGGCGTTTTCATCTGGCTCGCGGCAGTTCTGGCAGATGCGAGTCCTCTAGTCTTGAGCCGGTTTCAAAGGAAACCGGGAGGCTTCTTAGCAGATGTGACGGACGTCGGAGGCCGGGTGAGCGCACGTCGTCCATCACCAGCCTCTCACCATGAATCAGTCTCGCACCAGTGTCCAGGCTGACGAAAGTGGGACAGGCAATGATCCCTTCACGTTCCACGCCATCCCAAAGCATATTGATCTCGTTGCCTCGTTGCGGAATTGCTCTCGAACATAATCGACGTCCTAGCTCCAGGCATATGTGTGATGGTAAATGCTGTGTCACCGCTTCAGCATTCATCATGTAATTTTGCCCACGACGATGCCCTAGACCTTCACCAGTCCTTGTAGTCCACGTAGCCCAGCCCGGAAAATAAAACGATCTCTGCATTCTCCAACTCTACGGCCAGCTCAGAAAGAGGAATGATAAATCACCTGTGACGTGCGTCGATGTGTCTGTTGTAGCCTTGAAAGCTATTAACATCCGCACCATCGAGTCAAGAACCAGAACAAACGCAGTATGAATAATGCGAATAGAAGTGTACCGTGTGCAGTGCACGCAAAATCATGAGTGATTTCCACTTTCTTTTGCGGACCTCATACTAATCTCATACTGCTCGGTCTTGCATCTACCCGCGACGGAAAGACAAGCAAGCTGACCCGTCTCAACTCGTCTGGTGATACTCTTCTGGGTATCACCAATCCGCCACATCTTCACAATCTGGCCAAGACGAAGACGACCACCCTCCCACCTCCAGCCACCGCCCAATTTCTTTCGCCTGAAAACACACAGAGCAAAACCGCCCGCTCTCCTTTCCCTTCTCCTTCCTCACCCTCCTGCTCCTACCTCCACCATCAACCAACGCAAACAATCTATACCAAACCACTTTAACCCGCCTCCCATCTCTTCTCTTGACTCGCGCAGCAGCGTACACACGCGCGCGCATCGAACTTGTATATCGAGCAACAACCAGACCCATCAAACGCCACGCCAACCCAATGCTTCCATCCTCGCGCACGAAAACCCACGCTAATGCCCAAGCAAAACCTTCCTCTCAACAAGCAAGTAAGCAAGCAAGCAAACAACCCTCTTTTTTCTCATTGGCGTGATGAAGTTGCAGTTCGCAGAAAACTCCAAGCAAGAACAAGAACAATACTATACAATACCGAATCAACAATCGCATCAAGAAGTACTTCCGTCCCGTAAGGCGCCCAGGAACCGTGAAGCAGATGTGTACATCAAGCCGTAAAAGAACAGCTAACGTGAGCTCAGCAAAGAGAACGTTCGTGCTTGTCCGGTTCGGCGAGATCGTTAATGATCATCTCTCGGTGAACTAAGGTCACGGGTCAGCTGTGTATCACGACTGCCTTGCATGAAGCGGGACCTACTTAGGCGAATACTGAGGACTAGTAGGACTGAACTCCGTAGTAGTCGCGCCATTCCCATTCCCGTTCCTATCATCCCTAGGGCTGGTAGGGGAGTAAGAATTATGCGCCGGGCTGGTAGGGCTGTAGACGGGACTGGTAGGGGAGTAGCTCGGGCTAGTCGGGCTCGTGCTCTGGCTCATACCACCCGCACCTGCTCCGCCGCCGCCGTACTTAGGGCTGGTGGGCGAGTATTGGGGTGATGTGGGCGAGTAAGCCGGGGAAGTAGGCGAGTATTGTGGGGAGGTGGGGGAGTACTTCGGGCTTGTGGCGGAGCCGGGAGCTAGACGGCCGCCGCCGTGACCGGCGGGGGAGGTAGGGGAGTAGGTTGGCGAGGTTGGGGAGTAGGAGGGTGAGGTGGGTGAGTATGAGGGTGAAGTAGGCGAGTATGAAGGCGAGGTGGGCGAGACCTTGTTGCCGCCGCCATACGCCGGGGAGGTGGGCGAGTAAGTGGGCGATGTAGGCGTGTAGGCCGGACTGGCCGGCGAGAACCTCGGGCTCGTGACCTGGTAGGCTGGTGACGTAATGCCGTCGAAACCAGGAGAGGTGGGCGAGTAGCCCGCTGGCGAAGTAGGCGAGTACCCATATCCCGGGCTGGTCGGGCTCATGCCGCTGCTGAAAGGACTCGTTGGAGCATAACCAGGGGACATGCCACCAGAGTAAGGACTCGCCCCACCAAACCCACCACCACCATAGTTCGTCAGCCCCCCCGAACCACCATCCGCCTGCCCCGCATCGATAATAGGCGAGAACGAAGCGCTATAATCCGGTCCACCAGCCCCATTCGCATACCCACCCTCAGCAAGCGGCGACCCAGTATCATAAGGCGTAGCAGCACCATCCATCGGATTCCCCGCCGCCGCCATCGAAACGCCCATCGGCCTAACAGCGGAAACAACCGTCTTCAACATCTCCTGATCAAGCAGAATATCAAACTCGCCCGTCCCACTCGGCGCAAGCTGACCCAAGATAATATTCTCCGAAACACCCCTACAGTCATCCAACTCACCACTCGAAGCGGCCTCGAACAGAATCTCCACCGTTTCCTCAAAGGAACACCGCATCAGCGCACCGGTATCCGAGCGATTGATGCCGTGTCTCGTGACCGCCATGAGCGTGCCGCGGGCACACATGACGTCGCATAAGATGGCCATATGTCTGTAATTGACATAACTGCCATCACCAGTCAACACAGCCGCCAACTCCCTGAGCAGCGCCGCACGCGTGGCTTCAATCCCAAAGACCTTAAAGATTTCGCCAAAATGATTGCAAGTCGTGCGATGCGGATCCACGCCCTCCACAGCCAGCGTCTTGCGGAGATTGAACCCATCGGTATCGAGGTACCACTCCTTGCAATTCTCATCCGCTCGGCTGGCGACAATGGACCCGTCAGGCTTGATATAATGATTCGTCTCGCTGCTGACGAAAGCCTTACGGACACCCGGGACGCCGCGAAGGGAGACCTTGTCCAGCATGAAATTCTCGAACCGCTTGAGCGTGTCCTCCGGCGGATCATTCTCCTCCTCGTCATCCTTGCTATCCTGGTTAACCAACCGGATACGAACAACCTGCTCATCAGCATTATCATCCGAGAAAATGACGGCGATGGAGCCCGGGAACTCAGCCTTGATAGCAGCCGCGACGTCCGAGACACTGAGGCCCTTGTCCAGAAGTTGTCGGCGACCCAAAACCACACGCAACATCCATTTGCTCTGCGCATCGCTCGTGTCAATATCCTCAGGGATAATAAAATAACTCTCCACCATATCCTTATCAGCCTCGATAACCGTACTCTGAATCTCCGGATCAAAGTAAATCTCCGTCTCCTCCGTCACGCTCCTAAGCGAAGTATACTCGATATCACTGCGCAAATTCTTGCAAGACTCCTGGCTCGACTTGGCCCCCTCGAGCTGATACACCTTCATCTGCGGCGTCTTGAGATTCTCGGCCACGTTCAGAATCTCCTTCAGACGCGGCACACCCTTGGTGGTCGTCTTGGCGGTCACACCAGCCAGATGGAAGGTGTTGAGCGTCATCTGCGTGGCCGGTTCGCCAATGGACTGCGCGGCAAGCACACCGACCATCTCGCCCGGACTAGCCAAAGCGCGAGAGAAGCGGCTCTCGAGATCTCCCAGGATGTTGTCAAAAGCGTCCTTGGTCAATGAATCATCCTTCGTGATGCGCTTGAACGCCAATCGCGACCGAAAGTTGGCCTTGCACAATAGGGTAGCGTTGAGATCAGCCTCCAACGACAGCGGATCATCACCTCGCACAATAATCAGGCGATCCATCATCTCCTTGACCTTAGGAATAGCATACTTCGGATCCAAATTACTCCTCGCCCCATCCTTGATCTTGAACTTATCCTTGGCATTCCGAATCATCCGATCAATATTGAGCGGAAGCTGCTTGCTCTGATCCTCGCCCTCGTTCGGATCCAGCCCCTTGCGCACCTTCTCGCGATCATTCAAAATCCGCTCGAACTCCTGATCGAACAGATCCTGGACGTCGACATCGCCGCGAATCTCATCCGCCATCTCCAGCATCTCACTCGTGAGCATCAAGTCCTTCGAAGTAGCGCTGATGACATCAAGCTTGTACTGCTTCTCAAACTGCGCATCACTAGCCTTGATGATGTCGAGGGATTGGGGTTCGATGAACATGGCGTCCAGACCATCCTCGCCGTAGACGAACTGCACGATATCGCCCAGCGAATTGCGCACAGTACCGTCGTACTTGACCATGACTTCTTCCAAAGCCTTGACCAAACGACGCTGGATATATCCCGTCTCGGCAGTCTTGACAGCGGTATCGATCAGACCCTCACGACCACCCATGGCATGGAAAAAGAATTCCTGAGGCGTGAGACCACGAAGGTAGGAGTTCTCGACGAAACCCCTCGAGGCGGGAGAATAGTCGTCCTTGGGGAAATGCGGCAGAGTCCTGTACTTGAAGCCGAAAGGTAGACGCTTGCCTTCCAAAGACTGCTGGCCGACGGCACCAGTCATCTGTGAGACGTTGGTCGACGAACCCTTGGATCCAGACTGCACCATAACGCCGACATTGTTGCAGCCCTTCATGCCATTGAAAGCAATATCACCCGCGTAATTACGAGCATTATCGAGGAAAGCCTTCGCCTTCGACTCGAATGTCTCGCGGATCGTCATACCAGGCAAAGTCTCCAGATTATTGTTCTCAACATCCTGCACGAGCTCGACCAGCTGCGCCTTCTCCTTATTGACAGCCGCTTCGATATCAGCGGCCATCTCAGGTCCAGGAACGGTGTCGCCAATACCGACGCTGAAGCCGTTGTGTAGAAGCCAGTAGCAGACAATACGCTGCGCAGCGTTGAAGAAGTCCACAGCAGCGCGAGGGCCATCCTTCTCGTTATCGTTGAAGATGTAGTGCACCACACCACCTTGCGAAGCACCGACAATCTTCTTGACCATGCGACCCAAGACGAGTTCACCGTTCTGCACAAGCAGTCCAGTCTTCTCAAGGTATGGAATGTTCGCGGTCGCCTTTTCGCCCTTCTCGGTTCGCAACAGGTTCAGACCTGCGGGCAGAGCCATGGAGACAAGCTGCTTTCCAGTCCACATCGGCTTCGGCTTGTAGATGGCCGGAGCAGGTACAACGCCGTCCCAGTTCGGAACCCACATCAGCATGTTCATAACCTGATTGTAATCGACGAAAACATCGCGCTTCGTCATCATGTAGATACCAGCCATGGTATCCTGCACAATACCCATGAGAGGGCCGTTCTTCTGCGGCGAGACAATGTTCTTGGGAACAGCACACAATTCCATGACCTCAGCTCGAGTCTCATGGCTCTGAGGAACGTGCAAGTTCATTTCATCGCCGTCGAAATCGGCGTTGTATGGTGATGTGACCGATAAGTTTAGTCGGAAGGTGGAGTAGGGCATGACCTTGACTCTGTGACCCATCATGGACTCCTTGTGCAGCGAAGGCTGTCGGTTGAAGATGATGTAGTCGCCATCGACGATGTGGCGCTCGACTTTCCAGCCGTACTGCAGTTGAACCTCATTCTTTGATCGCCTCAAGTCGATACGGTCACCCTCCGTGCGCAGAACGTAGCGTGCACCAGGATGCTCGTTTGGTCCATTACGGACCAGCTGCTGAAGCTTGTGGATGTTGTAGGCATTGACCGTCTCTGGGAAAGTCAGAGTCCTCGCAATAGAACGTGGTACGCCGACTTGATCGAGATCGAGATTGGGATCGCCAGTGATGACAGTACGAGCTGAGAAGTCGACACGCTTGCCCATCAAGTTGCCACGAAGACGACCCTCCTTGGACTTCAGACGGGCACGAATACTCTTGACAGGTCGGCCAGTCTTCTGCACAGCCTTCGGCACGCCAGCAATGTCATTGTCCATGTAAGTCGCAACGTGGAACTGAAGTAACTGCACAAACTCTTCCGTGACGTGGGGTGGCGAACCCTCTTGCTCGCAACGACGAACGTTGGAATTGGCGCGGATGATGTCTGAAAGCTTAAAGGTCAAGTCATCCTCAGATCTTGTACCAGAAGGTGTGCCATCGACAGAGATCGAAGGACGAACCGCTGGTGGCGGCACAGGCAGGACGGTGAGGATCATCCACTCTGGCCGAGCGTAATCGGCGTTCAAGCCTAGGCGGGCCAGGTCCACATCCGTGATGTTGCGGAAGACGTTCAACGCATACTGCGGCGTGATCTGGAACTTCTCGTCCTGCTTCTGACCGCCTTCGTCCTCATCACCTTTGGCGGCTTTGTTAGTGCCGTTGAGGCGAAGCTGCTCTTTGCGAATGACCGGCTGTGCGTTTCCGCAACCGCCGTGGCCTTGAGTCTTGAGAGCCTTCTTCGGGTCGGGACCGTAACCGCCGTCATCTTCAGGTGGAGCATCGGGCTCGCACACGTTGATGGCCTTGCAGATACGATGGACGGCCTCGAAGCGGCGTTTCGGATCGCGGAGACGAATGGCTTGCGCAAATTGTATGTTGCGCTGAGAATGAAAAGTGTAAGCAGTGAGAATGACAAGGGAAGACATCTTACCTGATGCAAGAAAGAATGCAGAAACTTACCTCATCTGTCTTGACCTTGCCACAGTTGTGGCAGACCGACTCCAAAATCTTCTTGATCTTGGTGATGAAACCTAGTCACGTGATATTAGCATCGTACCACAAAAGTGATATATTGCATGCACTTCACATACCGACGTGGAAAACGGGCCGCGAGAGCTCGATGTGACCAAAGTGACCAGGACAGTTCTCCGGCACCTCTTTGCACGTCGCGCACTGCGTCCCACGATCGATCGAGCCGAGTTTCGGGTCGTTCAGGCCTTTTTCACGCGGCCGCATGCGCTGCTCATCCATCGTCTCCGGGTACTCGATGTGACAGACGCTCATATTCTTGACCTCCTCGGGCGAGAACAAGCCGAATTGGATCTCCTGCACGGTCTTGAGCGGGGCCTCGGAGTGAGGGAATTGGTAGTTGGACATTTTGCCTGCTGGGCGAGTATGCGCTGCCGCAGTGTGCAAATGTGAGTCGTGTGGCTTCTTCGCCTGTCGTCACGTCCCACTATCTCTGTCGTTCGCGTTTTGGCGCGTTCTGTCGCTGCCTTCGCTCTTGACCTCACTTCCGCCACCTCACTACCCCTAACAACCGCGCGACCTGTCGAGGCCCGCCGCCACCTCAAACACCGCCCTGCCTTGTCTCTCACTCGCGTCGCTCACTATGATGACTATGATATGTCGATCTATTCTAGTATTTGATGGCGCGCCGATGCGCTAGTGGTGATATGGAGATGCGCGTGGTGGGTGATGGTCGTTCGTGGCGTGTGGCCGTGGCGCACCTGTCGCGCACGCTGGAAAGCAGCAAAAAGAGCCGTGGGTGTCTTCCCGATCCTGTATGTATCGGTACTGGTCGGTATCGCGAGTAGCCGGTCGATGTCGATGGTGTTGGCGGATGTGTCGAGGGGATGTCTGTGGGTGCGATGGCCGCCTGGAGAACTAACTTCTTGAGCCGAACAAGGACCGCCCGCTCAATGCGGTTTAGCGCGGTGTAAGTCAGTCGGGCGAAACGGTCAGCCGCAGAGCCTCACACGCGCACGCGAGCCATTATTCCACCTCAAGATTCACATGTGCCCATCGCATGGCAGTGAAGAAGTAGAGGTGTGACGGATGAGGAAGGAGTGGCATGTAGCATACACCCCCCTCAATGATAATGCTTATGTCGAATTATCTCCCTTTGCTTCTTCCATGTAGATGAAGCAGCCAGTCTTTACTACTACTACTACTACATCACCACCATGAACCTCCCACTCACCGACCCAGTCCTCTTGGCGCAAGACATCCCAGACGTGCTCACAGCTCGACTTCGCAGCTCCGGCCAAGCAGTCTGTCTTCGCTTCAGCCACAAAGGCGATCTCCTGGCCTCCGGAACAGCCAAAGGTACCATCGCCATCTTCGACCTAGAGACAAATGGCGTGGCGCGCAAGCTTAAGGGCCACACCACCGGTCGCACAGTCCAGTCGCTGTCATGGGAGAAGAGCGGGAGATATTTGCTCAGCAGCAGCATCGACTGGAAGGTCATCCTCTGGGACTTGCAGGATGGCAGTCGCGTCCGCGTCGTCAGCCTGGGCGCACCCGTCTACATCGCCGAACTCCACCCGCAGAATCATCTGCAATGCGTGGCAGCCCTCTACGAATACCGACCAGTCCTGGCCGACCTCACCTCACCCACCAAGCCAATCCAGCACGCCCTCCCAAATCTCCCCCTACGAGCCCCCCACGAACAGGACGCCAACCCCGAAAAAGCAGATGCCAAGCACTTCACCACCGTCGCCGCCTTTACCCCCTCCGGCAGCCACATCATCACGGGAACAACAAAAGGCTGGCTCAACATCATCTCCACCACCACCCGCCAGACCATCTCCTCCCTCCGCCTCTGCAGCAAACCCATCCTCCTCATCCGCCTCAGCACCAGCGGTCGGGACTTGCTAGTCAACGCCTCCGACACCATCATCCGCACCATTAAACTCCCCGACCTCTCCAACCCAGCCCTCTCCCCCGACCAAATCCACCTCGACGTCGAGCACAAATTCCAAGACGTCGTCAACCGCCTCTCCTGGAACCACGTCGCCTTCTCCAGCAACGCAGATTACGTCATGGCCTCCACCCTCATGAACCACGACATCTACATCTGGGAACGCGGCCACGGCTCCCTGGTCAAAATCCTGGAAGGACCCAAAGAAGAACTAGGAGCAGTGGAATGGCATCCCCACCGGCCCTTCGTCGCCGCCACAGGGGTAGAAAGCGGAAGGATCTACCTCTGGGGCATCACTACGCCGCAGCGCTGGAGCGCCTTGGCACCGGATTTCAGCGAGGTGGAGGCGAATGTCGAGTACGTGGAGGCGGAAGATGAATTCGACATTCAGCCGGAAGAAGAACTGGTCAAACGCCGTCTGGATATGGAAGATGAAGTCGTGGATGTCTTGACGGTGGATGAGGGACAGCTTGAACGGGAGGGACAGCTTGAACGAGAGGGAATGGGGGAAAGGGGCAGAGAGGGGGAGGGCGGGGGGGAGTGGAGGATGCCCGTGTTGTTGGATATGGGGGAGAGTGATAGTGAGGAGGAGATGGTGGCGATTGGGACCGGGCAGTTTCGGCGGAAGAGCACGGCGAGGGAGGAGGGGGATGAGTTTTTGGAGGGGGAGGGGGGTGGGGTTGGGGATGAGAGCAGGGAGGAGGAGGGGGAGGGGAATGCGAATGGGAATGGGAGGAAGAGGAGGCGGGGGGAGTGAGAGGGTTCCAATGGCATGGGCACAGCTTAACCATATCCACGTGCGATGACCCCATACCCCAATGCTTCACCGTCAGATCTTCCGCAGTAGTGTGCCTAATAACGAAGATGATACAATGACACGACCGGACAAAGAACCATCATGCATCCCCATGCGGCTAACGGGTTTTGGCGTACAAGCCACCGTACTAAAGCCTTCCTTCTCATTGTCCCCAAAATATGCTCCCTCAAAAACAAAGACCAAGCTTTCCATCGCGTTCCATGGCCCGCTCGGGTCTGGCATGCGAAACGCTTCTCTGGTCTCGAGACATTGATCCAGGGAAGCAAATTCGCGCGCCAGACAGCTCCGGGAAAATCATCGCATCATGCCACCTAAAGGTAGCGAGAAAAAAAACGGAGGCAAGGCCGGCAGCGCTGGCACCAGCGGTAGAGCTGGTAAAGCCCCTGCGACTGCGGCTCCTAGAGAGAGGGAGGAAGGGGAGGGGGAAAGCCCCAGCCGTTCGGCGTCCCAGAGCCGCCCTGTGGTTGAAGATGAGGTTGGGTGGCAGCATGATGCTTTAGCTGAAGATGGAGAAGATGGCGATGCTGGTGAAGCGGGTCTGGAGGGATCAGGCAGGAAGGGGAGGTCGGGGAGAGGGAAGGGGAAAGGTTTTGGCTGTCGAGGATGCGCATGGGGATGAGGAGGAGGAGGAGGAGGAGGAGGAGGATGCTGCTGCTGCGGGAACTGTTGCTGCAGAGCCAGTCTGGAAGGGTAGACCGAAGAAGGGGAAGGGAAGGGTCGCTACCGATGCTGCCGATGCTCCTGCTGATGATGATGATCATGATGCTCCTCCTATGCCGGCGGGCGCGACGCGCAAGCAGAGATTGGATGCTCGTCTGGCTAAGAAAGCTGAGATTGATCGTGCGGCTGCGGCTGCGGGTGCTGGAGTGGGGATGAGGAAGCGAGGCAGGGGAGATGATGATGCTGCTGAGGATGATGTTGATGTTGATGTTGCCGGTTCGCCGCCGAGTAATAAGAAGGGGGTGAGGAGAGCTGGACCTGGACCTGGGAAGGGAGATGATGTAGGAAGAGAGGCTGTGGGGGGAGAGGTTGGTGTAGATGCAACTACGGCCCCTGCTATCGGCAAAAAGAAGAAAGAGGTGAGAGCAGCTAGAGCCGAATCTGAAGACGTTGGTGCAGCTGGGGAAGAGGCTCGCCGCATACCTGTGGCGCCGCACGACACAGGATGGCACTATTGTGGAAAGAATCGTAGTAAAAGACTGCCACGTCAGCGCGAACCTCTGACAGAAAATCTGGCACTGGGTGGGCGACCCGAAGGATCTTGTGGGGAGACAGCACGTGGAGATTGCTTGTATGGGGAAATTACGTGAGGTCCTGGGAGGTCAGGATTATACTGTTGCGCTGAGGCATGCGGAGGTGGATAGGAGGAAGAGGTTGTATAGATTTTATATGGCGTACTGTCCGCACGGAAGTCTGCATGAGTTGATTAAGGAGTATCTTCCCCGTCGATCTTGGCTGTTAGTAGAGGAGGGCATGGAGAGGTGTGAGAATTGTGGCGAGGAGCATATGACGCATAAGCAGCCGCCGGGGATCGCGGAGAAGGATATAGAGGGGGGTAAATACGGCGAGCGGTTTGTGCCTGAGCCCTGTTTGTGGTATGTCTTCGAGGCGCTAGCTCGGGCCTGTATCGCGATGAAAAGCATCCCGGCCAACGGCTCGGACACAAACAAAGGCGAGGCGGCTTCCGCAGCGGCAGCGAAACAATGCATCATCCACCGGGACCTCAAACCCGCCAACATCTTCCTCCACGCACCCGACAACGCCGGAGATGGAGAAGACAAATACCCTCCTTACCCCCGCCCACGCGTAGGAGACTTCGGCATCAGCCTCCTCACCTCCGCCAACGACCAGTTCAATCCTCTAAGCTATATGATAGGCGAAGGAACCCCGAATTGGATCGCTCCGGAGACTCAGCCACTAGTCGATAAGGCCACGGCGGAGTACGCGGATCTGGGGAGGATCGACGGGAAAGCTAATGTGTGGGGAATTGGCGCCATTCTGGGTGCGTTGATAAGTCGGGAGGCCAAATTGCAGGGGATGGAGTATGAAGAAGGAGAAGATATATTGCCGAAGATTCAGCTTCCTGTTTTCACCGACAAAAAGCGAATCAAAGCGGTGAGGAAATTATACTCATCCGCTCTGCTCGATCTGGTGAATGCTTGCTTAGCTTATCGCCCTGCTAATCGTCCCAGCGCGGATGAACTCCTGCAGGAGATTCTCAGGCGTACGGAAGGGGAATACTGTGGTCTATGATGGGGATAAGAATGGTAGTGATAAGGCGAGGAAGATGCGGAGGGGTGGGATTTTTGAGGGCAGGGAGAGGGATTCATTGTTGTGGCTTGATTTTCAGGGGGGATAAGTATCTGGGGCTTGATGGGAGGCCGGAGGAGGGGGCAGAGTAGTCGTTATGGATACGATGTTGTATCATATCGCACTATCCGTCTCACCTTCCATCCTAGCGCTCTTAACCCAAAGTCTGGCTTCTGAGGCCCATGTTTCACAACATCATCGCCAGGGCAAGCACTGGGTGTCGTGCTTCAAGCTTCTGAGCTCTACCAAAGCAGCGTGGACGGCTGCATATTCACATGGAAACCCTGCCTCCGTTTTAAGACCCAAGTGTCTGCTGTGTACGTAGGATACTGACGGCTGAATTGAGCGACTCTATTCACCTCAACAAGCTTCACTCGACGCTGAATCTTGTGAACCGCGGCTATATAGCGTCACTGCTAGCGTATGTTTCTTACATAAGAGGCTGCTTTCTCCGTCCAAGATGATTTCTGTTGGTACGCAACGCAACTTACTCAGACTGCACGCGGTTCCTCTCCCCCGCTTGATCACCATACTCGTCGCCATGAGCTCGAGGCGGTCTCTCGAAGACGCTCCGCTACCATCGATGAAGCGGACAAAGAGTCATCATCACTGGCGCACATCGACAGGTCTGACAGCTCAGGCTTCCTGCAACTCCCGCGGAAGACTTCGCGACATCATCTACGACTTTTATCCTCGAGTTCCAATTTGCATCCTGTAAAATAACGACCAACGACAGCAAGCTGAATTTTGTCAACCTCGCCCTGCTTCGCCCGCCCGGACTGCTCCTCGTGTCTAAGCAGACCCGCCACAAAGTCCTTCCACCTTTCGTCCAGCATTCTATGCGATCAGCAGTGGTTCGTGCCGCTATGATTCTACCACAACAACGACCGGTCAACGGGTATGCAGCAACTTGGAAGTGAGCTCAAGCTCAAACAACTCGCCATACAATCGTGGTTGACGAAACTCGAGGGCCTCGCTACAAGTCAGGGCGTGGTCATGGCAGCCGCGCTACTGTCGCCGGGAGAGTCCGAGTCCGACTACACTTTGCATCTGGGCGTGAGGACGGGCGCCTCGGCCCCGACCACCGAGGTCAGCGATGGCGATGGGTCGTATGTCACTGGCCGAGCCTTCTTCGAGCTACGCATGCACTTGCTTGATAACGCGGATAGCGTCTTGGTCGGCGGACGGGATAAGGCCTCTGTCGCCATCAACAAGCTGTGGAAGGCCGGAGGCGGTCTGACCATACAGTTCGTCCGGGATCTGGCTCTTCAGTGGCATGCTAAGCACACTGCGCTGTTGGAGAAGGAGGTACGATTGTATGAGCTTCGTCAGGCGGTGCATCCCTACGAGCGAAAAGTAGGGTGGCCGTCTGTCCCTTTCCAGTGCTGAACGCGGATAAGTGTATGCCTTAGCACTGGGGTGGCGCGACTTCTGAAAGCGTCATCTTCCGAAGCGGTGTAGATACGTCTGTTTGGTCTCCATAACCGGAGCGCGAGTTGCAACTCCCTCAATGCGAATGCCCATCTGGATCTGCTTGCCGGCCCGGATAGAGGAGAGTGGGCTGTGATTCCAGAAGACAGTGTCTGCTCATCTGGACTCTAAGTATACCTGGCAGACCATCAGTCATGTAGATATCAAATGCTGTAGCAGGAGGCTATGTCCCCTTTATAGATAGACATGCAAGGGTGCACCGCCAGACTATTGCATGGCCAACAAGTATTCCAGATGTGATTAGATATAGCCTGCTGTCAATTTCCAACGATCGGACTATCTTATGGCATGCTTTCAATAATTCCTGTAATCACACAAACACCTACTCTCCTCCGACATCGCCGTCCCTGCCGTTAAGATCCTATCCCCAACGCCACCATTAATCATCTGATAACAAGCCGGTACGTCCTGTCCTCCAGGACTGGCTTGCGAAATCTCCACCGCATAAGGCCATTGCTCAAAGCCGCCCGTACTAGAATCCTGCTGCGCTTCTTGCCCATCAGGATAAGTGCGAGGAACGTCCAGATACAGCGTGCCTGTGAAATCGGTGCTGTTGAAGAAACACTCGGCCGTGGCGCCGTTGGATGTTATGCTGGTACTGGGTATGACGGACTTGGACTGGGTGAAGTTGAAGGTCAGGCGGGGTGAGGAGGTGTTTGATGCGAGGGAGATGTAGGTTAGAGATTGATTTGTGAACATAATGCTGAACGGGTTGTTCGTCGAGCTGATCGTCAGGTTGGCCGGGATGCCTTCGGAGGGCGTGCTCGATGAGGTGTTGGTGGTGTACGCGGACGATGTATTCGTGATGATCCAGTTGAAGGTTGCTGCACTGCTGGTATTAGTAGTGCCGTCTGTGGGATTGAATACAGTGTATGGGTAGCACCGCCATGTCGCTGGGTTGGAAGTGCAGCTCGTGTTCACCTCCCGCAAGTTTGTGAGCAAGCTATATTCGCCGAGTGGGAAGACTTGTGTACGGTTGTCGGGCGATGTTGCGCCACTAGGTCCGGCTTGGTCTGCTGAGCTGCTGTTCTGGTGTTTCCTCCCAGCGGTCAGCCCTACACCAAGACCCACCGCCAGTCCCACGACCAGCAAGACCACGACCGCGACAACCGCTGCTCGGCCCCATCCGCCTCTCTGTCGTGCCTTCCGTAAATGTCCACCATTACGCCTCAGCTCAGCAAGCTTCTCGCCCTCCACCGGCGCGCGCAAGTCTTCCTCCCCCTCTATGGGATCAGGTACCCACGTATACGCCGGAGGAGCAGTCCGTCCAGTATCTTGACTCCTGCCTCCCGCACTACTTCGGGAAGCTTGTCTATAAGGCGGTAGTCGACCTGGCGAATCCGGGACGTTGTCCAAGCTTCTGATATGACTTCTCGACTGGCGCGTATTGTTCACACCGGTATCGGGCTGTCCTGCGTTCGCTCCTTCTGTGATGGTAGATAGGCGTATGGACACTGGTGCTGATATGCGCCTTTGCGCGGGCGATCGCAATGCAGAGCCCGCATTGTTCGAGTTGGCGGTGCTCCTAAACAGTGACATGGGCATCGCGTCCTATGGGCAGCTGTCACATGGCCAACGGCACTATCTCATGCTCGCACAGTACATCGTCCTGCTCTTGAAGTCCTCTGATAGATAACAGCAGGAGAGGCTGAGGAGATTCTGAGAGATAACACACTTACCTCTCACGCCAAATCACACCACAGGCCATGGCTCTCTCCTACAAGGTCCTAGCATTGTCGCTAAGCAGACGTGGTTGCACGCGAGCGAATCCTCGTCCTGGCCATCGTCATCATCCCTACCTCACCACCGCGCCAGTCGCTGTACCGTAAACCAATCGGAGCATTCTCTGCACGTGCTACCCCACGGATCGATGCTAGCGCGGGTGATTGTAGGCTCGATATAGACATTTAAATTGACATCGACGTGTTCTTGTTTTTTAGTACGAACGGTCATACCAGTAATTCAGGAACAGGTTAGGCAAGTACGCTGTACACGTACCTACTTCATCGGGATACTTTATATTGGGAAGTCGCGATTAAGTGGCGGTCCGTGCTTCAACATTACTCTCTCACTCTCACACCTGTTGACCTACAGCACTACCTGATGTGAAGTGAGGAGTCAGCAACATCGTCCTAGTGCGTTGAAGAACAGGCACTCCTTCTGTTCAACTTACATGTATCCGATTTGACTGCGTGGCCGACGTTCGCATCATCCGCGATTATGATAAATTAGTGATCAGCATCCACAGGCAAAGCTGGACACCATGCCAGTGATCGTGCTCAACATCAACCAGGGCTCTGATGGCGATGGCCGCCGCCGACCAAAGACCGACGACTATACCCGCAATGACGACCACTGGCTGGATCGCATGGGCGAGGTATGGGCAAAGCATCAGCATATCGCTCAACCAGGCAACACGTACAGACTCGACCGGCTACCTGATGGCTACGGAGGCTATGAGAGGCGACGTGGCGATAGCAAACATGTCGACCGCTACGTCCATGGCCATATTCGAGGTCCTGCCCGTTCAGTACCGGACTTCACTGAACATTTTCTCCACTTGATGGATTATGGCAACGCTGTTGCATGCACGTGTAAGCTGTGCTACGGCGGCAGCAGAAGTACCAACAAGATGATAAGTGGCGCACAATCCGTAGCCGGTAGTACGCGAGCGGGAGTCCCACTGGACCTTCAGCACACTTTCCTCAGCCGAAGAAAAGCGTTGGTCGACCTCCGAACGCAAAGCCAGTTCCTTATCAATATCCGCACGATCAACAGCCTCCACCACAGATTCGTCAGCGTCAGGTGGACGAGGAAGGCACGCCCGACGCTCTACGTCAGCTTCTCGACAAGCTCAAGGCTGCTGGCGAAGAAGGCAAGGTCGATGAGCGCATCATTGAGAGCATGTCACCAGACTGGAGAGCAGGTCACTCAATGCTTATGCAAAGTCTGAAGGAGTGCGCGGAACTGCCAGGCTACATGCCTCGTGCTGGTGAGCTCGTGCTGTTCGTGCGCAATCTCAGCGTTGATGATAGCCTGGGCTGGGACGAAGCAAAACGTACATGGCGAGTCATCAATGGGGGAGTGTGGGCTGAAACGCCTCTATGGGAAGCTGGTGTAGTGGCACAGCTACCCACAGAGCCGATCAGTGCGAGAGATCTGCTTGGTGTGCCTGAAGATAAGCAAAAGAGTGTGATTGAAGCTGGTTTCCGGATCGAGCCCATGTCTCAACCTAACAGCATGACCAAGACCCTCACAAAGCAACACAAGTACGTACATCTACATGCTATTCGCCCTCTGGCTTCATGGAAGGACTGCATGGGGTCTTTGGCAGAAGCCGATTGGCATGCAACTGTGCGCAATGCTTTGATGGCAGTCTCATCGTTCTGCGTGCTTGGCAGATATCATTTCAAGGGCGCTTGGCCAGAAGCAACCATCTTCGCGCATGGCATATACATTGGTGCCGAACTTCTGTGTATCGGAGACACTGTCCGCTTGCAGCACAAGGGCCCGCAGCCAGACATCGCATCCGAAGTTATGATTATCACTGCCATCAAGATTCGCATTGTCAACCTCGACGAGGCGAATGATGACGACCAGGATAGTGGCTTGCCATACGCAACCTGCACGCATGTCAGTGGTCGAGCATTCACTCGTGACCCGAGGAGAAGCTTCGACGGAATTGGTAAAGTCCCAATACCCCAGGACTCCCCAAACTTGCCAGCTCCTCTGACAGGTTCTGGAACATGGTATCATATCAGCGATCCGAAGAAGTCGAAGGCACGCCTCGAAGTACCTTTCCAACGAGTAGCAGGCCGTTGGTTCGAGAGCGTTGCCACGAAGGCATGGTATACGCCACCAAAGAACGCAGCCCCACCTTCGGCCTTTCAAGCCGTCAACGCACGCCCTGCAATCAAGGTCAACGACAATGATATGCCTTCAGATGTCTCCTTCTCGCTTGCTGAAATTCTCGAAGCGCGCACGTTCAGTCAAAACCACGATTCACGCATTGACAGAGCTAACGGTAAGACTTGGTTCTGGGCTGATACGAGAGTACAGCAGCTCGATCTGCATGAGATTAATGGAACTTACGTTGGCGTGAAAGATGACACTAGATCGAAGGAGCAGATGAGTGACTGGCGAAAGGCACTCAAGGCACTGGATGGGAGGCAAGGCGGGATCGAGGAATATCATGCTGCGAGAGAGCAGCGTGAGCTGGCGCAGGCGAAGAGGAAGAGTGAATTGGCCGCTTCAGAATCTGGGCTAGTGGCTGGTGGTGTGCAGACAATGGGTGAGCAGTCGAGCGGCGGTGACGAGGATGAAACACAGGAGGACGAAATAGACGAGGCGGCAGGAGGTGAGGCGATGGAGGTCGATGTGATTGTGCCAGTGGCCCCGGCGGCTCGGATGGATATTGATGATGACGACGAGGATAGCGAGAGTGCTGGAGATGCATTGGCTGCTTTCAAGGCTGCTCCGACCGCCAGGAAGATTCCTGAAGTGATCGAATTAGATGACGATGATGATTGATGATGCATATGGGCGACAGGGTTCCAATGCCTATAGCTTGAGGAGCACACAGGCCATTCGGTGCCTCCTCCGCAACCCAACGACGCAAGTAGCGGACAGACGACGTTGACATGCTTGCGCTCATGCTGCGCAAGATCGCATCGCCACTGGAGACTGTCTGTCGGGTATGCAGCAAAACTGCTCGATCTCTACAGGACCCCAGGTAGCACGTAAGGGGGTTACACACCCTCACGCTATCGTCCTGAGATACATGCAAGTCTCCTCTCCGCTCATGCTCCATTCGTGCCTGCACCAGATGGCTGTATCGCGAACAGCTTGTCAAACATATTATCCGGATCGTACCTCGCCTTTATTTCCTGCAGGCGTGGATAATTGTCGCCGAAGATATCTCGACTTTTCTCATCATATTGCTGTATGTAGTCAGCACGAGCTTTCTCTACGACATCATGTTGCATGAGTGTGGATAAGACGTACATCATAATTACCATAAAGCAGCACCGCATTCTTCTTCCCTCTCACACTTGCACCTCCTTCCACTCCGTCTCCGGTTCGTTCTCCTTTGCGCTCCAGCTCATGCTTGAATTCAAGACTCAAGTCTCGCGCAAACTGTCTACACTCTTTATCATTCTCGGCTTTGCTCCAGAGCGGCATGATCAGGCTGTTGAGATGATAGCCTCGATTCGCAAAACATCCTTCATCGCTCGCGACTACAATGGTCGGATCGTAGAGCTCCCACGCTAAAAGTGAGCCTTGGGCGTCCGGTTGTGAGTCCAGGAAAGTGTTGTACTTGCTTAGTAGTGTGTGGACAAACTCCTCGCGGATGGGAAGGACGAATGCAGCACCCTTCATGCTAGATCTAAAGCCAGGAGCTGTAGGTATCTGCTTATTGACTTCGGGGTAAGATTTCATGCTCGTCATGTCTACCAACGGACCGAGAGTGTAGATTGGCTGGAGCAACTTCTTTGCCTGTGTTTCGTTCCCATCGAAGGCGAAGATGAATAGAGTTACTGTTTGTCCGCCGGCATCTGGTGGGCGGCCGATGGCGAGGAGGGAGTTGAGTTGACCTTTAGTCTTTGTCGGAGTACCTTCACCAGGGACATAGTAAAGGTCATTTACTATGGTCACGAGTTTGCTGATGACATCCGGTGAAGGTGGAAAGACGAGTGTCCCAGCATACACTTCTTCTTGCCGATAAGCTCGAAGAACAAATTCAGTCGTGACGCCGAAGTTCTGACCAGCGCCATTGAGAGCCCAGAAGAGATCTGTATTCTCGGTCTTGCTGGCACGAACGATGGTGCCGTCGGCTGTTACAGTTGTAATGGAGATGGTGTTGTCGATCACCAGTCCTCGAGATCCAGACAAGTGGCCATAGCCTCCACCGAGTGTCAACCCACCTACACCAGTATCTGCAACAGTGCCACCAACTGTGGCAAGCTTGTGCTGCCAAGCTGCTTCATCGACATCAGCCCAGATGCATCCGCCTTGAACATGAAGCTGCTGCTTCTCGACGTCGACCTCAACTTTACGCATCCGACCAAGGTCGATAAGAAGGCCACCATCGGAACTGCTGGCTCCGGCTGTGGAATGTCCGCCACCTTTCACCGCGACATCGAGGTAATGGCTCGAGGCATACTTGATGGCGATAGCAACTTCCTCGGATGAGGAAGGCAAGATTGAGACTCCAGCCGGCTTGACAGCGGCTAACGACCAGCGTTCTATAGATGCCCCGTAGCCTGGATCTGAAGATGTTAGGACATGAGCTTGCGTGCCTGAAAGCAGTCTTCGGAGCTCATCGACGTCGGACTGATTCACCGTTCGTCGCTCGCGTGCCATGCTTTGCTGCCTTTCAGCATTCGTGTTCGATTTCTTATACTTTGACTTCAAGCCTGTATCCAACGTTAGGCAAGTGTCTTGACAATCAGTGAGGAATGATTCGAGGAGTTGGATGAAGTCAGCCTCAGACTAGAACTAGTTCGCTTCCGGCGAAGGGTTACCAACGTCCAACCTGAGCAGTTAGGGCCAGGCGTTTGCAGTGATGTCAGTGAAGGCCTGTTGCGCTTCTTCGTCTCACGAGAACAAGACGGGGGGACGTACTATGGCCGAAATGCTAGTATCCTCAGAAATGAAGTGAAATGAGCTGAGGGCTGCCGAGGATCATTGCGGGGCCTTCTTAATGAAGCTTCCAAAATTGAGCTGAAAACACGGAATAAGTCTTATGCTTATGCATGGACGAGAGTCGGCAAGCTTGCCGTATTATGTAGGATATGATGCAAGACAAGGCATGCTCAAGCCCAATCAGCTCGATTGAATCCAAGCTACTACCTTTTCCACGAACTCCCTCGGTCTCTCCTCCGCGATCCAGTGGCCAGAGCCGTCGACTGTGTCATATCTCACGCTCGAATAGAAAGCCTCGGACGTCTCATTCGACTTCTGCTCATCGGCGAAGCTCTTCCCACCCCACAGGTTCATACACCTCACTTCGCACTTGCCTTTCTCCTTGACCCACTTGTTGTTCATGGCTGCATCAGCTTCAAATGCCCTGTAGACGTTCAGTCCAGCTCGCATGGCACCTGGTTGAGCAAACGCGGTGGCATAAACATCTAAGTCGTGCGTGCTGATCGCAGCGGGATTCTGCGCGTATCGATCGTAAAAGTGCTTCAAGTAGACCCGCTCCTTGCCTGCAATAAGGAGTTCCGGCAAATCCGGTACGGCGTGGAAGGTAAAGTGAAACATGGCCATGGTATTTTTCGTCTCCTCATACAACTTCGATCCAGGTAGAGGGCACTCGCCCCAGCAGACACTTGCTGTACACTCTGGATAGAGGGTAGCATATGCATGAGCAACCATGCCGCCGATGTCGTGGCCTACAACATGGATCTTGTCTTTGAGACCTTCGTGCTCGGTAACGAGACGGAACAGATCTCTGGCCATGATGTCTTTGGTGTAGCCACTCCATGGCTTGCTAGACTCTCCAGCTCCACGATAATCGGGCACAAGGACATGATAGCCAGCGTCTGACAATGGTGTGATTACCCGGCGGAATTGATAAGAGGTCTGTGGAAAGCCATGAATGAGAAGGATAGTTCCTTTGGCCCTTGTGCCTTCTGTAGGCTTGCAGCTTATGTAGTGTAGCAGCACGCCCGGTTCGGGAGATGGAGAGTCCAGTGGCAGATCATCTATGTTGGCCTTATATCTCGTCAGGATAGACTACAAGAAGTGGTCTATGACATACTCTGTAATGCTCCCATCGCGAGTCGTCGATCTTGTTCGCTCCTGTCAGGCCACCAGAGAGAGACATGCTGGACGTGGAATGGCTGCGAGGATTTGGGTGGGAGTGTAAGAATCGGAATGTAGGAAAACCCGTCAAAATGATTAGTGACACATCGGTCTATCTCGCCTTTATGACCACAAACTTTGGTGCTTGGTAGAAGACTACTCCACTGACGCTGCCCCAGCGTCACCTTCAGCGTCACCATTCAGCGCCATACCCAGAGTCGTGCTTGATTTCGTCCTTTGCAGCTTCGGAAGACCAGAAATTCACCACATCGTACCGCCGACTAGCTGTGGATCGTCCATCTCCGGCCGATCATCTTTGGAAGCATGATGGACATTTGGTTTGAAGGAAATGGCAGAAGCGAGGCGGTTGTTTCCATGACTCGTGACGCGTTCCTAGCGGCGCTAGCGTGAGGTCACTGCCCAAAACGCTCTTGCCTTCCCACCATGAACGCGACGTTTCATTCCACCTGAGCGACTCCTTGACTTGTTATTTATGGTTTATCACGCATGAAACAGATGCCACCATCATGTCCACCTTTGACGGCGTAGTCAAAGAGTTCCCAGAAATCCGAATCGACTATTTCCGCCACGGCAATGACGAGGCACAACCACCATTGGCGTACTTTCTCAGCCATGTACACTCTGACCATCTTGCTGGCCTGGAGACCTGCAAATCACCTTTCATCTATTGCTCGCCAGCAACACGAGAAATCTTGCTGAGGCTGGAGAAGTACCCACATCGCATGAATTTCGCGAAAGGGGTAATCGAGAGCAGGAAGCAGACGTATAGTCACCTGAAGAAGCTGTTGAAGCCTATCCCCCTGGACACGCCAACTACCATCGAACTGTCGCCAGGCAACAGCATCCGCGTAACTCTTCTTGACGCGAACGTAAGTGTAACATGGGACTCTATGTGACACATTACAGCATCTGACCATTGCATTCAGCATTGCATCGGCGCAGTCTGTTTCCTCGTCGAGGGTAACGGCAAAGCCATATTATATACCGGCGATGTTCGCAGCGAAGACTGGTGGGTCCGATCTTTGTGCCGTCATCCTTCCATTATACCGTACGTTCCATCAACTGGGACCATGCGGGCCCCTATCAAACCTCTTCACTGTGTCTATCTTGATACCACATTCGCGGTCAAGGACGACATATACAAGCACTTTCCTACCAAAGCAGAGGGGCTGTCAGAAATGCTTCACGCTGTAGCAAGGTATCCAAAGGGCACACTTTTCTATTTCGACTCATGGACTTTCGGCTATGAGGACGTCTGGCTCGCTCTTTCGGCTCGTCTAGGCAGCAACATACACCTGGATGATTACCGCTATAAGCTATATCTTGCACTGGCTCAAGGTGCCGAGCCTCGAGCTGCAGAAGCCGCCAAACTGATTGGTTACCATTGTGGCAATCACTTTATGCCAGGATCGCTGACTGCGAAGCAATCTCAAGTTCACAGTTGCGAGCAAGGCACATGCTTTGACATTTGGCAGCAAGGTCTGTGAGAAAGAAAGTTGTAATGTTTGCACGCTGACCATAGTTCAGACTTTGTCCGAATCACGCCAATCATCACTCGACATAACGGCCAGGACGTGGCAGAGCTGGGCGCTGGCGGAGGCAATGGGGATCTTGATGCCAAGCACGAGCTCGAGCTTGGGGACGCTGCGCTCATTGGGAACCTGATTTCATTGTGTGCAACCAGACTGCAAGACCAGCCACAGCACCAGGCCGAGGTTCTCAGCTTACTCACTGGCTTCATCACAGCAAGAACGTCATCTGTCCCAATGAACGGGTCGATTATTGCGGCAGATGCTGCACGGGTCAGCGACGACAACGACCAAGGCATGAGTATTGACGAAGCTCCATTGGACCGCATCGTGCCGATCCTTGCGAGTCTACTGGAGAGTAATAAGCAAAAGAAGGAGGACGTTTCGACTTCGATGTCGAAAGCTGAGAGGACGCGTCCGGACGGTCTGCCCAAGCATATTGTAAGTCTTCCAAATGGCGGCAACTTCTTCGTACTGATACGGCGCAGACTTTCCCATATTCACGTCACGCCTCATATTCTGAACTTTGTCTCCTCGTCGACGCATTACAGCCTGTCGACATACATCCTTGCACGGTCGACGAGCGGGCTTGGGGCGCTGAGAACTCTATGGGACACTTGTTTGGTCATCTCTACAACGAACCCATCTCTTTCTCGCATGATCAGATGATGCTGAGGAAGCGAGGTGCGCCTGAGTGTAGAGTACTGTCCACCTCGCAGCACTCTCATATGTCGCACGAAGAACAAGAACTTAAGCAGCAGCAGTTGATACGAGCGGAAGAGGACGAGCGGCGTGTGACTAACAAACATGGTAAGCAAACACAATCATTATATCGCGACCACAAGGCTCGAAAGCCTGGCTCACTTCTGGAAGGCACCAGCTGGGCTGAAAATGGTGGGAGTACAGTCTCGAAGCGCAAGTTATTCAGCCCAACGACACCAGACGCCGTAATCGACGCATTGAACATGGCTGCTTGGCCATATGTGCAGGGCTCGAAGGCCGCCTCATCCACGCATAGAGGGCAACGCCCGGGCTCTAGCGCTCTGCAGTCAGCCGATGGTGGCCACGAGCGCTCCGTTCGTCGCCGACTGCACTCACGTGGAAGCGCCAACAATCAACCGTCAGGCCGTATGTCATCGCCGCCAATATCTGGTCGTGATGTCTTGACACGGAACCGTGCTCGCGCCGCAGCTGCGGCTGAGGGTCGCAGGTTACACATTGCAGGTATGGCCCCAGGCACAACAGAAGATGATCTTTTGTCCTTCTTCCGCGATTATGACATGTAAGTAGCCTGATGTCAGTCTCTTACAAGTCTCAGCTGACAACCGTAGATGCAATGTTACCATCACTGCACCGCACGGTATCGCGACTGAGTACACGACTTACGGGTTTGTGGACCTTGGAACTTCTACCGAGGCGGACCATGCTATTGTGAGTCTAGATCGTCTGGTGCTCAATGGCGAACGTGTGGCCATCAAGCTCTCACGCGCGCCAGATTCATATGGTCGCTCCACGCGGTACTCGGGAGACTTTGATGGCCGTCAGTATACCCCTAGCGAAGCTCGATTGACCTCACGTGAGGATGCCCACGGAGCTGCTAGAAATGATTGGTCGCGAGTTGGGCTGCTGTCGACTGGCAGAGGGCATCAGATCAAGGAAGAGGAGCTTTGAGAGAGGCTCAATTAGGGAGAGGGAAGGTAAACACCCCATCAATATCCGCTTGATGCTTCATATTGCCCTCTCACCAAGCACGAGGCGGGTCGGGATACCTGGGTAAAGCCGATAGCAAGTTCATACAGTCGTCCGGACGGCAGGTATCGCAGACAATACCCGGACCAGATGCATGTACATTAACACGTAGCTCACCGGGCTTACGCTGCACTGCTACTCGGCGGTACACTGACCAGACCCTTGAGCTCCTTGTTCTTCCATTGTATTGCTTGACACAAATGAAATAGCACCTTCAGGGTAGGCATCGGCACTCCTAGCTTCTCGGCTTCTCTCAGTGGCTCACCGAGTATGTTTTCGTACTCGATGAAGTTCCCCTTGCGCGTGTCCGACAGCATACTCGGAGGCAGGTACAGGGTCACCGGATCCATTCTACGCAGCGATATTGATCAGCATATACCTGAATTCATGCTGACAATGCACTTTACTGACTCGATCATGTCGTCGACAACACTGTCTGGAAGTTCGTAGCCCGCTTTTCGAGCTACAGCAACGATCTCCTTCATCGCCGGACGAACCAGCCCTGTCACTGCGCCATCTGCAAGACGAATCCGGCCGGTGTCCAGGCCTGTGATGGCACAGATGGAGTTCAGGCATGAATTGTACACAAGCTTCCTCCAGCGTGTGTAGCCGACATTCTTGTCAACTGAGCATTGTGTCTTACCACCTGCCGAGTACCTCCGCACAAAGTCGTCCGCTGCTGCATCTTCCAGCTTAGCAGATACTTTGGGATTTCGGAATGCTCCGATGTATAGAGTATCTGGGAAGTCCTGGACGACTGTTCCCGGCTCTGGCTCATTCGCACCGATCAAGGAGACTCCGGACAGAACAATGTTGCTCTCGAACGCTCGGATCAACGGCTTCTCGATGTTCAGTCCGTTCTGAATCAGGACGATTACTGTCTTGCCTGGAGTCACGGCTGGTCTAAGTAGATCGAACAATGATGGCGGTACGTCTAAATGCGACAATCAGGATTCTTAGATAACTGCGCTAAGGTTTCGGCGCATCGCGATACTTACCCACCACATTCTTAGTCGTACAGACGATATAGTCAAACGGCCGCGAGTCTGAAGCTTGGGGGATCTCATTGACGACTATTGAAGGCTTGAATCCATTGACAGATCCGTGGTCCTGAACGGTTGATCTCAGCTATGCAATCGAGGTCGTCCAGTGACTATATCGAAGGTCTTTACTTACACACGATCTTATCTGGTAGCCCCGGGAGCTGACTGCTGCGAAATTCGATCGACAAACAACAGTGACACTTGCGTGACGGCCGGATTCGAGGTTAAGCGCTACAATTGCTCCGACACTCCCACCACCCACCAACAAGATGTCTGCCTTGGCTTCAGACATCTTCGAGGCAGCACGACAATCCAAGCTAATTGACGTGATTGTGCAGCTGTGGTGCGTGGTGGGAAGCACTCGGAACCCTTCCGATCCGATCCGCGAAGCTTGCCTAAATACTTCGAGATGCTTATCTTTATGGCACAGCACAAGCGTTCATGATTTGCGATAGTGCACCTACAGTGGCGTTTTCGTGATCATTGGGCTTACTGCAATGAGTGCGCGTTTAGGGGTGGCTCAGTGTTCGATGAAGACTTCTGAACCAAACATTCGTGGCGACCTTGATAGCGTTCCACGACCGGCCCAAGCATCAAGCATCCTAAAGCCTACTGGATCGAAGACCTGGGCAACTAAGCTAATGCATCTCTTGCGCTTTGTTCAGAGGTTCGAGAGTCGTTTTATCGCAAAGGTAGTGTAGCTTCGATGTCCTTCCTGTTTTGGAGCTGCCGATAGCTCGACATCCTACCTTGCAATGGTATCAGCGATGTTGTACGCAAGCCCTCCGCCATGTTCTGCAACGGAAGCAGGGTGGGAAAGGTTTTCTATGCTATCGTACCTGCTCGCCCATCATTGGCTAGCACATGCGTGCCGCAATACCGGTGCAGGAGTTCTGACGCCCGCGGAGGATACTTGCAATCTTTGCGACGGCTGGCAATGGCACAAGCGCACGCCATTGATCCAGCGCCTGGCGATTGTACGCAAGCTGCACGCTGATCAGCATGGTTACATCGCGTGACCTTGCCCGTATCGCTTGGACCGTACTCTGATGATAACACTGTTATATGCTCGAGACCTTGCAGTCTTCGAGATAGTCGAGACGTCTGCTAAATCTTTCACAACATGTGTAAGAAGATTCTGCTGCGAATTTTATGATAGCATGCTGACTATCCATAGCGGGCATATCTGGCGGTGAGCTTACCGTGGACATCATTGCGACACGCATACCTCCAGAAGTAGCAAACCCACATGGCCGCAACAGCTTTGCTCTCGACGATGGTATCGCCACACCAGATCCAGGGTATGCAAAACGTGCCAGTGTTGTGGATGTCGAGGCCCAAGGAGAGCGCAGCCCCGGTGTCGTAGAGCGCGAAACATATCCTCCGCCGACTGAGGAGGAAGCGAAGACACTACGCAAGGTTGCCGGGAGTATACCAGCGACAGCCTACTTGCTGTGTATCGTTGAGTTCTCGGAGCGCGCGTCCTACTATGGTGTTCAAACAATCTTCTCAAATTTCATGCAATTCCCGTTACCAGCAGGTATGCCATCTCACATCTACAAGGCCTACTACGTTCGCAGATCATGCTGACCACGTGATACTGCAGGTGGACCAGGTACTGGTGCTGTGCCACCAGGCACCGAAGAGACGGCCGGAGCATTGGGCAAAGGCGAGCAGTTTTCGGTAGCTTTTGGCCTTGTCTTCACCTTCCTGGCGTACCTCATACCGATATATGGAGCCTGGGTAGCAGATGCTCAGCTCGGCCGCTACAAGGTCATTCTCATTGGGGTCCTCATATGCGGCGTCGCGCACATTATCATGATTTGTGGCGCCATACCCTCTGTTCTCCAGGCCGGTAAAGGCATCGCTCCATTCATGATATCGCTTTTCACTCTGGCCATCGGCGCCGGTCTCTTCAAGCCCAATGTAGCTCCCACAATTCTGGACCAGTATCAGCACCAGCGGCCATGGGTCAAGACTCTCAAGTCTGGTGAAAAGGTCATCGTGGACCCCGAGACGACCATACAGCGCATTATGCTGCTCTTCTATGCGCTAGTCAATGTCGGAGCGTTTTACGCGCTTGCTACGACCTATGCTGAGAAGTATATTGGCTACTGGCTTGCATTTCTACTACCAGGAATAATATACTTCTTGCTTCCCAGCCTCCTTTGGTACCTCAACAACAAATTGATCAAAAGACGTCCAGACGGATCTGTCCTTGGCAAAGTGTGGAAGATTTCTACTATGGCTATCAAGAAGAACAAGCTCATGTTCTGGAAGGCCGACTTCTGGGATGCCGCAAAGCCTTCTGTTCTAGCGCAAAGTGGCACTGCAGCTTCTGGGTCGAAAGAAGTTTATTGGACGGACAAGGACGTGGATGACGTCCGCCGTACCATGACAGCTTGTGCCATCTTCCTCTACTTTCCTATCTACAACATCAACGACGGCGGTATTGGCTCGGTATCTACCTCTCAAGGTGCAGCCATGTACACTGGCTCTGCGCCCAACGATCTGTTGAATAATTTCAACCCTTTGGCGATCATTGTGACCATTCCGATCTTATCATACGTCGTCTATCCTGCTCTCAGGAAATACAACATCAAATTCGGCAGGATCGACCGGATTACTGTTGGATTTATCTGCGCGATTCTGAGCGGTGTGGCTGGATCTCTCATCCAGTGGAAGATCTACGACACATCACCTTGTGGTACGATAGCTTCGACGTCTTCAGACATTTACAAGTCATTGACAATGTTTCGCAGGATATTACGCTTCCAACTGCACGGTCGGCAACGAGGTATCACCAATCTCAATCTGGGCACAGATCAGTTTATACACGCTGGGCGCCTGGAGTGAGTGCTTTGCGAATGTGACCGCTTACGAGCTTGCATATGCTAGGTCTCCTGTAAGTATTGGAAGGACCCCTGGCTCTTGCTCACCCCAACCATCTGCTAACATTCCATAGGAAGGAATGAAAGCTCTGACCACGGCCATATTTCTCCTCATGAACGCTCTGGCAAGCGCCCTTGGACTCATACTCACACCGGCAATAGTCGATCCGCACCTGATATGGGTTTGGGCAGGCCCAACAATCGCCTTGACGGTACAGACGGTCATCTTCTACTTCCGGTATCGCAAGTTCAACGACGACGACTTCATGATCTATGAGGAGAAACCGACCTTTTCCGACAAGGATCTATTTCACGAGGAGCACGCAGGTGTACCAGAGACCATCAGCGAGGAAGCTGAAATACCCGACAACAGCGAGAAGACGATCAACAAGGCTTGAGGACCTTGAGATGCTTGCCGCTCTTTTTGAAGTGAAAGGAACAAGATGCTACGCGTGAGACTATGCGTGAGACTCGACTGGTAGGCTATGAAGCTGATATGAAGGATCTGTTGGGCGTTCGTGCTATCGCTAAGCAGCACACCCCTCATTCAAGGTAGAAAACCCGTCTGAACGCGCACATGTCATCATACACACAGAATTCCGGTTTGCCCAGCTCGAAGGTCCTAGTCATCACTTCCCGCCAAGTCCGAAAGCACTCTCGTATGCTAGCTTCTTCCTGTGCAGTGAGTGGTCGCAGTGTGTAAGCCAGAGCCATATGCCACGAATATGTGTCGTGGCCGGGGTGACGCATCTTAAGGATCTCGCTGAGACGGTCCCGAAAGTCCCGCATGATGGGATCACGTCCTTCATCTGGTCGGAGAGTCAGGCCCAAGCCGTCCAGGACGGGCTCGTTGCCATAGACCGTCATGCGTCCCACGCCAGAGTTGAGGCTGTGCTCAAAGTTGGCAAGTCTTGTTGCCAGATGTGCGTGACAGACGTTGAGCGATGTATTGAGTGCGAGATCGCCAGGATAGGAGTTCCGTTGGCGGATCTGATCGGTGACACACTCGTACAAAGTCATATGCCAGCTACTAGAAGGCAAGAAGGAGAAGGCCGCAGACAATTCGTGGCCCTGCAAGATGTCGACGAGTTCCTGGAGATCGTGTCGGAATGGGCTGTCCGAAGTTAAGTGGGCCATAACAGTATTACCTGGAAAGTAAAGGACTGTGCCATCTGGGGAGAACTTGTGGCCGATCCAGCGTGGGTAGAGATGGTGAGGGAAGTCGGCCTTTGGTATTGGCTCGATGCGCTCGACTACTATGTGCTCTAAGGGAGAGCCCATTACTGACATGGACTTCAGTCATATTCAATATAGCAGATCGCTCTGAGTAATGGTGAAAGGAGAGAAGACGGGTGAGCTATTGCTCTATCTACTTATACCGTCAGTGGTCCTGTCCTCGTTGCCGAGCTCTGCGTACAGACCGGGTCCGTCAGCCACGAATGCATTGTTCAGAACGAGAGCAGGACCACGCGGTCATCCAGTAGTATTGCCATGCAGGTGAAGAAGATCCTGCAGGTCGTCTCTGGTCGCTGGACGAATGAGGATGGCCAAGGAGTCCGATGCCAATCTGGAGCCGAGACTGATCTCTCTCAAGGCAAGCAGACTCTCCGGCTATAATTGTTTCAGTTTCGAACCATCCGACTTCTGTAAGACTGCGTCGAGGATGGGGGAACGATGCAACGACTTTACTGGCCGGAAGTCCCTGTCCCTGTAATCAGAGTTTCAGAACGGGGAAGGTGTCGCTTATAGATAACGGGATCGGCTCGAGATAAGAAGCTCTTATACCTCAGTATACCTCCTCCTTCTTCGTCCATGCAACCTCACCAATCGTGAATCGTCAAGGAGGCACGCATGGATGTGAGTATATTGGCCAAGGTCACGGCAATGCGGGCGTCGAACGGAGCTGCCTTCAATATATATATCCATAGTCCCAGCCTTGTCGACTGTCGAGATACCGAAGATCGCTCATAATGGCCCCTGGCATCCCAACTCACAGTACTACGATTGACAGAGAGCTTTCCTCCATGCACAATGCTGGTGCCAGCGAGAGGCTACTGGACGACGCCGAAGATGTCACCCGCAAGGAGCATGAACTTACTTTCTGGGCTGGTATCAAGCTGTATCCTTGGGCAGTGGCCTGGTCCATGACCATGTCGACAACACTTGTGATGGACGGCTACGATTTCAAGCTGATCGGCAGTCTGTTCGCTCAACCACAGTTTGCAAAGGCATACGGCCAAAGACAAGCAAACGGCAAATACCAGATTCCCGCTGCTGTAAGTATTAGTGCAACACACATGATAGGTAACACTTTGTGACTGAGCCATTCTTACAGTGGCAGACCGGTCTCAATAATGGGAGCAACGTGGTAAGTAACCAAAATTCAACATCCACGGACTTCCCTGATTCTGTCGTTGAGGTATACCGAGCAGCTGACAAGGTCTCCTCCGTACTTATAGGGTCAGATGATCGGACTCCTGATCGCAGGCTTCATCGTTGATAGGCTAGGCTTTCGCAAGACAATGATCTCGGCACTCTGTATTGTGCCCTGCCTCATCTTCTTGCAATTCTTTGCGAAGAGTCTCGCTCAGCTAGAAGCTGCTCAAGTCTTGATGGGCAAGTCTCCGAACGCAGCCGGGGCTTTGCGAAAGTACTCTCGTGCTGACTCGGCTGCTCAGGCATTCCCCTTGGGCTGTTCCAGACTGTTACCTGCGTATACGCAGTCGAGATTTTACCAGTATGTCTCGGTGCTTACTTGACGAGCTATATTAGCGGCTGCTGGGTATTTGGACAGCTCATCTCAGCTGGTGTCCTCAGAGGTACACTTCACCTTGATGCACCATGGGCATACCGTGTCCCTTTCGCCACGCAGTAGGTCTACCAAGAGAACAATCTTCGGCACGAGCTGACTTTTCAAAGATGGTTCTGGCCTCTCCCGCTACTCGTAGCAGCTGTCTTCGCGCCCGAGTCACCATGGTATCTAGTCCGACACAATCGCCTTGAGCAAGCCAAGCACTCAATCATGCGCCTTGCATCGACCGAGAAAGATCCCGCCTTCAACGTGGACAAGGAGATAGCTTTGAGGGTCCTTACTACCCAGCACGAGCGCCAGCAGAACGCCGAGATCAGCTTTCTTTCTTGTTTTAGAGGTACTGATCTTCGACGTACGCTGATCGTGATGGGTTGCTACTGTATCACTGTGCTTTCTGGCAGTACCGTGAGGGCATATGCTACATACTTCTTCCAACAAGCTGGGCTGGACACGGAACAGAGCTTCAACATGTCGATTGGGTTGTACGCGCTTGGGCTTCTTGGTCTGCTTGGCACGGTATGTCGATCTGAAATCATGTCAATGTGGGTCGTTGTGTATTCTGACCATGAATAGTGGCTACTCATGCCGTACTTTGGTCGACGCACGATCTTCTTCTGGGGCCAAGCAGTGCAGACAGTCCTGCTACTGATCGTTGGTGGTCTTGGCGTAGCTCAACGCCACGCTTCGAAGTCAGACAGCAGTCTGGCCTGGGCGATCGGTCTATTGCTTCTTCTGTCTTCCTTCGTCGCCAATCTCGCCATCTCGCCAATTCTGTACGCCCTGGTTTCAGAAATACCATCATCACTGCTGAGGAACAAATCAGTCGTCCTAGCACGTTTCAGTAAGTCGTAGCATTCTCACTTCACCTTGACGGGATCCGAACCTGATCTATCACCAGGCTATGCGGTACTCAACGTCGTCGCCAATGTGATCACACCATACCAGCTCAATCCGTCAGCTTGGAATTGGAGAGCATCCGCAGATCTGTTTTGGGCCGGAGCTTGTCTGCTGGGAACAGTCTTCACATACTTCTCCGTGCCCGAACCAAAAGATCGTACGATCGCCGAGCTTGATCTACTGTTTGAGAGGGGCGTGTCGGCAAGGGAGTTTGCCGACACGGAGGTGTCGGTTCGCGACATCGTTGATGGGGCTGAGAAGCTTGAGTAATGGGACGTTAGCATCGAGACATACAAGAATCGGAAGTCGCTGGGACAATGCTACGATCCTGTGATACAGTAGGCATCGTTACGCTGACATTGTCTACCATGGTGTCTGCATTCATTGCTCAATCGTGTGCATTCGTTGTAGGCCTATATCTATACAGTCTCATTGATCACATCACCTTGCTAGGCCTTACACTGGGAGATGCACCGAGTTCCGTCGTCCTCTCCTTCCCCGCAATGTAGATGACCACCGAGTCTGTGGTACGTCTGGTCACAGTGGTGTGCCTCGCAGGAGATTCTGGCTCATGCCTAAGAACCACCTCTCCCATCAGCAGCCGCGATCTGCCTTGCAGCCATGTGCGCCACAGCATAGACCTGAGCCTGCTGATGCACGTTGGTCGGATACGGGAAGACACTTGCGTCCACCACTCTCAATCCCTGAACTCCTTTGACCCTAAAGCCAGAATCCAGAACCGTACCCAAGGCGCAGCTTCCCGTCGGATGGTGGTAGGACTGTGCGCCTCTCGGAATCGACGCTTTGATATCTTCATCGGATATGACGTGACTGCCAGGGTAGATCTCGCGAACAATGAGGTCAGAGAGCAGGGGCGAAGCGAGAACATCCCGCATGCGCTTAAAGCCATACAGGATCGCATTCAAGTCGCCGGCAGAGCCGAAATAGTTGGTGTCGATGAGTGGGAAGGCGAAGGGATCCGTTGAGTTCAAGCGTACGGTGCCTGAAGCTTCGGGCTGGACAAGTGCAACCCAGATTGTCATGGCCTTTGTCGCGGAGTCGGCGGTGTCTGCGATGAGGGCAATGTTGGCATATTGGATTTGCAGTTGTCCGCGGTCGGCTGGTAGAGAGCGATGGAATTCGTTCTCGGGTCCAGGAATGGCAGAGTCGGGAATACGGAGGACGGAAAACGAGCTCGCAGGTGCGTTGGCTAGAGGTCCGGTATGCGTGTCGTACCACTCTTTAGTGATGTCGGACAGGTACGTAGTATTCTGCCACTCGGACAGTGTGTACACAGAGTCTGCCACCTCGATCTCGATTGAGGCGTAATTGTGATCGTAGAGGTTGGAGCCGATGGCAGGCTGGTCGACCAAGACCGGGATGTTTAGGCTCTTGAGGTGATCGGCTGGGCCAATACCAGAGAGCATCAGCAGCTTCGGTGTAGCGATTGCTCCGGCGCTAAGGATGATCTCCTTCGCAGTCACAGTACGCTTAGTGTTGCCGTTGGCTGTATCGGCAAAGGTGACCGACGTTGCTTTCTTCCCGATCATATTGATCTTGGTGACATAGGCGCTGTGCTGGATGTGCAAGTTCGACCTTCCGGCTGCTGGAACACCAAAAGCAGGGTAGGCATATGATCTTCGACGCTCATCTGGCGTGATAAGCTCAAGACCATATGATACACCAATGCCTGTTCCGTCGTTGAAGTCGACCTGTGGAAGATCAAGTACAGTGCGGAGGGCGTTGTTGAAGCTCGGATCGAACCCATCAAGCGTCAGAGCACGTGTGAGGTTCAGTGGACCTTTGCCGTAAGCAGTCGCACTGATGACTTGACCATCATCCCAGTTTGGCGCGATGGCATTCGGCTTGAGCTGCGTCGTGGCCTCGAAGTCGTTAATGAGGTTCTCCCAAGCAAGACCAGAGTTACCAGAGACATTGGCCCACTGGTCGAAGACGGACTTGGCTCCCTGTGAAATGTTAGCGAAGTACTTTACATATGGTCAGAGAGACTGCATTGCTTACTCTGTTGTAGTTCATGTAGTTGACACTTGTGCCGCCACCAAGACCGAAGCCTTGAGCAAGATGTGGTGCCAGCCCACCTAGCGCCTTCTGCGGGGTGACATAGTAGTTCCAGGTCTGCTTGGAGAACTCGTTATTGCCAGCAAAGCCAGGAATATACACGTTCTCGACACCGGAAGTATCCTGCCCAGCTTCGAGCAGCAGGACATTAGTGCCGCATTGAGTGGAGAGGGTGTTGGCAAGGACGAGACCAGACGGACCACCGCCCACGATAATGTAGTCGTAGGCAGCGTTAATATCGTCGCAAGGTCTCGAAGCGTACTTGCACTGTGAGGTTGGCGCGGCATTTGAGGGCGTGCTGATCAGCAACAACGCTGCCGCGAATGCCGTGCACAGCTGAGCTGCCGTCGAGGACAACATGGTTGGTGCTAGATGGTCGGCGTTGAGCCAGAGAAAGGGTATGGTGTGAGACGATTGGTTGAGATGGCTGTTGATGAAGCCAAGTTCTGGTGAGAGCGGATCGATTGAGATGGTTGGATGTAGGTGTAGGAACAAAAGTACCAGGAGTGTTGATGATGGTTCGGAGGCTCGGAGGAAGAACTGCATCTATGTGTTTTTGAGATTGAAGCAGAAGCTTCTCCGGAGACATTCGGTCAGGTGAACGCCGTGTTTCAAGCTCCTCGAGCGTACCTTCTACTTGTGAACAAAGCATTTGCGGCGAGCAAGCATCCAGGGTCTCCCATCCAAGCTCTCGGTCGTGTCTTCTGAATTTGATTGGAGCCTTTGCGCGGAGCGGGCATGCACGGCTCAGTTATTGATTTTTTCAAGCGTCCCTGCTCGTTTCGGACGCAGTCTCGCGCATACTACGGTTAAAGGAAAGGTGTGGTTTTTGCCAAGACTAGGTTATAGCGTTGGTCTTTTCCTCGAGAATGTAGTATAGAGGAATCGACGCCTATATAGCCTATGAGGGCGAATTTACCTCTTCTATAAGGCCACTGGTGTGTGTTGAAGCCAATATAATGCCTAGGAAATGATGATGATTCATCGAGCATTCACCTCACCGACAACATGATGCGAAGGAAATGTACCATCCTTCTTCGAGGCCGCAGTCCTGCTTGAGAGGTATCCTGGCTCAATGTGCTGAGGGTTGAATGCTTGAGGCAGACTGAGATTCAATTAGTGGTATGTAGAAGGGGAGATGGAAAAGAAGAAGTAAATGTAGTGTGTATGGACGCCGTGCAGATGAAAAGGCTTGGCAGGCTCACTGTTGCCCAGCACGTGGCGATCCTTTGTCCATATCGCCTTCGCTTGCTGCTGCTTGCTCGCGGCGCCGCACCACAAGCTGATGGTGCCAAGCCACAATCTGGTTTGTCTGTTATGGCTATGCCACACAGGAACGATACTTCATACAGAGGCCGTGTGCGGACCGGGTGTCTTGCGTGTCGCGCTGCAAAAGTCCGCTGTGACGAGCAGCACCCAGTCTGCAAACGCTGTACAAGACAGCACAAAACTTGTGTCTACAACAAGCGCCATGTCAAAAGCGGACACAGAAGATGCCATCGTACAGACACCATCACGAGCACTGGTGGGCCGACGCCGTCAACTGGTCCTTCGGCGCAAGATGTCATTCACGGCTCGCCACCATCAATACCACTCCATTTCGACAGCAGTGTAGCGTACCGTCCCATGCGTGAATCGATAAGCGCTTCGGCGTGCTCAGCGCTATCCGAGCGGCCACTGCCGTCGGTTCTCTCGCCTTTGATAGCAGAGAACATCTACCTATGTACCACGATTGACTACCTTGCCGCGATTGATGGAGTCCAGTCGTACTCCCACTTTCGTGACAAGTTCGAGTCACCTTTTATTACGCCCTATGATCCGGCGAACTGGAGGACATTCAAGCTTTGTGTATTGGAAGTCGTGACCCGCGATTCGACAGTAGCAGCAGCGACCACGGCAGCAGAGGCAGCTCATAAGGCACGCGTCAGTTGCTTGCCACACGCTCAACCACTCATTCTGTATGCAGCGGCATGCGAGGAGTTCAGGAGTAGGCTTGTAAAGTACAACGATGTGAAGGACTTCGATCAGATCTTGCTGGCGCTGTTCTTGCTGATCTTGGTGGAAATGATGCTACCTGATGAGACTTCAGCAGGGCTTTTGAATACGGAAAGTGGCGTCTTAGCGATCACAATCAAAGAATACCTTGCTCGCGATTCAGCTTCCCCCTTATGTTTGCGCCTGATGTCATGGCTCTTGATCTGCCACGGCGCTGCAAGACGCTCAGGCAACCGAGGGCTGCTCTCCTCAGACCTTCGATCACTCTTCGTTGCCGTGATCGAACCGCACCATCCCCTACCGTCGCTCCAAGCAGCAAGCAACACAGAAGCAGATGGCATCCTTCTGAGCACTCTATCCGAGTCCCTCTTTATCTATTTCGCCCGCACACAAATGCTATCAGCCGAAGTAGCCGAGCTCTCGCACTACCACCGCAGTCGAACAACCGGAGCCGACCAGGAAGAGGTCAGCATCCTCATGTTGGACATCAAAGCACAACTCGAGAGGCTTTGGCAGGACCGGCCAGCACTTATGCGCCACAGACCGGAAGATCTCTACGCCCAATTCAACTCAACCTCAATAGTCACATTATTTGGTCTGCTAAGCACACTATCCAACCTAGTCTACCACACCGAGCTCGTGGAGATTGGCCGGAATCTCTCCCACGAACAGGGTATTACAATCGAAGCTTGGCAGCATCTCTGCGAAATGCGGCAGATCATAGAGGGTTCGTCGAAGCTGCACGGCACCCACCCAGCATTCCTCCGCGCCCTGCTACTTGTTGCCATCGAAAGTCCGCTCGGCGAAGACTCGACATGGGCAGTTGCGGAGATGCGTAAGATACACGATCCGCTCTGCTACTCTGAATTCTTCGCGAACTTCAGCGAGGGACTGGCGGATGCACAGCGGCGAGTCGGGAGACGGGTGACAACGAGATGGTTCAGCATGAGGACTTTTGGTTTGCAATTGCCCTTCCTGTGAAATGGTTTAGTAGATGATGTGTCAATCTCGATTCGGTTGCATATCTATCCAGACAGATCTCCTAACGCTATGCCAGAAAGGGGGTATTCCAAAACATTCAACACCGAACACAGACACCAAACAGCTCAAGATTACGCCACCTCCTGCCGACCACGACTCATGGTCCTAGCCAACCTAATCCGGCCATCCTCCTCTTCGGCCATCCAATTCTCCTCCCCAGGCAACAGAACCGCCTTATCGATAGCAACAGGCAGTCCACGATGTCGTCCTCTCAGCATGACCGCGCACAAGATCAGCTTGCTGAGGGTGCTCCAACTTCCACAAAAGCTATACGCGGCCCATGGAACACCAACGCTAATACCGACACATCCGTATGCAGAAACGATCTCGAAGATGAAGTTGAAGACGCTGAAGACCGCTGGTTGTGCGACGAAGTCAGGGTTCTCGATGATCAAGATCAAGAAGAGAGCCAGCACAATCCACCACGCATCATGGGCGAGCTGAGCGCGGAGCTGTTGGCGGACGAAATGGGAGTTCGTTTCGGCTGGTCTATTACTTCGTCCAGTGATGATCGCATCATGGAGTGTAAGCGCTCTGCGGAGGAAGCCGGGACGAGCAGAACGTGAAGATTTGGCGTCCGCATCGTTCTCTTTCTTCTCTTGCTCTTCATACTGGTCTTCAGCATATATACCCAGCGAACGCTCCTCGTAGACGTTACTGTTGCGGATCGTGATCAGGACTGGGTAGGCGGAGATATACATCATAACGACGTAGAGGAATTGTAGACTGATCCGCAGGCTGGGTAGAGCAACCACATAAAAGCCGCCACTTCGCACGGCGAACGCTTGGAATAAGCCGTCAATGACCCGCATGTTGGTCGGCAGTGTGCTGTTGAGTGCTGAGTTGCGGATGTTCAGGATCTCGAAAGCAGCCCAATCTGTGCCATTCAACACAACCACAGACATTAGCAGCCACCAGGTATGCTGGCTAGGAAAGAGATTGGTATAGCAGCGTCTCGGGTGATCCAGCAAGAAACGCAGTGTCTTGGCTCGCTCCTCCCACTCAGCACCAACGAAATACTTTGTTTCGACCATCCTCCACATGCACCAGACGATGAGGCGCAAAAAGACTGGGAAGCAAGTGTTACCTGCTAATATCAGGAGACTCATGGTGATGAGGAGGTAGTATGCATCCTGGAAAGCTGTCATGTTCGCATCCAGAGGACTCATGCCAGAGTTATTGAAAGCTGAGACGGCATTGAAGGCACCCACCCACCAAGGGTTCAGACCGTTCGAGCGCGCAGTATCTGCTCGGTAGTTTGCGACCCATGCTGCGCATGCGACCGAGCCGAGCAATTGCCACAGGACGAAGTATGCTGGTACCAGCCAAGCTAGAAGCGATACAGCACGATACTCGTAGCCACCAAGCTTCTCGCGTTCTTTCTCACTGAGACCATGGAACTGGCTATTGCGCGCCAGCCAGCCGCTGAAGTCTTTGTAATGACGTCCTGTAGGGAAGGGCTGAAGTTCTGGTCGCTCCTGAGAAAGGGAAGCTCGAAGAGGCGACTGCGGTCCGAGGCTGGAAGATGGTCGTGCTCCAACCCCTTGCATGTTGAATAAATTGCTGTTCCGTCGCCGCTTTACAGGAAGAGGCTGTTGGCCGGGTGTTTGCGCACTGAAACGCGTGTCACCGGCGAATGTTATTCCTCGATGCGGTGAAGTTGCTGATGGGTCTTCTGGCAGTATATCCGGACTCGGGAGTTCATCGTCCATTTCAGGACCACCACGTCGACCCGGAGGTGTTAGATCCCGTTCTGCACTATAATCGTGCGCTCCGTCCCGGTCGTGCGTTCCATCCAAAGAGCTATACGGCTCTACTTTCTCGGTACTTTCCTCCTTGCTATGTTCGGCGGAGCCCTCCTGATCGGTGTCCTCTCTCTTCTCTTGAGTCTCGGAAGTCTCACTTCGCTGCAAGTCCCCGGACCTTCTTCCTCGCGTCCACGTCCTGATTCGTGAGCGACTCCTGCTGCGACCACGCCGTCTCTTGCGCTCCTCTATGATATCTTTGAACTTCCTTTCAAACGTAGCCTTCCTGACCAAGACAACCCAGCCCGAGACCCAGATGGCGCTACCCAGCATGATCAAGAAGAAGAGTATGATCTGCTGGAAAGAATTCAGCTCGCTGAGGTTGACGGTATTGAGACCGGCCTCTGTCATGGCTGACACGCACAAGAACAGGCTGTCTGTAAAGGAGACCTTGTAGTCGGTATTGCTGCCCCAGAATATTATGGCAAAAAGTAGACATGTTGCGAAGAAATAGATGTAGTGTATTGTTATGAAATTCAGAGGTGGTAGCTGTCGCCGTACGAAGCGTAGGGGTCTTTTGAAAGGTCCAAGACTAGGCATCTTGATTCCAGCCATCGTGAGGATATATCGGTCGGATCCCAATCACTCCTGGTTATCGTCTGATGTCCTATGCTCTCCTCTCGCACCCAGGCATGTCCAGCCAGAGTGTTCGATTGCTTATGTGCGAGCCGCTGATCCAGCTACGCGTCCAGGGAATCGTCCGATATTCTTCAGCCTGATGTAGCATTATGAAGGCTCCTTCGACTCGACATTGAAGTGTTGGTGGGAACCTACGTGTCGGACAAGCAAGGTCTACTTAGCCTAGCAGGTGAGACCTCTTGCTGTCTGCAATGATCAGTCGCGTTCGGCAGGGAATTGGAAGAGATGACGGCAAGTCACAGCACAGCCGCAAAACGGCAAGCCTTCGCTCCGACCCGCTGTCTGAGCCACAACCATAATGGCGGATCGGGTTCAGAAGGTAAAGAATCTCACCTCACCTCGTTCTCGTTTTCTCCTGCTCATATCGTGCTTCATGTACGGCCTGATTGACGACTGTATACTTGCGATCTCCATGATCACTGCCAAGTGTTGGACTCGGATTTGGTCGCGAATACGGCCGCTTGGAGAATGCCGCAAGCAATCTTAGCGATGCACAGCCTGATCGCAAGCCTTGCCAACGTAATTTAGACATTGGGGGCCACGAGATCCGCAGGATGGCCAATCAAATCATCAAATTAAGTGCTATTAGCGGAACGCGCACAACTCTGCCGTGCTCGCGGTTCCTAGGATAGGAGCTGCCTGCGCTACCGCGAGCCGAAGATGAGAAGCCTTCTTCGAATGGTTGGTAGCACAGTGGCCGTCATATTAGAAAAGTAAGGCTCCTCATCCCACTTGGACGTTGTCTTGCTCTCAGCTGTCTCTTTCCCTTTTGTTCGCGCCTGTGAGCAGCCTTGCTCTTTGACGGGAGCACTCCGATCTACTGACCTACACCGTGACCATGGTCGCTACTACCGCTGTTATCGCAGTACTAGCACTCCTGTGCACAACGCAGAGTCTTGCGCAGAAACAATGCTACTGGCCGAACCACGCGCCAGCTGCCAACTATACCGCGTGTAATGCCGCAGGAGACCAGAGTCACTGCTGCAGGAAGCACGAGACATGCCTCACCAACGGTCTGTGTCTACAGACTCAGGGTCTCGCCAATAGAGAGTCCAGAGGAGCATGCACAGACAACACATTCAGCAGTCCCGCCTGTCCACAAGCCTGTGCCGATGGTAAGTCAGCTCGCATTGCATTTGCTGAGGTCCGAATGCTGACAATATCTGATAGTGGCAACGAGCAACTCCTTAACCATCTTCTTAGCTTACGACGATGTGACCAATAACGGTGCATTTTGCTGCGTACTGCCATACAATAGCACCACAGGCCGGTGTCCGGTGTCGACGAAAGGGAGCACCACGCCCTTCGACCTCGATCCGTTTCAGGTCATAGTGGATCGAAGCAATGGCGCAACGCTGCCTATAGACGGCACGGACTACGTCACGACATCGAACGCAACCTCCACAGGCTCGACCGCCGAGACTACAGTCTACCAGACCACGACCGCAACAGCACAAGCCAGCATTGCACCGATCGCAGCAGGTATTGCCGCCCCACTCGGAATTCTACTTATAGCCGCCCTGATAGCATGCGGCGTCCTTTTCAGCCAAGTCCGTAAGCTTCGTCGCCAAGTCGACGACCAGGGACAGGCGCATACGAGGGACCCTCCTGGTGCGGCACCGAGTTACGACTACAAAATTGCGTCGCATGACGGTCGCTCGCAGGAGGCGCAGCCATTGTATCATAATGCTGGTTGGGGAGGTCATGGTGGCTCGCCGCCGCCGCAGATAGCGCCCGTCGAGGCTCCAGCCAGTACGGAGGTCACTGAGGCTGATAGTAGACCTGTGGGGAAGTTTAGATGATGGCGGAATATGCGAGACCTAGATTTGCTTCGTATGGACATTTAGGACTCCAATTCAGCATCTCTGCGAGTGCTGCGTTAGTCAGAGACAGTGATGGCCGAGAACGGGTGTCGTCCAGGCCATGTAGACATGTCGCTTCCACGCCAGTCTAGCTTAAGAGGTACCAGGGCCATATATCTGCAATTTGAGGAATGAACCATTGGGCTGTAGTGATCGACCTCAAGAGGGAGACGTACTCGGTCTGAATTTTATCTCCGTCTCGACTTCCGCATGGGGACAACGCTCTTTAGATCCGCCGAATGCTTACCCAGGTGAAGCAGAAACTCTCCAGCCCCACCACAGAACATGAAAGGTCGTTAAGTCTTGTCTTACGAATGAAAACCTGCATCATGTTTATGCATGCTTTACCAAGTCATCGCTGACAAGTCGTAGCCCTAAGTAGCATCCGTTAGTCGGAAGATCCTCACAAACAACGTTGATGTTGCACAAGCTATATATATCTCTGTGCTGGACGGCCGCCGCAGATCTCATGCGTCCCACATGTTTCTCTGAGACATGGCTTACTTACCTTACATCACATCTGTACTTGTGACCCTTATCGTCTACAGACTCTTTACGAACTGGGCACATCTTCGACAAGCACCGGGACCTTTCCTGGCGAGCCTGACGGACTTGTGGCGAGCGTGGTATCAATACAACGGCAAATTGCGAGGAGAACTTCTGAAGTTACACCAGCAGCATGGCCCAATAGTACGGTATGGAGTCCGCAGTATCAGTATTAGTGATCCAAGTGTTGTGAATGTGGTATATGGCAGTCGTGCAGGATTCACTACTGTAAGATCGATGATGACTATATTTCAGAGCCAAGTTTCTCGTACTGATCCAACACAGGCAGATTCGTATAACGTCTTGATCGGCATTTCGAACGGGAAAGAGGTCGCTAGTCTGGTGAGCACGAACGACGAAGCTCGGCATGGAGCTCTTCGTCGATCTGTCGCGGGTGCTTTTACGCAGACGAATGTCATGGACTATGAGCCGCACGTTCACGAATCGATCCTGGAGCTGCTTGAGCTCTTGTCGAGGAAAAGCACAATGGATTTGGCGCAGATCATGTTGTATTATACCATGGACTCTGCTGCTCGATTCGCCTTCGCTGAGCCGCTCGGGTGTCTGGCCTCTGGAACAGATGTCGGTGGCTCAATTCAGACGATCCGCGATAGGTTCAACCATTGGGGCTGGTGGTCATCTATTCCGGCTTTGGAGCGACTGGTGTACCGAAACCCTATCGCGCTGCGATCAAAGCGCGCCCTTTCCAGTATGGCAGCGACAGCAGTCAAGAAACTCCAAGATCGGGCTAGCAAGCCCCAGGCCACAGGTCAGACACCAGATCTGCTTACCAGATTTCTGGAGTCGAGCAGGGCAAATCCTGATGTTCTGGACAAGACGGGGATTATCGGCATGCTAATGTCCACGATATCTGGTGCTGGCGACACCACGGCTACGACCGTCAATGCCAGTCTATACTGGTTGATGAAGCACCCAGACGCACTCGCAAGACTGAGGCAGGAGCTAATGGATGCTCAGATTGATCGTCCCGTGCCACAGTACAATCAAGTCAGCAAGCTGCTTTACTTAAACGCGGTGATCAAGGAAAGCATGAGACTGTTCCCGACAGCGGTATGGCCCATCGAGCGACGCGTTCCGGAAGGTGGAGCGACCATAGCAGGCGTGCAATTCCCCGAAGGCACGTCAGTTGGCTGCCTGGTGATTGCACTACATCTCAACCCATCAGTATTCGGACAGGATGCGCAGCAGTTTCGTCCAGAGAGGTGGCTGACTGAGGACGCCGACATGCTGAAGAAGATGGAACAGGCGCACATGGGGTTCAGTCGTGGCAGGCGGGTATGTTTGGGTCAGCATATTGCTGTATTGCAGATAAAGAAGGTTATTCCTGCGCTTGTGATGGGATTTGAGGTAAGTCGCACACGTCCTGAGGAACGTCCGAGAAGCTGATGCTCGGACAGATCTCTTTGGTCGATCCTCACGCCGAGTTGAAGGCCGACTTCTCGCCAGCTGTTGCATGCTTGGAGCCATTGATGGTCAAAGTTCAGAGACGGAGGTGATCGCGTTCGATATTGATATCGCCAACGTGTGTGATGTATTTCACTCTCCCGCGAATCACAAGAGTCATCGGTGTGTCTGAAAGAGTACCATTGTCGTGTGGAGTCGAGGTGACGGAGTGTTGCTGTCGATTGAGCACGGACACAAATCGACGCGACGCGACGCGACATTGGCTCCACATTTATTCTACACCTCAAACCAGCTTTACCTCCCATCAGCCGGATCCCTTCCGTACAACACATATAGGTTGCCGATTCCAGGTGGGAACAATAATGGTCCCATGCAGGCCGTAACTGGCTGCTTGCGACCGCTCTTGCTACCGACGGATCTGCGATCAGAGATGGCGAGAGCGTGGCGATCTCATCGTCCTTGCAAGTCCAGAACAAGTCATGTACAGATCTAATGCCACCTGAGCTGTCCGATGCATCGCTTGTACAAGGTCTGACATCTAGTGTGTCACCCACCATGTTCCCAGCCATGCAGGCGCAGGTCTTTGCCAACGAGCGCTTCTCTCGGTCTGGCCCTTCGCTCGAGAGTACATCTTCCTACTCGACTGTGGTGCAACGCCGCAATGTCCGCAGCTTTTCAACCAGCTCATTATCTTCTGGTGGCTCTTCGGTGCTCGGTAGAGGGCCTGTAAAGCCTACCGAGCGTAGATTGAGCCTCTCAGCAGTGTTCAGCCGTGGCGCCGAGGCTCTACGTGGCAGTGACTGTGATCGGCCAATTGTGAAGCTCGTGGACGTTGATGAGGATGTTGAAAATCCTTGCACAATTTCTGACGCCGGCGAGTCCATCGACGGCAATATCACGATTGAGGAAGATACGGTCGAGCAGCCTGCCAGATGCCGAAGGGGATGTGATGGACTGGCCGGAGTCTCCGGCTTCAAACACATTTGGAAGATGGCTCAGCACACTGAAACGCAGGAAGAGAGATCCACTGCCGCTCACAACCCGTATGCAGCGCTGGACTTTGGACGATTTCGACTCCCCCCAGATATCGCCATTGAGGCCGGAGCGTGTCCATCACCGCCGGCATGGCTCGCGCGCATCATCTATCGCATTCGTCACTGCTGTCAAATCTGCAAGCGTCACGATCGCCACAGCGAGCATTGCCACCATATCACAGCGCAATAGTACCGCACGACGTGCGCAACATCAAAGCAGTCTTTTCTCCGGGTCAGATGCGCGAAGGTCACTGGACATACGCAGGCCTCATGTGGACGACGCTGCTATGACACGTTCTCACCGTAGACGCGAGAAGCTGGTTGAACTCCTACACACCGAAGAAGGCTATCTAGCGGATCTGAAGGCTCTCTCGAGTGCACGAACTTTTCGCTTATATTCCTTCATGATGTTACGATTGTGCTGACCTCGACATAATAGTCACTCGCGACACTGCTCGGACATCTAACGCATTGTCAGTCTTACATACGGCATTGTGCTTCCGCGACCGTGTCGGCGTTGATCACGCTACATCATACTATGCTCAGCCAGCTCCGCAATGCAATCCCCTTTGCAGATACAGATCATGTACCTCGAAGGCCCGGAGGACATGTCAGGTGGTACAGCACGGATAGTGCTGTTCGAGATCGACGAATTGACAGTGTATGCCGGCCAGAGCGACGCTCTCTCAACCTAAACCGGTCATCGTCTGGCAGCGGCGAGCCTCTTCGTTCGTGCGAGCCGCATACGGTAAACACGGTGACAGAAATCTTCAGATCAAATCTACCCTCGTTCGTGGCCTATGACGATTTCGGCGAGCACTATGAGCTCCTCCGACTGACGGTCGTTGACTCGCAGCAGTCAATACAGAATTGGTGAGTACTACAGTCATTGCACTCTTACTCTCATACTGACCGTGACAGGCCCGAGTACGATGCCGCATTTGAGACTCTCGCATACACACTCAATCCTTTGCAGCGGCGCAACGACAACCAGAAGAGAGCCTTACGTGTCCGGGATCTGCTCATCAAGCCTATACAGCGCTTGCCACGGTATATGCTTCTATTTCAGGATCTTCAAAAGCTTACGCCGGTATGCGATGACCCAGGCGCCCATGCTGGTCTTGAGGACATTGTAGGACAACTAGAAGCGGCTTGCGAGCGACTCAATCGCAGCCGTCGAAGCCTTGATCACACCCGTGTCCTTGATTCTACCTGGCTGGTCAGCGAGCGACTCAGCTTTCACAATCAGCTACCTCGTGTGGCTTTTCTGAAACTACTTGGAAATGTCGAATTATGTGGGTGTCTACACATCGCCTATCGCAGCAAGGAAGAGATCAAAGGTCGATATGTCATCAGCGTTCTGTTCGAGACAACTCTACTTTTGGCTATTGTGGACGATGCCGACACGACCTACAACGTGCTCGCCGGCATAGCACTGGGTAATGTGACAATGGCAGAGACAGACAATGGCCGTGGCTTGCAGTGCCACACAGCACCGCACTCCTGGAAGCTTGTCTACGAGCATCAGACGAGGATGTACGAGCTGATCTTTACAGCCTGCTCCGGAACAGAGGCCAGAGTCTGGCGTGAGCGGATCGCGCAATGTGCAATGTTGCAGACAAAGGTCGCTGCCGAGAGCAATCGAGGCAGCTTCGAACTATTCTCGCCACTTGTGGATGATATGAGGACAATAGGTAAGGCGATGGGCAAGGCCGGCAGTTTTGTTCGCCGCATGTCTCACGACTCGATCCGCCGAGCGGCGACCGTCGCCAGCACCACCAACTTGAGCCAGGTCATCATTAAGAACACACAGGCATGTAAAGAGGCTCTAGACCCAGCGCAGGCGACACTGCAGATCCCTCGGTCTCAGTCTGTAGCTACACCTAGCCATGTGCAGACGCTGGCCCCTCGACGCGCCGAGAGGATACGCATAGAAGCCTTGCTCAGCGATGTCTGGACAAAAGACGTTCTACCTTACCCTGGCATGACACCACGCCGCTCTGATCCTATCCGCGCTTCGGCCAATCACGTCATGCGCAAATTCAGTATGGCAAGCATAACGAGCAACTTCTCGACTTCCAAGCGCAATGCTTCGTACTCAAGTATGAGCAGTAGCCGCAAGGAGGATATGCCACCTCCAAGAACGACTGGATCTGGACGTGACCGGAGGCCGACCAGACCTCCGCCTGTGAGTTTTCAAACTGCACCAGATGCGTTCTTGCCTGAGGACTTCACCGTAGGTGGCACCATGCCTAGAACTAAGCGATCTGCTTTGCGCACTCTCACCATGACATTGGAGCGACCATTCAGTCCGGCTCCAAGCGAAAGAAAACCTGAGCCACTGCGTCGAGCGCAGAGTGTGCATGATGCGAACAGCGCAGATACGCCTCCAGCGTACACTGTCGTGCAACAACGTGCAAACACACCCGCCCCGTCCTCTACAGGGCAAGGTACAGCAGGAGCTAGCGAGGCTGGAGCCACGACACCGCGCAAGACTCAGAGCAAGAGTAGGCTGTTGCGGATGTTTGCTTAGGTGGAGGAGAGCCGTGGTTGATGATAACGGAGATTCGTGTCGTACTTTGGTTTGTTATCCTGGATGATGATTGGACACTGCTGTTCAGATAGTATTAGCACTTGGCTTGTCGTAAGAAGTCTTGGTATTATCAGCTTCATCCGCATTGGCTCCGGCACTGGATCGTCGTTGAGACATGCTATGCGCAGGTAAAGGGACACCCAGTTGCATGACTGACAGCTGCCTAGGCCGAAGTCGAGATAAGAGTGACGATCGGGGTGGTCCACCTTCCTGTTTGGGCCAGAGTATCTTGATACTCGCCATACATTTGCGGGGTGGTCTCATACCCATGTGCAACGCACTGCACGCGCAAGACCCTCCACAACGGCTTCGATGAGCATCATTGCCATGATAAGCACGGTAGATCGGCTCAACATGGTTCGGAAGCATGAGGAGCGGCAACGTGCCAATGTTGCATGGCGGCAATCGACATTTCTCTTCTACATTTTAATATCCATCAGTTTCCAGCCCGTCCAGAGGTAATCTATAGCACTTGTGCTGCACACCCCAATCAACATGTCCATCTCCAATGGCACAACCAAGGCAGACGAGAAGTCTTCAGCTTTCGCCAACCTCGACAGTCGTCGACTCTCTCTTAACAGCGATGAGCAGACAACCACTGTCGTCACAACGCTTGCCGATGCGGACGAGGCCCTTGCCTTTCTAGAGAACCATCCACAATCAGCTCTAATAGCAGAGCAAGGCGCCGCGATACTCGAAGATGAGAAGTCCCGCCGACGACTAGTGCGCAAGATCGACCTCACCATCGCTCCATTACTGGCATGCGTCTATTTTTTGCAATATCTCGATAAAACCACCTTATCGTACGCCGCCGTCATGGGTCTCCGCAAGGACACCCATCTCAAAGGCCAAGAATACTCCGACCTCAGCATGCTCTTCTACATCGGCTTTCTTGCAACCGAATTCCCCACCCAATGGCTTGCCCAACGCCTTTCCCGCCTCTCCCTCTACCTAGGCGTCAACATCATGATCTGGGGCGTCGTCCTCGCCTGCCACGCCGCCTGCACCGACTTCGCCGGCCTGGCAATCTGTCGTACGCTTCTAGGCGTTTTCGAATCCTGCGTAGCTCCCATCTTGGTCATGATCATAGCTATGTGGTACAAGAAAGAAGAACAAGGCCGACGGATAAGCTGGTTCTACGTCTGCAACTCCCTCACCCAGATTGTAGGCGGTGCTGTCGCATACGGAGCCTCGTACGCCCCAACCTCAGGCCTGGCAAGCTGGCGGATCTTCTACCTCGCCATCGGCGCCCTGACAGTCGTCTGTGGAGGGCTCGTCGCCATGTTCCTGCCCGACAGTCCGGTCAAAGCCCGCCGCTTCACGGATGCCGAGAAAGTGGCTGCTCTCTTGCGCACGGTATCCAATCAATCCGGAACTCAGAACTCCAAGATCAAGAAAGAGCAGATCTGGGCCACTTTTCGAGATACGCGAGTATGGCTCGTCTGCCTCAGCGTCCTTTTATCCTCTATCCCCAACGGCGGAATCAGCAATTTCAGCTCTATCCTCCTGACCACGTTCGGATACACCTCGCAACAAGCACTCATCATGTCGATGCCTGCGGGAGCAATCGGTGTAGTTTTCGTCCTCTTCTCCGGCTGGTTGTCAGACAAACTCAACGATCGAAGCCTCGTAATGTTCGTGTGCATCTTGCCTACGATCTTAGCCGGCGCAATGATGATCGGGTTTGATCCCAAGGGCATACCACTCAACAAATCCGCTCTACTAGCCGCTTCCTTCTTGTCCGGAACTTTTGGCGCGGCATTCATGCTCCTGCTCGCCTGGAACGCCTCAAACATAGCCGGCCATACCAAGAAAGTCACTGCGAACGCTCTGACGCTCGTCTCGTTCGCCATAGGCAATATCCTAGGCACACAGACATTTCAGCAAAAGGAGGCTCCAGGCTACGTACGTATGATAGATATTCAGACAACCACCAATAGACACTGACACCTTCCCCCTAGATCAGCGGCAAAGCAGCCATCATTGCCACCTTAGGAGCCCTATGCTTTGTCATCATCGGACTGAGAATGTCAAACGATCGACTGAACAAGGAGAACGCTGTCAAGAGAGCAGAATTGGGCGAAGAGGAGCAGAAGTCTATGAAAGACAAGCTTGCCTTTGCCGACCGCACGGATCGCGAGAATATCTTCTTCATGTATACTCATTAAGAGGGCACCAACAGCGAGTTCTCATTGCTAGAACGAGGAAGGTGATGATGTGTATGTAAGTGGTAGTCCACATTCAGAAAATTCATTACTGGGCCATGATGTTGCACAGAAGCCGCGTCATAACCAGAGACCGGATATCTACCTACACAGTACATCACCGAAGAACTATGCCCAACAGCAGCCAGTCGGTCGCTCCCAAAGTTCAACCCAACAAACACATCAATACATAAACTCCAGCCCACGCCGTCGCTAAAAGCACATCATCATAACTTCATAATCCCAACCCCAACCCCAATCGATCGATCAATCAATCAAGCTCAATAACAACCATCTCCGCACTCTTCTTCTGCTTCGCCCTCTCAACCCCCCCCACCCCCACCCCCTCCTCCCTCTCCAAACTTCGACTCCTCACCCCCGTCTTCTCCTCAGCCTTAAACCTCCACCTCCCATCCGCCTCCACAACAATAGCTCTCGTATTCAACCTCCCCTCCTTCTCCAACACCCCCCTCACCTCAACCAAAAACCCATCTTCGATCAAGGTCTGCGGTCGTACGCCCTTGCGACAGATGGGACAGCGCCATGTATCCACCGTGCTCGGAGAGCCCGGCGCGGCGTTCTTGGGTGTCTGGGTTTGAGAGAGGAAGATTTCGAGGTCGAAGGGGTCGCGATGTTTACAGTTTTCGCCTCGGACGGGGCGGGCGAAGATCTGGGAGCCGGAGATGGGGTCGAAGAGTTTGAGGGTGAGGGTACTGGAGGAGATCGTGAGGTCGTCGTCGTCGGCGGTGTCTGGTGGGGCGGAGAGGGAGAGCTTGATGGCTTTTAGGCTCTCCCCCGCACTTAGCATCTTCACATTCGAGACTAGAGACTCGTGACTCGTGACGCCTACGACTTCGATCCCGACGGCGTAGTTGAAGTCTGAAGTATCAATTGTCAGTCTGATGTTGACTACAGTCAAGGTATTCGTTCCGGGTTGGACGAGGTGGGTGACGTCGATGGGTAGGTAGCGACCATGCTGGAGTTTCCTCCTAGTCTCCAGTGGTGTGCCGTTCAGGTCGAACATGACGTTTTCGGGCCATAGATTATCTGCTTCTGTCCAGCTGCTCAAGGTTGGGAAGCCGGTCTTCATGTCGATCTGACAACAGCGGAGACGATATTGCTTCGATGACTCCAATAGAGATTGCGTTGGTCGCTGTTTATTGCTGCCACCACTAATAACGGAAGGAAGCCTGTCCATGCAGTCGTCCCGTAAGTTGAAGGTGAACGCCTGCATCGGCATGTCCTTGTCAAGGTGCTCGGGCCCTAATGCGCAATCCTCTACATATCGATAGAGCTTCGGCTTCACGTCGTCGACATCGGCAGCAGATAGGATAGGACTAGAAAGATGTGCTTGATGTAGTGCCGACTTTGTACTATCTGGATGCGTCGGCTGTGCTCGTGGACAATCATTAATTCGCGGCAGTATGCACCGCGGATCATGCTGTAGAGGAGGCGCAGGAGGCTGCAAAGGCAGGACAGGGGTAGGTCTACTCTGAGATTGCCGAGTCCGCCCACCTCCGGCTGCGTTGATGAGGCAGGCTTGCTGGTTTTGCAAAGCAGTCACGTTCTGCTCCATCAGGAATTGCTGCTGTTGTGGTGAGAAGAAAAAGGGTGAGGGTGCGTTGCCGCTTCCGCTTGGCTGTCGGTGATGAGCAGGAGCAGGTGGGGCAGGGTTAGGATTAGGATTAGTAGCAACGAATGGGGGCTGCATCCCGAATATCTGCAGGACATCGTTCGGTATGTGATAATGTGGCATACCCGCTCCACTGGCTGCCGCACTATTCCTGTACATATCATCGTGGGTCTTCCATCCAATGTAGACTCTGTACATCGCCACATACGCCGCTTTCTTATTCTCAGGCGACCAGAATAAGCCACGATAATATCGCGCTTGGTCTTGTTGATGAAGCGAGACGAGAGTCTCAATGCCGGACTCTTGGTGAGCTGGCTTCGTCTGCGACCAGAAAGTGCGCGCTATAGCTCTGAAAGCCGTGGTCTGCAGAATCGGACTGTATAATGACAGTGAGCAGGCCATGTCTTGGACTAGCGGTGGCGCGAGGCGTTCGATACTCGCGTTGACGAGCTTGTCCCATTCTTTCGGTAGCTCGCTCAGAAAGGTACAGACATGAGCGACTTGAGTCTCATACGCAGCTCTGAAGCCTTCCAATTGCGTGGAGTACACGTCCATGACTGGTACAGGAAACTCGGCGAACCAATTGATACTAGGCGGTACGAGACTGTTGTTGTCACATAGCAGAGATCCCAATCGTCTCCAGCTCTCGCGCCCAACACCGCGTATAGATTGAGGTAACTCTTTCTGTCCGCCTGGCTTGGAGTTGAGGCAGAAGAGCTGTGAGAGGACAAGATAGAAGGAATCGTTTTGCACGACCGCGTCCCGTGATAACGTAAGACGAGCGACATCGTTTCGCGTGTTCGCACCAGAGGGGTCGAGATTGTGTAGTCGCTGTATCTGCGTTGCTATTGCCTGGCAAAGGACATTGACGTCGAAGTACTGCGCAAAGGTCTGAGTAGGGACCGCCGCAGGGTTGGGAACAAAGCTGGTTGATTGGCCAGGTGGAATGAAGACCGGTAGTTGAGGTGACTGTTGACTGTATTGGGTCGGGAGCATTCGCGGCGACGCATTCGATGGGATTGTGTGCATGAGTGTGGAAGAGTGCTGTCTTTGCAACCGCGAGGGTGCATTCGCTTGAATCTGTATGCTCAGTGATCTCCGCGGAGAGTTCGCTTGCACCTGTACACTCGGTGATCTCCCCTGCAATGCTGCAGAACTTGATGTCACGCGTCTTGCAGGTGCAGCCCACATCGGTCTAGCCTGCGCAGCCGTGGGTGAAATAGTAGCAGCAGGAGTCTGTATGCCGTCCTTTCTCGGTCGACCAGGCCCACGACGTGGCTGCGGCTGTGTCTGTGCAGGAACTCCAACAGATACATTGCTGATCAATGGAGAGTTGACATTATTCTCCTCACTTGGTGCTGGGGATGGGAGTCCTTGCTCGCCTGCAGGAGTTCTTGGCCTCGAATCGAGGGACTTCCTGCCACTCTGAACAGTCGTACTTGCAGCTTGCGCGGAAGTGGATGTATCGTATGGCGACTCATACTCAACCAACGTACTGCCTACAGCTGGGGCCGCCATTGACCCCGCCGCCTCAGCATCCTGCCCGACGGCATTCGGGGTCTGCTGTCCTCCTGTACCTGGCCCACCAGAGCCAGCCACCGCTCCAGAACCTCCTCCCCGTCCTCCCCCAAGAGGACTCTGACCCTCCCGACCCGCCCAAGGCTGCCCTCCCGTCAGAACAGACTCCCCCATCATCCACCGATTCTGCTTATTCCCCGTCATCGCCCTCATCATAGCATTAGCCTGGGCAATACTCTCATTCGTGGCAGGCGCCATATCCGTCCTTCTCCGCTTGGGAGAAGGTCCTGGTGCACTCATCTCGTTTGTCGACTAGTCCGGGGTCTTCTTAGGGTAATAGTTACAGATAGGTGTTTCGGGAGCATGGTCGGGAGGAGGCGGTGTCTTTGCATAGGGAGGCGTAGGCAACAGGTAGCATGAGAACGCAGATCGGTGTTGCCGTCGTGCGCGGTATTGTTTACTTGCATGTGACTGGCTCGGAAGGGTAGGTGCGATGGGGAGAAGCGGGTGGAGGGCTTCACTTTGTACGTTGGTTTCGTGAGTGCAAGGCTTCACTTGGTGGGTGTACTGACGGGTGTCAAGTGACAGAGGGAAGTATAAATGCCAGTGAAGGAGGCATAGGAAGGATAGGCGCAATGCTAGGCTAACAACAGAGGCACTGTAGTAGAGGGGTCTATCACATTCCTTCGATCGGCTGCAGGGGTTGCGCTTCACGGCTTCTGACCTGTCACATGTCGGAGCGTAACGGCTTTTCTCGCTTAAATGCTCCTCTATATCGCTATGGATCCTACTGCTATGGAGATCCATCCAGTGTGTTTCATGTGATATATACTGCTGGAGAGGCAAATCGCAACGCCTGAGTCGCGCAATATCAATACCGGCCCTGGAGCTAACCTTCGGCTTCCCCTCGCGCTGCTCGTTCTTGAGCTTCTACGTAGGAAACCAATGGGCTGAGATGGTTCGATAGATCGGAGGGTTTCCTGTCTGTGCTTTGGTATGCGCTATACGGAGCAATCCTTATAGTGGCCAGCTCACCAATGACGCCTCGCTCGGATACAACGTACTCTCGGTCGTCCTCCGTCTGTTGCGAAGTGATTCAGTATTGAGCGTAGCACAAACATATCCATCATCGTTCGTTCATTATTCGTGCGCGGAAAGCTGTAGAGACAACCAATCACGTCACCAACGGCAAGGCAAGCCGGCTAGCCACCACGGAAGAGTTGCTCGTCGGATCGGATCATTATTGAACGACGTCTCTACATCTCGTGGCACAGAGATCAGATGACGGCTTGTCCTGGTTGTCTGCATATTGCTAACTCGCACACTTCCTCATCGCGATGAGACAACAATAATCCCACCTGCACTGTGTGCCAACGCGATTGCAAACAGCCGGCTCCATCTCCACCCGCCCAGCTGAAACACGACATCCGTCTGGACAGTAATGGCGACCACTCCACGGAATGGCGTCCACGCCAATGCGCTCCCCGGGAATCTTCTGCTGGTGATCCACGACTTCGTTGCTAGGAGCACGGATGAGTTGAGCCTGGCCAAAGGCGACCGCATTGAGTTGATCGAGCGGGATGATGATTTTGGGGATGGCTGGTTTCTGGGCCGTCATTTGGGCAATAGCAAGACGGGACTGTTTCCGGAAGGTGAGTGGGAAGAAGGCAGGCAGAGTGAGGTGGGAGTGAGCGGCCTGCTAATAAAGGACAGTGTATACGACTCCCGCACCCAAAGGCACATTAAACACCACGGCCCAGCAAAGGCGCGTCAGCGATGGCCCACCAAAGAGCGCAGGCAACGCGAGCGACAGTTCCATGTCTTCGCCCACAGCTGTCCGACATCTGTCCGGCCCAACGACGATCCAAAGACCCGTCAGCTCCGCCAGCCAAACATCGCCGACAGCGCAAACGGCTCTGCGAACAAGCCTACCTGCCTCCGCTTCTTCACTAGCTACGCGTAGCAATGCCTTCAATGTCGACTCTCCGGTGATGAACGAGACCCTCTCAGTGATCAATGAACACATTACCGATCTCAACACACCGCGATCGTCTTTCACGAATGGCAACAAGCGCGACACGATGGGCAGTGTATATTCCACTCAGCCGCTAAATAGAATGTCATACATTCCCGGACATGAGACAGACGAGGACGAGACGGCGCATACAGAGGATGAGGTCATGTCGTGGAGTCCGGCGCGAGTCGCCGAGTATCTTGAAGATCATGGCGTGGAGAAGCAGCATTGTGATGTTTTCGTGGAGCAGGAGATCAGTGGTGAGGTGCTGCTGGCTATGGACCAGAGTAGTGTCTTCATCAAGGAGTTTGATCTGGGCTCCGTAGGCAGAAGGCTGAAGACGTGGCATCGGATCAAGGCGCTGCAAGATGAAGTGCGTAAGGCAAGTGTCGAGCCGGACAAGAGTGTTATGAGCGAAGACTACTCCACGACTGCCGGTGCAGATGATGCGAGTGTGGTGAGCGATGCGCCTAGGAATCGCAGCTCTACGGTCGGCACTTCGTACCTTCCTCGCGGCCTGGAACCTGGCGCTCGCCAAAGCACAAACGGCAGGAGCAACACCATAACTGCACCTGTCGCCTCTGAGGCCCAGACGTCAACGCCCACGATTGGCTCAGATCTTGCTCGCACGCCTTCGAATGCGATCAGCCCCCTGCAAACCATGACTAGCTTGTCGCGACCAGAGAACACGTACAGACCATCCGCACAAGTCATCCGCCAAATGCAGCACTCGCGACGACATTCCAGCATCGACTCGACATCTTCGGCAAACGCTGCGCGCGGTCATCGAAAACAGCCTAGTATCGATCAGAAGTGGCAACCGGGTCAAGCGATGGCGTCAGCAGTGAATGGTACCACCGCCAGTGCCAAGCCCGCTCACGCGCACACCCTCAGCTCCGATACTCCAGCCAGCTCAAGTGAAACTCCAGCTTCACCCGGCGACCTCGACCGCGGCTACTTTTCCGATAATGCGACTTCCAACCCTCCCAAGAGAAGTGGTCTGCTGCAGAAGAAAAACTCGAGTGCGGGCGCAACTGTAAGCCCCATGCCAAGTCGAGCTAGTAGCTTCCTATTCGGCAATCGTGGTTCGACGCAGACGAGTAGTGCGACCTCGAATCCTATGAACGATCCCGTATCACCGGTTATGACCAATCTGACTCCTGGCCCGAGCACATATGTTGTTGGTGGGTTGGGATCTGTGTATGTGAGGCCTAATCCTTCTACCCGAAGAAGTGCGACTAGTCCGGAGCTGATACGGCCACCGACGGCGACGCGCACGGATTCACAGTCTAAGATGGATCCGGTTGTGACGAAACTGGATCATAATGCTAGTCCTGCGCAAGGGACTGGCAATACTTCGGCCACTTCGAGTCCGAGTACTGCGCAAATGGGCTTCTTTGCTACGCAGAAGCAAAAATTGGCTGGCTTTAGGTCGTCAAGCGATGCTGTGACGAAGGCAGAGAAGACGACAGTAGATGTCCCTTCGTCCGTACCTGAGGAAGCAAAGGCGCTCACCTCGCCAACAAGAACTGGTTCCACGACTCCGAGCACCGACACTAGGAGTTTCGATGCGCAGAAGTCGCTAGATGGACAAAGTCGGCGGACGTCGACGGGAAGTGGAAGCAAGCTCGCGCCGCCAGCTACAGGTCCTGCAAAGCGAACACGACCAAAGACAAAAAAAGCAACGAGTGCATACACCCGAGGACTAGAGAAGATCACCCCAGCAGAGCAACTAAAACGAGGCTGCGACTACTCCGGCTGGATGAAGAAGAAAAGCGGCTCGCTGATGTCAACCTGGAAACCACGACTTTTCATTCTGCGAGGCAGAAGACTATCATACTACTATTCCGAAAACGACACGGAAGAAAAAGGCCTCATAGATATCTCCTTCCACCGCGTCCTCCCCGCTACAAACGAAACCCTCACCGGTCTCCATGCTGCCGTCACAGGCGCCGCCGCCTCACCGACAAGCCCAACCCATACCACGACCTCAGCCGCCACCCAAGCAGCTATAGACCTCAGCAAAACCGTCCCCAAACCCGGCGAATCGCCCTCAGATGGGCTTTTCATCTTTAAACTCGTGCCCCCAAAGTCCGGCCTCGCGAAAGGTGTCAGTTTCACGAAACCGACGGTGCATTATTTCGCTGTCAACTCCCGGCAGGAGGGACGGTTATGGATGGCGGCGCTGATGAAGGCGACGATTGATCGGGATGAGGATGGGAGGGTCACGACGACTTATAATCAGAAGACGGTTTCTCTCGCGAAAGCGAGGTTGAGGAGGGAGAGGCCGCCGGGGTTAAGGGAGGACGGGGTTGAGGGGAGGGTCGAGTTGGATGGTGGTGCAGGGGATGGGGCGGGGGATGATGGGGCGAGTTCAGTTATGACGGGTACGCAGTCTGGATTGGGGATTGAGGGGTTGGGTGGGACGTCAAGTCGAGATGAGGAGGGTGTGAGCTTGGCGGAGGCGGTTGCTGCGGTCGGTGGGGCGGAGCATTCGACTACCGCCTCGTCTACGGCGCTCGGAGAGATGGGTTTGGGGTCGGGTGCTGCTGAGGCTAGCAGTGCGCTTGCGCCGGGCATTACGGCGGCGGGTGTAACGCAAGGGAGGTTGCATGCGTCAGAGGAGAAGGAGGTGGTGCCTGGTGCCGTTGGCTGAAGCGGCACAGACGCACGCAGCTTTTCTGACTTCAAAAGGTCTTGGATCTGGATCTGGGTCTGAATCATGGTGGCGACGATGGGCGACTGCGAAAGGTACGAACAAGGCAATGTGTAATGTGGAAACCTAATTGCAGCCCTTCCCAAGAAGCCGAAGAGCAGACGACAGAGAATAAAGGACGCGGACGCGCGAGGGAGTAAGATGAGAGCACACTATGGTGGAGTACGGGAAGAAGAGAAGTCTCGCAGTATATATTGATTTCCATTTAGATACCCATATTTTCAAATCTGGCGGTATACATGCCCCCTTGCCAGCGAACGAGAACACACCCCTCAGTGTTCCCAAGGAAACGAAAGACATTACGTCCCAACCCGCGTGACTCATATCGAGCGCTTCCTTCTCGCCACTTCTTGCAGATACATCAATAGTCCGACAGGACAGCACGACATGCCGTGGTCCCATGGTCTTCGCAGAGCAATTTTAACGCAACAAATCCTTCCACGTCCCTTCGTCCTTGTGCTCGCCTACTTCGTTCCGGGCATCGCTCAGGCCGCTGCAGTCGGTGCAGTTGGCGCTGTTGGTACCTAATGCATACACACATACATTAACATCTCGATGAGAATTTCGCCTTGTCGAATGAGATGGGATGGGAGAATGATGATACGTACAGTCTGTGCAGTCTACCATGTTTGAGCAGTTCTTTAGGCGGGCGGATCCGACGCCTGCGCGGGTTGTCTGGTCAGTCAAGGTCCCGTACGGAGTACGGTTGGAGCAGTGGGGTGGTAGGCGGATAGGTAGGAAGTGGATGAGGGCTTACAGTTGCTACTGTTCTCGCAGTCTTTGCAATCTGTTACATAGCGTCAGCGAGAGCGCCCTGGGAAGCTTTTACCCGTGAGCTCTGGATCATGTCTAGTTTGCCTACCAACCATGTTCCTGCAGTTCTTGTTCCCATTGGCGTCGGTTGGCATTGTGGCGACTGCGGCTATCTTGAGGTGAAGACGGAGTGGAAAAGGAAGTGCAGTAGAGTGTGGTTTGGTAGTTCGTAATTTAGAAGACTCACTTGCTCTGAGTACACGGATTCGACAGAAGCATTATATGTCCACAGCTAGATCAATGTTGTTGCCTATCTATGGTACGGAGTTCGCTCGCAATGGAAGACAAGATAGAGCTACGTCCATGCTGCACTGTGACGCAGAAGCAACGTACGCGAGGTACGGAATGACTTACGTACCCATGGTGAAGTGCAGTGGAGGCGACGAATCATCTAGTAATCACGCTGCCATTGTGGTGTTGCAATCTTGTTTCGCTTGGGACTGTAGCTTGTTATCGCACGCAGAAAGTGTACGGAAGGACTTGCATCGACGATACGGATGGCTGGAGTCGGGTTGCTGAACTCTTAGCTCGATAGTCCGACTATCAGCATTTAGAGGGAGAAGCGGCAGCAATGAAGACCCTCCAAGCACCATCTTCGAAGTGCTAGGGACTTTATGGACCATGATGTTTGTGTAGAGAACAATGTAAGACGCACATATCTCTCAAGAACCAAGGAATGTAGACCAAGCCAACAATGGCAAAGAGCAAACAAGACCGCGTTACATGCCGTGTTATGCTATCGTCCTCTCTCCAAACGTTCTGTCCATGCTCTACTTGTTACATCTAGCATTTTGGTATGGCTCGAAAACGCTCCACGTCAAGCGGACCCGGTGCAAACCCTACATCTCCGAAGCGCCAGCACAGAAACGACGACGATGCTGACCACGACCCTTCCACACGACGTCCCTCAGGCACGAGCCGAAAGGCCTTTGCCACCACCAGCACCCGTGGACGTGCCAACTCACCATCAAAGAACGTGACGTTCCCACGAAACCTTGAGCAGGGACGGACACAGAGCATTGCAGATCATCGCCATCGGAGTCCAGTACGCTCGGCGCTTCGACAGAAAGAGGACGAGGAGGTCTTTAGTGCTGAGGAGGAAGGCTACAATGATTCTGCAACCGAGGAGAGCGCGTTCGATGAGGATCTGGTCTGTAGTCAAGCAGACCCTTCATCGCAGCTGATCGGTGATAGTCCGCCAATGGTCGAGTCATACAGCTCGAAGCTCGACATGGCAGACAAGTATGGAGACGTGCATATCTGCCAGGAGCTTCAGTGGCTGCAATGGAAGATCCACAAGCTTCTGAAGCAATTCTCGCCATCGTTCGAAGCCCACGGCAAGGATGCCGCTGATGATCTGTTCGCGAGTGGCAACAGACCCTTTCTCCAGTATGTAGGTCGTCTCGCGCTTGGTGGGCCGGATGATCAGAAGAGCTGGTCGAGGATGCTCGAAGACGACAGTTGCAGGCGCTCGCTAGCATGGGCTGTCATTGGCCAAGTGCTCAAAGAGCAGTGTTTCGATGTGCTGTGGTTCGGAGCCTCGCCTGATGAGGAGAGGAAGTTGCGTGAATATGAACGGAGTGCTGTTGACAAGGATGGTAAGCACTGAGTCCTATGGCGATGGTGCGCGATATTGCTGATAGTCAGGCAGGTTTCCGACGCGCAAACAATCGCGCATCGATTTGCAGGAAGTTCCCAAAGACACATGCTAGTTCCGAGCATGCAGGATCGGACACCTATACTATCGCCACCGTGAAGCTTGCCATGCATCTGGAACGGATGGTGGCTCCGCTCTATCACTCTGCAATGGGCACAAGCGCGGCACCAACTCGCATCCACTTCAAAGACATAGCCAGCTCTGCTGCTAGTATAAGCCGCATCCTACGTCTGCAGTCTGATGTAGTATACTATTGGCCACCCACATTCAAGGACGAAGAAGTCGAACCAGCTCGGATGGAGTGTCTCAACATGACAGATATGTTGGAGCACAGTCCATACGTCAAGCAGGACGCAGGACATGGGCACCCAGTCTTAAGCGAAGACCGCCGTGCAGACAGTCAAGCCATTGTACAGATCGTCTGCTTTCCTGGTTTGGTCGCGTATCGCAAAGGTGGCGGTGGATTGGCAAAGCATACACTCGCGCGAGAAGGCCGCCGACCGAGCACCGCACCACCGGATGTACAACGTGTCCAGCAAATGAGAGATGGCCAGTACACCGGACAAGAAGGCATTCGAACCAAGACGATCTTGAAAGCAGCGGTCCATCTGAAGTGGGGTAAGCAGAGGTTGCTCACTAGAGAGGCAGGCACGTCAGCGTTTCTAGATGCAGTGAGGGATGGGAGCAGCAAGTATGTCGACGATAGCAAAGGGTTTCGCGAGTTTTGGGACTTGTATGGAGATTATGTGGAGGACAATGATCCGAAAGCTCTTGCTGCAGCGCGGGCGCATGAGCGTTTGGTAAACTTTGATGGCATGACGCCTGTGAAAAGCAAGCGTCGCGTGTAGACAACCTGAGCCAGGAGATTGGATGATCTTTGTATACTGATGGGATACAAAAGTCGTGCGTGTTGTTGGCCGCTGAGTGCAGATGTCGGCAAGAGGACGCCCTGCAGCACGAACATCTGCGCTAGCTTGATTAGGCAGGTAGAAATCGTCACACACAGTTCTCCTTCTTGTTGTTTGTCCTCATCCGTTCTCATCACTCCTTAGTATCCCTTGAGAACTTCGTGTCATTCGATCGATCGAGTCGGACTACTATCCTCCGGATCGAAACAAGATACTTCACCGCCATGGCAGCCGCCTTCGACGTTGAATCTGCTCGAAAGCATTTCCCAGCACTTTCCCACCAGCAGATATACTTTGAGAATGCAGGAGGTAGTCAGATCTTGAAGGAAGTGGTCGATACGTGAGGAGCATCCTGCTAGCCGTCACCCAGATCCAATGTAGCTTACAATACGGCAGCATCTCAAACTACCTTCTCGACAACAATGTTCAGCTTGGAGCGTCATACAAGAAATCCCAGGAATCCACGGAGCTCTTCGGCAAAGGCTGTGAGGCAGTGGCAAAGTACATCAATGCCTCACCCGAAGAGGTCGTTCTCGGACCATCCACGACACAGCTCTTCCGGAATCTAGCCTTCTCCTTGTACGACTACATAACTCCAGACTCAGAAATCGTAATCTCAAAGCTGGATCATGAAGCCAACATTGCCTCCTGGGTCCAGCTAGCCGAAGACAAGAAGTGCAAGCTGAAGTGGTGGGGCTCATCGAACAAGACGAACCCTCAGCTCGACTGTGGTGAGCTTCGCAGTCTGATGTCCGAGAAAACGAAGCTGGTCACTTGCACACACACGAGTAATGTGCTTGGGACGATCAATGATATCAAAGCCATTGCCAAGACAGTCCATGGGGTGCCGGGAGCGCTTCTATGCGTGGACGCTGTAGCATTCGCGCCACACCGAGCAGTCGATGTGAGAGATCTGGAAGTGGACTTCTACTCCTTCAGCTGGTACAAGGTGTATGGCCCGCACATCGCCAGTCTGTATGCTTCGAAAGCAGCACAGAAGCACCTCCGGACGCTGGGTCATTTCTTCAAGCCGACGGACACTCTGGAGAACCTGCTGGGGTTGGCAGCAGCAAACTATGAGCTGACGGCAAGCATACCGCAAGTAGTAGACTATCTTGCCAGCCTGTCGTGGGATGACATTGCAGAGCATGAGCAGCGACTCCAATCGATCTTATTAGAGTACCTGCGGAGCAAGCCAGATGTCTTCAAGATCTGGGGCGAGCCTTCTGCGAATAAGGCGAAGAGGGTGCCTGTCATGAGCTTCACAGTAGCCGGACGGAGCAGCAAGGACGTGATCGACGCCATCGAGAAGCAGAGTGACTATGGCTGTAGATATGGTGCCATGTACTCAAACAGACTAGTGGTCGACATCATGGGCCTGGATGCGGTCGATGGCGTAGTGAGGGTAAGTCTGGTACACTATAACACGGGTAAGTCATGCCCAAAACTGCGTAACGTATGACATACGATACTGATGCGGCACAGAGGACGAAGTGAAAGGGTTTGTTAAAGTGCTTGATCAGGTCGTTACAGGCGAGCTGTTCACGATCTGCCAGTCTGGTTGTCTCCAGCTTCTGCCAAAAATTAGGCACGCAAGAAAGCAGGCCACTTGATCATCCAAATTCCTGTAAGCAGCCTTTTGTATCTCGCCAAGGATATCGGAGCCAGCAGTCGGAGACGTATGCGACCTCAGCTAGCTCTAGTGCATCTCACCATCCCGGATCAACCACGAAGGCGCTTGTGCTCCTTGTGAGCCTTGATCTCCTGCTCAGTAGGCCGCTTGCCTGGTTCCTTACCACGGATTGAGTCTTGATCGGGCAGGCGCACAAGCTTGAACTGGTGTCTCTGACGGGTAGAATCTACCCCATCAAGGTTCACATTCCCAACAACCTTGTACAGTCCATCGTACCGGAATCCTATTTCCGGCGCGAAGTCTGATTTTAGATTGTGCGAGCGTATGAGGCGGACGGGCTTGCCACTTTTCTCTGACTCAAGCATCCGGTGCGTAGGTTCCGTGACAGATCCGTCAGTACTGTCAGTACCGCAATACTTCACCCAATCGCCATGATCTTCGTCGGGGTAATCGTGCCCTCCTGACATGATACAAGAGTATCCACCTTCACCGCTCGTACCAGATATGCCAGCAATTGTATGGCCGTGGGCACCATCGCGGACTGCTGCGAGCTGAGTAGGCCACCACTGTCCGTTCAGGAGAAGTCCATTGCCGTGAAATTTTGAAGAGACCTTGCCGTCATATGCCGGATCGATCGTGTCGACAGACTTCTCCTGATGCTTCGTAGCTGACTTCCCAGCAATGATACCACGCAGGAGATCAGTCTCGAAGATCTGCCTGCACCACTTGTTGTACAGCTCCTCCGCATCTGCCTGAACGTCCCAAGGAACCTTGATACTCCCCATGAATGATGCATCAAACAGCTGGGGCAGACCGTCCACGTCATGTAGTGCACGACAGGTGCGAAGTAGTGGACCGGATACCTTCTCGAATGCAAGCTTGTGTAGCTCTTCACGTATGTTCTCGAAGGTCTGCTGCATGTCGCCTTTCGATGTCTTCGCTTTCTTCACGTCTGCCTTCAGCCGTTCGAGTAGTACCTGAGCATTCCTTTCGTCTGGATTGCGCGTCGTCATGGGCTTCAGCGTCTTGTACCAGGCAGGTGGGCGCTCCGCAATCTCGGTAGTCACTTCTGGCGTCACGCGATTTGACATCTCCTTCAGGCTTGTCCCTGATTTCTTGCTGATCTTCAAGGCAGGCAGACCACCCGCTGAAGCATTTGAGTCTTTTGGTGGAGGTTGCGGTGTTTGCTTGAGCTTCTTTACGATGCGCGCTAGATCCTCTAATGAGGGTCGCTTCGCAGGTATAGTATCGCGCGAAGACGAGGTCGAGCTTCTCTTGGTCTCATCGAGCACGCGGCCCTCATGCCGTGATGTTCCAGAGGAGCTCTTGGGTACTGCAAGAGGATTGTTAGGTGGCCTCTGCTCAGTGTTTGCTTTTGATGCCGTGGCGGGTGATGGCCTCGAGTTTTCTGTTGTTCCTGCCTGTACCCTGTCAACCACGCGCTGTGTGTCTGCAATGCTTTGGCGTTGTTTGACCACGTCCGCACCAGATGCTTCACTCATCGATGAGGACCGTGATCCTTCACTTGCTGGCACCGCAGACTTCAGCTTCCTTGGTTGCCACCTGCTCAGCACCTCCTCCGTCACTTCGCCCTCCTCCTCATCGTCTTCCTCAGCTGCCAGGCTCGTCGGCGAACCTCCATCAATGCTCATGGGATCACTGTCGCTCATATGTGGCTGATGCTGGGCTGGATGCGCCACTGCAGCTGTCGCGCTCAAAGCGGCAGCTTCTTCTCGTTCTTCCTTTTCTTGTTGCCGCGCATCAGCATCTGCTTGCCAAGCTCTCAGTTTGAGCAAGTAAGCGGCCTTAGCTTTGGCCTTGATCTCATCCATCTCAGCGTTCATGTTTGCCACCACGCCGGCACTCTGCTCGTCCTGGAGCTCTTTCGACGTCGCGGTACTCATCCTGATATGCAACAGCTAGTGTAGTGTCAAGAGTAGATGCAAGCAGTGCCACGACTTCAGCTACACTTCCCATGTGCACAGGAAGAGACTTGGGTAAGATATGCAGGGGGACCCCTTTCACACAAATCAGCGATTGTTACTATTCAAGGTCTTGAGCGTGGAGCTGAGGGTCGGGAAAACCTACAGCGGCTCGATTCGATGACGATCCAAGAATTCCAGAGCTCCTTTTGGTTGACTAGTTGGTTCTTGTTCATACGCCGTGGAGGAGAAATGCGCGCGTGCTGCAGCTCTCCATTATGCTTGTCTCAACGAAAGAGGGTCATGACAAGGATGCTGCGGTATGAGAAACACAAGCTCGATCCTTAGCTCGTCGAGATTGTCCACCACCTTGAGACTGAATCAATCTGGGTATGGCTATGGTCCTGAGGTAGCTGTTCGCGGTGGCGGAATGAAAGCTACGTGCGTCTTGTTGTGATTTGATGATGTTGACTGGTGGCCGTAGCTGAGACGCGAAAGTTTTTGATCGATGCCTCGTTGCAATTAAAATGTTGTTCGTTGATGCTCAAACGGAAGTAAGGTACGGCAGATGAGGAAGGAACGAGTGGTGGTAACATGTAGAAGATGCCACGATATATGGCCTTACTGTATCACTGCGGGTGTCAGAATACATCGTTCATATCTTGCCCTATTCTCAGCCCGTACTTTCACCACTCAAACCAGTGAAAACAGATCTGATCGATCAGCGTGTACCCTTCAGACGCAAAGCTGGCGTCATCGCTAGCCACGAGTGCCAGCAGGCGTGCGAAGGAATATGCCGTGGCTCGCTGGTCGCACCGCCAACGTGCGGTGGCGTGCCCTAGTAGTATGCTCGCGCGCACACGATCGACATTGATCAGTACACGGCAGTTCTCGCCACGCCATAAGCCATTGACTATATGGCGCACACGCCTTCCGCAGCTCCCTACGGCTACATCATCAGTACAGAGACGCATATTCCTGGATGAAGCTATACCGACGGTCCTCGTGCCGCCGGCCGTCTTTACTGGCCTCCTTCTTGGATTATGGGCGTACAAATGCTTCATGACCGTGGTCTTCCAGGACCGCATAATCTACATGCCTTACATGCCGCCTTTCGCAAGGTCGGAGAAGATAGCAGACTATGCCGCAGTCTGCAGACCGGTATCGTGGCGAGAAGAGCGCATGCGAAGCCTTGACGGTACGCGTATCAGCTTGTGCGTTGGCCAGATCTCGCATGAAGGAAGTAAAATCAAAGATAGCAGTCAGAAGGTGGTCATTTGTTACTTCCAAGGCAACGGCGGCTCGACGCCAGCGCGATTGCCGCTTTTGTCCCAGGTCCTCAAGCTTGTTCATGTTCAAAAGCAAGAGATCCAGTGCACTCTTGTGGCTTTGTCATATCGTGGCTACTGGAAATCCTCCGGACGAGCAACGCAGAAGGGAATGGAGCTGGATGCTCAAGCCATGCTGCAGTGGGTTGCCACACAGTTCCCGAATGCACCGCTTGTACTTTGGGGCCAAAGCATAGGCGCCGGGGTGGCTAGCACAGCTGCTGCAACGCTTATGAAACCCTCTACGAAGTCTAATCTGGCTGGTCTCATTATGGAGACTCCATTCACGAGTGTCGCGAGTATGTTGCTGGCCTTGTATCCAGAGAAGTGGCTACCATACAGATACCTCACTCCCTTTCTGTGGAATCACTGGGATAGCGAGATCGCTCTCCGGACGCTGTCTGCTCACTCTAAAACGGCACCCTGTCCGATCTTACTTATGCCTGCCACGAGAGACGAAGTCGTACCAGCCGAGGAGATCGGGAAGTTTGAGGGCCTCTGCAAGGACTTGAAGCTACAATACGAGCGAAAAGACGTCATCGGTGCTCTACACACTGAAGCTACTACCAGACGTGAAGGGCAGTACGCAGTAGCGGAATTCGTGCTTCGACAGCTCCGCCGCGACCGTACTGTCAATGATTAGAAGACGGGTACAAGCGCCACTGCATGGTGCTCTGGAGCAGTATAAGAAGTCTGAGGTCTTCTTCTGGCTACGTACAAGTCTCTGCCAACTCGCAATGGATCAGCTTTGATCGCTCTATCACGCTCCACCATCGGCATCGTCCTCATCATTCCGGGCCCTCTTCTTTCCCCTCTTGCCCCTCTTACGAAGACCCGGCCACGGCCCACCACCCACTGGGGCTTCGTCTGCATCGTCCCCATCGTCTTCAACCGAATCTTGTCGAAATGGAGGCGTCCTCCACGCTTTCGCATCAAGCTTGGGAGGAACTGGAAGATTCGGCAATTTGGCAAAAAGGGCGTACTTGTCCTCGTGCAGGAAACCCCACATTGAATATCTGCCTTCCGACCAAGTACGTGAGTCAGAGTGCTTTTGTCGCATCCCCTTGGCCCGGTCAAATTGGTCCGGATGTCCTTCGGTATGGTCACGAATTGTATCCAGCAGCTCTTGGAAGCTCGGCCGATCTTCTTGTTCATATGACACAGCTCGCACGATCAGATCAAGCAAAGGCTGTGAATATTGTCTGCGAGCTGCTGCGCGGAAATCCGGCGTTTCGAGAGGAGAGGGATCGCAGTCTTGCGGAAACGCACGGCAGGCCGGAGTCGATATTTCATTTCGATGGTCCCAGCTTATACGGTGATCTCCTAGAGACCATGTCAGTAAATTTCTGGAATGGTGCCATGGATGATTTTACTCACCTTCTTCGTGCTCGATGAGACTCCACATCACTATCCCGGCTCCCCATACATTAGTGCTAGCGTCCATCAAACGAGGCATAGTGTCTCCGCTATAGATCGTAGGAACCTGCTCGGGCGCAGAATTGAACGGCGTACCGGAACCATGCTTCTGTCTGTAGGGGTCGACCTCCTGGCTGCAATCCGGGATCCAGGACAGACCAAAGTCCGTGAGCTTTGCCATGGCTATGAGAAACGTCAGTGTGAGTCCATTAGATCTCTCAGGAATGACTTCGACCCATCACACTTACGGTACCCCACGTAACGATCCTTCGACTCTACACCCAACAGCACGTTCGCAGTTTTGTAGTCCAAGTGGTAGATCGGGTTATCTGCTTGCTCCATCATAAGTCCCGACCAGGCGAGCGACTCGAACACAGACCATAGGAACGGCTCCGGCAGATACCTATGTTTGACGTCCGCTCTCTGCTCATGGAAATCTTTCCAGGCTTCCTTTGTCTTCAGGGTCACCGTGGTATCCCAATACCACTCGGAGAACTTTCCCAGGTCTCCGTAAGGACAATACTCCATGTAAATGCGCGCTCTGCGCTCCGCGTTGATCAAACGAGAATTTCGGATGGCGACTACACTCTCTGAGGCGTGGTGATCTCGCAGGCTATACATCGCCGCAATCTCGTTCGGCAAGCTGGTCCTACTGGTGGAATCACGAGGATCGTCGCTCCAGCTGTACGTCCTATCCGGAGTTCCTGTGCCGTAATGTTTATCGGAGCTCTCTTTGACTATAATACGCTGCAGATCAATTTGTTAGCTCGGAGACTTCTAGAGGTCCGCGGGCTACTGCGTCAACTTACATCGATTATTGTATCCTGGTCATTACGCTTGTACCAACCAGTTGCCGTACCGAAGGCACCTTCACCGAGTGTCCAACCTCCTACCCAAGCCTCGCCTAGTCCGAGCTTGTTCCGTCGCAATCGCCACGTCGCTTCCTGCACGGCAGTGGCCTCCCCTCTGGCCTGATTTTGGTACTGTTCGATTTCATCTAGCTGATCCTGGATCCACTCTAACCCATCGACCCATGCTTGCGTATCTCCACCGACTGGTCTAGACTGCAGCGTCTCCAGGAGGTCTGTGCCAGCGTTTTGAGCATCTTCTAGCGCCCGGCGTAGCGACGTCAACAGGTGAAGCTTCTTCAGCAATACTCCTTCGTCTTGCCAATCGTCTGGGTAGCTGAAGCCAGTGTCCCAAGAGCCCGAGAGCACAGGCATGTTGTCCAGATCGCCATTGCTATTGTCTCGCGAGGCAACGAGTGCTAGAACGGCTTCTGGAAGTCTGGCTCGGAAGTCGTTGGCCCGGTCGCCGAACGGGTCGAGAGCTGACATAGGCATGCTTGATGGTGGCTTTCGAGCTACAACAGGTGTCTACAATATCACTCTATCGGTCGTCGGCTCGGATTGGTATGCTTCAGGTCAGCATGTCGAGTGTACAACAAAGACCGAAGCCGGAAGTGGGCTCACGAAGCACAGGACGAACAAAGACTTTATCATAACATCCATTGCTTTGACTGGACAGTGGACACCGATCAAGATTTACAGCAACTCAGGGTGCTGAATATAGTAATCACCCAACCGTTCAAGCACATCGCACGGGCAGAGCACATATACACCAGACCTCTACAGAGAATATTCACCTCGGACGTGCATATGGTTGCCGCACTCTCTACCGCCGTGCCCGTCTTTCTGGATTTCGCCGTACTGGATTCGCAGCTACTATGACAGGCGCAGCAGGAGGTCCAGCAGCCCTTACAGCAGCCATGCGTGCATCCCTCTCTCGTGCAGCCTGCTTCGAGTGACGCCTCCGATAGTCTCTAGCCTCTCTTTACCAGAGCAGCGGAACCACGTCTAACATAATCCGGAAGGTTGCGCTTGCAGCAGGCGTGCCAGCAATAGATCTTGTCGTGGATCAGGGGGTCATGAGCGCAACTTCTCGGCACACGGACGGGTGTTGGAGGCGCTAGGGGTGCTGGAGGTGCTGGAGGTGCTGGAGGCGCTAGGGGCGCTGGAGACGCTAGAGACGCTGGGGGGATCTGTATTGGGACTGGAGCCCGATATCCTGGCCACGCTCCTCCACCGACTATCTCATCCTCCACTTGCACTCCTCCGCCCCAAGGCGATGGTATCCTGAAGCTCTCCTTGTCCATACCTTCCGGCACTGGGTCGCCCGCGACGGCTCCCGACGGCACTTTACCTTTGATTGCAAACGCATCCTTGCGTAGGAAACTGCTCATGTCCCTATCTGGCGCCTGCCACTTGTCGCTGTCTTTTGCTACATTTCGCATACCTCCCGCATGATCATGTCCATCCGAGCCACCGGTGTTCCTTTTGATCTGCCGTAGAAGCTCGCGGGCACTCAATCGGTCTTCGGGCAAGTAGTGAGTGGTTGCAGAGATCATGTCAAGCAAGACCTTCGAATACTGCCCCTGGGCCGGCCCACGAAATTGCGGTTCCCAGACACCTTCATCGTAGTCCTGCACCGGCTGACACCTGTTGTCGAAGGCTAAACGATGGTCGCCTTCCTCGTGTTCGATGAGGCTCCATATTACGATGCCGACACCCCAGACGTTGACTTTTGCATTAATGAGGCGTCTGTGTAATTCTTGGTCGTAAATGTGTTCGATTTGCTCCGGAGCGGCATTGTATGGTGTACCTCTTGTACCCACCTGTTCATCCGGCTGCAAAACTGTGTGTCGGTCTGGTATCCAGCATAGGCCAAAGTCCGTCAGCTTCGCAAGAGGGTAGCCTTTGTATCTCTCCTTTGAAGGCACTCCGAGCAGTATTTTGGAAGCCTTGTAGTCGAGATGATATATCGGATTCCAGGCCTGCATAGGATTTGCGCCTAGCTCGTCATGCTCGAGCAGAAGTGCAGAGATGGCAAGGGATTCGAAGATCGACCATAGAAAAGCCTCTGGAAGCCATCGATGTTCTATATGCTCACGACTTGCGTGGAATGGCTGTAAAGCTTTCAAGGTGTTCATTTTGGCAGTCGATTCGATGTACCAATCGGCCCACCGGTACACATAGACGTACGGACAGTACTCGAGGTATAACAACATCCTTTGCTGTTCCAACAATAGACGGGCATTACGTATGTGAACAATGGTATCCGCACCTTGTCGACCGCGAAGGCCATACATAGCCAAGATCTCGTTGGGAAGAGTGTCACGGCCTTGAGGGTCACGTGGATCTATGCCCCAGCCGTCGTTCCACCGGTCTTTTTCCCCCCTGCTATTCGAGTCTTTGATAACCACACGCTGTTCAACAACACAGGATGCGTTAGTGAGGTGAAGGCCGTATGGAAGAATGCCACTACCACAAAGTCCGAACTCACATCAACAATACGATCCTGATCATCCCGCTTCACCCACGCCTGTGCCAAGCCATAGGAACCTATTCCCAGTTCCCACCCGCCAACCCAGTCCACACCAAGAGCACGATTCCTCCTTTGTAAGTCCAGCACAGCACACTGCTGCCGCCTGAGCTCAGCATTGATCTCCTCCCTCCGCCGTCCGTACCGCAGCAACTCGTCTTGCAGCCACTGCCTGCTTGTCAGAAGCGCAAATTCTCCAGCAGGACCTGCAGTATATTCCATCACTCTCAGCAAAGCACCGATAGGTGGGTCTTGGGTCGTGCCATCCTCATCGTCGTCTGTTGGTCGAAGAGCCTCATCTATCTGTTCACGTTCCTCCTGTAGAGCTGCGATTCGTTGTTGTACCATTGGGTCCTCTTCGAAACTAGCTGTATCAGGAAACCGGAATCCACCGTTTGGGTCTAAGCTGATCCGTGGATCCTTATTGAGCTCCGCTTCGACCTCACGGTGCGCAGTATCGATGACATCCTGATAGCCGAGGAATGTGCTAGCTAGCCCATATATCTCGTCCTTGAACCGCGGAAGGAAACCATGTCCGTCCAACAGGCAGTGAGTTGCCTACGGACAGCATCTGGATCTTCGATTTGGCCAGTCGGCAACTTTCTCTTACAGACCATGATTTCCAACTCTAACCATGCTACATGGGCTATATCGTCCATCGTGATAGCTTCTGCCAACGACAAGCCCTTTTTGACTGTCAACGAGATGTTTCGTCGATTCTGGCAGGTAGGCGCCAAATCTCTCGATCAATTTAGATGGCCATGGGTGCGAAGTCGAAAATTATGCAGAGCAAACAAAGAGTGCAGCCGCAACAGGAGCGTGGCACGCACAATGTGAACAAAGCCGACAACAACGCGATCGGGAACATCATACTTCGGCAACGGCGGAATCAGTGGAGGCCGGTACAGGCCATCCCCTTTGCGCGTCCTTGGATCGATTATGCCTTCCGGATGTGGCGAGGCAGGGAGTCGCGATCACAACGCATGCTTGTCTTGCGAAAGAGAGAGATGGCTCCACACCGCATGAGGACCGTATCCAAAAGCCGCATCGTCGGCCGGCAGATGTCGGATCTCCCTCACAACCCGCACGCCCGGGCCACTGATTAGATTACGCCTTACACGATCGAGAAGAGCTTGAGGAGTCGGCCGACTGCGCGGCCGGTACTGCAGACAGTCCGTAATCAGCTTCAATAACGTCGAAGAATAATGCTTTTCGCTCCGGGCCGGAAAATTAGGAACATCTAGCCTCTCAACTTGATGATACCGCTGCGCTCGCCTTTGATAATCAGTTTTCACATCGTTCTCAGGCCGCCACTCCTAATGCAGCCCCCTATCTCCTTCCTACAGTTCCACAAGACCATACATCACAGTCCCAACACCCCACACATTAGTGCTGGAACAGACCTCTTGCTCCGCCCTCCCACTACCTTGCTATACTTGGAATCCCTCTGGAGTTCCATTCCATGCACTCCCGCGCCACTTCTGTTCCAGCGGTAGACCCTCGGTCTGGGTCTTCGGAAGCCAGCACAGTCCAAAGTCGCCTAGTTTAGCTGACGGGTATCTGCGATACCTACTATCCAAAGGCACACCCAGAAAGACATTGGCCAGCTTCATGTGAAGGTGATGGATCGGCGTCCAATCTGACACAGGGTTAGGATGAATGTCGCCCGTCGCCATCAACAAAGAAGCATGCGCAAATGATTCGAAAACAGACCAGAGGAAGGCTTCAGGTAGCCATGGTCGTTCATTTCCTTTCTCACGATCCGGTCGCTCCTTCTGCCATTCGCGTAAGATGTCGGGCGTCGGCCACAGTACTTTGAGCTGCTTCTGGTACCACTGCACGAATTGGCTCAAGTCGCCGAAGGGCGCGTATTCTAGATACATCAGCATACGCTCCTCGCGTGGGAAAAGCCGATGACTGCGGATACGGGCTATGCTGTCGCTGCCAGTGCGGCTGCGGAGTCGATACATGGCCAGGACTCCATTCGGCAAGAATTGCTTGCCAGTAGCATCTTTGGGATCCCGGCTCCAGTAGGTCTCCGGTCGATTCCACCATTTCGAGCCGTTACTGTTGTTCTTAGCGTCTTTGATCACGATACGCTATGACTTGATCGTCAGCTTCTCTCCACATCAACTTCTCCAGGATCAGGGCAGGAACTCACGTTTACGATGACATTGTAAGGATTCACCTTGACCCACTTATGTGCGGACCCATAAGCGCCAGATCCAAGCTCCCAACTACCAACCCAGCCGTCGCTCAGCCCGAGATGGTATCGCTGCACCAGCCAAAACGCCTCCTGGTGCTTTCGTGTCTTGGCCATCAGGTCATCGAGCTCGGCTTGGTGGGCGTCACGCTCAGCCAGCAGCAAGTATTGCGCTTCGGCATCTTCTCTAGCGATGAACTCGTTGTAGCCATCTGGCAGGAGTCTTCCACCTGCTGGCCCGCTGCGAGCGGCATGCGGACCAGCTGTATCGATAGCTGTTTGCAACACCTTCCCAAACTCAACCAAGAGCCGTATGCTCCCGTATAGATCTTCCTCATCCCACTGTCTAGCCGGATAATAACGAAACCTATCACTTCCATCCTCCACCCTCCATCACCTTCGAATCCTCTCTCAAAGCAACCCTCGCGCGTTCCCGTACCATGGCAAGGCAGACTCCAGCCCTAGCATCGACCTTCGCCATTTCACGACCCAACCCACCCTGATCCCGCTGCAAAATGAAGAAACCCTCCTGATGGCCCAATACATCCTGCAGCTGCTCCTCTTGATCCTGCTGCTCACCCATGAGCGCCTCAATATTAATTTCATCCTCCGGATCATCATACTCGCCGCACAAGATCCTACCAACATGGTTCTGCACCACCGCTATGGCATCTCTCAACGCCCGCTCGTACAAAAGCATGATGTGATACCTCTCCCGGATTTATCATCGCGCCAGGGTCCAACGTAGCGATGATCCGCGCCTTCGTTCCCAGTGAGCTTTGGATCCCCTGCCAAGGCCTTCTGTGCGCTTTTGCGGGCGTCTCTGGGAGCTTCTGCCACCTCGACGTTGAGCTTGCTTACCTGGGGCAGAGTCATGGCGTAAGTCGAGTATGCACCTTGATTAGAGTGCTATGAATGCTTCAGCTGTGGTTAAATTTGGCTCTATCGAACAAATTCCAAGAGCTCTATCGCTGTGGCAGACTGCCATATATGAACAAAGGAAGCTGCCGGAACAGGTTGAAACGAAGACAGGACAAAGGAGAATCGAGCAGCAAACATCATGGTTCCAGCCTCTGGCCAAGTCGTGGATGATGTCTCGTACAATGATGGGTAATCCGAGCAGAGTCATACGGCCGTGATCAAAAGCTCCTCGGGAAGCCCGGAAGTGATCCGCATGGTGTAGCAATTACGTGAACAGAGAGAATAGTTCGCAAATGGTGATAGTTGATGGATTGAGCCGCAAGTAGCCATTCCCATGGAGCATTCAGTCCCCCAAATCATCTCCTTCTCCGCTTCTCTTCCCCACCCTCTCGATCACCCTTCCCCCCACTACCCTTCCTCTTCCTCTTGCTACCCTGCCGTAAACCAGCACCAACATCATTATCGTCGTCCACCTGCCTCTGCACCTCCCTCTGCGCTTCCTTCTGCAGCGCCTGCGCCGTCTTCTGCGCCTCCCTGCCATCGTGAGCAGCATCTATCAGCTGCTGTGAGTTCCCTCCGTCATAAGCACCGAGGTGACGCTTGCAGCACTTGTGTTTACAGAATTCTTTGCGCCGACATCGACATCTGCACTCGTCTCTTCGTGTTGGCGGAGACTCTCGTGCTGGGGGCGACTCTCGCGCTAGCGATGAACCCCGCGCTGGCGAAGGACCTCGTGCTAGCGGAGAGCCTCGCGCTGGTGGAGGCTCTTGTGCTGACGGAGAGCCTCGCCCGGGCGGAGTTTCTCGTGCTGGCGGCGACGCTCGTAGTAGCGGAGCCCCTCCCGGTGATGTGTGAGAGCTTAATGGCGAAGGAGTCGGTCGAGGTTGTGTGGCAGGCCTAATACCGCTCGATGGCGTACCGCCAAACCATCCCTCCTCCTCATTGTCATCACCACGAATCCCTGTACCAATCGCTGCAGACGGCGGCGGTATCCTCGGCGCCACCACGACATCCTCATCATCCTCACCAAAAATTCTCGGTAACTCCTTCCCACCCAGATCAACCCCCAAACCAAAATCCCGCGTCTGCCCCTTAGATTTATCTAGCGAGTACGGCCCATTCCTCCAACCTCCATGCTCCTTTCCCAGATCCCTCACCGCCCTAACCACACCCGTACACCTCATCCTCTCGCTCACTTCCCGCAACAATTCCTCAAACGTGGGACGATCCAGCGGATCATACCGCAGCGCCGACTCTATCGTCTGAATGAGCCCCGCACTATAATGCGACACCGCCGCAGCACGAAGTGTAGGCTCGCGAACTTCCACCTCATCATAAAATCCCCGGGGATAGTCATAGACCCAATCGACCCTATGATCGCCTTCATCCCACTCGATGAGGCACCATAGGATGTTGCCTACGGTCCAGACATTAGTCTTGCTGTCCATCATCCGCGGCTCACCTCCGTCGTCGAATTGCATCCGGCTTTGTTCCGGCGGCATGTGGAAGCGTGAACCCCTGAATTTCTGTTTCCGGGGCCCTTGGGCTATCGTCCTGCTGAGGCGGGAGGGCATGATACACAAGCCGAAGTCGCCGAGCTTGGGGTACGAATATCCGACGAAGGTGCCCGTAGTGTTAATCCCGAGGAAGATATTCTGTGTCTTGATGTCTACATGGAGGATACCGTCGAACTTGGAGATTGGATACGGCGTAAGTTCATCTTTGTCGAGCATAACTCCCGTTTTGGCAGGACTCTCTACTCACGATATCAGCATGAACATTAATTATAAAAGCACGGAAGGTATTTGTGAGACGAGACATACCAAGAACATGACACAAAAACGGCTCGGGCAACCACCCCTTCTCCTTCCGATCATCTTCCCAGAGCTGTGGTCTTCGCTCATGGAAACCGTGCCATACCCAAACATCGTCCGTATCGAACCCATCGGTCTGCTTATCATACCATCCCGTGAACTGGCTGAGGTCGCCATACGGACAATACTCAAGATAAAGCAACATCCTGCGTTCCAGCGGCACGAGCTTAAAGCTGCGGATATGCACCACCCCCTCTGAACCTATCCTGTTGCGAAGGGAGTACATTGCCACAATCTCATCGGGTAAGATACGACCCGGGTCTCGAGGGTTGGGGCACCAGAAATCGGCTTATTCCCTGCCGTCCTACCAGTTGACAACGCCTGTGTCGGGATCGTCGTAGTCTGGGCTCTGGGAAGTCTTGAGTACGATGCGCTGTTCGCTGTCGTTAGCCATGACCAGTGATCATTTCTAGTCGGAAAGGTTGTACGCAGGCACGCATACGTACATCAGCAACAATACCAGTACCACTCTGCCTGACCCACAAGTCCGCACCACCCCATCCTCCCTTCCCCAGCCTCCACCCACCTATCCAAGTATCGTCGAAGTGTAGGGTGGTTCGTACCATCCTCCTAATAGCTTCCTGATGTCTCGCGATCCGTGCTCGTCTGGCAGTCGTAGTTTTCTGATGACGATCGATCCGACCTTGTACCCAACCAACGCTAGTCGCCAGAACAGCCTGATCCGCACCCTTCGCCAACACCTTTGCCACGCTTGAGTCAGCACCAATAACTGTTGCTCGGCCACCTGGGTAGTCATCACGTCATTGAGCCGGACTCTAGCGGCCGCTGTATCGGTGAAGTCTTCGGGATATCGCCAACCATCTGTGTTGCTGCTCTGGAGGTGTGGAGGCTCTGCTAGTCTTGCCTTGCCGCTTTCTAGGACTGCTCGGCTCCGTTGGAAATGGTTGTTCCAGGCATTGAAAGCAGGACCTATTTCATTGCGGAAGGCAGGGCCCATGCGAGTCCAGGCCTGGGTAAGGCGCTTTCTTTCTGTGTCCTCGTTGAGAGGTGGTGCGTTGCGATGCACCTGCCCGTGTATCCATAGCTCGAAGCGAATCCACCAGTTAAGGTTGTAGTCTTGTTGTTGTTGCGATAGCGTCGCCATCATGAGGGCGTCCATATTGGCCAGCTATTGTAGCTTGATACATGTATGTTGGGTGGACGCCCCATCTTTGCCAGAGCCTGGTGCAAAGATGACAGTAGACAGTGCTCAGATAAACAAAGAAGAGACGCCGGAAAAGGTAGAAGAGTTATCGGCAGGCGATGGGTGGCTAATCAAAGCACGTGTATGCACAGTAGGAAATGTATGGCACGTAATATACTTAGCTGGTGTGTATCCTTGCGATCGAGTCTTGCCAAGTCTCATGATATGGATGGCCAAGGCTATGTGTTGAGCGCAAATTCCAGCTGCAGGCGGACGATAGCTAGCGGTACCGCATGTCAGCGAAAAAGAACAAAGAAGTCAGTATGCGACATATCACCACCGCACGCAGCCAACAAGCACACACAAGCCATCATGGAAATCCACTCTCTGCACGGCATACCCTGTCCATGCAATAACATACTACACCACAACTCCACTACGACAACCACAACAGCATACCTCATCGACGGCATCGAAGCACTCGGTACTTTCATCATCGAGCACAGCAATGCCATCATACTAGCCATCTCGCTCTACGTCCTGCTCCGATGGATGTCGACGACAATGAGAGCATGGCTTCTGGCGTTGATGGTGACGGCGGTCCTGGCGGCCCTGTTTGTGCATGAGATGGGAATGGATATTCACGAGCCGAGTATTGAGGCTTTCGGCCAAGCGGGGCATACTATTGTTGAGGAGGGTGTTGTTGTGCCGTAGTCGCCTACAGCATGATTGTCGTGATGGAGGGGAGGAGGAGGAAGTAGGTAGAGGTGGTAGCAGCCGGAAGCAGAAGAACCAGTACACCGCCCGAAAATCTTGGCACATAATTCTGCCGCTCCCATCACGAAAGAAAGTCGAACTTCAAAGTCACATGAAAATCCCAATATACCAACCAAACCAACGCCATCATGTCGTCAATGCGCAATGCGGTCCAACGCCGCAACCACAAAGAACGCGACCAACCGCAGGAACGCAAAAAATGGGGACTCCTAGAAAAACACCGCGACTACTCCCTCCGCGCCGCCGACCACAACACCAAAAAGCGGAAATTGAAAGCTCTGCAGGCGAAGGCGAGCGAAAGAAATGAGGATGAGTTCTATTTCGGGATGATGAGTGGGGAGACGGTCGGAGGGGTGAAGAGGGCGAGGAGGGGCGAGGGAAGTAGTGGTGGCGCTGGGCGGAGTCTGGGGCTCGAGACGGTCAAGTTGATGAAGACGCAGGACGAGGGGTATTTGAGGACGGCGGTGCAGAGTTCGCGGAGGTTGAGGGAGAGGTTGGAGAGGGGGGTTGTGGTGCAGGAGGAGATGGGGGTTGGTTCTGTGCCTGGTGGGAAAAGGGATGTGTTTAGTGACGATGATGGGGAGGAGGGAGGTGCGGCTGTACCTCTATCAGACGTGGTTGATGGAGACGATGCGCTTGACCTGGACGATCTGGCTGAGCTTCAGGGATTGGATGCACCCGTCATGGCCGACGAAGTTTCTTCTTCCGAGGAAGATGCCGCAGGTTTGAGCAAAGCAGAACTGAACAAGCGACGGCGGAAACGACATGATATCAAGACCCGACGGAGACAAGTCGAAGCGCTACGAGATCGTGAAGAACAGCTCACTATCGCGTTACGAGAAGTCGAGGCGCAGCGCGCAAGGATGAATGGGACGGTCGGTGGCGTGAACAAGAAGGGTACAAGATTCAAGGTTCGGCAGCGGAAGCGATGAGATTGCTGGACATGTCATGTGTGTGGTGGAGAAATACCGGTAACAGCTTTGTACTCGTCCCATCGAGGCGGAGGGTATGTCACTTGCCATCCCAACTCAGCTGAGATGCGAGATTTTGTTCCAAGCGTGTGTACGATGGTGCGACATCATTTTCCGTGACATTTTACTCATAGCAGGCAAGTATACAGTATTGTCACGGGACGTAGGCTTGAAACTTGCCTGCCACTATTACAAACGCCGATTCCCTACGTCGCGGCACGGTATGTAGCAAGGACTAGATCAGCCATCCAGCCTCAAACGTCAGTCCATACCATACATCCCGACATCCTCTGTCTGCATTGTGTAGAGCACGACCTGCTTCCCGCTTCGTTTTCTTTATCTTTGGGAGCAAACAATCACCATCTGATCCTGGGCCATCAGGCGCCCTAAATCTGGTTCACAGGCAGGCGACTTTACCTCCGAGGCACAGGTAAGACCAAGGGCACGTCACACCGCCACCAAAATGCCACCAAAACAGCGCCAAACAGACCAACCGACCCGCGACCGCAACCTCTTCCTCTCCATCGAACTCAAGGTCCGTCGAGCCCGAGCGGAGATCGCACAACAGCCCTTCGACCAAGACGCCGAAGACCAGCGTCTGAGCCTCGTATGGGACGGTCTGAAAGAAGAAGACAAAACTCTGCTCGCTGCACAGTACAGGAAATACCTAGGCGCCGTAACGACTGCGCAAGCCGCCATTGATCGGGGTGATGCTGCACTAGTGCAGGAACCGCGATTACTTGGCTCAGAGGCCAAGGGGTGGAGGTACGATGACAGCCAACCTCAGGAAATGGAAGTCTTGCAGACCCGCCTCGGAGTGTTTAGAGAGGCTAGGGCTGAGACGAAGCTCATGAGGATCGAGATGGGGAATGTTGTTGCTACTTTGCAGGACTTGGTATCTGCGTACGAGGATCTGGCGTCGAGTCTGCAATGGGCTGAGGAGGAGCTCGCGGCGTTGAGGCAGAAGCTGAGGAGCTGGAGACAGGCGATTGATCGGCATAGTGAGGCGACCTGGGACGCTAGCTGCCGAGTTCTACTAGGCTCTGATGCAGGCACATGGGTCGGTGGATGGCGAGTCGGCGCAGGCAATTTTGGCGCAGCGGATCTATAGATCCAGGGTAGTGGGGCTGGGGCGATCACAGACCGTCTTATAATCAAGGACTCCCGCGCCCCACCCTTGCCACATTCGGATTATATGACATGGTGGGAAGACCACGAGCTCAGTTGGTCCGAGGACCCGCGCGACCCGACTCGCCTTCTTCCTAACGAGATCGTGGCGATGTATGCACTCCGCTCCCGCATCGGGGGCGAGAATATTGTCTCGATAAGTTCTTTCAGGCTGGTGGAGGAGGAGAGGAGGACGTTGATGTATCTTGAGTCTTGCGAGCATGGGGATTTGGAGCAGTGGAGCTGTTGGTATGATCGAGCTACGTATCTGGGTAAGGGGGAGACGGCGTGGGATGAGGCGAAGTGGAGGGAGTTTCATAGAGATAGAGAGGCTAAGCTTGCTAAGAGGGGGTTCCTGCCGGAACCGTTTTTTGTGGCATGTTTTTGGTGAGTCTTTTGGTTGTCGTATGCGTACTGATGGAGCTGATGCTGACTTCGCGGTAGTGAGTCTCCGCCTGGTTTCAATCCTGTCGATAATCAGCACTCGTGAAATCCTGATGTCAGTTTGCACCGATGCTAAGAATGGAACCACCAGGAATCCTTAGCCACAGCCGGACTCCTCCTGGACAAAGGCGAACTGGAGCCCAACCCAGTATCAGACTTCACCACCATACTCCATCTCGACTTGAAGACCCCCAATATGTTCGTCGGAGCCAATACCTCAGACCGCTTCCGTGGGTACCCATTGCCCAAGATGGGTGACTTCGGCCTATGCTGGACCCCAGCCAACGGCCCTCACGGCCTGAAGAACCAGAAATGCTGCGGTACTCCGTTCAACAAACCACCCGAGCAGCACCTCGCTGGAAAGGACGATAGTATGCTGGCAATGGACTCCAAGACCAATGTCTGGGGTGTGGGAAATCTAATGTGGAGCCTCATCGAGCAAGAAGTCGGCGACCATCGTGCTAAATGGGAGACGACTGAGCCCCTCAACGACTACGATCCTGATAGGCTCGACGTGCCACAATCCAGAGACCTGTCGATGACTCGCTATAGCGTCTACCTTCGTGGACTCATCCAGATATGTCTTTCGTACAACTCCGCTCAGCGCCCCGACTTCGAAGACGTCTTGCGCACCATCCGACTGCATTATGACGCCAATCCAGTATTACGCAATTTACTAGGCCGCGGTGAGGATGATCCGGCCTTTAAACCGGACTCGGCGAACTCGATCAAGGCGTTCATGAAGACAGGCGAGACGTGGAAGTGGGCCAGACTCGGCGCTCCTTTGGACGATGCACCTAAGCCCAAGGCAGCTGGTGGTCGGCGTGACTTGCCGCGTGTGCCGCCGTTGCGGTTCGATCATGATGGTGGTGATCACGATCAGCCACCGGGAGGGGTTCCTGGTCCAGGTATAAAAGCCTTACGACCACAGAGAAGGCCACGACCACAGCCGTCGGCTACTGTGCAGCCGCTTACTGGGCCTGGGAACACTCGTGAACGGCCTGCTACTACTACAAGAAGTCCACCTACAGGTCCTCCACCGGCGATGGGCGGAGGAGAAGAACTGCAAGGCCCGATGGAGCGGCTTCGACGGGCGATGGGCGAAGGAAAGGCACTGCGGGATCTGGCGGGGCGGCAGTGCCGCCTCCTATCGGCCAGGACGCTGTTCCAACGACCACCCGTCCGGGTTCCCAGAGGCCCGCGGGCGCGGGAGCTGGTGCAACAAGTACAGTTGCTGTGCCTAAGAAGGCTGTTTTGAAGCTCAAAAACACACGCCCACCACCTACTGGACCGCGCGAATCGGTATCAGCTGAGCCTAGCGCGGAGGAAGCGGACGCAATTGTCCCTCCTGCCCAGCACCCCGCAGTGCAAGAATGCAGATGTCGATGCAAGCAGAAGGCCAGTTGTCTGCACAGGTGCTGCAAACGCCACCTAGACGGGTATGTGAGAGGAGGGAGTCAGCAGATGGTAGATGACGTCAAGGAAGGGAAGAAAGCCCTGGCTGGTAAGACGGGAGGAAAGAGCGCAGGTAAAACTGCTGCCAAAAAGACAATTCTTGGCAAGAGGACTGTCGGAAGCAAGACTGACGACTCTCGTGGCGAAGCGGACGGTGCTGAGCCTGGTGAAGAGTATCTGGAAGTGGAAGGCGATGGCGCTACGACTGTATGGGCGGTGGTAGGATCTCGTAAGCGTAAGCCAGCACCTGATGTTGCGGGCCCTGCGAGAAGGAAGATGCCAAGGCGTGGATGAGACATGCTAGTCATGTCATGGTCAGATGTTGGCTGCTTCCAAGATGTCCTTGCGGCCGCATGACGAGAGTATGTTCATAGCCTTGGCCAATATTTGTACCCTTGTCAATGTCTTGTAGACATAATGATGAAGTCTCCAGGTATCGCTGGTCATTTGAGCATGACAAGCGGCCTGCTGATACGGATAGTGGAGGACTCTGCCGTTGAGGTGGCGGTGAAAGATGCACGCTGGACAAAAGACTGTCGCGAGGGAGTAGAGCCCTTGGCGTACGTTCGCGCTCATGACTTTACCCGTGTGTTTCCTATACTTTCTTAGTCATGTCGTTCTCGCATTTGAGCTCAGGGCGCGGTTCGGCAGGATTCTGCTATTATTGCCATGTTGCTTCCATCTCAATCCACTGCCAAGCCGTGGGATGTCACCATCGCAAAAGCATCTGTGCGGGTTGTGCCGAGCAATATAGTTGCGAATGTTGCCGCGAGCCGTACGCAAGGGAGTATACTGCATACCATTAGTTGTAATGTCTAACCTCATAATGATGATCGACGTCTGTCCTAACCCCGCCAAGCAATGCCTTCGATCGGCTCCACACAGATAAGCTTTCACCCCGCAAAAGCCAGAAGCGGAATTCCGGCGCAGCACGCCTCCAAAATAAGCAAGCTGATCACACGGACGACTCCTACCCTGTCGGCATCGTGAACGTGCACTACTCCTCCTCTGCTCAGCAGGCTAACGTCAGTAGCTCTCACGCTTCGACCCACATCATACCTGCTAACGAGCGGTCTCATGGTCCTGGCGAGTGATGACACTGGACAAACAGCAGACCGCACATCGTCATCCCGTTGCTAAGACACCCGCCGGCACCGGACGAAGCGGCTCAGATGGTTCCTAAACCGATGTTTGCTTACAATAATAAGCAACCAAGGTTAAGCATGGGCTGAAGTTTCCTGTGGCCCCTGATGCCGCTGAACACGTCACCGTGGAGATGAAGAGTAAAGTACTTGTGCTGGTGTTTGGGTCGTGGTCAAGACACTAATCTCCCGCAGGCTGGCACGGCTTTGGCCCGAAGATCATACGACAGAGACATCCCAGCACATCCAGCAGCAGACGCCCAAGCAACGCCCGTTGTGTTGCCGTACTCTGCCACCTCTCCAGCGGCTGCTAATTGTTCTGGATCAGCAGGTCGCCTCTTTAGTCTCTTACTCCACACGATCCCCATAGATCTACAGCTCCCCCCAAAACCATCGCGCACATTCCCAGGGATGCCGTATAACGCATTGGCTGACAACAGAAATCCTCTGGCGATCCTAACCGCGTGACGGCTGAAGTCCTACAGCGCATATCACGCATCCAGTATTTACGCCGCAGATCCTCATCCTAACGTGTTGGCGGACGGATTTATATCGACGTCACTTTCTACACGTCCACTATCCCGACGCGCCATATCTGTACACAGACTGGTATTCTGACTCTCGCTATGCTTAGCCACCTCCCAGCGATCATCCTCATGCACAGCACGGAGATGCGATGTACGGCTGGGGTGTACGAGATCGACATTGTATAAAGGTAAAGTGCTTGCCTCCTGCTGCAAGGACTTTCGTTACCAACATATTTCCATCTCTTCCGCACCAGGCGATCTGTACAGCTATCTTCATATCCTCCAGCCATGCCTTCAAGATCATCCCTTCCTCTGGCCTTCGGTCTTGCATCTCTTGCTGCCGCCAACCCATTTGCTCGATCTAACTCTGGCCCTTGTGACATCTATGCCAATGGCGGTACACCTTGCGTAGCTGCGCACAGCTCTACTCGTGCCCTGTTTGGCAGCTATTCGAAGGGTCTCTACCAGGTGAAGCGAGCCTCAGATGGCCAAACCACCGACATTCGTCCGCGCTGGACTGGTGGTGTTGCCGACGGTAGTGCCCAAGACCGATTTTGCTCGGGTACCACTTGCCTCATCACCAGAATTTACGACCAATCTGGTCATGGCAACGACCTTACGCAAGCTCCACCTGGTGGTGCCGCCCAGGGCCCAGCATCCGGCGGCTATGACAACCTGGCCAGTGCTACTGGTGCACCAGTTAGCTTGAACGGACAGAAGGCATATGGTATATACGTAACCCCAGGAGTTGGATACCGCAACGATCGGACGAACGGTGTGGCGACTGGTAACTCGGCGGAAGGCATCTACGCCGTGCTCGATGGCACTCACTACAATAACAAATGTTAGTAAAGCAAAGATGTAGACCCGCTTGTGAGGCATTGATAGGTCCTAACTGTCACTCTAGGTTGCTTCGACTACGGTAACGCCGAAACTGACAACAATGATGATGGTGCTGCCGCTATGGTTAGTGTAAATCCATATATTAGCCGTCCCTCGGATTCTGACTTTTCCCTACAGGAAGCCATATACTTTGGCAACGAGCCCGGCTACGGCAGCGGCGCAGGTAGTGGACCATGGCTTCTTGCCGATTTGGAGAATGGCGTCTTCTCCACCAACAGCGCCACGCAAAACACGAACGATCCGACAATCACCAACCGCTTCTTCACTGGGGTCTTGAAGGGCAACTCGAACAATCATTGGGCTCTTCGTGGCGGCAATGCCCAGTCTGGTAGTCTTAACACTTTCTTCAGCGGGCCCAGACCATCGGGCTACAACCCTATGAAGAAGCAGGGTGCTATTATTCTCGGTATCGGTGGTGATAACAGTGATGGTGCTCAGGTAAGCTCATCCTCAGCGCAAATCAATTGGAGAGTATGCTTACGATGTTGCAGGGTACCTTCTACGAGGGTGTCATGACCACCGGCTACCCATCAGACGACACCGAGAATTCGGTGCAGGCAAACATTGTCGCTGCGAAATACTCGACATGATTCTAACATTCTATGATTTATTCACGATCTGTATGATACCCAACTATTGGCTGGCGATCGAAAGCGAGGCGCTGTGTTTGGACTCATTGTATAGCTCTACAGGTTATCTGGACAAGTATCATGAAGTTACCTGAAATCTACCTTCCCAAGGTCATTTTTGCCATCCATTGCACGATGTACTCACAATCGATCTCACCGCTCACCGCGCTTGATCTGCTGGACACTCTTCTCGAGCTACGGTCTCTCGATCTTCGAAGTAGTGTGTCTTTTGCTGCGGTCAAGGTATGCACAAGCGGGAGTAGCACGTGTACAAATCTACGGAGCCGGATAGACGACCTTGTGTAGCCTCGGGAAAATCCCACGCCATAGGCATACAGTTGTGCTTACAACAGTCCACCGATCGAGGTCAACATGACTAGCATCGCCATGAAGATACAAGAAGCCTGAGACCCGAATGACCTTGAAATTCCTCTACTGGCTGTCGCGCTGGCCGTCACGGCACCACCACCGGATGTCTGCGATCCATTGTTCGCGCCCCCACTTCCAGATGCTGCGGCATGTGAGCTTCCTGTGGACGTAGTAAGTGACCCTCCTGCAGCACCTGCACTCGTCGTCGCTGGGCGATTGGATGTCCCGGCTCCACCTACACTCGCAGCAGTGATGCTTATAGTTATGTTGCCGACCAGGATGTATGGCACCACTGAGGCGGATGGAGCGTTGAGGGAACCCGATAGATCCGAGTAAGATGCCGTGCCAGTAGTTGAGGGAGCTGCGGACAGGTACGTTAATGGACTAGGGAGAGCAGGATATCCTAAATCCTTCTCGCAATCGGTCTGCTGGAGTACGGAGCCACATTGTGCGAATGGTGGGTCGTATATGGTCAGAAGGGTGTCCGTGCCCGGTAGTGTTGCCAAAAGGTACTTGGGGTCGACCGAGGGACAGACTGAGTACAGCCTGTGTGTCAACAACCAATGTCAGCGAAGCGTTATATCTCGACTGCCCAACAAAGCGATCTTACCCAGCGTATGCACCAGCCTGAGCACAACATTCACAACCAGCATTGTTGTTATAGGTGTTCGAGCAAGCGCCAAGAGCAGAAAGCGAGCCGATCACGACTTCTTCCACCAACTCTAGGTTACAACTACAGCCGCCGAGCGCGTTGTCCGGTGCTGGATAATATGGAATGCCACCGTTGCCTTCCGTTTGGGCAACTAGACTGACCAGTTGCTGAACCTCGCAGCTATAGACCTGAACGGGATCAGCTGTTGCTGAAGGAGAGGTCGCTCAGGTAGACAGAGCACTCACAACGTTCCAGCAATACTGGTAAATGCAACCTAAGCGGAAGGCGTTGGCTGTATCAGCACATGCCACGATATCATCGTTGTTGGCGCCATTCCTTGTCGTACATCCTTGGAAGGTCGAGTCCACCCCGTTCGAGCAAGTGTCGTAGCTGGTGGTGTCCACGCATCGAGCAGCTGGGATTGTGTAATTGAGGTCGGCATTCGAGCCAGCCACAAGCAGAGCACCAGCCAGGACAAGCTTTCTAAGCATTTTCGCGCGTGTCTGTACACAAGCCGTCATTCACAATCGTGCGAGGCTGTTCATGGCTTTATATGCCGTCGAGTCACAGATTTGATACGCTGCGGGGCCAGTCAGGCTGGCCGCTATATCTAGAAGATTGGCTAAAATTTAGGCGACATGTGTCGCTTGGGATGGATACCCATTGGCTGTCTGCCAAGCCATAGCGCAGCCACTTCTGTCGTGGACATTCTCGCGATGCAGCCTCATCGCGCCTTCATGGAGGCTATTGGCCTTCTGGCCCACTGCAACGTGCAGTGGCGATGTCGGCATTCATGCAGTCGGTCAGCAAGCTGTAGGTGTCTGGTGCGTATCATAGTGTCAGTTTCTCAGAAAGGAAGCATGGACGACAAACGCACGACGAAAAAGCTTTGGTCATCTACATGCCGAAGCGCGCAAGGCGTTCGACTCTCATCCATCAACAATGCATAACGTCGTAAATCTCCTCAGGCGATTGCAAGAAGTCTATCGACCTGTGCCTGGACTATGGCAATGACGAGCATTAGCAAGAGGTCACGTACGATGGCTTCACTTGGCATGAGGTCCTGTCTGAGCTGGATTTCCTCGAGACATTGGGATTACCGCAGCGGCACTTCGCATTTTTCGTAAGGCTTACAGTGCATCCAAGCGCTGTGCCGAAGCGTAGAGGACGATTGGAGACTTCGACTGAAAGACTTCGACTTGGGAATGGACTGATTATTTCCACCACAAGGACAGCATCCGGCGACTGCAACAGCTCCGAGAAGTGCATGGCAAGAAATTCGTCCAAACGTGCTACGAATCGTTGGCTATCGCTTGCTTATCGAGCTGGCAGACCACGTTTTGAGATATAATGTAGCAGCTGGAGAGATTTCGAACGAGCCAACAGTCTACAAGCTACGCCACCAAAGTGCAACAGATTATCAGAAGAAGCTGAACCAGGACGGATCAAGGCATTGGGGATGCTTCGCTGGTCCTTCAGGTAGCGATACCAGCCAAAGATGGAACGGCTGCCTTTACATCCGCGGACAGCTGCGCGAAACGTCTCAATCTTCGACGGCCTTCGAACACCCACGATCTCAATGCAGCACATACGTATGCAGTAAGCATAACAGGCCCAAAGATTGACATCGGAAGTATCGACAATAGGAATAAATCTAAAGATTGTCAGCCTCGAGAATTCACACCAAGTGCCGCGACACTTGCCCAAGAACAACCTCCTGCGACAGATCATATGCCACATCTCACCCTTCATCACCTCTTTAGCTCCATCGCACTGCCAGGGACCCCTCACGCGAAACTTGGCATTGAGATTGGCACTGAGAGCCCATACCAGCGGAAGCCTCCAGTCGTACTTCCAGCCAAGCGAGACAACTTCCGAGAAGCCGAGAGCAGAGTCTATGTCAAGAGCCAGCTGGTAAACGTAGCTCTCGTGATCAACGCCGTACTGAATTCGAGCACTTTTGGGCGACTTCAGGCGGTAGTGCGGCTCGTCTCCAGGCAATAGCGGTCTTGTAATAGATGTAGGAGCCGCGATCCGCAGAATCCAAAGCTGGGCCTGCATTTCCGAGATAGGTGGTATGGCGCCCAGCGAAGGCCGAACGAAGCCAATGAATCCAATTGAGGGATCGCTACGCTTCCAGATTCCTCGGACATCTACCGAAGATGGTGTCGGGTATGGTAGAATCCTGTTGGAAGATCCAGAGGCGGCTTGCTTGTCGAAGAACGGAAAGACTTGCTTATACCCGGTACAGAACACGACTACATCGGGTTTGATTCTCTCGTCTTTCATACGCTGATACTCGGGACGACCATTGTCCTCGAACACCACAACGCCAGCTTCGTCAGTATAGTTTGGCAGTGGAGCAAGATCAACACATCTCCCCTTAGTATCTGTACTACGTATCTGGAGCAAGCTGGAGCGGACTTGCTGGACGACCGACTTCGTATCGCGGTATGGAGCACACAGATAGGATGCGATTTTGGCAGACTTGTTCAGGAATACTAGCAAGTGGTCAGAAGAAAGAAGATAATGGACACATCAGTGGCTTAGTTTTCGATGCGTGGTCTCGCTCTGGACTGACACCACCGATCCACTGGTCGAAACCGACGGCTGTCCCAGTGGTAAGCCACAAGATCACACGAACTACTTGTCATAGAACGACCAGAGAAGCCAGTCGTTGTCACGCAAAGATGAGTGGAAATAAGCTGTGTCGAATAGATTTGCACGGCTGCCGTCTAATGGGACTGTCAACCGATCATCATGCTTCCCGCCGAATCAGGAAGCCATACTGGGTTCAGATTGCGCTTCGGAGGTGGTTGTCAGCTCGGCCATCCAATTGCGAAGCCTGAGTGCCGCTCACCTCTGGAGCAAGGTGAAAGCCGTCACGATGGCACATAACCACTCGCTTCGTCGGGGACGTTACCGCGAGATATGCGAGGTCTGCACCAGTGTCCCCACTACCGATCGAGAGCACGCTCTTGCCTATACCGAATTGTTCTCTGCTCTTGAACGAAGAGGAGTGAAAGACTTGCGGAATTCTCTCGATGCCAGGTATGGCTGGAATGTTTGGTGTGACGTGGAGGCCTGAGCAGACAGCAACAGCGCCACACTCCCACTCGGCAGACTCTCCTTTTGCTTTGTCTCGGAGGACCATGCTATGCCCGCCTGCATTGTTTCGAATGATAGAGACCACGCTGGTCCGAAGCTGTATGTGTGGCCACAGTGCGAAATGATTGCAGTAGTGGTATAGATACTGGACGTAATGTGGAGCACTCAAGAAATCCGGATCATCATTCGAGGGCCGAAGGTCTGAGAAAGTCGTAAGCTGTTTGGAAGATACGAGCTTCAACGGTATCAGCCATCAAGCATAGGGTACAACGTATGTCGCCAGGGCATATTTTACTTCTGCATCTTCGTATGTCCGTGCCAGGAATGTCCCACCAACACCTGCTTCGCTTTCGAAGAGTCGTGCATCAATCTTCTCCACACCTAAAGATCGATGAGCTTCGAGCAAGTACTTCAAGGTGACGAGGCCAGACGGTCCTGCACCAATGACTGCAACTTTCATCTTAAGTGCACATATATGTCAAGGCCGATGAAATGATGGAGGCGAGCTGAGACACACGACGAGATCGCATGAAACTCACCAGCTAAGTATGTCCCAGACGCCGCAGTGGCGCAGACATGACCGATTTTGGATTGCCGTAGTGATCGCTCGTGGTTGGTAGATCTAGCTTTGGAGCACAGACAGATCCTTCTCAGCCGCTCCGAGACTACGATCCTCCCTGTAGCTTTTGTACAGGTCATCTATCGCCATGGTCCATTCGTCTCTTGGGTGTTGTCTTCCTGCGACACACTGCACGTTGATTCTCCTGATCGTGTCGCAGACGCCAGACTCATCCAAGGCTCGAGACCTTGGGGCTTTTTGGCTACAAGAAGACAATCGCAAATGACCTTGGCTCCTTGCGATTTTGCGGGTAGTTGTTTGTGGATGATTCTCTTGTAGATTGTAGACGTAGATGTCGTAAGCACTAACCTATCCAGGAAATCGTCTGTCAGATCGAGGGTTAGGTGATCATGGGGGTCACTTTACAGTCCAACGCTGACAGGCCAGCCGCCAAGTAGTCGCCAGCCACGCACCGTGCTCGAGCGTACACTCCCACCATCTATCGCTTCATTTGCATGATGCATGCAGATAGCTGACAGGCGTCGAAGGCGACAGCTACGTGCGTTCGCACAGGGCCGTGACCGACACTGCTACCCATACGGCTGGCCGTTTCAGTACTTAAGAGTCTCCGGTCCTGCTCTGCCGCGATCTTGTGAACGCGAAACGTGCCTAGCAACATCGGCTTGTTGGGAGAATCGACAGGCACGAACCTGATCGAGACAGAGATCTGTGAGTGAGGGAGAGGTAATGATACTGATGTGATGGGGGCGGACTGCATTGTCATTCGTAGAGCTTACTCCAACGAACTGATAGCATCGTCACGGACCACGTGGATATCAGACCGATCCACAAGAACATTCCACCAAGGGCAGCTTCAAGCTGCACATCATAGGGCTGGTTGGCAAACACCACCTTCATGCCTACCACATAACCAAACGCCAGCATGAGAAAGAACTGCCAGAGCAGTAAGACGGCCTTGAACATCTTGCTGCTGTACAGGGAGTGTCGTAGCTCGGTTGCAGAATCTGGTGTCTCAAATCGCAGCTGCGCAAACAGCTTGCTGAGATGGGAGTCTGGTTGGGACGACTCAGCAAGGGCTGTAGATTGGTGGCTCGTAGAATCAAGAAGCCCAGTATAGGAGTCATTCGTGATCGCTGTTCTCATTTGATAGTCCTCTGACGAAGTGCGATGATTGTCTTTTTCTATATCAGGTCAACCACAATCATCTACCAGTGGAAGCAACGAGATTCGTACCGTATAGCGCTTCCACGACTGCCAACAAGGGCAAGGCGAGGAGTAGTAATGGTAGGATTTGACCAAAGTTCCATGCGTTTTCCGACGAGTCCAGACTCACCTGGGTCCTAGGCAAGCACAGCTGCAACGTGCCCCACACCAGTGCGATGGTAATAGTCCAGAGATTACCAGCGAACGATCTCAAGATCTCTGTGAAAGAGACGATGGGAATGGATGCTGATAAGTAGACAATAGAAACATCGAGCTCGCCAGCTTACGGTATTGACTTGCTTTCTCCGAGCCAGACTCCTCAGTGGTCTTTCTAGGATGGCCATTGGAAATCGCCACAGCCACTTCTGTAAGAAGCCTTGAGTTGTCTCAGCGAGGTTACCGGCTTTCCAGAGGAATCCGCCAACCAGTATGATGTAGGAAACCACAGCATCAGGATTGACATCTCCAAGGCCAGGGCCATCGATCAGATAACTATCGCCTGCCTCGAAGACCGCCAATCCAAGGGCCTGAGCTTCCGAGCCTGTAGTACACCATACCGGTAGTTGCGCCGTCCAGCATGACGGAATGATACCACTGGTCTTTGCGTATAGAGTGGCTGTCCAAAAGTTCGAGATCGTCGGGACAAGCGCTACTATTAGCAAGATAACAAGCAGCGCCATGCCAACAAGACGGAATCTTCTCAGTAACGTATTGTGCCGAAGGTAGTCCCGTAGGAAGGACAAAGTAGTGAGGTGCACATTTGATGATAGCCATCCGAGATAAGTAACGACCTGCCAGTGATAAACGGACATCGTGGTCCAGCCCGCGAAACCGGCAATCAGGACAGCGATACCTGCCACCATCTGTTGGTCGCTCAAAGCCAGCATAGCCCGTTGTAGCGTCCTTTCCCAGGCTCTAGATGCTCTGTATGATCGCCGGATAATCACGATATCGTGGCTGGTCAATAGATCTCGAGGCATACGGTTGGCGACATAGCATCCGGTGGCGAAAGCTAGGCATGCCCAAGCACTGATCAGAAAGGCTAGGAGAACACCAAGACCAGATACATCCGGGTTTGCAGTCGCTGGTGCAGCTGGACAGCTGCCATTGCGATGGAGTGCCTCTATGAAATCATCGCAGGTCAGCATGGTCGAAAGCTTCCAGTGAAGACGGCGGCGGAAGTGGCAGATACCGGACGGAGGAGATGGAAGGGAGAGGCATAGCTACTGGCTTTGAAATGGGTGTCTAAGATCGGCATTGTAATACAAGTGCACTTGGGGGCCAAATTTTGCGACCCACGAAAGAGCACAAAGTTAATTTGGCCGTATCCTTCTTAATGGTGAACAACACCAAAGCTTGTCCTGCCGTCCGTGCTTCGCCGCCGCTAGCCCTAGCATTCTAAACTCCAAGCCTGCTATACGTTCACTCCCTTTTCAACACTACTGCCCTCGAAACACTGTTTGCTTGGTCTACTCGTCTGAGCTAGATGCGGCATAAGATGTACCGACTGGCAGCATTACTACGCACGGATCGGACTCCTCGGTGCAATGTTGAGCACCTGCTCTTCATGTTTCTTGCGTCTATATGCTACGGATATTCCCACTCCATCCGGTGGCACTCACATGGTCAGAACTCAGAAGGACAGGCCGCTCATCGTGGAATCAAACTACTGCTGTTTGGAAGATAGCAACAATCCCGTCGGTAACAAGGGTTTCTCGCGCCGCACATAGCAGACAGCAGGTCGATCATTGCTATCTGACCATGCTGAACTGCTTTGTGCAAAGAAGTGCCTAATTTCGCCATAGTATGCGGATGCCACGTCTTGATTCCCAGCTCGTTGACGTCACGCCACGACTAAGAAGCAGTCGTGCATTCTCAAGACGGCCTTTCTCCGCTGCGTAACATTGCGCGCCATTCCCTTTCACACTTCCACCATGATCCTGGAGCAATTCGAGCATAACAGCATCATTTCTGCCAGCAGCGCATGTGACAACTCTATAATGAAGCATCATCTCAACCTCAGCATCGATGTCCGCTCCACTCTCCAGCAGATACCTCGCAAGGTCGTGCCTTCCTGGATGGCCATAGCCATCCGCAACACAACCAAGCAATGTGCCGTGATACTCGCGGAAGAAGTCAACGTCCATAAATCCGGATCCGACAAGTCGATAGTATGCGGGCTCAAGACCTTTCGTGCTACATACCCAACCGAACAGCTCGTAGCAAAGTCTGCCTTGGTTCCGGTGACGAAGGCATACCCTGACGGCATCGTTGGCTCCAGCGAGAGTGGCTGCGAGGAAATCGTACATCCAGATGGTTCCTTGGACCTCTTGTGTCAGTGACTCTACGCGGCCGTCATCATTCTGCGTGCAAGCCATGTGCAATTCAGGGCCAAGTTTGCTCGTAATCCTCGCCTCGATCAGTGGGTCAGGATCCATTTGTCGTTGATGGTGGCAAGATACCTGCGAGTGCTGCTCGATCTCAAATGGCCACAATCTAGCGTCGAGAATGAAGCTGATCAACCTACGACAGGAGCCAACGAGTCGTCTGGTGAGACTTGTACAATATTACTTTGAGACGTGTGTTCCCGCGCACACTCTTTGTTGCCTCGCTGCAGCAATCGAAAATGCAGATCTGCACCGCCTTCTTGGGGCTGTGCCACGAAGCTGCATATGCAGCTAGCTTCCTGGCCCGTCAGGTGCTCACATGCCCAGCTCGCCTACCCACGTCAATGAATTCATCTATACGACTCGTTCTCACGGCTCGACCATGGCTCAATGCCTGGAGATGGATGGAAGGAGGGATGCGGGATCTGAACTGCCTTAGGATGCAAGAGACCCACCGAGCTGTCTGCGGATACTTATGAATCAGCCACGATTGTGAGCCATACAATTCGAGGTTGGCCTCGGGATTTTCGCAACAACAGTAGGCATCTGATCCATCGAGAAGCTCCTCCTTCCTCGCTTTCGGATCCCAGGTGCAAAGAAAATCATTGCAAGAGGTCCAAAGGGACCAGCGCGAATTCCAGGACATTGTTGAGCCTGTGAGGAGTACTATGCGTGAGACAAATTGAGGAATAAAAGCACTCCGCATCGGGGACTGTATACTGCCAAGTCATCCTAAATCCCAATCTCAAGCATCTTATTGACGACATCTCGGAGAGGTTCCTTCTTACTCCATTCAGCATTCCAACCCAGACCACCCAGACGATCTGCTCGGGTATGGCCATTGCTTCCGAGCAAAGACCAGCCGTCTGCACATGGTCAGCATTATCCGGCTATCAATTCACTGATATATTGCTTACAGTGTCCAAGGGGGTCAGCTACACCCTCAGGAAATGGCTGGGTTCCAGGAACCCGGACCAATCCTCGAGCGTACAATATCTGCAAATTTCTGAGCATTTTCAAGAAATAAGATGGGTGTGCTGCTTGACCGTAATACGCACGTCTCCTAGCACACTGTTGATCTTACGCCATGACATGGTCGGTTCCTGGGACGTCACGAAGACTGCATCCATCTTCGATAAGCTCTCTGGTCAAGACATCATCCAGCTGAATCTGCTTACAAAGACCGTCACTCCCGCCACGTGTTGCATCCTCGAGCAGGTATCCAAGGACGCATAAGACCGCTGCAGCGACATCTCGGACATGGATGCAGTACTGACTCACTTCAACAGGTCCCCAAGTACCTGCATGACCAGCTGCTTTGGCGAACGTCGAGTAGAATGGGACCCATGCGCCGCTTCTGGGAGCTGTAAACTTGTTAATTGCGTATTGATCATTCTGAATTCGTGCACAGACTTTTGCCATGGCCATAGATCAGACCGGGAAATAGGATTGCGGTTTGGATGCCGTCCTGGCTCCTGGTACCTGCTTCCAGGATCTGCAACGAATCAATTCCAGATCGGGACTCTGAAAGACCCAACAGAACTTACCTGGCGATCGCTGGCAAGATGCGTGTTGTCCTTAGGACAGCTGCACGAAGTTCAGCCTGGTTGTAACTTCCCAATGGAGTGTCACATACTCATCCAGCCGAAACCCAACATCAGTCCACTCTTTGACAAAGTCAACCTTCTCACCACGAACATTATCCGCAATGACTCCCAGCCCAGACATATGCTGATATATAGGTGTTCGATGAGAATCCGTGCTGGCTCGCTTTCTCAAGCCTGCCAGAACAGCCTGCACAGATGGCGCATAGTCGGAGTGTGCGACGTGGATGACAACATCGACCTTTTCGGCTGCTGCGGAAATGATCGCACTGTCCTCCAGAGTACCCTCCACTATCTCGACGCTCGGATTGAGCTTGTTCAGATCATTCGCTTTCTGGGGTGTTGTGTCGCGCATCAAGCAGAGCAGCCGTAATTGTGGGTGTTTCGTGGCCAATAGCTCACAAAGGTGGCCTCCAACGAACCCCGTAGCCCCAATGATGAGTGCGGTAGCAGGTGCCATTGTGTGAGTGCTGTCAATATTGAAAGGTTCGACGAGAGGATGAGAGCTATCAAGCTAGAACATGGGCATGGCAAAGTGCTATGGTGTGCAGTGCGTTCGCAGGTACACATTCGTTCGATCTGGTCAAGTCATCTCCGAGACTTGGACTAAGCTTCATTATCGCTCAAGTCTCAGCTCGCAGGTTATCCCCAGGAACGGTTACAAGCTGAGACTGGACAGCAAGACTCTGTCCATACCTAGTACATGCACCGAGCTGGAAGTCTCGGTCATTACTGGATGACCTTAGCTGAGGATTACAAGGAGACTCAAACGTCAGGAAGCTAAGGTGGATTTTGTACACGTCCTGCGTATTTTGCCGCCCTCATCTGTGCAATTGTTCACTATCATTTCATCACGAGTCGCGGAGAAACAAGAAAAGTAGCGTGTCAACACTGTAGACTCAAGATCATAACTCTAACTCTCCGTAACCCAATGCTAAGCTGCATATTGATCTAAGCAAGGCCCTAAGCACCCACGCCCATAATGGCTGCCATGACCGGATCGCAGTACTCCTGTTGATTGCGAACATAGTGGTTCGTTCCGCAGATCTCGACCGCTTGGCCAGAGCGCAGCTCACGACCAGCTTTCTCATCACCGTCCCCATCCAAAAGAAGCAACACGACCTCAACTACCTTGTCAACGGGAGTGAGCATTTGCTCCGGAAACATCTGGATAGCCGCTTCATTAGCTTGACCGCTTGTGTAACCGCGAGGCTCTGGGTACCTACCGCAAACATCTCGGGTGGGAGGATATTCGTGCGAACAATGCCGGGTAGGATCGCATTGACCCGTACTTGGTCCTGTTTCCAGGCGTCAGGCGCGATGCTTCTGGTCCATCCCAGCACGCCATGCTTCGACGCAGCGTAAGCTGGGGCGATCGCTGAAGCGTACAAACTAGCAGAGCTGGCCGTCACGACAATGCATCGCGGACCTGAAGCTGCAGGACTTTGGCGGAAGTAATGCTGTGCCAGATGGGTGGTGAACATGACAGACTGCAGGTTGACAGACAACATTTTCATGCTTGGCGCTGCTGGCGGCTCGTTACTCAACTCCTTGGGAGTCTCTGGTGGCGCTTCTAGAGCTGTGATGTATCAAAGTAAGTCAGATTGCGATTGAACAACTGAATCTCTGCTGCCCATTTCCGGCGAACATACCTATACCAGCATTGGCGAAGACGAAATTGATCTTGCCATGCTCCTTGAAGACCCGACCGAAGGCAGCAGCGAGTGAGGCATAGTCTGTCACGTCGACCCGGATGAAGTATGCGCCGGTCTTGTCGGCGGCTGTCTCGCCCCTCTCTGCATCTCTGTCAAGCAAGTAGACGATCCAGTTGTTACGAGGGAAGAGTGCCTCAGCTGTGGCGAGTCCAATACCACTTGCGCCACCGGTGATGATTGCGATATTGGCCTGCTCAGACATGTTGAAGTGAAGATGGTGCTGGTTATTGTACTAGCGTCGCGATCACAACGGCAAGGACCATACTTATACGATGTCCGGCACAGTGGTATCTAGCCTTTGCGTTGCGTAGCATACCAAGATGTGCGTAGCTTCGCACCTCGTTAGAGATACGCTGCGGCTGAACATTTCACGGAGTATCCGCGAGGTGCAGACAGCGTATGGAAGGTTCAAACCAAATCTGAAGGGGACGTATTGCGCGAGATACTCTATCTCGCTTCAGCGATTTAACACACGTGGTTGGAAGTCAAAAGTTGAGCGCTCTCGTCGAATACTTCCTTCTTGATTCTAGCGGCTTGGCTGCGTAGTTTCAAGTAATCAACCGCCAAGCACTGCCATGCAGCTGTGCCTCTGCCGAAGGAGTGAAGCCTGTGCTTTGTGTACTGGATACTGTATCTTTGTCCCACAACAGTCGTGCATACTCCTTCCAACATCCGAGAAGCTTCCAGGCCAAAAGTATGGTTGGAGACGTGAGGAGCTCGCGTATGAACTGAGGCATGTTGAAAAACCTACTTCCCAAACACAATCTGAGTCACGAGTATCGAGCTTGTTGAACACCAGTCAGTACTTGGTTTTCCCACCGTACTGAAGAGCTAGCTGGTAGATACCGATACAGAAAGCAAAATCCTTCAACCCACTACAGACTCTACTCTCCACCCTGTTCACTTCCTCCACTCGCGACTGATTATACACATAGCAATTGCCATAACATATCCACTGCCCATCTAAGCCTTGAGGGTAAGCACACCAGGGCGGTATGGCAGAAGGTCGTAGGAAGCAGTGCTGGAGGGGTTGCGGCCCTGGTACAAGAACTGCAAGTTGCAGGGGTCGATAGTCATGGTCTGGTCTGGGTTGGTGCGGACCAAGTCACCGTGCGAGATATCGTTGGTCCAGGTAGCACCGCTATTGGCCTTGCCGGCGAAAGGAGCGGACTCGGAGCCAGCTTGCACGGTCCATGTACCAGACAGGCTGGAGGAGGTGAACGAGCGGAAGTAGCGGCCGTTGTTGCCCTGAGCCTCGACGATCATCAAGTACTTGTTCTGGCCGGAGACGGTGTAGACTTGGACGGCCTCGAAGGTGTTCTGGGTCGTGCCGGAGATGACCACGGTGCTGGCGGAGCCGAAGCTGCCTGGGAAGTTGCCGATAGCCATGCTAGCGCGGTAGATCTTACCGTTGTCGCCGGCGAAGAAGAGGTACATGTTCGAGCTGTCACCAATGACAGTCTGGTCGATAGGACCAGTGCCGGAGCCCGAGATGCTGCCGCTGAACAAGGGCTGAGGAGAGGACCAGCTGCTCACGACGTTGGGGGTCTTGGATGTGCGGTAAGAGAAGGCGGTAGGACCCCACTGGTGAGCCAGGATCCAGGTGCTCTTGGGAGCGAAGTAGAAGATAGTCGGCGCCACACCGGCGAAGGACTCGGCGGTCTGAGCAGCGGCGGACATGCCGCTCCACGCGCTGAAAAGGCCGAAACCGGCACCACCGTAGTTCTTGCTGTCGTGATAGGAGGAGTAGACCAAGTGCTGACCGTTGTAGATGGTGCTGGAGAAGTCCTTGAGAGCTGCCCAGCCGTTCTTGGGGGAGGTGAGGGCACCCTGGTCGGACCACTTGTAGGTGGATGGAAGAGCGCAGCTAGAAGCGGCGGCAGCAGCGGCCGGCGCAGCCTCAGCCTCTGGGCATGGGGCGGCGAAGGCCAGGATCGCGCTGCTGCTGAGCAGCGTCATGGTCTGGGTGAACTTCATGTTGACTGGTGGTTACGTTCTTACCAGAAGAACGATTTAATCGAAAAGCTTTACTGTTGAAGCGAATGTGGAATGAACGTGAAGTGCTGGATTGGTACGCCACATTGGATAGGAACAGCGGATAGCCTACCTATTATATCAGGCTCCTGATCTAACACACTGTTGTGTCAGTCTGATGGCTGCTAGGATGTTATGATAGCCGGCCGCTCGCCTAACTCAAATATTCGTGAAAGATTTCTCCGTTTCGTGGAGCCGTTGTCGGGTAGGCTGAAACTACTGTGGACCGGTGCAAGCAGAATGATCGACAAAGCTATCATTTCTGCGATCGGTCCGGACCTGATTTGAGTGAGCTGGACATGGAGAAGGCAATCAAGGACTGTATTCAGTAAGAGATCCTAGAGATCCGTGGGAAAAATTAGAGGATCGGTCTTAGGCGCCGTGGTCTAGCATTGCCTGGTGGCACATCACTGCGTCGAGTCCGTACAGTATCTGCGGCAGAACCCCATTTGGCTGCGTTCGAGGCCATGTGACGGGAGTCATGGCGACACGGCGGCATGAAGTAGAGTGCTTCAGTTGTATAGAAGGTGGATGCCGAAACTCGCTTGCGTCGTGTTGAAACTCTGCCAAATCTCCGAGGCACCCCATCCGCGCTATGCCTGATCGAGCCAGCATTTGTGGCGATTTCTCCGTCGCTGTCGAAGCTGGACACAGCTTCTCTACTTGTGTCAAACGAAATGCATATCTCGCGCATCTTGGCAAGATTGCGGTCCTCTGGTGTACTCCGCTGTGAAAGGTGCAAAGCCGGAATTGCGTAGGCGATATTGATCACCGGCTTTCAATGGCACTATTGAAGCGTTTCCGCGTCGTCATGTTTGCCTGGACTTCTGGACATTCGTATCACTAGGCTGGAGGCAAGCAGCCAAAACACCACGTGCTGTGCCAGCCAGGACAGCAGCCGGCCACTAGGCGCTTTCTAGCTATTTGCTAACATCATTGACCTGGCAATGTTGTTGTGAAGTCCGGAACCACTGCTTGGCGTACTACCGGCAGCGCTTCGACCATGAAGGACAAGCTTGCCATCAGCCTGGCTAAACAAGTTTGGAGGACAAGTGTGCCGTATCTGTGCATCAGATAGCATGCGATACCAATGGCGATCCGGTGGGACTATCGCCCTCGTGATGGACCCACGTAGACAGTGCGCATGCGTAGACGCTCGGCGACCACTCGTAGTCCGTGACTACTACGCGCTCTCACGATTTGTTTGCTCAGATCGTGAAGTGACGCAGCTGACAACCAATTTCTTTCATGGCTATGTTATATCACTACTCGTGAGTGGGCAATGCGACCTTAATTATCCAAGGAGTCAATCCCATATCATCGGCCAAACTATGCAGCTATTACGAAATTTCGACGTGCTATGTGATCGCTTCCTCCCGTGGCGGACTAGTCGAAAGCAAGCAGCCGTACAGCTACAAGCTGCACTTCTCTACTTATTGGAATTAGACGATCCGGCTCGAGTGGCACCTTTCCGGGAGTGGTCGGCGGAATTCTGCTCGCGACACAACGTCAGGAGATCTCAATTAAAGCACCAAAGAGATCGGCTGGAGCTCTACCTCCAGTCTGGTTTGCATGAACGGTGGCTATCTGGAGGCATGCCCGTTGCATCGGCGCGATCAACCAGTACATCCGGGACGAGGAGCGTGGTGTCCAGTTAAAGGAAAGAGTGCGAGTCTTGGTTTTGGTGCTACTGGGTCATGTGAAAGACTGCGACACGTGGCATGGCGAGCTTGCGACAGAGCTGCGCAGTATTGCTGGAGCCGGGAACGATGCTGGACTGCCATGATCTATACATCCCTGCTCTTTCAACGTATTTCTTTCTCTACGACGCCTCATTTCACGAGCGCTGTCGCATCCTTGATCACTGGTCTATGTTAGCCTGATCAGGCTCCATAGCTTAGTCTTGGATAGACGGCCTAGAAACGTTATAGCTGGATGCTTTGTCTTATGGCGAAGTATTTGTTGGGACATGAAAGAGCCGTTGGCTTTGCGATGCAGTCTCAAGTGCTTGGTCTTAGTTTGTGCTACTTCAAGCAGATGGTGATTTGTGTCTTCCATGAAGCAAGCAAGGCCTCTAATATCTAGGTTCAAGAATGGCCGCGAGCAGTCCTGTTCCCGACCTAAAGCGTGAGCCACTGCCTCATTATCGCTACAAGTCTCATGCCAAGATTGTTCCCGGAGATACCAGCAGACTGGATGTACCTGCTTGACAGCGTCATACCCGGACGTACGAGTGCTCGCAAAACGGCCCTACAGCTCGCCGCTGCTTGCATAGCTCTTCTGGAAGTCGAAAGGTATGACGATGATGCTTGTACCTTCAGGAGCTCTGTCGAGGGTTTCGCACGGGATTACTGCAAAGGATTGAAGCTTCCGGTGCAAGACGTTGACTTGTACAAAAGTGACATTCTCAAGCTGCAGTACCAAGGTCTTAGGCCTAGTCATTGGAGGTGGGATTACCGGGTAATGATGGCCGTTGACGTCTTCAATGTCCAGCATTCAAAAGGGACTGCACTGAGAGTGCGCCTGGACCAGATGGTGGCGAAGCTGATTGGGATTGCTAAAGCTGCTGACAAGGCCCAGGGCCACGAAGCCGAGAAGCTCCGATTTGGCATGGGGTTGGACATTGGTGGTGGTTAGCGAGCCGGACGTTCCCCAAGCGACAAACACCCGGCCGAACGAGCTGTTGTTTTGTCGAGATGATTCTTGCAGGGTCATGCACGCCCAAACTGGGTGGTCGACCATCGCACAGTGATCGATAAGGCTCCGAAGGACACAGACTTCTTCGTGAGCGCAAGGTATCAAGGGCAGTCATAACCGGGAAAGTCAGAGAAGCGAGCTATACGAATAATGGCTGGTCAGATGTATGGAATGGAAGGTTCGCGTTGATAGCGCGCGTGTCTCGTACAGAGCCAAAGCTTTCGGTATCATAAACCCAAACCCGTACCATCTCCTGTCCAGCGGTACAGCTTGAGTATATGCGTACGAAGGTGAGACTCCGATCGCGTGATTTCTATACCGGTCGTGGCTTCGTAAATACCAAAAAGCAGGAGTTTTCTCATTTTACGCTAGGAGACATTAGCTGCAGCCACATATCGACTGGACGAATTTGACTTACAAGATACTCCGAATAGTGTGTACAGTTGGTCGCCTCGAAGATGTGCACATATGTCTGGCAAGCTGCGAGGACAGAGGCGTTTACTTTAGACTTGTAGTGCGTGACTGCAACGTATGGCAGTGTCGCGGCATGATACGTGAAGATGCCGAAGAACATAGCCTTGAAGCCAATATCCGGGTCCAAAGATCGCAGCTCGCCCAGGACGTCTGCACCAGCAACAGAGTGGTTCAATGCCATGTGAAAGCGAGGCGTAGTTGTGAAAGCATCAGCGTGCTCCAGTAAAGTCAGCTTGTCCCATTGTCCGCCAACCAAGGCATACAGCAGATGCTGGAGAAATCGTGCGTAACAGTGAAGCATCTGACGGTGCTTCTGCATCCTCCGTGAAGTCATGTCATCGAGGACCGAGTATACTGCTGAATAGCGGCTAAGCATATTCTGTATACTTGGCTCGAGCTCGTTCAGCTGCTGTGTGATGGTGTTGATATATGCATCTGCGACAGCATTCGAAGAAGATCGTTCCACTCGTGGATGATAGCTTAGGTGATGCAGATCTATGATTTGGCCAAGGATGCACATCAATGGCAAGAGAACATCAAATAGTCCAGTACCGGTGCAGGTTGTGGGCGGGCCAGTACGACTATGGCGACTGCCGGGTGGTTGTTGTTGCTCGTTCTGTGATTTCGGATCCTCGTCGAACACTAGAGTCTGCCATTGGTCATCAGGCAGCGGTAGCTCCGTATCTTGGCTCTCGGCATCCTTGATCGCCAATGGACTGTTGAAGCGAAGTGCGAGTTGCCTGTCCCATAGGTACAGAGTCCACCAGATCCTCCGCCGCTCTTCTCGCTCCTGCAGCGAAGCCCCTCCTGTCTTCGAGTGGCCAGGCTCAACCACAGCATCTTCACTCACGCTCATCGGTGATGTACCGCCATCTGTCGACTGCTCATCATCTTCACTCGCGTTGTCGTCGGAAGTAGATACAGCAACGACGTCTTGTTGCTCGGAGGGCTGTGCACCTACCTCTGAAGTGCCCTGGCTGGGTCCTGACCTGATCTCCCGATTGAGCTTAAACTCACGAGCCAACTGGAAGGCAGTATGCCACCATCGGGAGCCAGCAGGTTTGGATTGCGTTGTGGTGGTGACAAGAGCGATATGCATATATGTCACAATGTCGTCCAAATAGCTGTGCCTACTACGCGAGGCCAGTCTACCCGGCACGCTACTGGAAGCATCCGGATGTATTATCACGTTCGGCTGGGAGCGATACAACCTAGTGGCCAGCCCCTGCGCACGGTCCCGACTAGGATCCACTGGCTCGCTCGAGCCTTCGAGCAGATCTAGCGTCAGCTGTAGCAGTCGCTGGTACAGCTGCATTCTAGCGGCCGGGGATTGGCCAAAGAAGGGCGACTCAGTAGTATGTGCCGAGATTAGCAGCATGCTGGCAAGAAGTGCGGGCGTACATGGTCTCGGTTTTGACGGCGACAACAGCGAGTCCCGTCTAAATATATGTGTTACTAGCAAGGGTGACGATGGGACATATATCCCATCATCGATGTTGGCGAGGAATGAGTCTAACAAGTCGCACGCCAGTCCGGCCGATATGATTCGACCGACATAAGGCATGACGGGTCGTAAGACTGGATACTTGACATTCATGTCACCGACAGAGCTTTGGGATCTCGACAGGGAGCCCGAGTCATGTCTTCCAGCGGCCTGTGAGAATGAAGTGCCGGTGCGAGAGTAAGTGGTCGTTCGAGGAGTGAGCATTGGGCCGGCGTCGCCTGGCAAGTAGCCAAATGGCTCGCCCACTGAAGACAGCCAGGCATCGTTAAGCCATTCTTGTGTGCTACCGTGCATAGTGGTGCCGCTTGGGCGAGGCGTTGTCCACGAGGAGGAGGTATTGATGGGAGGTAGTGTTGGAAAAAGAGGTTCTCCACTTGTCGAGGCATGTTCGACTTTGGTGGGTATCTGACCTGTCGTATGTCTGTTCCCCTCCAGGGGTGGCAACAAAGAGCTAGGTGCAGGGCGCCATCTCGAGTCTGATGTGCTTGCCAGTGAAGATAGCCGCCTGTCAGTGCTCGCAGGAGGAGCAAATGGTAGGACGGGTCCAGGCGGGTCAGTTATCGGCACTGCAGTCGAGTGCGTTGTCTGCACAGCTCCGGTACCTATGCGCTGTGTGGTTTGCATAGGTTGTGTAGAGATGCGATACGGAACTGCGCTCCGTGACACAATGGCCTTAGAGACTCGGCCATGCCGTCGTGACTGTCTGTTATACGTGCATTCGAGGCCGTTCTCGCGGCACCGGATGCAAGGTGCAATGCCGCTACACTTCGACCTGCTGCCATTGCACTGGTCGCAAGCCTTTGTGATACGTTTCCGTGGCTTCTCGCCCGGCTGGTTGGATTTATCGATAGTTGCTGTGTCGTCCATAATTATTGCTTTCGGTCCTGATCGCCGACGGTCTTGTAGGCCGCTGATTGATCACGCATTAGGGCACTGAGCAGCGTTGCACAGTGTGGAGAAATTTATTGAGCCTTAGGGACGGCAGGTCCTGTAGTTCTACACAACCTCGGAAGCATCCACACCGCAAGGCATTTATTGGGGCCCTTTATCAGGCTCTCAGGACGACATCCTCCTCGATAACCGGACGATGGAAGAACCATTGCCTCGTGGCATCAGATAGGGCTCGGGCCTACATATTCCGCACCCAACTTGGCCGCCTGAGACAAACTTTCGCCGCTGGCCCGTATATTGATGCACGATCGAGCCACATCACTGGCCATTCGATGGATAGAAGCCACGAAACACTTCAGAGTTCACGCCTGCCGGCAATGCCAAGCAGTCGCCAAGGGAGATCCTTGCCGATATCCATTAGCTGTCTGGCAAGCACTCCTCGACCCATATCGCTCTCAATCATAACTCCATGGCACTACGTGAACCTTCTACGGCCACCAAGTTGGTTCGTTGAGTATTTCACCGAAGGACTCGCGAGAGAATCTCTCCATCTTCCAGACACGCCCGGAGCTGTCAAGTTCCACCCCTGACGATTTCTGCACTGGGAATGCACCTCGCGAGTCTAAATGGTGAAGCACATTCTCCAACCTCAATAATCCGAAGCTGCTTGTGGACATTGCAGCCTACGTGCGACTGGTGGCCATCGTCCCTGGTGATCAGCCTCGGCTTGATCCATGTGCTTTCGAGCTCACAGATCTACATCGCGCTGTCAGCCGACCAGGGTGCATCAGACAAGCTTGAGGACATTCTGGTCGATGGCAGGTTCTTTCAGTGTCCGTGGCAATCTCCAGCCGTGTCTCAAAGAAATGCAGCAGACCACTGCGACGAGAACGCCGAAGTTCATTGACTCGCTCTGCATCGACCGTCCCAGATCAATGCTTAGATTTTGATGATATCTAACATCTGCAAGTGTGCCAGAGAAATGATTGTGTGGCTTTGGTCTTGCAGCTGAAGGCAATGACATACTTGTTGATTTACGCAATGCAGACAAAGCAACCTGGTCCGCACGACCCAATGGCGCCAATGGCCACGACTTTGTACAACTTTCAAGCTTGCCAACAGCCTTGACGAGCTCTCGAGCTCTCATTACGCCTATATTGGTCGCGACTGTGGACTACACAAGAACGCAATTATACTCAACTCGCTAGACTACACTGCGGCTCCCGGCGCTTCACGGTCCCGGTGCTGCAGCAGTTATGCAGCGCGGCTGTGCCTACAGTGGAGGGGCCGCCACGACGTGCGCATAACTGACTGATGGCACTCCGGCGGCTTTGAGCATCAGTCCGCGCTGGTGAGCATGCGGCGGAATACCAATTACGCTGGCTCGCACGAGCTGTACCTCCAGATACTGCGCCTGCAGCACTGCAAGTCCCCCGAGATCAAGGTCAAGGTTTACGGACTACTCGGCATGCATTTGGACTGGTTGACTGCTGAAGAGCGGTCTGCAGTGCTCAGAGTGGACTGTGAAGCACCTGTACAAGCGCCATCGGCCTGCGCCGTACAGTAGCCTTCATGAACCCTCACGTGGAGATCTACGCAACTCCTGAGCTGCAAGATGTTCTTAACATTAACTCAGACGATCTAGCAACCTCGTCCGATGCAGATAGCGATGCTGTGACTCACTAATCAGAGTTGCAGCAGATGATGTTCGGCATAGAATTGCTGTTTATCGGTAGTGCTCAAAGGTTAGATCTAGAGGGCATGAATGATCAAGTCCGCGGCGGTAACCTTCAGATCTGTACTTTGCCAGCTCTAGGTGAATATGACACCTCGTTCGCACAGCAGCGCCCACAAAGGTGGCAGCGGCAGCAAATGTGTGGATGTTTCGCAACCGAAGATTGCCCAGACGGTGCAGCCGGCTACTGGACAGCCGGGACCTACATAGTGATAGGCTATTCTGAGCACACGGCTGCTGACAATAGGCACACCGGCGTGCTCGCTGATACTTCACAAGAGTGTGGAGTATTGCTAGCAGCCGCCACAGCTGAAGCATTGTAGCCAACGAGTCTGAGTGATGCTCACGAGCTTACACCAGACTATAAGCCTCCTATATATGCTAAAGTCTCGACGGCATCCTCGTAGCACCATCAAGACGAATACACTCCCCATTCAGCATCGAATTCTCAATACAATGCCTCACCATCCCCGCGAAATCCTCCCCCCTCCCCGCCCGTCTAGGGAACTCAAACACTTTCTCCAAACTCTTGCGCACCTTCTCGCTCATCTGCGCCGTCATATTGCTCTCAAAGTACGAAGGCGCGATCGATACAGCTCGGATTCCGTATTGTGCCAGATCGCGCGCTAGGACTAGGGTCATGGATCTCACGGCGCCTTTGCTGGCGGCGTAGGCGACTTGGCCTGGTTGGCCGTCGTAGGCGGCGGAGGAGGATACCATGACGATGACGCCGCGTTCGCCGTCTGGCTCGGTGGGTGTTGTTTTCGTCATGTGAGGGAGGCAAAGTCGAATGAGATCCAGTACTCCACGAAGATTGATGTTGAGCACGAATTCTAGGCTTTCGAGAGGTATGGGCTCGTTGTGTCGATCGATCAGTTTGCCTGGCATGCCGACTCCCGCTGCGGGAATGACAGCACCGATAGGTTTACCGGTCTCCTTGAGCCAGGGTACAAGCGCTGAGACGGCGGCAGCTACTGAGGAAGGTTCGCTGACATCGACTTCGAAGAATTTGGCATGCGTGCCGAGCTCGGCTACTACTTTCTGTCCATTCTCGGCGTTGAGGTCAAGTATGGCGACGTAGCCGCCACGAGAATGTAGGTCCTTGACAGTAGCTAGACCCAGTCCCGATGCGCCGCCACTGATGACGAATGTCCGGTCTTTGATATGCATGATTGTGTTCGGACGGATCAATGCACTAGCTGACTCTGTCTCGCAATTGTACTGGTTGATGTGGTCGAGTAATGTGTACACAGATGCCAGAAGCCGTGGACCAGACCGAAGAGGAAGAGACCGCCGAAGAGTAAGAAGGATAGTAGTATCAAGCCGTAAGCAGAAATCCCAAAGACGCCGTCGCCCGTGATGCGGCTGTGGTAGTGCCGAGGTGATTCTCTACTAGCTCCTGGTCCTGGTGATTGAATGTAAGGCAGTGCTCGCTTCTCAAGGTAGTCCAGGTCGTCAATGTCCATTGAGAAGTTTCGGCGATGTACGGGAGGCATGGAGAGCCATGATCTGCTGTAGGATAAAGCTTGTACAAAGCTCTTGGAGGTCTCGTTTTTGTCACATGGTCTCATGTTTCGTTGCGATGTCATCGTGCTTTCCCCGCGCGGCGGAGAGCGGAAGGGAGCGGCGTGGGCTAGGCTGCATCTGTACATTTGCGCCCGTGAAAGTGAATGCGAAACACATTCACTCATCCGTGCAAGTGAACATTCGCAGGCCGGACAAGAAGGACATAGCGCTTCACCTTGAGGAGAACTGTAACACCGGTCTGATTACTGCAATTTTACCCCAAGACCGAACAGTACATACCCACCATGGCCTCGCCAGCCCTCGCAAACGGCACCCATCCTTCAACACCACCACCCTCAGACACAGCACCCTCCACACAGCAACCACAAATCGACCCAGATATACCCCGAAACTCAATACAAGACGATGGCGACTCGAAACGACCCCGTGACGCCCGACTAATCCACCTCGTGCTCTCAAACCTCGGGATCAACAGCTACCAAGAACGCGTCCCACTCCAACTCCTCGACTTCGCATACCGCTACACATCAGGCGTACTATCCGACAGCCTCCGCCTCAGCGCTGAAGGCTACGCGGGCACGACTGCCGAACGAGGAACCGGCGGACGAGGTCGGGGAGCGGCTGGGGAGGCAGGTGGAGCCGGAAGCGAAGGAATCACAGTCACATCACTCCGTCAGGCCATCGCAAGCCGGCAGGGCTACACTTTCCAAGGACATCTACCGCGGGAATTTATGCTCGAGCAGGCGGCTGAGAGGAATCGTGTGGCGCTGCCTAAAGTGGAGAGGAGTTATGGGGTGCAGTTGCCGCCGGAGAAGTATTGTTTGACGGGCGTCGGGTGGAATTTGAAGGATGAGTGGGACAGTGAGGAGGAGGTTGACGAGGAAGTGGAGGGGGAGGGGAGGATGGTGAATGTGACAAGTGGGCATGGTGAGGAGGACGTGGGTATGGGCGGTGTTGACCGCGAGGACGAAGAAGAAGAAGAAGACGAAGAGGGCGCAGGGAGGATGGAAGACGTGTTTGGAGAAGGCGGTGGCGAGGATATGGAGATGAGTTAGATGATATGCTGCATGGACACACAGCTGAGAAGAGATTTCTATGACTTTAGCGTGGAGTTGGTTGGAAAGTGGGATGCAATATCAAGACGCGAGGCACTTGATCTTTTCTCACACAGGTATCCTCGGTGTACATATCCATGGCAAGATAACATTGCTATATGTGCCCACGAGGCATGTATACACGATCAATCCAGCGGGCTCCCCGTCCCAAAGTTTGATTTGCGACATTTCGCCAAGACGAACAAAGTGATGCGCGCATCAAGCTCCGGATTGTGAAGGACAAGATGAAGCTCCTTTCTACCACTACATTTCAACTACACACTTCAACTACACAATAATGTCATTCACACGACCGTTCCAACAATCCCGCCAAACAGCCATGGACCCAGAAATGAAAGTTCAGGCTCGTCGAGCCGAGGCCTTCACTAGCACTTCTAGGCAGTGACAGCCTAGAGAAAAGAAGTAGCTCATGATGGTGATGCTGCGCCTACTTCATGCAACGATGCATATGCTACACCTGCCCCATCGTTTTATGTCCACCGAATTGCGTTCCGTCAACGAATCTACAACGATGACGGACAAGATGACGAAATACCTCGGTGCAGTGCCCGTCTTACTCTGTTTCTTGACTGCAGCAATATGGTAATACCGCCCCATCCATACTCCATACTACATTCACATACCAGTCACGTGCACTCGTAAATCGCTGATACGTTCCCACAGTCTACACATCCAACAATGGCTCGGCCTCCCACTCCGCTGGATCAACGCCACCTGGGCGAAATCATGGCAGAACTACATCAAAGCCTCAACGGCCATCCTCATGATCGGTCTGAACCAGTGGCGTGCACCTATCACAGCGCACATAAGCGGCGATGCTAGCGTCGCAGGTCAGATTCGAAAGGATAAGAATGGGAACGTGATTTGTGAATTTCCGAAGCGGATGGTGCTTGTTGCGAATCATCAGGTAAGACCAAACTCTACGACAAATTCGGTACCTTCTCATGTAGCTGAACACGTAGAACCGCAGATTTACACCGACTGGCTAGCCCTCTGGTGGACCGCCTACACCACCTCTGCTCACGGGCACTTCCACGTGGTCCTCAAAGACGGCATCCGCAGAATCCCCATCATCGGCCACGGCCTCGTCTTCTTCTCCTGGATCTTCCTGAGTCGGCGTTGGGAAACAGATCAACGCCTCCTCCAAGAAAGCCTTTCTAACCTCTCCGACTATCCTGGCTCAAAACATCAAAATCAGACACCGACGGCGATGTGGTTGTTAATCTTCCCGGAAGGCACGAATTTGAGTAAAAGGTCCTCCGCGATCAGTAAGAAGTGGGCGGAGAGCAGGGGTATCAGATCTCCGACTTTGACGCTTCTGCCGAGAGCGAGGGGGTTGCAGGCTTGTATTGCCGGGTTAGCGGGGAGTGTGGACTGGTTGTACGACTGCACGATCGCCTACGAGAATTTACCGTACGTCCTGCCTCCCGCCTCCCGCCTCTCCCCTCTCCCTATTCCTACCTATTCCCGCGCCCTCCCTGTCCCTGCATCTTCCTCCCTTCCTCTCCCATCCCCAACCCACCACACACTCACTAACAATCAACCTCCCCACTAACAACCACCCCACAGACTAAACAAAGACAGCCAAGACATCTACAACCTCCGCACCCTTTACCTCGACGGCCTCGCCGCCCCCCAAACCCACATCTACTGGCGACGCTTCCACCTCTCTTCAATCCCCTGGCAGGACTTCGAAACCTTTGAACAATGGCTCATAGACCGGTGGACGGAGAAGGAAGACCTACTGCGCCACTTCAACCAAACGGGCTCCTTCCCTTCCGCAGAGGGGTACGTGAAAACGGACATCAGACTCAATAGTCCGGTTGAATTTCTGCAGATCGGCACGAGCATATTCGCCATGCTAGCAGCGTGGTGGATTGGGAAAGGTTTGTACGGAGGGTTGGTGGGTGTATATACTCTAGCCGTCGGTAGATAATCTGCCCCATAAGCAAACTTCACGAAATATGATCGAGCAGCTTTTGGCATGCTCGAGGTCGGCATGTCCTTGAGCAGCAGCATCCTTCGCCTCCGTGTGCGCGATTGTCATTCTTTTGCTCGTGTCACCGACACTCGCGTCTTCAATCGTAGGACCAGCGGCGTGATGGATCGGCCTGAATGCATCATGGGGTTTGTCACGGACTTGACACACGACTACGGTGATGAGGGAGAGACGGGACGGATGTGATGCGGGTAAGCAGCTTTCAATATCTCAGCTAGCTATGTGAGCACTCTTAAAACAGCCCGAGCGGGGCATCATGCCACCACAAAACTTGCTGCCATGCCACAAAACACCCACTCCACCCCGTGCTCATTCTCCCACCACCACAAAAACCACACACCTAGAAAAAGGTATTCGGCCTCGTAGCAGCAAAAACCACCTTCCCGCTCTTCGGCGGCGACCGATGCGGCAAGGGGAACTTGAGGCCCTTGGTCAACAACTGCTTGATATATGGGCGGCGAATATCGGCATCCTTCTCAATCTCGACGACCTTGAGGATGTGGATGGAGCGGAAGCGGGAGCGGTGACGGGCGGCCATGTCCTGGTACATGGAGTCGACGGCGTCGGTGCGGGACATTTCGCGGTATTCCTTGTACATGTTGTGGGTGCCGGAGCGGGAGTCGTAGCGGATCCAGATGCCGAAGTTCTTCACTTTCTGGGGGTGTTTCTCGTGGATCTACAATAATATCATACTGCGGTCAGGGGCGGTCTCTCTCATGCGCTACATCTCAATCCCGCTTCTTTTTTTTTGAGATTTGTTTCTTGTCATACCTTGTTCAAGCTCACAATCTCACCATTGGCCTTCTTGACCTTCTTCAGCTTGGCGAGGAAGTACCAGAAGCGGCTCTTGGCGATGACATCGTTGGGGGCAAAGATGCGCATGCGGTAGAGTTTCGGGGTGGGCTGGGTGTCGGTGGGCAGATGGCGCCCGATGACTTGGTATTCCTGCAGGCGACCTGTATTATGAAAATAGCAGACATCAGCGCTGTCTTATGGATGATATATATTATGATATATGTTCATGCACAACGGCATTTGTGTGTGTGTGTGTGTATCCATTGTTCCCTCGCTCTTGCAGCCCGAATGCGATATTATGGTTTGTGCTCGGAGGCGGTGGTGGTGGTCGCATGCTTACCCATCTGGAAGAATGGTCAGTCAGTACACTGTCAGTAGATTAATATATGGTATGGTCACCCACTGTGATTGATGTTGTCGTCGTCGTCGGTGGTCGTGTGTGTTGTCGCTTGCTGTCGCGGCCACAAATTCTGCTAATTCTGCCATCAATTCGCCATCTCGAATGTGGGCTGCTAGTGCCGGCCGAAGGCGCAGCCAAGACTTCGAAGCATGAATGCCTGAGGTCCTCAATCGATTGACTCGACTCGACTTTCCATGTTTACAATCACAATAATATTAATAATAGAACACAACAGACAGAGAGAGAGAGAGAGAGAGAATGAGCGACTCAATCTGGACCGACTTCGCCACGGCCCAAGCGCGCGAAGACGGCTACCTCCTCGCCACCACCATCTCCCCCTCACGCCCCCCTTCCGATCCCGCTCGCCTCTACAACTACCTCCGCTGGACGAACGCCGGCAGCGTGCAAACCGACCTCCGCTACAAACTGCAATACAACCCGGACCTGCACCTCGACAAGAAGGAGTCCAGCAACTGGCTCGAAGTTTTCACCGCCTATTACCACTTCACCGCCCGTCTACTGTCAGCGGAAGAAGCGCAAAACACCAGCCAACGAGCACGTGAAGCGGATTGGAATGGCGTCTACGAGTCGTGGAAGGATGTGCTGAATGCCGTCTACCGTGGCTATACGAGTGATGTGTTTGATGCCTGGACGATCCCGTGTCTGTATGTCGTGGCGAAATACATGCGCATCTTCGCCATCAAAGCCGACGAGAGTGCCACCGCTGCCGCGCAAAGAGAACAAAGAGACACCGGCATGGCGTTCGGTCTGCAAGACGAAGACGGCTTCAATACTTCCTCCAATAGCAAGAACGAGAAGCTGGAGGATGCGGCGCGGCATATCAACCGCATCTTCGCCCTTTGTCTCGGCGACAGGTACGTGTCAATACCACTCGTACTCTACTGTAGGCCCGAAAAAAAAAAGGTAAGTTGGCTAACCCATCTCTCCTCTTTCTCCTCCACACAGATCCCCCCTCGAAGACTCCCGCAAATGGGCCCTCTACTACATCGCCAACCTGCTCTTCAAAACCTACTTCCGCCTGAACAGCGTGCCCCTCAGCAAAAACATCCTGCGCTCTCTATCCGCCCAAGCCGCCGGTGAACTACCCCCCCTATCCCGTTTTCCCAAAGCGCATCAGGTGACGTTTAAGTACTATTCTGGTGTGATAGCGTTCTTGTCAGAAGACTACGCTGCAGCAGAAGAGCATCTGGAGAGCGCGTATAAAATGTGCTTGCACTCGAGCAATGATTCAGCTGCTCAAACAGCCACAGCAACAGCCACAACCCGCAACCGCGACCTAATCCTAACCTACCTCATCCCAACCAAACTCCTGACCTCCCACCGCCTCCCCACCCCGACCCTCCTATCTCAATCCCCACACCTCACCTCCCTCTTCGCCCCCATCACCTCGGCAATCAAGCACGCCGACCTCCGCGCCTTCACCGCCGCGCTCGAAAGCGGCGAGGACGAGTTCGTCAAACGTCGGATTTACTTGACCCTGGAACGCGGCCGGGACATTCTACTGCGGAATCTCTTCCGGAAAGTTTTCATTGCGGGAGGCTTTGAGGCAGCTGCGAAGGAAGGCGAGGCGCCTGCTCGACGGACGAGAGTTCCGGTCTGGGAGTTTGCGGCGGCGTTGCAGATGCGAGGGGCGGAGGTCGGGGATGGGGAGGGTGGGGTGGATGGGGATGAGGTCGAGTGTTTGGTTGCTAATGCTATTTATAAGGTATGTTACTCTTCCACCTATCCCTTCGTCTAGTAAGAATGAAGATTGGTAAGAAAGGGGAAATGGAAATGGGAATGGGTCCGCTGACTTTGGAATTCTTTTTGTGCGGCTACAGAATTTCATGAAAGGGTATATCGCCCGCGACCGCGGCATCGTCGTCCTTAGTAAGGCTGGCGCATTCCCGGGGACGGGGGTCTGATCGGGCCATGGTGATCTTTCCCGACAAGACTCTCTATCTATCACGCCCGGAACAGCAGTCAGCAGCCACCATCAAGTATCCCGAGTTTCAGCACGGACCAGCGAAGTATCACATGCAGTATCCTCAACATCAGACGTACACAGCCTACACGGGGCCTTGCTTTCCTGAGCTTTACTTGGCTTGGTTTAGTTTGGCCCGGCAGCAGCAGGAATCGGCTTCACGGGCTCGACGTGTCCGAATTAGAGGGTGTGGGATACCTAGGTGGATGTGGATGTGACGCTGGGCTGACGAAGCATCCATAAGCGGACTGGAGCGGGGGAGGGCGAGGGGCGGTGGCGTCTGTGATGGAATGCAGTATGAGTCACACCCGGGGCACGCGGCATCCAACAGTCCCTCCCACGCTAATCCACGATACACTGGCATGTCAGACGGTAGACACATGATACACGGGCATGTTAGACAGTCTACGATACAACGTGGCATGTCAGACTGTACAGCGGATCTTACTATGTTCGGCACTAACGGCGGCGATTGCACACGACTGCACCTGGAATGCCGACTCCGACAATCATCAAACACAGCTCATCACGACGCTGAACACGAGGAAAGATATGGAAGCGCGGGGGGTTAGTGGTAGTAGCGAGCGTGTTTCTGCAGTATCTGCTAACCTAGATGAGATAGGTAGATAGATTAGAGGCAGCTAGTATACACAACAAGTCGACAGTCTGGCCCGAGAAGCCCCCAATTGACTCACAGCAATCTGATCTCCAATATCCTGCCTGCAGCGTGATAATGACCTCGCAGTCTGTTCTTCTTCCCGCTCTAAGCCTGCCTTGGCCATACTGATATTGATAACTGATAGAGATGACGAGATAAAGAAATAGTGATACATGACAATAATGTCCCGCTCGCGATAGTCCCCTTAGTGTTATTGTTGTACGGGTAACGCCTGGTAACGCCGTGCTAAATGTGAATGGCAAATAAAGGCCCTCTTATGGGACGGTATGGTGGTGATGTACAAGAAGGTAAGGTTCCAGCCGCGAATGGTGTGGTCCAGGTCTGTAGATATGATGAGATGATAGGAGCAGTCGGCTTGTTCTTTCAGGAGATGGGTAAGGCGGCCATCCGTAGAGGTGTGTGTGTGTGTGTGTGTGTGGTAGACGCCAGTGATCCGTCGCGGTCGCACAAAGCGAGGGCGTGGTGAAGTATGTGCGACGAAAACCCGGCCCTGACGATGATGATGATATGATCTAGCGAGGCGGGCGTGCGCCAGCGATGTCGTCCTACGATGTGTCAGTCGGGAGTTCTTGAAGTGTTAGCTCAAGCATCAGCATGCAGGAATACATACGAGATGATTGACCATGGCGACAAAGAGATCAAACCACAATGCGCTCCCCCCAACCTCCATCTCCATCTGCATAGTCCCACTCCGCTTGAACGTATCCCTCGACCGGATGATCAAAGCAAGGTAATGCGCCCGCAGCTTACTGTCCGACGCCGGCGTGTGCGAGTAAGCATAACGTGCGGACGAAAGAATGGTGCTGCAGTGGACGCCGGAGGCAAGACCCTGCTTCTTCAGGGCCAGACGCTGGAGGTCGGGGAGGGCGTAGTGGGTCGCTGAGCACTGCATCGCGTTAGTATCGATACCAAACTCCTTCATTGGCGTCACGCCAGCTTACGTAGATAACAGTATCCTTCCACACATTCCCCCCCACCCCACCCAAATTACACACCACGGTACTCTCCATCTTCCTCGCCGCGGAATTATCTTCCTCCAACGCCCAACTCGCCCTCTTCTTATCAAAGTACAACTTCGGACTATAATCCCCCTTGTACAAATACTCCAGCACCGCGGAAAAGACCTCCGGCTCCTCGTGAGCGAGTTCGATGCGTTTCCCGCCGGCCTCGAAGAATTGGGCGCGGAGGGCTTGGGCGAAGTAGGGGGATTTGGAGAGGATGTCTTCGTGGGCGGCGAAGAGGCGGTGGGTTGGGCCGACGGAGATGGTGATGATGGCTGAGTTGAGGTTGCTACCGATATGTGTTAGCAGGTGATGGGTGTGAGCGGGATGGATGGATAGTATGCTTACGGTGATGTGGGAGAGCTGCTCGCGGGACTCTTGGCCGAGGGTGAGGAGTGTGATGGTGAGGCTTGATGATGTTGTTGCTGTTGCTGCGTGACTATCTTCCTAGCTGGAGCATACTCCTTGAACGAGCGCTGCTTCTTCGTGCTCGTGGCTTTTCCTGCTCGGTAGGAGAAGCTATCTCGGTATGATTTGTTCTTGCTGCTGGAGAACATGTTTGCGTGGTGGTGTGGCTGTGATATCAGTATTCGGTCGGCTTGTTACGGAAAGAGTGAAAGCAGCAGCAGCAGCAGCAAGGCAGCGCGGAGAGAGCGTGTGAGCAAGGTGGACGAGAGAGCAGATACTTATACTAACTCCCAGGCAACGACCTGTCACCCGCCCAGCCGGCCGGCACTGATGCCATGTCCATCACTGCATCAGCCAAAACCGACATGTCCCAAGCTTATGGCACTAACACCTCATATCCGACGATGAATACGTACCCAACTCAACTCAGGTGCAAACAGCCCTTCCGTTCCCATCCCTCCCCTGCACCGGGCCCAAGTAAAACTCAACCCACGAGTGCAATGATAAGAAACCCAGCAACACCTCCAAAGAAGACGCGCTGATTCGTCGCGTCAGCAAAGAGCGTGCAGGACGCTAGAGACGCGAAAGTAACCCGATATCACATGAGCAGCACTTTGACTCAGGCCTGGCGAAAGGCGTTTGGTCTGGGCGCAGGGCGGGCGGTGCTGGCGACTCCTTCGCGGAGACCGGAACGCAAGGGCGTTTGGTTTCACTGCGGTTAGCAGGAGGGATAGAAGGCGCGCTAGGCTTGTTGTGTATGAGATGACTCGATTCATTGCAAATGAGTTTTGTCCGCGTGGGGGTGTGGAAGCCGAGGCGTCCTGTTTTGGTCCGTGTGAGACATCTCGTGTGTGTCTTGTGTGACCGAGCAATCTGGGGGTCGGAGTCAGAAAACGAAGGCAACCTCGTGAGTAATCGTGGTCTACGCAAGCAGGCCACGATTGAGGTTGCCTCTTCTCCTTACCTTGCGGACACTTTCGACCGGGGTGCAGTGCTAGCGTTTGCGCTAGGGGAAAGCTTCTGGCGTCGCACTACTGCAAGCACTATACGGCTTGGCAGGCACCGTGCATGGAATCCTTGTCTAAGGACGATCCCGATTCCTTGGTCGATGAGATGTGTCACAAAGCTGGCCTTGCAATCGGCCGCGATGATGGACGTCACTGCCGATCATGATGGGAGCTTGTAAACACATGCCGACCAACGATGAGCATCGGTGGCAATGCGTTTGCAGAGTAGTCAAGCTGAGCAACATTCTGTGCGATGTGTACGTATCCTGCGCGATCGTCATGTATAGGTATTCCGCCACCACTTCACAGTGACCTCTCAACCCTCTCGCCGCGGCGCCTTGACCCCCAACAACTTCTCCGAATTCTTATAAGCAATCATCTCCAACTGCTCCCTTGTGACCAACCCACTCAGCTCCAACTCCTCCATCCAAACCAACCCATTCTCATTCCTCTCAAACGGATAATCCACACTATACAAAATCCGCTCAATCTTCGTATTCCCCAAAATACACCTCAGCGGATCCAAGCTCCAAACACCCGAAGTCGTGATCCAGATATTTTCGTCCCATACCTGCTTCCACTTTCTCTTCTGATCGCCCCAGCGTACACTTAATTTCGTAATACGATCAAGCATGAAGGGGATCATTTCGCCGAAATGCCCGAGGATGATTTTCAGCTTGGGGCATTTATCGAAGAGTCCCGAGGCGTAGAGACGGAGAGTATGCAACGCCACCTCATTATGCCAGCCCCAGCCCGACGCACCGAGACTCTTCGCTGCGCCGGCCGTGAATTCACCTTGGTAGCGTGGGGACATGTCGTCTGATGGCCAGCTCGGGTGGATGTAGATGGGGACATCGAGGCGTTCGGCCGTCATCCAGAAATCGTCGTATTCGCTGCCTTCGTAGTACTTTCCATTAACATGGCAATCTATCAGTGCGCCCACGAAGCCGTGATCTTTGACTGTTCTCTCCAATTCCGGTCCGCAGGCTTCGGGCACAGACATGGGCAGGACAGCGAAGCCGGCAAAGCGCTCTGGGTTCTTCTTCACGGCGGCGACGAGTTGGTCGTTCGCTGCGTGGCATTGGTCGACGGTCATGGTGCCTGGGCCGTGTGAGATGACCTGTAGTGAGACTTTGCCTTTGTCCATGTAGGAGAGGCGGAGGTCACCTAGATCGCGAAGTTGGTCTTCGAGGCCGGGGATGGCTTTGAATTGCTCGCCATATTTATCGTCTAGGCTGTGGCCTACGGCGGAGGAGAAGAAGTGCTCTTCGAGCGTAATGAGAGGCGGTACCATGATGATTGTGAATGTGGTTCCGTGAAGACTGTGGTGATGGCCGTAGAAGTCCGTGTGATGAGTCCAATGTCGCGGCTCTGATGGCAGAGCGACAGAATGATTATGAGTCTCTTCTCGACGCTATGCGGCGGACAAAACTAGAAATCGGTCGTCCGCGTGGAACACTCTGTGTGTCCTTTTGTTGCTGTTACTCTGAAATGTGTACTTATGACGATGTTCTTGGAGTCGATACGCTTAATTGCTAGGCTTAATTGCTACACTGGGACAGCGAGCATGAAGTCGGGCTTCTTCAGCTCTACATTTGAACTTCAAAACACGACTATGACATATTGTCGGCACATTCACAGGGAGACCCCAATAGAAACGAATTCTGAGTTAATCCCTGTGTGCCGAAACGCACCGTGTGGCGAGAAACGCGTTAGTCAGCAAGCCGTGGCTGTGGCGCATGCTCAGTCGCTGAGTCATCTGGACGTGCGCGAACTCACTTGCTAACGTCGAACACCCGCATAAGGCCACAGTGTGGCGATGAAGCTTTCCCGCCTTTGCAAAGCAGATCGCAAATGTCGCTGCCAATCAGCTAACATTCGCCAGTATCAGAGCATCGAACAAAATAAGTCGAATTCAAATTGTCCAGCTTCCCGAGACGCACGCCATGCCGAGACACTTTGTGTACCATCATTGCCATGTGCTCGAATTCTGCGCCAGGGCCAGACAAGCTCAATCTATGGTGCGGGTCCAAAGATAACTTATGATGGTTACAGTATCCATGCAGATTGTGTCCCCGCGGGTGGTTCTGGACGAACGCGCCGAGACGATGGCATGATGGATTGTTGTGCACATCGAGCACATGAGTTAAACACCTGATGATTGGAGATGGCTAGCAGCAGAAACAGCAAAACGACAAGAGCAGAATAGCTCCGACCTTGAATGATTTATCGTTTACAACGAACTTCTGTTTCTTTGTGACATCTACACAAGCTGGACAGAATGTACCAATTCACTATCGGAAGCATAGATGAGCTGGTCCCCTGTTTCACACCTAGTGTGAGTATTGGTGTCGCACAAGTATGAATCGTGACGTCAAAGACGACTCTGCCGACAATGACCGAGCCTACATCCTTCACAGAGGCTAGATTGATGTGGTCTCCTGCTGCGGCCAGAGTGGAAAGGCTTCTCTACAGTGGCACCAGACCACTTTGCTAGGCGATATGAAACTCTTTCTGCATACGAGTCGTCCAACTCAGGTCGGCTAAGGGTGTCACATGACTCACAACGCTGGAAGTAGACTCGAGCGTTGTAACGTTGCCCAGGGTACTGTCGTATGGTGATGGCAATTTGCTTGCTTGTCCACCTGGTGGTAGGGCAAGACCGGTTGGTGCAAGTGAACGTGCCCATGATGCTGGTGTCATGCTCTTTGAGACTGCTATGTGGATCGTCGGTCACAAAGAATTCGAAGGTAAGATCATAAGCACGTAGTGATTGTGACACTTCGCCATGAAGAGCGGGTTGCAGATCGAATGAGTGGCTGACACCAGCAGCAGGGAAGCTGACATGAGCTGGCGAGTCCCGCAGGTGTTGCCGGAGAGCCTGC